ACGTGTCACTCTTCTTCACTTAGATCTCTCTTCCTTCAAATCCATCAAAGCCTTTGTTCGTGAATTTCATGCCCTCCATCTTCCTCTCAATCTCCTCATGTACACACACACACACTCCCTCTCTCTCTCTCAGTTTTAAGCGTTTGGACCGCCTTTTTTTAGCGTTTGAATTATTGATTTTTTATGACAATAACAGTCTTTGAATGGTTTCCACATTAACAACGTTAATTAACACTGTTTGTGTTACCATTCCTCTGTTATTGTAGTACTATTATTTACGTTAGTTAGGTAAACAACGACATCCAATAATTATTTATCCAACTTTTCTATTTTGATGTTTAATGCTGTAAAAAAAGGGTAAAAGACATTATTTTCGCGCCAAACATTTTATTTCTGCTTTCTTGTTTAGACAACATCAATGTTACTTTACAATGTGGTTCCATTTATTAATACCAAATACACGGAGTCCCAACATACGTATCATTAGATTGGTAGATCTATTAACTACTTATAGCAAGAAAAAATGTTTTCTGTTTTTTTTTTTTTATTATTATTTTTTTTTGTGTAAGAAAAAAGTGCATATTAATTATTTAAAACTGTAACAGAGTTATGTATCTATAACAATTGTACAAAAATGGTGTTTGCAGAAACAATGCAGGAGTAATGTTCTGTCCATACCAACTCTCTGAAGATGGAATCGAATTGCAGTTTGCTACAAATCACATTGGTAATTCATATATTTAAATTTAAACACAAGTTAAGACATTTAATTTCAGAAATTAAACCTGAAATATTGAATTTTAATTATTGAATTATATACTATATAGGTCATTTTCTGTTGACAAACTTGCTCTTGGACACAATGAAGAACACAGCTAAAAGCAGTGGTGTTGAAGGAAGGATTTTGAATGTATCATCTGTGGCTCATATCTATACTTACCAAGAAGGAATCCAATTCGACAGCATCAATGACATTTGCTGGTAAAAAATTCTATAGTTGTTGACTTGTTTCGAAATCACATTGCATCTTATAAGTAATAACCATCTTCTTCTTTTTTCTCTCAGTTACTCGGATAAACGAGCTTACGGACAATCGAAACTAGCCAATATATTGCACGCTAATGAGCTCTCCCGTCAACTTCAGGTCGCCTTCACACACACACAAACACATATATCAAAGTGTTGGTACTATCTCAAATTCATAAACACTTAAGAAAATAAAAACTCAAAATATTTTTGGGGACATTGTTTGGTAGGAAGAAGGAGTAAACATAACAGCAAATTCAGTTCACCCTGGTCTCATTCTCACCAATCTCTTCCAACACACTGCTCTTTTAATGAGTAAAAATTTCTCAATTTCTCTGTTTCTCTTCAAATTATTCCCTTTTCTTTTCACTAGTATTTATTTTAAATCCCTATTTTCACAGGGTTCTTGAAGTTTTTCAGCTTCTACTTGTGGAAAAATATACCTCAGGTACTATACTAGTAGAAAGAATCCTAAGACTAAGCCAAATTCAAGATCTAACTCTATGACTATGTTACTAAATAAAGACGAATATATAAGAACAACCTTTTGATGGTCCATGTGATGTTGACAGGGAGCAGCTACAACATGTTATGTTGCTCTGCATCCAAGTGTGAAAGGCGTAACAGGAAAGTACTTTGCTGATTGCAACGAAGTCACTCCAAGCAAACTTGCTAGAGATGAAACTTTGGCGCAGAAACTCTGGGATTTCAGTGTTAAGCTCATTAACTCGGTTTCTAAAAAGAACTACCTCGGTTTCGGTGACACCACTTGAATCTCTAAGGTGTTGTTGTTGTTTGTTACCTAAGAGTAAAAAAAAAAGTAAGAAGAAGTGGAGAGTGTGATGTTTCTTTCCACCTTATCATATGGTAACTCATGAGAGGCATTGTTATATGCTTATATATTTTATCCAGTGAATATGTAACCGCGTCAATCTTTTCATAGTATGGACAATAAAAAAAAAAGTGTTGTTCATCACTTGATTTTTCCATGGATAATCAGTGTCTCTAACCTAAGAGCTAAAAACAAGAAAGAGAAGAGTAAATTTGTTTCTGTGTGTTTAAAGTAACTGAGATCAGAATGTTTGTTGGCAATATATTGTGTCATAGTTGAAGATTAGATGACTTGAGAGTCTAGTTCTCCATCACCAATGCCTTATTTAGCCTCCATGGACCATGGGAGGTCAAGACACAGTGTTTTGACTAATATGCAATTAGAGAGAGATATTAAAAACATCAAGAATATACTCAATTAAGTAGTTAAGCATTCATTATCTTAATTAAGTAGCATTAAAGAGCCAGTACAAAGAAGAAGATTTGGTGAAATCAGACATTCAGATGGGTTAATTCGGTTTATTTTGCCTCCTTGCAGTTTGAATTTCGGTTTGTTACGGTTTATAATGAAACCAACTTCAACGGTACGAAGTACGAACTAAAATATTCTGGTTAGGAATTTCATCTTTATTTAAGAAAAGAAAAAAAACAGGAAACTTAACGACATACTATAACCGTATAACGGTATTATGTTGGGCCGGGCCCATTACAACGTGATTCACCACGTGGTCACACGTTTCCATACTTTTTTTTTCCCTGTTTTTTATTTGGGAAATTGGGACAGATTTGAAAAACTAATACTATATGCAATAATGCAAATATGATTTTTGGAATGAAATATTCAAATATGATCTTTTTCGGTAGTTGTATAAGCAAATATACTCCCGAAATGTATTTATTTTGAAAGATGTACTATTTCGAAACACATCTTTAGTGGAGCTTGAGAAATTGGCTGAGTCACGACTAACAAATATAATATTCAAATTTCTACATTTAATAAGAAAGCCAGAAAAATATGTTTTTAAAAAATGATGATTGATGTCTCCATTGAGTTACGTTATTATAAAAGATATATACATGTACCCAAAAACTTTTGTTTTATGCAAAAAAAACTTGATATAGGTTTGTACTTTGAAGTATTATTGTGTGGTAATCCATAATTGAATCCAACAGATTGCATGTTATTGACAAAAACTCATGCTAATTAAACAAAATAACCGAATTTATTAATGAGTTTGTGGCTTTGGTAACTGGGTCTTTTCACCTTTTTTGTCCTTTGGACTTTACCCTTTATTGACTCATTGGGGGATATAAAGAGATGTTTAATTGTTTATTATAATTTCAGTTCCTTTTCCAGTCAATCGTAATAATGGTTTTAAAACATACTCTCTCCCTTTCAAAATATAAGGCGTTTTAGCTAATAGCACGCCGATTAAGAAAATCTATTTTTAAAAAGTTCAGCCAATCATTAAAAAAACTGTATAATATAAATAATCATAAAGTATTAAAATAATATTTAATTTGCATAGAAACTTGAAAACGACTTGTATTATAAAACAAAAAAATTTCTCCAAAATTCATTATCTTTTGAAACAGAGGGACTACTATTTTGTGGATAAAAAGAAACAGACTCATCGGAGACAGACAAAACGTCAGATCGATGGCAATAATATTTATGTCAGAAACAAAATTGTTGGATGTATTTACTTTTTAATAATTTTACAAATTTTATTACTTTTTCACGTTTTTTTGTTTGTTTAATTTGCCTTTGGGAACACCGACGGAATCTTGTCCGTTGCATTAGCCACTCTTCTCCCGCTAAAATTGGATCCACTTTAATCATTTTATAAATACTTTTTTCCGTCTAAAAAATTTCCGTCGAAAGAGAATAAAACAAACAAGCAACATTATTTATTATTCAGACGAAAGATTTTCAATTTTTTCAGCAAATGATGAATCTTTATAGCGACCAAAACCACTGGCCACATGAAGTCAATCATTTTAATTCAATGTCATCTTTTTGATCTTATAATTTCGTTATATATACTCATATAATTGTTTAGTCAATAATAATTAAAGGATAAGACATCTCTCAACTAAATTATCCTCGAAAATTAGTTCGCAGTTTTTATAAAATTCGAAAGAGTTGTCTACAAATCATATTGATATGTTTTGTATTTAAATTCATTGAACAATGAACTAAACTAAAGTCAAATTTTCTCGTTAGTGTTTACAAGGCCATGAAAAAATAGGAAACAGAAAAATGTAAAGACATTCTGCGCATTTGGGCATTTTATTGAATACGTATGGCTAAACCCTTATATGCTTCGTTTGGTTAAATCATTCTAAATTATATTTTGTACTATTCTCGTTTGGCTTTTAAATGGAGAAATATTAGGTTCCATAAAGATGCGACTTCGGTCAACATGTAGCAACCTCATATACATAAACACACAAAAAAAATAACAAAATAGTAGATGTTTAAAAGACAAAATAAAAAGATCTTTAGGTATATGCATATAACTCAATGGAGAAATCAACTATATTTCTTTTTTTTTTCAACATATTTTTATGGCTTACCTATTAAATGTAGAAACTCGAATATTAATATTTGTCAAAAATATTATATTGTCAGCTTTGAAACCAAAACTTATGTTGACTAATTAGTCAAATCAATAAAATAAATAGTTTGAATATGCAACTAAATTTTTGAAAAATATCATCATTTTACACATAAGAAATTAGTAATTAAGTGTTTAAAAAGTAATTTAAAATATTTGACTCTCGAGTCATTTTTAATATCGATTTAAAATATATATATTATCAATCTTATTGATGTTTGCGTCTATTTATATTTTAATATTATTGTTTTAGTACTTCAAAGCCTTTTCCATCTTTCAATATAGAAGACCCACGGATCTCGCGGTCAACGTCAACCATAAGGTCCATCCTTAACATATTAGATTATAAGAAATAAATCGAAACTTGTATTTTCTTAACAGTTACATGAAAAATGAATTCAAAATTACAGTTTTTGTTCAGTAATTTTTTTGTCATAATCAAACAACTGTTCAAGTTTAATTCAGGTTTTGTTATAAACTAAATGTTGTTCTTCATTCAATACCACCATAAACCCGAAATACGAAATTACGATTGATTCATTTATCATACACGAGTAAAGAAAGACAAAATCTGATTATTAAGAGAAAAAAAGGCTTATGCGATAATTAAAGGGCTGAAACTTATATTAAAAAACAAAGAAAAAAGCGATATTAATTAATTAGAAGAGGCGTTCCCTTTGTGATCCTTGCTAACATTGTCGTCATTGTTGCTACGGTTTACCGGAGGAGCTGCCGGAGACGGCGGAGGGATCTGGTGGCGCGGCGGGTTAGTAGGAACGGAGGAAGGAGGATTTGCTGCGAGAGAGATATCGGAGAGATCGTCAAGGGAGATCGGAAAAACGCTCTGAGAAGGTCTTCTCTGGTGACGGCTTGGTCTCTCCGACATGGTTAGCTACAGATTCAGACAAAAAGGATTGGGAAAAGAGAGATAAGAGGAGAGAGAGAGAGAGAAAGATTATTGTGTGAGTGATGAGATCGGGAGATAGAGAGGGACTGACTTTATATATAAAGAGGGTGAAAAAACAAATGTGTTAGGTAGACAGTGATTATCCGAATTGAGAGCATGTATTGGTAAATTCTAGTATATTAAAAGAATTGAAAGTTACTTTTAATACATAGTCATTTTTTTATTTAATTATGTGAATATCATTTTATTTAATTTTTCAGTAAAAACTAGTTCTGTAAACTCTTTCCTAAGTAGTAACACTAATATCTCAATGCATGGTCAAATGGTTCAGTAAATGTTCTGAGCATGGTCAAATGGTTCAGATATAAAATTATGAATTATACTTTTTTTAACAAGGAAAAAAAATGTATATTTACACCAGTTCCTTAAAAGTTTACCTTTTGTTAGGTAAACTATAATTAAGATTGACCAAAATTTTGTATTTTAAGTATAATTTATTTAGGTCAAATAAGTTACTACAATGTATCCATCAGATACATGAGTCCATGTGGTGAGGGAGATACATAATTTAATAAACACCATTAACTGTATTTGAATAGTCTTTACTTCTGCAATCTCATAATGTTGAAAAAGTTAATTGCAATTTAATGTAAAAACCTCTCCAATAACCATCATGGTTCATTGCATTTAGTGGAAACAAAATTGTTCATTGCATTTGATGAGAATACATGTATTTATAGTTGGTCTGACAGATCTTAAAAATATTGAAAACTTCCAATAAGCTTTGTCAACAGAAATAAATTAAGAACCCAAATAATTGTATTTTCTTTTACTTTTCTTGTCTAGAAGACAAACATTTCTCCCCCATGTGAGGAGATGTCAGTCTCGTTGGAATTTAATGTTGTTATACGTTCCATAGAGCCATACGACACGAATGCAAACATATATTTAATTTTCTGTGTCTGAATTTTCTAGTTGATAAGATAGATCTAAATGAGACACAAAGATGGTGATTTCACAAGACGTATATTGCTGATATTTGTTACAAAAATAGTAGATATAATTAGTGATTGTAGGTACATATTCTTTTTGGTCAAAAGAAATATCTAAAACTAAATATAAATTAACATACAAAAAAATATATGAAATATCATTTTTTTTAGTTTTGTTTTCCAAAAGTACATCAACTCTTTAAAGATTACAAGTTTTTTGATTGTGTGCTATGAATGTGATTACTCGATTGCTTATTCAACAATAACAAAGAGTAATACATGTGAACGATTGTATGATATGGATTCTCTTTGAATCATAATGTAAGGTGAAGAGTACGAACTATGTTTTGGTTGAGTTGTGAAATGTTAATATGCTAGTATATTACAAATGATAAATTCATAACAATATTGTAATAGCCATGTTTTGGGATATGGTTGGTGAATACATTAACATAAATGTGAATACATAATAATTTGGTTGAAAGCATTATTTTTTAAAAGTTTAAGTGTTAAATTTGTTCAAGTGAAATTTTGGAGAGAGTTTGGTCACCATTTTTGAGAGAGTTTCTCTTTCTTTAAAATTTAACACTTGGACTAATTTTAAAAAATTAATAGTGAAATTAACATAGTTTTAGTTAAAAATTATTAATTATTTGCTTAAAAAATTTAAGCGTTAAATTTGTTTTAAATTTTAGTGAAAATCGTTATTAACTTTTAAAAATGAGTTTAAGTGTTAAATCTATATTACGTGAAAACCATGCCGAACTTCGAACACCAAAGCTTACGGACCAACTAAGGACAGGATGCCTAGGCGCGGTTAGTTTTCGACGTTTTAAAAATTTAACACTTTAACTAAGTTTTAAAAAGTAATAATGAAATTAACATAGTTTTGGTTAAAAGCATTATTTCTTAAAAAATTTAAGTGTGAATTTAGTTTTGTTTTTAGTTATTAAGTTTATTTTTAGTTTTTAAGTTTTTAAAATTTTTGAAATTTATTTTTATTTTCTAAAACATTAAAAAAAAAAAAAAGAGAGCAAGAGAAGGGCTGGAAAAATTGACCTGTTTTAGTGGGCTGGAATTGTTGTTGTTGGGCCTTATAGGATCACCACTGTCACCGGCATACGAATCACCGTCGCCATCTTCGTAGAGTTTCTTTGACTTTGTGGTGGTTAGAGAGAGAGAGACTGCGATGTCTCGACACCACAGAGAGATGGGAGTGATTTGTAAACAAAGATGAATCATCATCATCCGTCACGCGCTCGTATCTTGTCGGCAAAGAGCAACGACAAAACCCACAACAAATAATAAAGCGTTGGAGCCAAAGATGAAATATAAGCAACGCAAGCAAGAATCGAGCGAAGAAGATAATGCTACAAAATCAAAGCATGAAATTGCAGTCTTTCTCACTTTATAACTCTCTTTTCTCTCTGTGTTTCTCTGGTTTTTGATTATACTAAAACGATTAGATGGAGAAAAAGAAGAGACGCGATACTATATTTATAGACTGTGTGTTTTGGGATTCCAAGTTTCCTTTTTTTTTTACGCTTGTGTGTTGTTTCCTTTTTTCATTTAGGTTTGTGAAAGTCTAGAGCTTAGGTTCGGTGATAATCTAGCCGTTAACTGAGTCTTTTCCTTTTTTGACCCTTTGCTTTAGAGTCGGTGATAATCAAGCCGTTAACATAATTTACCTAAAAAAAGCAAAGATAAGAATGTTCTTCCTTAGGATTTTCTCGGGAAGCAAATAGAACTAAAAAGGTTTCTCAATTCTTGATTCTTCCATTGATAATCATGTGAGGCTGTAAAATTAAACACTTATATAATTCATCTGCAAGTACTTCATTGAGGTACCTTGAGAAACATGTATCACCGGCCGTTCTTAGAATCGATGTGTTACATTGCAAATAACTTGGATTGATGTGCATGTTACAGATCAACAAATGTCCAGAACCCATCTTTTGAATTGACTTCTTACATTACAAATCTCTAGGATGTTCAAAATCTTGCAGACTAATCCTTTCGAAGAATGTCACTATCTTTATGTTTCCAAGCCTGATCCTTTCCAAGATTGCGGGTAACGCTGCAAGAGATAGCAAAAAGAACCGTATCATACCACGCCATGTTCTAGTAGCAGTGAGGAACGACGAGGAGCTAGGGACGCTACTCAAAGGCGTAACCATCGCACACGGTGGTGTTTTACCAAACATAAACCCAATTCTCCTCCCAAAGAAGTCTGAGAAAGCAGCTTCAACTACAAAAACTCCCAAGTCACCATCAAAGGCTACCAATCCAAATCCCCTAAGAAAGCATAGTTCTTCTTCCTCTGTATAAACTGAAAATCTCTCTAAAGTTTCTATCTCTCTGTATGTTTCTCTGTAAAGACAGAACATAACATCTATTACTTGTAATCAATGTGTCATGTTCAGAAATAAGAAATGCAACGTTTCATATAGATTTTGATTTTATATCAATCTTACGAATAGCACTGAAATAGGTCTCAAGCAGAAAAAGAATTCATATGAACAATGTATTGTTCAGGTATCATCATATGAGATCGAAGATTTGATCAAAAGACAGAACAATTATCTATAATTTCGATAAACAAAATTAGATCTAATCATTAAGAGCTTGTGAATTTGGTGACGGCTTTGGTTCCTTCAGAGACAGCATGCTTAGCCAATTCACCAGGCAAAACAAGTCTCACAGCGGTTTGGATTTCACGAGACGTGATCGTCGGTTTCTTATTGTAACGAGCGAGACGAGACGATTCCTGAGCGAGTTTCTCGAAGATATCGTTGATGAAACTGTTCATGATTCCCATTGCTTTACCAGAGATTCCGATATCTGGATGAACCTGTTTCAATACCTTGAAGATATAGATCTTGTACGTCTCTGTGCTCTTCTTCGTCTTCTTCTTCTTCTTAGTGATCTCGCTCGTTCCTCCTTCTTTCGCGATCTTCTTCTCCGCCTTTGGTGCTGGTGCTTTCTCCGCCGGTTTCTTCTCTGCCTTCGGCGCCATTAATCGGAGATTGATCGGTTCTGATTAATAACTTCTGGGCAATGAAAGATGATGATGATGATGATTTTTGAGGGTTTCGGTTTCGAATTTATACGTTTCGTTGGATGATATATAATTGGATCCTGAAATATGGCATGGATTGCTGACGTGTTGTTTTTAAGGTCGTTAGATGAGGAATTGTTGTCATACTAATCAACGGTTAGCGCTGGAGTCGGCGGTTTATGTGGGCTTTATTGGGCCTTGACTAATATATTTATATGAATTATATGTGAAAATAGTTTAGGCCCGTTGAGAAAGTCGCCACGTGAATTTGTTTTTCGGAATTTAATTAATTTGGGTTTGGAATATTTAAAAATAAAAATAATTTTGGTACAGTATTTCACATTTTCCGAAATTCCAGTAGTCTTTTCCTATTATTATTCACGGTTTATTTTTGTGGTCAGATAAATGTTTTCTTTTGTGATTTTCCTTTTTTAGGGATTTCTACTAGCTAGCTAGCAGTTTGAATATTATGTATGACAATTGACAAGAGTTTACCAATCAAATTCTATGATCACTAAGGAAATAAATTTCAATGAAGTTTTTCTTAGGTATTTTATATCTGCATGCATGAACATCAATGTAAAAAAAAAAAAAAAATAGAAGATCAGTACTATATCTATATGTTAACCAAGATTGCATTAGAGAGATGATATCTCTAAATGAAATATTTTAAACTCAGAGTACTTTATTCACATGCAAAAGATATGGTGAAAGTGGTACCAGCTGATGGATGAGTTTGTAAGAAGTATAATATAAATTTGACACTATAGTATAAGTGATTTTATGAACTTTTGATGATGTAAACTTTGTACCAGCTTACTTTAACAAAAAAAAAAAAAAACTTTGTACCAGCTAATGTGTTTCTTGTTTCCAAGAAACACTTCTTTCGACATATACAGTTACCAAACTTGGTGGTCCCTAAAAATGTTCGGGAATCCAACCAAAGCCTTCCCAAGGATGTGGGGAAACTCCAATGACCAAAGTACATCGAACTCATTACTACCTTACAAAGTATATCAAAATGTTAAATGTTGTTGAACACATATTGGATGGTTTTGGATTTACTTATTCTGATTGGTGATGTACTAATAGTGCAAAGAATAGTAGGGTATATATTGCTAGGATAGAACAACAGGTTCGAGAAAGAAATCAAATTAGTATTGGGGGTGAATTTCTTTTTTTATATTTGCGATTAGATTCACGTTACGTGGATAAACTATTCGAGCATGCTGTATTGATTGCATTTAAAGACTTTAAATATTGTAGCTAGAAATATTGATTTGAATTGAATGTTTGATAATCGTTCAAGAACATGACGCTAAAGTTTATATAGTTTTAAGCTTTTATTTTAATTTTAATTACTATTTCTACAGCTATTTTTTTAAAGGATTTAACTGTTAGATGAAAATGTTCAAAATTATACAAAATAATATGCATTTATATGTATACGAATAGCCTAATACTGAAATTATTTGATACATAACTATTAAATCGAAAGAAAGTAGAAAACCTCTTAAAACCTGGTTTGGTTACATTACCAAAGGGCTGAAATATTCGACATACCCACACCCACACTCACTCATATGCATAAGTGCTCCATCTCCCATGCATGTGTCCTCACTTATTGTTTGGAAAAGTGAAGGGTGGCTTTTGATTTTGATAATGTTATTATAATCTCGAAATCATTGATGATAATTCATTATAAACTAGCCAAACACCACCGGAAAAAGAAATGTAATTTTTATTAATTCATTGAGGTTTAAAAGAATCTATTGTCTAATTAAAAAATCAGGCCATCAATTCATTGCATGCTTGCGTTTTCGTAAAACATGAGCACAACAAACCAACCTAATTAAGCGTTTTGAAATTGGGATGCATGGTTATTACAAACATGTAGTTAATGCGATTAATATGGTATAAAATCACAGTTGTTACTTACTCTTGTAGATAAACTGTCACAAATGTTTTATTTATTTTGACATTATTGTCACTATTTGTCGGTCTCACTCGTTATTTATATGCAAAACGTTTCAAAGCATTCATGTATTTTGTAAATAAAACTATTACAGCATATACAGGTCAATTCTTGGTAGGTGGAATTAGGTGGCAATGTAATACAAGGCAATATACAAATAAATTGATTAAAAATATGTAAAAGTTAGCATTACTGTATTAAGAGATGCTAAACGATAATGATTATTTATGGGTCATAACGTTTATACATATTGATATTATAACTATGTAGGTGGGTCCTACTTCACGTGGTAAACGGGCCAATCGCCACGTAAGCAGTCGAAGGATGCGTTCCCGTTTCGTAAAATCTATTGTAATCTCGTCTCAGCCAATCATAAGCATATGCCCACGTGGGATTATGGGCCCTATCACGAGCCCAATGTTACAAGTCAGCAAAACTGATACCAGCACGCCGTTTTGATTAAGGATAACATATTTTAATTATTTAAAAACTATTTATAAATTTATCATATTGTGTTTAATATATTATCTTTTTTTCTAAGAAAAATAAAAATATATGCACTTTGAATTTAGTTTTCCCTTTTTCTTCTTCTAAATATCGTCTCTCAAGAGATTAGCACAATTAGGCGATTCCTTTGAATACAGAAACATGTCAATTTTAACAAAAAGCAAAAAGTAACATTCGCAAATTGATTCGATTTTTTGAATTATTCTGTAATCAACTACACAAATAAAACAAACCCTGTCCATTTAAGGTCATTCCGTGACTATAGTGTATCTACATATAATTCAATGAAATTATAATTTCCTTGTGTTTCTTCTAAGATATTTATTTTTTTCTTATAAATATTTTAATACTCCTCTTTCTATTTTTCGGCTCTTGTAGCGTTTTATATATATTTTCACCTGCCTTTCTTCTCCCATCCATCATCATACCCTCTCTCTCTCTAATTTCTCTTTAATCACTTTCATATATCATGGGTGATCATAATAGCTCGCAAGCATCTTACATCCATTTGGTACGATTTAATCAAACTCTTCTGTTTTATTTCTTGTCAAATCAATCTCTGATCTTGATGATATTTCGTCACTTAACCGATGCTGATCATATCATCATCATGTGTTATTAATGGCTGCAGGTGCATCATTTGATAGAAGAATGTATAGTATTCAACATGGGCAAAGAAGAGTGTATGGATGCTCTGTTCAAGCATGCTAATATCAAGCCCATCATCACTTCCACAGGTACACATATTATAGTATAGATATACATATATGGCATAATATATATGTAAGATAAGGATTGAAGAATTGATTAATTTTGCAGTGTGGAAGGAGCTAGAGAAAGAGAACAAAGAGTTCTTCGAAGCATACGAGAGAAGACGAGAAGAAATACCGACCGAGAAAGAGACAGCTCGAAGAATCCGAGATTTGCTTTCACGAACTACAATCTAAGATCATGACACCTACTTTTACTTAAATATACATACACTCATCTATATTATTATAGGCATGTGTGTGTGTATATGTATGAGCCGATTATGGTTTTATGTAGTCATAACTCGTAACTCATATAACTGAATAAATATCTGTTGTCTTTTTAAATTTTGCTCTTTGTATGAAACTCTGAAATGTAGCCAAAAATGATTAATATAATTTGTCTTTAGAAGATTTTTTCTGCATATATGTTTTTTTTTCTTATTGGTTAAGCTAGCATCTGCATTTATCTCCATTTATGAATAACTTTAGTATCCAAATTAGAAAATAGGGATAAACAAATTAAAACGTATAATTAAGTTCGAACTTGGTTCTCTATATCTATAGAATTAAACGTATACATACAGAGTTCATGACATTCATATAGTAAAAACCCTTAGAATCTTAAACACAATTAATGGTTATTAAGATTAGCGGTAGATCATTTGCGATAACCTCTTTAATATTTTCGTACCTCATTGTTAATCAGTTTGACTCGTGTTTAATAATAATAAAAAAACAATGCTGGAAAAAAGAAATTGTAGGACAGAGATCGAATGGTGAAGACGCCACGTGGAAGGCACGTGGAAGCACGTGGGAATGTTGGCGTCACTACATAGGATTGCGTGTTATGATTTGGTGATGACCCCTAAACTCTGGTGGCTATTTTTGTTTTCTTATCTCTTTCGATTTTTTGGTCAGTGTTGAAGCCAAAGTTTGGTGAAGACACTCTTCTTCTTTAGTACCGCATTTTCGGTTCTTGATTGGACCGACCTGACTGGTCCATTTGTTTTTAGGATGTATATAGTGGTTCTTTAATTATTAGTTAAGAGTCTTAAAGATGATCATGTGTACTCTTAAAAGTATTAAAAAACATTTACTATAATGCATGATTAAGAGTTACTTCTTACATAATCAAACTTTTACTTAGTTTTTTATTTTACAGATAAAAATTCTATAACTAAAAGTGAATCAGAAACCACTTTGAAAATCTCTCTAGTTCAATTTGTTGATTTCCGACAACTGTTTTGCAAGACACCTTTGGAATAAATTAAAGGAGTGCCAAAAAGTTTTTGATTTACAACCGCTTGCCAAAATATCAATGACAAATCTTACCAAAAAAATAATAATATCAAGGACAAAAGTACTTAAATGTGAAAGTCAATCAATCTTGTTTCTTCAAAATAGATTCAAATTTGGTGGTTAATTTCTTTTATTCCCAACGTTGCAAAACGAACAAAAAGGTTAAAAAAAGTAAAGAGAAGAAGATAAATGTCAACAACACGAATGATAAAAGAGCAAACAAGAAAACGAAATGCCTAAAACGACAACGTACTTTGGAAATACCAATGAAAACGTAATGTCATGCATGTAGTTCCAAGCTCTTTGGCATTCCGTTTCAATTATATTATTTTTTGTTTGTTATACGAAAAAAAAAAGAGTTTCGACGGTCCAGTTTATTTGCGTAACGTTCACACATACGTCTTAGAACGTTAACATCTCATTTGGTCAATCAGAGTGTATTCATTAGTGTAGAGGGAATCAAAATTTTGTAGCCACAAGTTTACGAGTATAAGACGAAGAAGCGTTTCAATGAACAAAACAAATGATGGAAGGGTTTTGTATTTTAGTTTAATCAATAATGACTTTTATCTTTTGTATATGATAAATGCTTATATCGTAATTCTCAAGGAGAAATAACTTTTTAGACGTCGCGACAATTAAGAGTTTTAGAATCGAAACTAATTGGTTAAAATAGTCAAATATCGAATAAGTAGGAAACATATATTTTCAAGTGTCTACCACGAGATTTGGTACGTAGAAAGAACATTGCATCACTCATGAATATCAAATGAGGTATAGAAAGCGAACCCAAACATCTTCTGGATCTCAGACGACGTTTGATTATACAAAGAAACCCAGCCCATTAAGCTTACAAAACAACCTCTAAGCCCAAATAGATACCAGACGACGACGTTTTGATTCTGTAAAATTGAAAATTTGGTTTGGTATCATCTTCTTCTTCTATCTCAAATCTCATCGCCGGCGTTAGGTTTTTTTTTTCTCTCAACAATGGCGTCTCTGGCCAAGTTTCACTACTGTGACCAAACACTTCACCTCCGACTCGATAGTCACCGTAAACCCCAGCCTAAACCTGTTTCGTACCGAATCTTACAAAAACCTCCTCCGCCTCGCGCCATCAGAGCTTCTTCGTCTTCATCATCATCATCAAACCCTAAACCATCTTTCTTCAAAACCACCTGCGTAACCCTAACAACAGCCGCCGCTTTATTCTCCGCTTCCCTCCACCTCGCCACCAAACCCGCCACCGCAGCAACTCTCGTCTCACCTCCTCCTCCACCATCCACGACGGCGGATCTCACTGATCAAATCTCGTCGCGTCAAAAGGAAGAAGAAGAAGCAGCGCTGGAGAAGCATCTCACTAACAATCCAAACGACGTCGCAGCTCTTCAATCTCTAATGAAAATCAAATTCCAAACCAAAAACCTCGAACACGCTTTAGAGATTCTAAACCGTTTGATCGAAATCGAACCCGAAGAACAAGAATGGCGGATCTTAAAAGCTCAGGTACAAACCTACGGCGGCGATTTCGAATCAGCAACGAAAGGATTCGAAGAGATTCTAGCTAAAGATCCGTTTCGTGTCGAAGCTTATCACGGATTAGTAATGGCTTACTCTGAATCCGAATCAAAGTTATCAGAGATTGAGAGTAGAATCAACGAAGCGATTGAGAAATGCAAGAAGGAGAATAAGAAGAAAGATTTCAGAGATTTCATGTTGTTGATTGCACAGATTAGGGTTATAAAAGGTAATCCAATTGAAGCACTTAGGGTTTATCAAGAACTGGTGAAGGATGAGCCTAAAGATTTTAGACCATATCTATGTCAAGGTTTGATTTATACATTGATGAAGAAGAAAGCTGAAGCAGAGAAGCAATTTGAAGAGTTTAGAAGATTGGTTCCTGAGAATCATCCTTATAAAGACTATTTTGATGCTAATGTCCTCAATATTAACAAGCTTTGAGTTTGTGTTTGGACTTTTATTTTGTTATCACTACTAAACTTGCGAAAATGCGAAATCATTCTACTACTAGTTTACAAGCTTTCCATCAGATTCACATAGCAAATTTTACAACATGTAGAATTGAAATATAAATAAGCGATTCTTATTATAGCATATGCAAGACGAAACGATATGATCACATGTATCCAGGAGGCGATGGAGGAGTTTCTTTTCGGCTTGGTCCGGATGGCGGGATTGGAACGTATTTTGGTAACATTCTGAAAACCACACGTTGTGATGGTGACCATGGTTTTAACCCGAAGATGGTTGGTTTATGTGGACCTTGTGGTGGTGAATCAGCCAGTCCTCTAGCCGATGGTCTAGACCAGAGTAAACGGCTGGTCTCATCTTGAGTGGTTCCAATGACACAAGCGAAGAGGAGACCAAAAGAAATTACCACAAGAACAAAAGTTGATTTCGCCATTACAATATTACTTTGTTGTATACACACTGACACAAGTTGATATGGTTTGGAGGGTTTATATAAACTTTTTGGATGTCTTTATCTCGTCAATAAATATTTTTCTCTAGTAGTAGAACAAAAATTATTTCGTAACTTGATTCAATATTTATCTTGTTCATAAAAGCTATGTTGACTATAAATGATCCAATTCCACCAAAACGTTCCAATCCATAGGAACCAAGCAGAGGAGACACGTTCCAATTATGCCATAAAAGCTATTCAAAGTTAACAACAATGCAGGGAATTTTTTTTCTTTTCCTTTGTTGTTGTAAGTGATATATTGGTTCATCCATTTGAATACATTTTTAGATATGCATGATATAAATTTGTCTTGTCATCAAAGAAAAAAGAAATGCAAGATACTATAATTAACAAACTTTTGATTTTTTTTTTTTCCTTTTTTGAGAAAAGATAAATAAATAAAAATTTTAATCTTTGGTGTACATCTACAGATCTACTATATGGATTGAATAACATTAGATTTTTGGTGTAAATAGATAAATCTATATGGATTGAATAACAATATTTTTTGGTGTAAATCCATATGCATTGAATAACAATAATTTTTTTGGATTAAATAAAAAACATCTTTGGTGTGGTGTAACTGTAAATCCATATGCAATTAACAATAGAAACATTTCTCAATACTAATTTCTTTAGAATTTCTCAAAATTCTCATGCCATAACCAACACAAATAAACGCACAAAAGAAAGTAACATTTTCACAAGTTTTGTCTTCCAAAGTAAAGATAAGAACATAGACGAAAACAGAGGAAAAAAAAAAGAGAATTACTTCGGAATGATCTCAGGCCAAAACTGTGCGTTTTTAACTTTGGAAATACTCGCCAACACAGTTAACGGCGTCACGTCTCCCGTCACGGTAACCTTCTTTGCTGCGAAGTCTATGTTATACGACGTCACTCCTGCATTCAACAATGATCAAAGGACCAAAAACAGAGTATCTTTACAAATCAAGATTATGATCTCTTATTTACAGTAAGTACATCAAGAATATAATTTCATGAAAATAAATACTTTAGTTGTTAGTGTACCTTTCAATTTCGATAGATGTTTCTTAACTTTCCCTGCACAGCCTTTGCAATGAAGTGACACTCTCAAAACAACCACCTTTTAATTATAACGAAAGAAAGATTGTTAAGTTTGACTTCAAAACATTAAGTCATGATTAAATATTATGGTTTTGTTCGATAACTTACTTGATCGGAAGATGAGTTTTTCACTGGTGGTGGTGGCGGCGAAGACGGAGGAGGAGAAGGAGGTGGTGGAGGAGGAGGAGAGAATTTGAAATCCGGGGACGAAACATCTTTATCTTCAAGAGAGCTCAGAGATGCAGTAGGAGAAGCTTTTGTGGGTTCAGAGAAAGGATTATCCGGAGACAGAACCGGTTCATAATCCAAGAACCCCTCGAAGAAATCGGGTTGCTTCTTCTCCAAGAAAGACGCAGAAGTTGATAGATACTTTGAGGCGTTTATAATCAGTTGCTCTTCATGAAGATTATCCAAATCATCAGCTTTGGTTATCTCCGGTTCATCAATAGGTAGTGGAATCGGGTCGGAATCCACAAACCCGTCAAAGAAAACCGGGTTACTCAATAAGTACCTTGAAGAACCCTGAGGAGTATCACTACTAAAACAACTAACCGGTGACTTACCAACGTCACTGTCACCTTTCTTGCTCTTCCTCTTCGCTACACGTTTTTGCTCACTACTCTCAAGACCTAATCTAGTCATAAGAGGAGTATGATAAGTAGAAGAAGACGAAGAAGATGGATTAAGGCTTGGAGAAGGTGGAGGAGTGAGTCTCCGACCGTCACGTATGATTGGGTTATGACGGTCGATGGCTCGACCACCGAGCCGGATTGCGGATGAAGAAGAAGATGAAGGTTGTGAGGTTTGGTCCATGGTTGAGCAAAGGGTCGTTGTTGATGCTTGAGAAGCACACAACATGTTTTGTATCTCTTTTGCTTATGTCTATAGTCTTTGCAATAAAAATGTGGAGAGGTTTCTGTAGTGACATATAAATTAATCTAAAAAAATGTATATATTTTTAGGTTCCTGTTAAAGATATTTTTTGGTTGATGGGATCGACTTTATAAAAAGTAAGTTTATTCGTATTCTTATCAAACCAATGTGTGTGAGATTGCTAGGTAGACCTAGCTAGAAACCGTGTGAAATTATTTTGATTCGATTGAACTGACGATTTTGGACCATCTACAAATATATACAGTGGTTTTACTCTGTTTTAAATTATTAAAAAATAAATCATTTGGTTTTTAATAATGTTTTTGTTTCTGATAAGAAAAATGTATGAGTCAAATGTTCTGAATTTTGTAAAGGAAAAAAAATGGTTAGAGATAAGAAAATAGAAGGGCCAATTCTTTTTGCCAACCCTTAATGATAGTTCCGAATCTAATTCTCACAAACACCAAACTCAAAAAAAACAACAGAATCTGATGCTTTTGGGTTTTATTGACGAATTTATTCCTTTTTGCTTTCACTATTCACACCTTTTTCTCCTTTCGTCTTCCGACCCATTAATAAAGCCCATATTACATAAAAATAACTATTGGGCTATAACTCGGCCCATTATAATTGCCAAAAGATTCTCGAGGGTTTTCTAACTCAATTGATTTCACAAAGGCATCGTATAAATTATCTTCTTCATCAAATTAGGGTTTGGAGCCAGAAACGAGCAAGTAGCGGCACATCAGTTATCAACACCAGCAAGCTCACGATGGGTATGATGACGAAGAACAGATCCTTAATATCCTTGATCTTTTGATTTTCAATTGCGTGATTCTGATTGGGTTTTTGCTTTGGTTTGATTTTGTTGTTTAGCAAGGATTAAGGTTCATGAGCTTAGAGATAAATCAAAGACTGATCTTCAGAATCAGTTGAAGGAATTCAAGGCGGAGCTCGCTCTCCTCCGTGTCGCTAAAGTCACCGGAGGTGCACCCAACAAGCTCTCTAAAATGTACGTCTTTTGATTTCTACATATACGCATATATGAAATGTGTGTATGTATATCATTTCGATTTAGACTAGTATCAGTGTTTTTGTAAGTCTAATTGAGGAATTTCGGATTTGCTTTTGCATCATCATTTGGATTCAATCACATGTTATAGAACGTGTAGTGTAGATATGCATTAAGCTTATATATATCTCAATGCTTATGAGTAGAACTGGTGTCGTAAATCGATCGAATTCGGGACTTGTATGTATTCTTTATTAGAATTTTGGTTGACTACTTATTGATTGAATGTTGTGTGTTTTTGATATCCAGCAAGGTTGTGAGGAAATCCATTGCTCAGGTGTTGACAGTGATCTCCCAGAAGCAGAAATTTGCTTTAAGAGAAGCATACAAGAACAAGAAGCTCTTGCCTCTTGATCTCCGCCCCAAGAAAACACGTGCTATCCGTAGACGTCTCACCAAGCATCAGGTCTTTACCCGCATTACCATTTCCAATTTCAAAGTTTCCATCACTTGGTAGATTAATCATATAATGTCCTTTTCAATTGGATAGTAACCATAACTTTGGTATATGGGTTGTTTGTGGTAACAGGCTTCGTTGAAGACAGAGCGTGAGAAGAAGAAGGAGATGTATTTCCCAGTGAGGAAGTATGCTATCAAAGTGTAGTTTCATTCTCCAGCTTTAGCTTCTAGAAATGATTCAGCTTTTGAACATCGGCTTATGTATTCTCCTCTCTTTTTGTCCAACCTTTTGTTATTTAGTTGTACTGAAGTTTTGTTATCACACAACCTCTCTCAAATCACTAGTATTTCATTAATATTGAATTAATTCTGGGTTTTGTGGTTTCTCTTGGGTAAATTTGATTTTTTGGTTGTTTGGATTAAGGGAAGATTGAATGAAATCCAGTCTAGTTGGGTAATTTTAAGGACTGTGAATCAATTAAGGTTGATTTAGACCGAGTAATGCTGATATGTAGTATCGTATTAGAAAGCCTGGTTCTTTGAAATCATATGATAGGTTAGTAAAATGGCCTTTAGAAATCTTGAGTCTTCGATTATTTGATATCCAATTTCGAATTTCTTTTCCAAACTTGACTTTATTCAGGAAGAGAAACACAGTTGCAAAAAAAAAAAAATCGAAAGAAGATTCTTAAACGACCACAGTGGGAGTCGAACCCACGACCTTTTGATCCGAAGTCAAACGCGCTAATCCACTGCGCTATGCGGTCAGCACGCATATTAAAGTTTCAAACTTTATTAGATACATCTTCTTATTAGGAGCTTGTAAATGTGGTGAAATCTATTTTTCATTGGTTGGATTTGTTACACTAGTGGTGGACTGGTGGATTATCTTTTTTGCTGTGAATTGAGGAAATTTTTTGACAATATCAATAAAAAACACATTTTCCCACGTTTTAACTAATTGATGAGTTAAAATTTCCATAATGTTTGGTATCATAATCGTCGGATATTTTCCAACGTTCACACAGATACCACCAATAATGGAGGCTCATTTATTATTTTCTTCATATGTCATTTTCCTTCGCCAATTAGTGGCACGGAGAACATTTAAAGTTGATTCTGTTGGTTATGATCAAATGCTCTGATATTCATATAGTACAGTTTCTTTTCTGGTTAAATTTTAAATTTTAATTAATCAAATATACTCCTTTATTGTTTGTTGACCTAAATATGATATTTTGTTTTGAAATAGAAAAAACACAAAATAATGCTTCGAGTGGAAACTAAGGTTTGATTTTGTTTTGTAATAAGATAATTAAGATATGATTTAAGATAATGTCTATAACATACAACACAAGAAGCCAAAACCACGAGGTAATAATATATTTTGTTGTTTCTTGTCCAGAGATTTCATGTTACTCTTGTCGAATTTCTTCCTCAAATCTACTCATGTAGACCTCCCTATCTCGATCTAAAATTCCACCAAATTTTTTTTAATTCCAAAGATTCTTTAAACAGAATCATCATCATCATGAAAGAGATCATGAAGACGATGACGAAGCAGATGACGGCGAGACGTGACGACACGCCGTTACATACGGCGGTTAGAGAAGGCAAAACGGACCTTCTTTTGGAGATGATCGGAGACCACGACGGCGTGGAGCTTAAAGAGTTGTTGGCGGAGCAAAACCAGTCTGGTGAAACGGCTTTATACCTTGCGGCGGAGTCCGGTCACACCGACATGGTTAGGATTCTGATGAAACACTCTGACTCTGTCTTAGCCGGAACCAAAGCCAAGAACGGCTTCGATGCCTTTCACATCGCCGCCAAAAACGGAAATCTACGTGAGTTTGACTTGATTCTCAAAAGTCGTTGTGCTCAAGAATTAGCAATTTTTCATATATATTACTCTAACTGTGTGCAAATTGCTAATTATCTGCTAGTAAATAATTCACTTTCATTCTCTAAATATGTGACAATTGCTATTTGTGTGCTCATTGACGACAAAGATTCACATAAATCCCTATAGATCATTGACTAGCAAAAGAGGAAAATGTTTATGTGGATTTGTATTTTGCTTTTGTTGTAGAGGTTCTTGATGTGTTAATAGAGGCAAATCCAGAACTCTCATTTACATTTGATTCATCCAAAACGACGGCATTTCACACGGCGGCTTCACAGGGCCATGGAGAGATTGTTTGTTTCTTGTTGGATAAAGGTGTGGACTTAGCTGCTATTGCGAGAAGCAACGGTAAGACTGCTTTGCACTCTGCGGCTAGGAACGGACACACGGTGATTGTAAAGGAGTTGATTGAAAAGAAGGGTGGAATGGTTACAAGAGTAGACAAGAAAGGTCAAACCGCGCTTCATATGGCTGTAAAAGGACAAAACACTGAGATTGTGGATTTGTTGATGAAGGCGGATTCTTCGTTGATCAATGCCGCGGATAATAAAGGAAACACTCCTTTGCATATCGCGGTCCGTAAAAACAGAGCAGAGGTAATTGATTGAGTGATTGACTATTGCAATCTTTATTATTTCAAAAGTTAGAATGTTTGTTGTTTTCTTTGCAGATTGTTCAGACAGTTTTAAAATATTGTGAAGTCAGTAGAGTGGCGGTTAATAAATCAGGAGAAACAGCTCTTGATATCGCTGAGAAAACTGGACTGCACGATATTGTACCGCTTCTGCAAAAGATCGGTATGCAGAACGCAAGATCCATCAAGCCAGCTGAAAAAGTGAAACCATCAGGCTCTTCAAAGAAATTAAAAGAAACCGTTAGCGAAATAGGTCACGAGGTGCATACTCAGCTTGAACAAACCGGGAGAACAAGAAGAGAGATCCAAGGAATCGCTAAACGGGTCAACAAAATGCACACTGAAGGACTCAACAACGCGATAAACTCCACTACCCTAGTTGCCATTCTCATAGCAACTGTTGCTTTTGCAGCGATTTTCAACGTTCCAGGCCAGTACACGGATGACCCGAAACAAGTTCCTCCAGGATATTCACTCGGAGAAGCAAGAGCAGCTCCAAGACCCGAGTTCTTGATATTTGTCGTGTTTGATTCTTTCGCGCTTTTCATCTCTTTAGCCGTGGTTGTGGTTCAGACATCAGTGGTAGTTATAGAGAGGAAAGCAAAGAAGCAAATGATGGCTATAATCAACAAGCTCATGTGGATGGCTTGCATTATGATCTCAGTAGCGTTCGTATCGCTGTCTTTTGTTGTCGTGGGAGAAAAAGAGAAGCCTTTGGCTGTTGGTGTAACCGCCATTGGAGCTTTAATCATGGTTTCAACACTTGGTACTATGTGTTATTGGGTGATTGCTAACCGAATTGAAGGATCTAAATCATCTCCAGCTTCAATGATGTCAGATCCTGAGTTAGCTGATTCCAAGCATAACCGGAAACTTTATGCGGTTTGATTGGAGTGAAACAGAGCATTTTAGAAATCATTAAAGAACAGAGAGATTTTGTATCCAGAAATAAAAGAGATATCTCTTGTGTTCATAGATTCTGTATATGTAACAAATGGAAAATAGTATAAATCATCTGTATAAGCTTTGACATTATACTTTGCAAGTTCTTGTATTTACAAATTTTTAAGATTAGAATCATCAATGTTGACTTTGACTAGAGTCAACAAAAACGACAATTCTCCTACAAAGAAAACAAGGCACGAGTAAAATACTGTCTCTTGAACTTTCTCCGGCGTTGAAAATGACGATATTACCCTTTTTCGCTGCCGTCGTCGTCCTCCAGTTCTTCTATAGTCTCACGGTGGCGGAGATTAAGTCTCTGACTATCTCCAACGATTCTCGGCCAGTAATTCTCTTGGAGAAATTCGGTATTATTGAGATTGGTCATGTAACCGTCTCTGTTTCCTCTGTTTCAGTATCGTCTCCTTCATCTTCTCCGATTCCAGACTCGTCGAAATTAGGGTTCTTTGTTCTATCAGAAGAATCTCTTCCTGAGGTACTCCTCGAGCTCCAGAAAAACTTTAGCTTCTGCGTTCTTGATTCACACTACATACTCCATTTCTTCACCTTCATCGATCTCTCTCCTCCTCCTCGCTCTCAGTTCAATAAATCTTATCCGATAACGTCTCCAAACGATTACTCTCTGTTTTTCGCTAATTGCGTACCAGAAACTAGGGTTTCGATGAATGTCCGAGCAGAGATTTATCACAACCTAGATCCAAACGGGTCAAGAGATTACTTACTAGCCGGGTCAACCCAGTTACCCGGTTTGTATCTCGTCTTCTCTCTCTGTTACTTGAGTTTCCTCTGTTTCTGGTTCTGTTTCTGCTGGAACAATAAGCAAATTGTTAAAAGGATTCACCTTTTAATGACGGTTCTGCTTCTAGTGAAATCTCTGACTCTGATTTGTGCTGCTATGTATAAACATTACGTGAAAGTCACAGGCACAGCTCATGGCTGGAACATTGTTTTCTACATTTTCCATTTCATTACTGGACCGTACACTCAAGATTGGGTGATTTGGAACCAGATCTTCTTGCTTGCTGATATAACTTGCTGTTGTGCGATTGTATTCGCAATGGTTTGGTCGATGTGTTGTCTACGAGAGACATCGGAAACCGATGGGAAAGCGGTAAAGAACTTAGCCAAGTTACCAGTTTTTAGGAAATTCTACGTTTTGGTCATTGGATATTTGTTCTTCACAAGGATCGTTGTGGTTGTTATGAAGATGAAAGCAGATTTTAGGTCTCAGTGGGTGAGCAATGCATCTGAGGAAATTGCAACTCTTGCGTTTTATAGTTTGATGTTTTACATGTTTAGGCCAATGGAGAAGAATGAGTATAATGATGTTGATGGTGAAGAAGAAACTGCATAGCTTTCCTCAAGGAACAAGAGTTTGGGATCTGAAACAATTTAAGACCAAACTGTTTTTTCTTTGTGTGTTTTATTTAGTTCTACACTTGTAATAAAGATGGTGATGGTGATGGACCCCCCATCATAATTCGGGATATATTCACACTTTGTGTAGCCTAATTCTTCTAATGTGATCAAGGACTATAGTGTACGTGGAAATTTATGCAATGATTATAATGATTACATTTGTAAGCAAATACTGAAATAAATTAACAAAGAAGAAAGAGTTGAATAATTTGGGCCGACATAATTGTCTCTTTGATGAGCCGTGGAGCTTAAGCGTCAGAATTAAAGCATGCCTTGTTTGGTGCATGACGATTTTTATTTATTGTTTTCAATCTTATATCCAAGAATTGTTTTTGCTACCATCTCTGATTCATCCGACATTTTATCCGGAAATTAATAATCGGGATTTTGAATATTTTTGACATTTTGTATGAATGAAGCAAAAATATTGTAGATAAAACTCAGTCGTTAAAGTATTCCGAGTTTTACGAAATAAATTCAGGTTTGTATGATTGTATCTTCCACGTATAGTATTGTAGATAAAATATCGTGACACATGAAAAAGTGAACTATATTAATCTATTGTCTTTTGTAGTCGTGATTATGTGTGGTTCACTAATAAGTCCCCACTAATGATAACAGGCGTGACATGAAGTTTGGTAAGTCCTTGTTTTTCTAATCCTAATATTGTTCCACTAAACTATTTATCACGCAATTAACATTCTTCATATAAGTGTGATTAATGCGACCAGACCATCATTATAATTTATTGATTCTGCTAGCTTTTTCATTTTTTTGTCAAAGGATTGTGCTAGCTAAAATCTTGTAATTCGGTTCGTAAAACGACCGGCGTTGACTCCTCCAATTCTAAACAGTAAACACGACGATGCAACGTAAAGTGGGAGACAAATTTTAATTGAATGGATGTACCTTATCATCTTCAGAGAGATTCAAGAATTTAGAAATTGTTTTTGGCTACTATTTTCTTTATCAAGTGTTGAACAACTTTGTTTTATACTTTTTAGTAAATCCGTCGGCATCTGATGCTGGAATTACCCGCCTAATAGTTTCAATATATAAGTCTTTTTCTATTTTTAAACATAACTTTTGTCTACATAAGTAAAGTACCCAATATATATAAACTCTTTACAACTAAAGGTTAAATCAACACCAGCGAATTTGTTTATTTTCCGATATCTTTTAACTATTTCAGAAAACAATTACTCATGTACGAAAGATCATCTAAACTACAAATAACTACACATCTTCATTCAAAAACAAAATATACCATGAAAATTCTATATATTACAAGTTTAAATACAAAACAAAACCAAAAAAAACCCAGATATAATTAAAAAAAAAGCATGCATTTAAGGATAACTATTAAAACAAAGAAACAAAAATTCCAAATATTAATTATAATTTTAAAAGAAAAAAGAAGTAATTTAGTTTGGATCAACAACATCTACGGTAGCAGCACAAGACAATAACCTTCGAAAAAACCTGAACATAACAGAACAAGCTTGTTCTTGTTTCTTCTTTCTACTAACTCTCCTCTTCTCACCACGACGACGCGGCTTTGTACTCTCTACGATGATGCCATTTTCCTCCTTACTCTTACGTCGAAACGACGCTGTTTCCTTAACCCTCCCTAGACACGACGTCTGCGTAGTCACCTTCTCCGATTTACTCTCATCGTCTTCCCGAGAGAAAGTGTAGCTCCGAAGATACATCTGTCGACAAGATATGCTATCAACTACACGCGCCGCGGGTACGCCGCCTCCACGACGGACGGAGCGGACGAACTCGGCGTCGGACTCCGGCCACTTATAGAGATTCACGTAGGAGGCACGAACAGGACGAACCGGCACGCGAGGGTCATGTGCATCGTTGATGCAGCTAGAGATACACACTGAGTTCATCCTCAAGCTTTATATTTTTCTTTGTGATATTATTTTTTCTCTCGGTGATTCTGTATCGTATATGTGTAATATATATACGGATTTTTTTAATTTTATTTTAAGGTTTAATAACGTGCAGGAATAAGTGAAGCTTAAATTTGAAGATAAGATAAGTGGAAATTAAAGGAGAAATGATTAAGGTAAGGAGGGTGTCATTAATTGTAATTAATGAGCAGGGGCGGACCCACGGTATAAGGTATGTGACGCCTCCTTCAGACGATATAAATATTTAGATATAAATATTTAAGTTTGTACAACAGACAGAGAACGTGTCAGAGTGGTTGTGGATGTTGTATTAGAGCATGATTATCGGTGTATCTTAACATTACATCTTAACCTTATTTTAAATTAAAATTTCACTATTTGTAAGTTAAGAAAAGTTATACAATATCTTAACAAATTTTTACTCCATTGGTTAAGAAGCAAGGAGTTCTTAAGGACATACAAATTTTTATTCTATTTGGTTTTGTTTTTTTCTTTTTCCCACTCAAATCGTGACACGTGTGCACTTCTAAACTTAAGAAAAACATCTTAACTAAGATACAATCTTAGCAAATATTTGTTGGTTTGATTAAATATATTTACTTTTAATGCTAAGATTTGTGTTAAGATGTTGCTAAGATACACCAATAATCCTGCTCTTATATACACAAAGGTGAGTAGGTGACGGGATCGATTCTCATATAAATATTTACACTTTTTATTTTTTTCATTGTCTAGATAATTTTTTTTGGTTTGTCACAAACTAATATAATTATCAACTAGATCTTGTAGCCTGAATGAATGGTATATTTGGTTTTGTTGTATCATAAAGCGTATTCTTCTAACTCGATAAAATGAATTGCAAATAAAAATAAAAACTAGTAATGGTATATAATACCATGCAAACTTTTTATTAGTTACTAAAAAAGCTTTTGTTTTTTTTTTTTTTTTTTTGGCGGGAATGATCTCTTGGAGGAGAAGAGAATAGGGTGTCTAATCAAAAGCGTAATTGGTGGTATGGTGTATATAGTTTGCACTTTTTTTTAAAAGCATTTTAATGTGTTTTCATATTAGTTTATCTTAAAAAGGATATATACCTATTAAATTAATTTTATAGTTTTAATATTCTTAGTTTGTTTGAGTATTAAAAAAGATATATACAAGGGGAGGTTACTAATTTTGATAATGAAGGATGAATTGAATGTTATGATCCCACTGTTTATTGTGCCACTGTTTATCCACATGGAAATGCTATTTTGACATGGTTAATAGACTGCTTTCCAGAAGATGATGCATTCCAGTTTCCGAAACCCGTAGACATAAACCATCTTGAGATTTGGGTGGCCGTACTCGGAGCAATTCAGTTCACCATTTGTATCTTGGAGGCCAAACTTTCTGAGAAGCTACCATTAGTCGAATATGATGCTGCTTTGTGTGAAGCAAGAGATTTGTGATAACTATCTATAGTCGAACTTTTAAAAGCTCAACCAAAAAACAGTAAAATGATTTATTGATTTGTTTAATATAATATGCATTTTTGTTTACCTAGCTAATATAAATGAAGATGGAGCTTACCTTTAGTATTTAAGAAAAATTCTCAAACTCGAAATCAATAGAATCAAGATAACAATTGTTCTTCTTTTGCACTTCCAATGACTCATTATACTTGAATGATACAATATGTTGGTTGCACACTCCAATGGTTAAAGGTACCTCATTTTTAGTTGAGGATGAGCTGAAGAGAGCTTCATCGATCTGAATTAATGTGCTTTACACTAAATATTGAAAATTTATCATATCTTAAACAAACATTTGCTTATCTTTGACATTAGTGTATTTGATATTTATTCATCTTCTTAATTATATGACTATTATTTTGTTCGTATACCATACAATTTTTTTAATTTGGTCACAAATGAATTTTTTTAATAAATTAAATAAATACATTATTTGCATCATTAAACCAATTACGAATATTTAAGGTATGCATATATGAAAATAAAGTTGAGGTTGTAGTCCGAATATGACATCTTAAAATAACTAATCAACAAAAACCGTTTAAGAGAGGATTAAAATCGCAATGACACCGTTAAAGATGACATTGTGAATAACAACAACTCCAAATATTTCTTCAAAAGGAGTTTCTACACGTAATAAGACATATATTGGGTTATGAAATGTTTCAAAGAGTAACCCTTTTGTCAAAAAAATCAAATCAAAAGCTATATTAATCTATACTTTATTTTGCACTAGATAATGTCTATCTAAATAGGCGGTATAAGATATAAATGTAAAATTTTGTTGATGATATTTGAATTTTGAATAATAAACAGTAATCCAACTAATATTTAATTTAGTAATTTTTGTTTTAAACAAAATTTCAATCACACACATTGCTACACATGTTAACTATATATTTCATCATAATAAACTGAATTTTAATTCTACTTGCATGTTTACTATATATTTCATCATAATAAACTGTCTTTTTGGTTAAAAATGTAGTTTTGTATGAGAAAATGTTTTCTATCCCCTTTCAATCTTTCATGATGATGATGATTCTGTTAGGGATCGGAAAGAACGAGTTAGTCTCAGAGAAATATTTAAAAGGGAAAAAAACAAAATCATGCCAATTTATTAAAATTATATTGAAGAATATTTATGATTGAATGAAAATTAAAAATCAGAACAGAAAAAGTGTGCTTAGTTGGTCTACGTGAAATTCAGTTTTTAGTTTGATTAATTGATTACTAGTACTTTCTCAGCGAACATATAATACTCTTTAAAAACCTCAATTTAGGTTAAAATCAAAAGAGCAATTTAAAAAGAGACAACGCCATGAACAAAAGAGTTGGGAGACCCAAATGCCACATGTCACTCACTCTCTACGACGTGTAAGAGTAAGACCTTGGAGACCAAATATGCTAAGAGATTGACGTTACTAGAATATAATGAAAGCGTTTACCGAAGCAAAAGAAAATGAGAGGAAAATGGGACTGGGCCTCTATATCTCTATATATATGTTGAAATTATAAATCAGTTATTTTAGGACAAAGAGATCTTTCTCGTATTAGTGTGTATAACCAAACAAGAATCAACAATATTGATTAACAGTAAAATACAGATCACAAGCTCTTGCTGCGTGTAAAAATAGTAACATACACAGCTTATTAATCATCCGGTTCTTATTTCATATCCAATGAACACACCAGTTCGTACCGGATGCATCTTCACAATTAGCGATTGAACCGGATAAAGAAAGGTTTCCGTCTGAACCGGATGCATCTTCACAATTAGCGACTGAACCGGATAAAGAAAGGTTTGCATCTGAACCGGATACATCTTCACAATTTGCGACTGAACCGGGTGCATCTTCACAATTTGCGACAGAACCGGCTTTCGCAATTTGGGTTCTTAATCTTATCTTGAGAACATTTCTTGCTTCTAATTTGCGCCAAAAAAATGGTTATTTCGCTTGCGTTATCGACGGCACCAATGAGTACGACGATTATCTCTGCCACGAGGCGGTCCCAAGTTCCACAGCCTAAAGCTAAGAAAGTCAAGGCGGAGAATAAGCGGCCAACGACGACGTCGACGAGCGGTTTTTCCGCCAGAACGAAGGAATTGACGTGGCAGTGCGTCGAAGGTTGTGGAGCTTGCTGTAAGATTGCAAAGGACTTCGCTTTCGCAACACCTGACGAAATCTTCGACAACCCTGATGATGTGGAGGTCTGTTTGTTTTTTCACCCACTACTTGTTCGACGAAATTCCTCTGTCGGTGTTAAATTGTAAATGACTAAATGTATCATGTTTTCGACGTTAATAATCTTATGCTTAATCCAGCTTTATCGAAGCATGATCGGAGATGATGGATGGTGCATAAACTACAACAAAGCTACACGCAAATGCTCGATTTATGCTGGTACGTTCATTATTAGCTATCAGATTGTAGAACATTTGTGGACTGAAACTTTATATGTAGAACATTTGTACCCAAAATCTCCTAGTGAAACAAACAAATTCTTATTTTCTGAACGTTTTCTTCCTTTCCTGAGTTCAGATCGTCCATACTTTTGTCGGGTTGAGCCGGAGGTTTTCAAGTCACTCTACGGGATTGAAGAAAAGAAATTCAACAAGGAAGCTGTCAGGTAACATCACTGATTCTCTTTGGTTGTTATAATTCTCTTTCACATGCTCTTACACCGAGAGTGTTGAAGCCAAATCAAACGTGTATATGAATCTTCATTAGGGGATAGAACAAATGTGGAAGACATAAATATGAGAAAACAGTAATTAAGTTCTTTTATGTTGAAGCTGCTGCATTGACACCATTAAGACGATATACGGCCCTGATTCCAAAGAATTGGATAACTTCAACCGTGCCATCAGAAGTAGTCCGAGTTCGAGTTGATAGTCAGATGAACTCAAAGGCAGGTACTGATTCAGTTTTTACTTGTTAATTCATTCCTTAAAGTTCCCTCAATGCACTTTTGGTATACAATGTGAACAATAGGCTTATAATAGTATTGGAAAATATTGGTATTATTTTGACTGATTACTAAATTACGTGGAAGAGACTCAAATACCAAAACCGAATGGCCAAAAACTGAGATTTCCTACTGTCAATCCTCTTCCCTAATATATGCTGCAAAATTCATGAAACACCAAAAGTCTTTGTGCAAAAAAATCGTGGACGAACCTGGTTAAAACATATCATATCACAGGTTCAAGTCCAAGTTCATCTTCAGGTTCATCACTTTCCTCAAATAGCTGCATAAACCTAGCTTGATCTCGCTGCTTCTTCATCCTTTGTGAGTGCTTGAACATAAAAACGCCTCCAACCACAACAAGAGTTGTACACAAAACGCCTGCTACGATTGCTATCGTGACTGTTAACCCATTATATCCTTCCTCTTGCGGAGTTGAAGCATTCATTGCTTTAGAAGATACTACACACATTATTGCATTCAATTCATAAATGTTACTTATGGTCATTCATATATTTTCGTTTCGTTTGACAGGAAACAAAAATGCGGGAATTAGTTTTACTCACCGGAGTCGAGCTTGGCGCAACCGTGGCAGACAAAAGTAGCATTAATCTCCTTTTCTTTAAAATGCATATAGACTTGGCTAGCAGAGAAGTCAGTGGGACAAACTTCCCATATATCGAACTCTTTGTCTGAAACGAGGCTGCCTTGCTCATAGATTCCGCATCGCTTACACTTTTCGCCACCAATTTCAGTCATAGGCTGTAGCAAGCGATAGAGTGAAGAAACATATATGTATTTAAACAATCTTATTAATAGAGTGTAGTAATAGATGGTTGTAAAAGAGAATTGGGACGAACCTGCCATGATTCTTGACCGCGGAAAGTGTACAAGACACCGGTTTTGGTAACATCTGGCAGAACAGTTTTGTTCTCTCCTTTGCATTGAAAATAGACAGTGTGTTTGAGCTTGAACCAGTCGTGCTTTGTGAATATCTCAATAGAGTTGAGTGTGATAAATTGTGCTCTCACAAGTCCTGAAATTTTAAAGATAACCAATATTTTAACGTTTATTTGGATAACTAAACAAATAAGTCGGTATGTCCGAGTGGTTAAGGAGATTGACTCGAAATCAATTGGGCTTTGCCCGCGCAGGTTCGAATCCTGCTGTCGACGATTTTATTTTTATTTTACAGAAAATTCCCGATTAAACTGAAATTCTTTGAATCTATTTTTTTTTGGGGACGTTTTCTATTCCACATGCAAAATCTATACAAATCGATCTATGGAAACAAAAAAAAAAACATCATGAAGAGATCGATAATTTACGATCGAGCAAACGGATAAAAGTTTGTTGGTTAACAAAAGAAGCTGTTTTGTTTCCCGGGAAAATTATTCGTGTAGATTTGTTGTTGTTACCTGGAATCCACATGTGGATGATGTACCAGAAAAGAAGATTTCTCCAGATCATCGGATTCTTCCGAATCGTCATGTTTTAATTTAATTTTCAGGATATTATTATTTCGTATGGTTCTCTCTCTCTTTTCTTTCTTCTACAAATGAAACAGAGGAAGAAGAAAGAAAAAAAGAAAAGAGGGACAGAGATCCACGATGACACGTGCGTCTCACGCTTACCCTCTAAACACTCTCCCTCTTCAATTGCACATTCAATAGCACATTACATTTGTAACGTTCGTATAGAATATTTACATAGAAAAATAATTATCATATTTTTATTTTTTACATTCAAACATCACAAAATCCCAAATTTTACCTAATTTATTATGTTATTAATCTTTGAATATCAAAAAACCAACAAAGTCAGCTTACATTGGTTATGGTATGGACGTTCTCTTGTCAACAAATTAAGAAAAACTGAAAACAAACAGATGAGACACAATCTGTCAAAGCTTGTCAGAAAATGGCAAATCACTAACCGAATAATGAATGTTTTGAAAAGTAAAAACAAAACCTGAGAGACAGAGAAGATTGAGGATGAGAGACACGAAGACGACGACGACTAAGAGATATGTCGTCGTCTTCGTTATATAATCCGTTTTGTCTCTCCATCTCCTCTCTCCTCCTCCTCATATTAATCTTCTCCGGCGAATTTCCCTCCACCGCCGGAACTTCCTCGCCGGACACCAAAGCCGCAACCGCACGCGCTATTAACAGAGGAAGGAGGAATAAGCAATCGGCGGAGTTCTTACTCGCTCACAACGCAGCGCGTGGAGCTTCAGGCGCGTCGAATCTAAAATGGGATCAAGGCCTGGCCCGTTTTGCATCTAAATGGGCCAAACAACGTAAATCAGATTGTAAAATGACTCATTCAGGTGGGCCTTACGGAGAGAATATTTTTTGGTACCAAAGAAGTGAGAATTGGTCGCCGAGGAGAGTTGTTGAAAAATGGATGGATGAAAGTTTGAACTACGATCGGCTGACTAATACGTGTAAGTCTGGTGCGATGTGCGGTCATTATACGCAGATCATTTGGCGTACAACCACAGCCGTTGGATGCGCTCGTTCTAAGTGTGATAACGACCGTGGATTCCTAGTGATTTGCGAGTACTCACCTTCGGGAAATTACGAAGGCGAAAGTCCTTTTGATATACTTATATAACATTGAAATTATACAAATTTAATCAAATATTGTTACTTCAATTCTTGAAACATTTTTTTTTCCTTTAATGGTCAAGTTTTTTTCGTTAATCTTCTAATGTAATATGGACCGTATTGATGTTCGAAGTTATGGGCTTGGGCTGTTTTAATTATTATGTGGGCTTTTGAATTATTTTATTATGTGAAACACTGTCGTTTAGCTAGCGAATGTGGGTAATTTCGAATCTTCGTCATCGTCACTGAGACTCTCTCTGTAGAGAAAAACCCTAAGATTTACCGGTGAGAAATGAGTATCATTCGTGGCGCGATCAGATCGAGCTTGTGTCTCCGGCAGTTGGATCCGGCAATAAGTCGTAGCTCGCTTCCGTTTCTTCAAGAGTGGAGGAAATGCCTATCTACCGCCACGGAGCAGCCTCCTCCTGCCTCTCCGTTACCACCGCCTCCGGGAGGTTCTCCGGGAGAAGGTTTTTTCCTTATTTCCTTCCATGTCTTTAGTGTTTCTTTGAGGGTAAAGATCCTAGATCACAGATTGCAGGGTTTTGATTTGCTTGGAGTTAGTATATCTGAAGCTATTGAAGTTTAAAATGTTGATTTCTGAGTTTAACAGCTGAGGCTAATATCGAATTTTTTAAAGGAAACTATTTGTTATGGTTTTGGGACTTTAGCTCATTATGAAGTATGCACTATGCTTATCTTCTTTACTTTTGGGAACGCGTGATAATGAAGGATGTTCCTTGATCGTGTTTTTGTTTTTGCAGAGAGGTTTTATGGGAAATTTTCAGGCTTTTCAAAACATGCTCTGAAGACTGATATTATGAACATACTCGAGGGCTGCAGTGTGACACCAGATGATCTCAAATTCAACTATCCGCGTGGTGGTAACTTAACTCCTGCGGCAGTGTAAGTGTTAAGCTTTATCGATTCTCCAGAATATTACAAGTTTGTTTTGGAAGCGGGGAATTCGATTCCAAACTAACGAATTTCAATCCTTCTTCATTCTTGGCAATGTTGGTATATATCAGTTTTGTGCAGTTCCCTTCCCTTTCCGCATATGATAAAGCACTGCGGAATATCGCAAAGAAAGGAAAGCTATATAGATTAGAAAGGGTAATCCTTTAACAAACTACATAGTCCATATTTATTTCCGTTTTACAGACGAAGAATCCTCATATGATAGAATGGCTATTTAATCCGGAGTTGATTCCTTTTCGATTATTAGGCTGCTCGTGGTCAGTGGGATCCCATTGTTCCTTATGAGGGGAAAGTGGTAAGCTATATTTTCTGTTACAACTTATTGTATTATCAAGGTCTTATTCTCAGATGACTGGTCCAATTAATATTTGATGAGATTTTATATTGTTTAGGTTGCACTACATGGGCTTCCGGTGAATGCTATAACAGAGGACATAGATAGGTTCTTATCTGGCTGTCTCTATTATCCTGGATCTATCCAGTTCCTCACAGTGTGAGTAATTATTGGTTTACTAATTCTTATGTTATTACTACTCTGTTTTGGGTTTTACTCAATCCGCGTTTGATTAGCTGTTAGTTGGACCTGCAGTCTTTCAAATTCACTGCTCTCCTGTTTGATTAATCAGTTACAATGATCTTTCTGCACTGTGCAGTAATTCTGATCTACTGATAAAATAAGGACATGAAACTATTTTAATGCCTTCTCTTACCTTGCAGCCAAGGACTTGGAACTTCGAAGAGGGTGGCGTTGGTGCGTTTCACATCACAGACCCAGGCAATGAATGCATACATTACAAAGAACAGGAACTTCCTTCTCAACCAACGAATCACATTGCAAGTTCTGCAGTAATTTCTCAGTTTCCCATTCCATTCTCGTGGTGTATTCCAATGGTAAGAGATCCAAAGCACATTTTTTTCTTTACTGCTGGGATGTTTTAGGTCGATTTGATTATCAAAAATTCCATCTGAAAACTTCATGATGCTAGAAAAACTATTGTTGTCTCTCTTCCCTGGTTCAGTTTGAAGTTGATGAATAACAAATAAATGTGTCTAAATTGTTAACTATGTGATCTTTTTTCTTTCGTGTATTTTGACTAAAGCTGTAATCTTTGGATGCCCATGTGGTGAAGTGATCCGTCTTGCTTTTAGAAAGTGAATGACTTTGTACTATAAGGGTTTGGTGGGGGCTCACTCTTCACTAGTGCAATAGAAATCGAGCACAGTAGAATAATATTATGAGTTTTTTTATTGTTCACTTACTTTTCTTTAGTGGGTCATCTTTACTTGTAATTGAAGCATCTTGATATCATATCTTCGCAGTTCTCACGGTATCCAATCTTTCTTCATGAGTACATTTGATTGTGTAGAAGATTTGATGCTTTATTAAATTTGTAGATTTTATGACTAGTGAAACTGTACGTCCTTTTGATATGCTTATAATCAAGATGCTCTTCACTGAGCTATGGATCAATCAAATTGGTGAGCTTATTTTTGCTATAGTGGTAAGTTTTCTTTGGAGTGAGGGGGTAATAATGTCAAAAAGTCATTGATATCCACCGAAATCTTGTTTAGGGATTTGGGAGACATGAGAGTTTGTGCTAGTATGGACAACACACGGGGACAAATGCATAGAGACTAGAGTTATAGAATGGTGTGGTCATGTGAATTATTATCTTTCAATACTGTTTCTTGAAGACAACAGTTGAAAAGTAGAAGAAGCAATGGATTTAGCCAAACCTTTTGTTATAGATCTCTTTTCATAGTTTTGACTTTTGATCATCTTCCTCTTGTTTTGTTGTTTTTGTTTGGTCATGTGGACTAACAAGAGAAAGATCTCTTTGTCCTCAACAACAACATGAGTTTGGTAAATAATCTTATCTGATCATTAGGTATGAATGATAGGTTTGTGCTTTGTGTGATTTGTGTTGTGAAAGTTGACAAATAGATTTATATAAACAAGCCGATCCAAATTCTTACTCTACTCCACAGACTCTTGTCTGGTCCCACTAACTAGCTGCACATTATCAAACTCTTTGGTGAATTTTGGTAAATGTAACTAAATTTACAGTTTTGTTTAGATTCTGGAGCTAGTAACATTAACAAAAGATATAGTTTGTTAAGTTTCAACACAATCTTTCAAATAATTTCTCGGAAATTTCCAATTTCCAAGATTTATAGTTAAAGCGTAACGAAACACTTTTTAATTGCATAAAGTTTGCAAGCAAATTATGTCTGTCACCAACAGTAGCTAAAGTGTTAAACTTTTGCCAACTCTTCTCCATTCATTGCTTCTTCACCTTTATTCTCCAATCCCAAATATACATCTATCAATTAAATCAAAACCCAAACAAGCAAAGCCGACAATAATCTCTTTTGTACCACACCCATTTGTTTTTTCCCTAATTAAAAAATCACAATATTTTATTATTACTTCCACCAAATTCCTAATGACTTAATACATGTATATAAAGCAAAGATTCATCAAAAAGTGAAAGCGTTAAGAGAAGTGAGAAACGAGCACACACAAGATCCAATATGGAGGAAGGAAACACCACAATCATCATGGCGTCACTCTCTACTCTTTCTCCTTCACACCTCACGAATCTGACTCACTCCATTCTCTCAATCTCCCACCACCATCGCCGCCGTCTCGCCGCCGTCCTATCATCTCCGACCCTTTTCTCCCTCACTCTCCGCCACCTCCTCTCTCTATCTCTTCCCGACAAAACCCACCTCATCGCCAACCATCTCCTTTCTCTCCTCCACCCTCTTCTCATCCACCGTAAACACCACTCCTCCTCCGCCGTCACCATGAAGCTCCGGGACCTCGACGCAGTGGTCCTCCTCCTCTTTCTCTGCGAAACCCACCAGCTTCATCCAGATGTTTTAGAAGCTTCCGCCGATAATTGGCGGGAAATTCTCGGTAATACGTACTCTAATACCATGTTAAGTAATAATTCCGGTCTTTGGACTTGCGATGCCGGAATCTTGATGCCTTACATAGAAACCCTAGTTAGATGCAAAAGATTTGTTGACATAATGGGAGGCTACAACCATCTTCGCCGAAGAGATCAAAAAGAAGGCTACGAAGTTCCGGCTGCTAGAGCGGCTGTTGTGGCGTTACGAGCGGTTGAGGTTTTAAACGCCGCCGGATCAAACGCCGGAGAAGTAGAATGCGTGATATGCAAGGAAGAGATGAGCGAAGGAAGAGATGTTTGTGAAATGCCATGTCAGCATTTGTTTCACTGGAAGTGTATCTTGCCGTGGCTAAGCAAGAAGAACACGTGTCCTTTCTGCAGGTTTCAACTTCCCACCGACGATGTCTTCTCGGAGATCCAACGGCTGTGGGAGATCCTCGTCAAGAGCAGCGAGTTACACGTGGCGTAATCTCAGCTGGCGGTGATGAATACATGTGTAAGAAGAACTAAAGAAGCGTGTACATCGTAATCTAGTAATATCTATGTAGAATAATATATCACGTACTGTTACAGATAGGAATGTTTGGACCGTTTTGATATATATATAGAAATTTTGGATAGTTTTCTTTTCACAAAGACACATGTGTGGTTATAAACTCACGAGGACTATTTTTTTTTAGCAGATGTTGTTATTAAAATAAGTACGATGAACTTCGTATCTTATGTTGTAATGGAAATGAAATTAATAAAGTAACAAAAACAATTGTTTCGACTTTCGATCGTATAGCTAGAGTTAAGTTTTCTTTCCATATTCTATAGTCCATTGGTGGGAAGAAGTAACTCGAAAAAGCGAATCTCGGATTATAAATTTAATCGTTAATCTTCATTTCCATATCCCCATCGATGATTTCACGTTGCTCTATGATTTGAGTCTCTAAGAGACTAATGGGCCTAAATACATTTTTTTGAGCTCGCTGGGCCTTACGTAGCTGATACAAGTTAGATCATTTAATGGAAGCTTGTGTTGCTGTTTTTTCATTTTCAGGGGCTTTGATGAGCTTCTCAAAGCTGGGCCGATTATACTGGGACTAATAACGGTTCATATACTAAATTTAATATACGACTATGATATAATCCCAATAATATAACGAAAATATATAAAGTTTATTTTGATCAAATCAATCAATTAAATAGAGTTGATCAAAATGTCATGTGCATCTATTCTATCGTGAAAAGTCACGAAGAAAACAAAAAATGATAAATATTCTAATATTATATAAGATTCGAAGTGTATTATTCTTCACAAATAATTTAACACACAAATCATCAATAAAACTATAAAACTTATGTTATCAAAAGAAAACCTACCATCTAATAGTTGCACACTTGCACGTAAAAATTGTACCCGTCAAAATGAAAATAAGCGATTCTCTTTATCAAAAAAAAGAAAGAAAATAAGCTTCATACCAAAATAAATTCTAATGTATTTAACTATATACTAAATGTACATAAAATATTTTTAAAAATTGCAGAAAACAATGATATGATGGATACTAAGTTGCAAGCTAAGATGAGAGATCTAAAAAAAGGTACAAAATCAAAGTGATAATAGTACGTCCAGATACAATTGCAACTAGATAACAAAATCAAAATCTAATATTATATAACTAAGTTAATTGTAATGTGATGAGATGATAATTGATAAAGTACTACGACAATACGAAGAACACTAGTTACTAGATAGATAGTGTTGTGATAATATGTCAAGGTTTGGTTCGACCAGACAATATGGGACCTTCACGATGTCTGTCTCATGTTTCCTGCATGCCATGCATTCTATTTACTCTCGTCTTCTCTACGTGCCCACGTCTCCACTTTTATTCATTTTCTTATTTGTGGTAAATCAAACCTAAAGAAAAAGGTTAGTATGCAGACTAAGTTGGATCTGTTTATATGTTGGTATGATTAATCACATATAATTAGCGTTTAAGATTCCTTTTTTAGACGGTAGGTTCAGTTTACTTGTAAGTTGTAACATAGGTTTCTCGAAAGATGAGATGTTCTTAAATGCTCGTTTATTATTATAATCCAAATTAAATACTGTAGTAGATAACATCAGAAAGGTTTTCAAATTAGAGACAGTGTCGATGCGAGTGCATTCAATTTTATTATTAATTGATAAAACCAAATAATTCGATTTATTTTTCTTTCTTTCTAAAGACGTTGTATCGATGCATGCGATGTAAATTTTGTAGAAACAATTCCGATCCATCCATGGATATTGCAGAAATCGAAGTAACTCCATAATAATCACTTGAGCTATATATAGTACTCCCTCTGTCCCAAATTATAAGAGGTTTAAGGGTTTTTTCTTTGTTCCATTTTAATAGATTTTTTCAAGTTTCAATGCAATATTTATACTTATTTAATAGTTTTTGACTGTTTAAATTATGCAGTCTTTTTTTTAATTGGTTGAATTTATATAAATAAGAAAACATTTATTATTTCTTAATCCTTGTGCTTTTAGCCAAAACCTCTTATAATTTGGGACAGAGGGAGTACATATATTATTAGCTTATTCATATACCCATTAGTATTTAAAGTATTGTTTGAAATTGTTGTTTCTCTGTATAAAAAACCAAGACACAAACCGACTTTAGATTATATATAGTGTACCAAATTGCACATTCTATCGAAGACTAAACCTTAGAAAGATAGTTGATAAAAGTTACTAATTAAAGAGAAGTAAGTTAATGAATGTTGAATAAAAACACCAATGGCAAGCTACAATATTAAACAATACGATAGAAAACAAAGCTAAGTAAGATGTAAGAAGTAAGAAGTAAGAAGTAAGAAGCTAAAGAGATAGGCTGACATCCATGCTCCCTCAACCAAAAGACAAAACTCAGTGCATCAATGGCCCAGCTGTCACCACAACTCTTCTTTTTTTTTTTCTATAAATATAGGAACTTGTTTTAGTTTCTATTTCATAATTTATATTATTCTTTTTTTTTCTTATCTTTATTTAATCAAAACGAGAGTGAAGTTGTCCACTTTTCGTAATAAGATAAGAAATTAATTAGGGATAGAGAGCACATGAAAATACAGTGTATGTACTGTAATGGTGCATTCAAGGACCCTTCAATACGTTCCAAGGCCACATGTGTTTCTCACAAAATGGTTCAATATTTAATCGGTCCATATATATATGAAAGTTATTTGTGAATATGCTATGAGAAAATGTACCTGGACCATTCTTTCTATTTCTATTAGACTATCTTACTCTTTTGATTTGACTTTAGATCTATATTATCAAACTTTTAACCAAATTATGCGTCAAGTCACACGATCTAGCCGACACCAATTGATGAGATTGTTGGCCTTATCGAACTAGTGGAACCAAATAACATCAATGAAATGAGAGCCCCTTCCTTCAACAAAATTGATAAGCGAGTAGAAGTGTATCCAATACAAAATATATATCTCAATTGGTTAAACCTAGCAATTTTTTTTTTTTTAGCTTTTATAGTCCGTTTAATAAATTTGAATACCTTTACATATCAAAATTCTTTGTGTTAAGAGTTGTGGAGCCTAATCTTACGGATCCACTTGTATTCCTTATTTGAATCATTGTTATCATTTCTCATTATTTGTGAGCTAGAAAAAACGAAAAGAGAAAAAAAATCGGATTAGGGACCCTAACATGTTTTTGTCGAAAAGATTATTATCATTAAAAAACAAAACAAGTGGAAGTAAGAGTTGTGTAACCCACTTGTTGAATTCTTAATTTCGAAGCACAACAAAAAGGTATAGAGGACGAAAAACGAAAACTCAATCTAACTTCGGACATTTGCATTAGATAATATAGAAATTTAAACATCTCGTTAATGTAATTGGTCTATCAACACACGACAGTGGTTCTCTCTACCGTAACATCTCAAATCTGTGGATCCTTATGAACAGAAAAACGAGGAGGGACAGAGGAAGGCCAATGAGGGGTCATGCAAAATGGAACTTAGGAAAAGTACCAAAAAGATCCATCCTCTTTGGAAATTCATTTCAACCCCATGAAATGAATTTCGATCTGAATCTCACATCTCACAAGCAAGAGATCAGATTTTGATAACATTAAAGAACCAAAAAAAAAGTAAAAACAAAAAAGAAGACAAGAGACTGAGAAAAGGGCAAAACCTGTAGGGGTTAAGACAGCTAAGAGTGTTCCTCAGTCGCCCCACAAATGTCTTCTCTCCTCTCTCTTCAGTCTTTCTCAGCTCTCAAATCTTTAAATGGTTCCAAGTTCAATGCTCCCAAAACCCACGCCCACACATGCATCCTATGACCTTTCCTTTTCTATCCATTTTCTTCCCACAAATTACCAATTTGCAAACACACAAAAGCCAAAAACACATTTTACAAGATGAGTTAATAAAGACACTTACACAACTAATGTGAAAACAGACATTTACATGAGATATTATTACTTCTAAGAAGAAGTCATCAATCATATAATGAGTCATTAACCAAAACTGACTGTGAACATTCTTGCTTCCTAAGTTTACAAGATTAACCTTTAAAGAGAAAAATACTTCATGATATATAAATATAGCAGAGAGTAGAAAAGAATATGACAGCTTTTACTTAACCCTACTAAGACAGAGAATCATCATCGAACAGTAAAGAGGAGAATCTCTGAATATCCACTTTAAACTACTGCCCTCTTGTCTTAACTCTCAGAACCATTTAATTTTTCAGTTATTTTGACCCATACCTTTTTGGCTCCTTTCCCTGGTTACCAACACCTTCACACTTACTCTAGGGCTTCCACGGCTATATATATATGGTCCCTTCCTTAAACTTGTAACTCATAATTCACAACCAGCACTGCTACTACTAGTTCTCATTCTTCCATCAATTTAATCTATATAGTCTCTTATCTGCCTATATTACGATATTGCTCGAATATTACCTGAGAAGATGGTTAAACCCTGTTGGAGAATAGGTGCCGGTATGGAGAGAAGTAAGATCAATCCCACAAAGGTTGATGGCTTGACATGGTATAAAGATCTTGGCCTTCACACCTTTGGAGAGTTTTCGATGGCTATGATCCAAGCCAACAGTGTGATGGAGGACCAGTGCCAGATCGAATCAGGGCCACTTACATTCAACAATCCGTCAGTTCAAGGCACGTTTGTTGGAGTTTACGATGGCCATGGAGGTCCAGAGGCTTCCAGATTCATTGCAGACAACATCTTCCCCAAGTTAAAGAGTAAGACACCACCATTCTCATTCTTTATCTCGTCATTCTTGAATATTTCGAGCATACTAAGTACTAACACTCATGTCTCACATGAACAGAGTTTGCGTCTGAGGGTAGGGAGATTTCAGAGCAAGTGATCAGCAAAGCATTTGCAGAGACAGACAAAGATTTTCTCAACGCAGTGAAGAAGCAATGGCCCACGAACCCACAGATGGCATCAGTTGGGTCCTGTTGCTTGGCAGGAGTGATATGCAACGGATTGGTGTATATTGCAAACGCGGGAGATTCCAGAGCTGTGTTGGGCAGATCTGAGAGAGGTGGAGTGAGAGCTGTTCAGTTATCTGTAGAGCACAATGCCAATCTAGAGTCTGCGAGGCAAGAGCTATGGTCAATGCATCCTAATGACCCCAATATTCTTGTGATGAAGCACCGCATGTGGCGAGTGAAAGGCGTCATCCAGGTAAACATTCATACCTGTTTACACATCTGAAAACCTGCAGAGTTTTGTTTCATCAGTTTCTATGAAATACAAAAGCTTAAGAAAATCATCTATCGAAGCCATATCTTGTGTAAGGATGTAAAACTGACTAGCAAATGTGTTATTACCTTTAACCAGGTCACAAGATCCATAGGTGATGCATACCTCAAAAGAGCAGAGTTTAACAGAGAACCTTTGCTGCCCAAATTCAGACTACCAGAACATTTCACTAAGCCAATCCTTAGTGCTGATCCATCAGTCACCATTACCCGGCTTAGCCCACAAGACGAGTTTATGATCCTTGCTTCAGATGGGCTTTGGGAGCATCTTAGCAACCAGGAAGCTGTTGACATTGTACATAATTCCCCGCGCCAAGTAAGTTCAATGCCTAAGCCATATCAAATAGGTTACATACCAAGAACTATTTGTTAATACCGTTTCAATTCCAGGGAATAGCAAGGAGACTACTTAAAGCTGCATTGAAGGAAGCAGCAAAGAAAAGAGAGATGAGATACTCAGACCTACAAGAGATCCATCCTGGTGTAAGAAGGCATTTCCACGACGATATAACCGTTATTGTGGTCTATCTCAACCCCCAACCGGTCAAAACCAATTCTTGGGCTTCACCTCTGTCAATTAGAGGGGGATACCCAATGCATTCAACATCATGAACAGATCTTACAGCAAAAACTCTTCCTGTGACAAGGGCGATAAATTGGAGCCAGGGTCAAGAAAGAACTAGTAGTATAGCTAGAACAATATAAATTATGAGATCTTTGATATGTTCACAAGAAAACATGAATTCTCATGTACCCCTGTATGCAAAATTATACACGAGGGTACTTGCATGCAATATCATCAATGTCAATGCTGGTAAAATTCGAAAGCGTTGCAACATACTGGAGTTGAGGCACAAAACAATAGATAGACAAGAAATGTGTTGAATAAGAAGAACAAAGACAACAATTAAAAATAAGTAGCAAAACTTAGTATTACATTCCCTTCATAAAAGTTTTCTGGCGCTTCATTCAAAATTAACAGAAAGCAAGTATCAACAAAAGTTTATCTAAAATCTATTACAGAAACAAAGAAACTGTGTAGCATCCGAACGCCAGCAAAGTCCCAGTCACACGAACAGAGAGATTTAGAATCTGAGGCTCTCTTTCCTTCAACTGCCATCGAGAGACCAGAGATATGGAAACCAACAAGTACCTCTATAGTTCTAATGATGTCTTACATGACAAAGAAATTCTGAAGTAGCAGCTTGAGAGGTCATATGTAAATAAGTAACCAAAGAACGACACATGTTTATGGGATCCATTTTGCATGCAATATTCGCAATCAAGCACAGAACACCAGTAGACCAGCTTAATTTGGTAACCATGACTAAGAAAAACTACAGACCTAGATAGATAAACTAGCAAAATAGGCACAATTCAAAAGTAATCAACACTTCTTATTTCTAACTAGCCTTCAAAACAGCAAAAATTTTTTATCTCTTCCTTAAATATTTGCTGCATGCAGTACAAATTTTCGATTGCTGCTGCCTGTGCTTGATACGAACATGCAATACTAAAGGACCATCCACATTCCCATATATTAAAACGAAATAAAGGTATTACTCAAGCTATACTTACCACTTCAAGAACCTGCAACATGGAAAACATCAATACCAGCCACTTCAGAATTCCTAGGTCCTAACACTTTGATAATCGCCATTTAAGACAATCAGAACTATAGGTTACTTATTGGTTTTCCAAGATCTCATCTGGTGACAGCTTATCTTCCGTCCATCTTTGCATGACCGCAAAACCTTGCCACGACCGACCGAACTTCAAACTTAATAAAGATACTACACACAGGGACTTCTAATTCAGAAATAAAGAGAGAATGAAGCAGCCAGAGAGGGAATCATAAAACGCTAGCACACTACCTGCCAAAAATCAAAGATTGTTGAGTCAGATACGAGAAAAAAACCAGGTATCAACAAGAGTTTGCAATGCAATAAGAATTATCAGTAAGAACTCACCTAACTACAAAGACGGAAAAACTTTATTGAGGAACCTTAAGCAGCGTTTCCTGATACAGCTGCCTCCTGATGAAACAAAGAGTTAAAGAAAAGATATCATTAGCTTTTTTATTAATTCTCTCATTCTAGCAGATGGAAGAAACAACAGAACTTAAAGACTGTTTACCTTGCCAATATTTTGCTTCCCAGGTAAATCTGAAGATGCATCTGCTGAAGCCCCTTTTGAAAACCTAATGATGGGTAAAACACAAACCACAGAAATCAATAACTGAAAAAACATCGCACACTACTTCACTTCTCAGGAACAAGTAAAATTTAGGTTGCATGGAAAAAGTACCTCAATGCTCTAGCTTTGCGCTTATCTTCTTCAGCAGAATCAACTTTAGTCTCTTTCCCAAAACGAGCGAGCCTAGCTTTCTTCTTTGCTTCTTCCTCAGTGTTATCAGTACTAGTGGTCGCAGCAGGAACCCCAAATCTGTTTGAAATACAAAGCGAGTAAGAAACTCCTTATCCTATAAAAACCAAACAATAAACAACTATCAAGCACAAAAAAAGCATTGTGAAATACCTATCAGCTCTAGCTTTTCGCTTCAATTCCTCTGCTTTCTTCGTTCCCTCTGAGCCATTAACCACTACTGCTGCTACAGTACCAAACCTGCATCGAGGGTGAAATTAGTTACAACACAGGTTTGACAATAAGTGAACAAAGAAAATAACATTATCTCTATGCATACTAATGGTTCACAAAGAATAACAAATTCCGAAACCCTAATCTTCGAAATCCCTAAATACGACGGAATCTACACGAATAAATTTCAAATCTTTACCTCTCAGCACGAGAATTGCGCTTTTCTTCTTCGGTTAGTTTCACCGAAACACCAAACCTCTCAGCACGTCGAATCTTCTTCTGGATATCATCGACCGGAGATATATCCCCAGAATCAACACCAGCCGTCGATCCAATACCATTAGAGTCAGTTTCGTCCTTCTTTTCACCAGAATCTGAAAATCCCTTGACTTCGCCGTCGAGAATGTCGTCAGTACGATCTAACTCCGTAGTGTTGAGGTCTACGATTTTCTTAGGGTTTTCACCAGAAGAAAGCCCTCCGCCATTCACCACCGTAGCCGTGACCTTATCGCCGTTGGTCGCCATGAAATCGCAGCTCCGTTCGAAATACGCACTTAGGGAGATAGAGAGATTCGTTGAGATATTTCTCTTTCGCGACTTAGCCGAAGAGTATGTAGGGTTAAAGTCGAACCGTCGTGTCTCGGTCTTTTAAAGCCCTCTACACGAAGGGTAATATCGTCAAATTTAATCTTTGATTCTCATGGACCGGACCGGATCGGATCTAAAATAGTCTGATGATCCATTAAGGACCCGAAACAAGGGGCAATATCGTCTATTTAAGACTTAACTCTAACGTGCCGGGTCGGATCTAAATAGCCGAGCCGGCCCAAATAAAACAAAACGACAACGTTTCATAGTTTACATTTTTAACTTTTTACGCTATGAGCCTCTCCACTAGGCCTGGGCATTCGGATTTCGGATCGGATTCGGTTCAGATTTATTCGGATTCGGATAATTCGGATATGAGATTTTATTATCCGTTCGGATTTTATGATTATTCGGATCGGGTTCGGTTCGGATAGTGTCGGATTCGGATCGGTTTCGGATCAGTTTTAGATCGGTTTTCGAGAAAAAAAAAACTAGAAAAATAGTTTAATTTTACTAAAATTTGGCTAACTTTTCCAAAAATATGTATAATTTTAACAAATATAACTAATAACTTTCCGATATCTAGGTTACTTAGGATATTTTTGTTATTTGTTATAAAATTATAGCTAAATATAACTAATATTTTTGGATATATAATTTTATTTTTCGGTTTTCGGTTCGGATCGGGTTCGGTTCGGATAATTCGGATAGGAGAATTCATTATCCGTTCGGGTTTTGTGACTATTCGGTTCGGATTCGGAGCCGGATTTTTCGGATCGGTTTCAGATCGGTTTTCGGATTTCGGATTTTATGCCCAGGCCTACTCTCCACCACGTGACCACGTCCACGACTTATCGACCGGCGAAATCGGATTGGAACTTTGTTAGCATGTCTCGTTTCAACACTTGTTCCTCCTCTAAGGCATCGTTGCACTTTCTCTTCTTATCGCCGGATTAAGGACTGAGAACGAAGTTTGTGGTAATCAATATTCAAGCACTTGGTGGTATTGCTCATCATAGAATTTAGAAGATGTATTTTAAGTGTGGATGAGATAATGTTTTGCAGACCTCTTTTACTTTTGTTTGGTCGTTAATTGCTGCAAAAGAACATAAAAGATCTCCGAGATACTTTCTTAATCTATTATTTGTGTCTGTGTTGTTTTGCTTCTTTGTTTGACCGTTGGAAATATTATGTGGCTGTGTGTGAATATAAAAAAGTCTGCTTACTCGGAAAATGAATACAAGTATACAACTATAAAAACATTTAGAAAAAAAAAGGGATCCTTTGGTTCATTAGTTTCACCTCATATTTCAAAAAGAAATCTGTATAGCAAATGATGGCATGTTCAAACTTTATATTTAGATGCGTTCAAAGAAAATATAAATGTTTTTATTGTATCTTCTGATAAAAATATTAGAAACCAGAAGCTTAAGGCTCTCAACAGAACAAGAAAAAAAAAAAAAGGCATGAAAGAAATTATATATTCACAATAATAATTTTGTAAAGTTTAAACTATACGAAATTGAACATAAATGATTCGGTAAGGTAGCGTCAAATGGCGTGGATAACAGCATGAGCCTTTTGACCACCATGTTATGCTTTTTTTTTGTGTGTGTGTCTGTGTCCACTTGTCGTAATGAATGTTACGACAAATCATTTACCATTTTTGTCTTTTAAACTTTTTTTTTTATAAATTTGCGAAAGCTTTTGTTTTCATTTGATATAGAGAAAAATCATCACATCAAAACAAAGCAAAAAAAAGAAAAAAAAGAAAAATCGTACTGATTAGTATTCACGGACGTGATTACTATTCTCGCAAACAAAATTACTAGAAGCTTTTTGATCAATATCTTTGACTTTAACAATAAAAATTAGAAAGTTCAACGACAGAGATTAATCAAACGCTGACGTTTACCTTTTTTCTATTGATAGTCACCGTTGGATAAGCATGAACCAAGCCTTTTCCTAATTCCAAATTCCAAATTCCATTGAGTATATATATACACACGTAGTTTAATTATGCAAAACATCATCTTAATTATTTGTAATAATAAGAATCCCCTGAAGAAACAACTCTTATCAAATCCTCTCCATGGCTCAATCTCCTCAGTAAGATCCTCCTTTTTACTTTATGAGGTTTCTTGCTTATTATAAAGTCGATTTATCATATTAACTCTAATTTTATCTCTCCTTCACTTTTATTTCTTGATCAAGAAAATGTTTCGTAGAAGATCGTCAAGTTCCGCTCGATGCTACCTCTGATCCACCTGCTCTGTTCGACGGAACCACAAGGTTGTACATAAGCTACACCTGCCCATTTGCACAACGTGTTTGGATTACCAGAAACCTCAAGGTACTTGTGTTTTTTTTGTTGCTGTATGTATGTAAATTGAGATTGACTTGAAAATTTAAAAGCAAGAATTGTTTATATATTGGGGAGTTTAGGGTCTGCAAGAGGAGATCAAATTAGTTCCTATAGACCTTCCTAATAGGCCAGCTTGGTACAAGGAGAAAGTGAATCCTGCAAACAAGGTGCTCTTTATTTTATGCAAGACCGATTTTTGAATCCTTATAAACTATATAAGGTTCTTTTAAAAGTGACAACAGAAGAGTCTAAGATTGCTATAACGATGTATGTAGGTTCCTGCCCTCGAACACAATGGAAAAATCATTGTGGAGAGTCTTGATTTAATCAAATATGTCGATATAAATTTCGATGGACCTTCACTTTACCCCGAGGTAAGACCTTGTTCGGATGTTATAGAGCTTGTTCTTGTCATATATGTAACAATCTTTCAATTAGATTTTTTTTTTCTTTTGGTCTAGGATTCTGCAAAGAGAGAGTTTGGTGAAGACTTGTTGAAATATGTTGATGCAACATTTGTAAAAACTGTGTTTGTCTCTTTCAAAGGTGACCCGGTTAAAGAAACAGGTAAGGTTGATTTTCGTGTGTCTTGTTAATTGTATTGGAACTGAAACTTGTATGTTTTTGACGTTGAAACTTGTGTGGTTTTGACGCAGCATCGGTCTTCGATCACGTGGAAAATGCTTTGAAGAAGTTTGATGATGGTCCGTTCTTCCTCGGCGAGCTTAGTTTGGTATAGAAGTCTTATTAAACTAATAAGTGTGAATGAATCTTTTTTTAATGTTTCACTACGGTTAAAAAAATTACTCGATTTTGGTTTCTAGGTTGATATCGCATATATCCCATTTATCGAACGCTTTCAAGTCTTCCTCGACGAAGTTTTTAAATATGAAATTATAATCGGACGTCCAAATCTAGCTGCTTGGATTGAGGTATACACATGTGATATATGCACATGAACATGGTAAAGCTTTTATATGATTTAGCTGCTTGATTGCTTTAACCTCAATGTATGTTGCGCAGAACATGAACAAGATGGTTGCATATACGCAGACAAAAACCGACTCAGACTATATCGTCAATTATTTCAAGAAGTTCATGGTAAGAGTTTCTAAATCTCGACAGTACCAAATTCTCTTTTCTAAACGTTTTAATTTTTGTTTAAAATTGGACACAAATGCCCTTTTTACTTTAATGTTAGGCTAAGCCATTTTGTCTTCCTCAATTCCGGTTAACGTTCTATAACAAAACTAACCGACGATTCCGGTTTTTCTTGTTTTTTTTTGCAGTAAAAATAACAAATCTGTTGGACTGAGTCGTTGGTATCGATGCCAACAGGCTTACGAAAAAGAAAGACTACTACTGCTTGAGAGTGTTATAAATTACTGGATTTGGTATTGTAGTTTGTTAAATAAGAAAACTTTGGTATTGTTTTATTTTGTTTACTTTCATCAAAAAAGGCATGGTTTGCTGGGTTAAGACAATGTCAATAATAAAATGGGCTCGGATGAAAATTTAAACTAATGGGCTTAAATACCTTATTGAAATAATTACGGCCCACTATGAGATAATTGAGTTACCGACAAAGATCTCAAAACTGCCACGTGTACGATGATGACTGTAATTTCGAGAAACGTATGGAAAAACGCTTCCACTCTCTGTTCTTAGCCTAGTGTGTGATAAAAAATCCTTACTTTTTACAGAATCAGATCTTTGAAAGAGTTTTGCTCCTTGATACATGTCTTCAATGGCTTCTCCTATGTAAGGATCTGTGTTCTTATCCTGAAATTCGGAGTTTTTATTGAGTTTGATCGATTTTTGGGATTATAACTTCCCGCAAATTCATGTTTTTACATTAAGTTTACTCGATTATCAGCTATTGGAATTTTGGGAATTTAAGTTTTTTTTGTGGCTTGATTAGTTGATTCTATTGAGACAGTGTTGTAGAAGATCGTCCAGCTCCGCTCGATGCTACAGCTGATCCACCTGCTCTGTTCGACGGAACCACTAGGTTAATCTTCAGTTTGCGTCCTTATGTTTTTGGTTTTAGCTTTTTCTGTTCTTTATTGGATTACCCTTGTATCTTAAAACCTCTTATTGTTTTTGTGTTACCAAAGATTGTACACAAGCTACGTTTGCCCATTTGCTCAACGAGTTTGGATCACCAGAAACTTCAAGGTTTAACTCAGCTTCTCCTTTGTACTAGTCTCACCTTCAACAACATTAGATATTAGGGATTTTTGTAGCCGGCTTGGTTATTTTGTTGAAATTTGTTAATTTTACGTTTCCATGTCTAATGATTTCCAAGAAACTATATATTATTAGCAATGAAAGATTCTGATTCTTCTGCTAACAATTTGTTTTTTATCTTTCTGTTATATTTTTAAGTAGTTGGATTCTGAAAACAAGTTTTGGTTGGTTTCTGGTGATTGTAGGGTTTGCAAGAAAAGATTAAACTTGTTCCTTTGGATCTTGGGAATAGGCCTTCTTGGTACAAGGAGAAAGTCTATCCAGAGAACAAGGTTAGTAAAAGCTTATCTATTATTAATAACTCACGAATTCATTTCACTTTTGGTTATAACTTAGTGGAAACTTCTCGTTATCTTTTTCAGGTGCCAGCGCTTGAGCACAATGGAAAAATCATTGGGGAGAGTCTGGATTTGATCAAATATCTTGATAACACTTTTGAGGGGCCTTCCCTTTACCCCGAGGTAACACCATACCATACCGGGTATTGTTTCCCTTCATGATTCTCTGATTCCACAATTCATTTCCCTCTCTAGGATCATGCAAAAAGAGAGTTTGGCGAGGAGTTGCTCAAGTATACTGATACTTTCGTTAAAACCATGTATGGGTCACTCAAAGGGGACCCCTCTAAAGAAACCGGTGAGACTTTAAACTCTTCGAAGTTTTGGCCCTTTTTTCGGGGGTGAAAGCAAAGAAGGTATGACCAGAAATTTCATGTTCTTGTTGCAGCACCTGTGTTAGATTATCTGGAAAACGCTCTGTATAAGTTCGATGACGGGCCATTCTTCCTCGGTCAGTTAAGCTTGGTATAAGCCTCACTGGCCCTTTTTAGATCCTTTATTTTTCCTTTTGTTTGTCTTTAATGAACTGTTTGAATTCTTTGTTTTTCAAGGTTGATATCGCCTATATCCCGTTTATTGAAAGGTTTCAAACTGTACTCAATGAACTATTTAAGTGCGACATTACTGCAGAACGTCCCAAATTATCGGCATGGATCGAGGTATATATGCAATCTCCATTAAGTCAGAAAAGATTACACTTATCCTCATTAGGGATTCGTATTAAAGCGATCGGTGTTATGTTTGCAGGAAATGAACAAGATTGATGGCTATGCACAGACGAAAATCGATCCTAAGGAGAATGTGGAGATTTTCAAGAAAAAATTCATGGTAAGTCATATAATTAGGATATACTTTATTAACTGAAACTACCACATGATTTTGATGGATCCAAAGGTGATAGAACTTAGAAGCTATGCCTTTTAGTAACTAATTGTCTAGGTGTGAGTGTTTATTGCTTTGGGTTAGTTTTCAGTTTTGGGAATGAAAACCGAGTCGGTTTAGCATCTGGCTCAGAGACAAGCTCATTTTCTTCAACGAGCGTTTTGCGTCTTAAAACGTTTTGAACGCAAAGGCCATGGACTAATCATCAGCTATTGGCTTATTATTATGGCCAAATGACTTGTTGAATACTTTCTCGGTTAATGGTCTATGCCAAATCTGAGTCTAATTCCGGTTATATTCTTGCAGTAAGGAAGCAGCAAGAAGTATAGTGTACCGGACCAAACCACCTTTCTTCGGATATGAACTATGAAGTAAGAACCAGACGATGCAATAAGATATGTACTTGAACCAGATGATGCAAAATAAGATTTGTACTTTACATGATGCAGCAACAGCTTGATCTGTATTTTAAGTGTTAATCAAATTATCAACCATTGACACTGTTAATATATAAGCACATGATTAAAGTCTCAGAAAAGGCAATAATTTCTAAGGAAGTCGATTAAAGGCAGTATTTTAACAGAAACGTGTTGTGCAAACAAAAGAAAACCTAAAACGTCTGCGTTATCATGGCGAATAGGCGAGAGAGACGGGGCCGAAGACAACATCGTAGGACCCATAGCCACCGCAAAGTCCAACCAATCGACGGTGCAGATTTCATCAACTCTATGCCAGATGAGATCCTCCACCATATTCTCTCCTTTATTCCCACCGATTTGGCCATGAGAACTTCCGTCTTATCCAGACGATGGAGGCATGTATGGTACGACACACCTTGTCTCGACATCAATGTGTGTAGACTCAACGGCGGAACGGTGAACCAAACCCTAACTTCCTACACTGCTCCCAAAATCACTAGTTTCAACCTTCTTACGAGCTTGGATCACAACACTGCACCCGAGATTGATAGCTGGATCGAGTTCCCTATCTCCCGCAATGTGCAAAATCTGTCTGTGTTCGTTAGGGATTTCAAATACCGCAAGACTTACAGTTTCCCAGTTTCCTTTTATCTCAGTTCCTCCTTAAAGCAACTCACCGTGACGTTAGACTTTTTTTATATGACTCCCACATGCAAAGTGTCTTGGAAATCCCTAAGGAACTTGGCACTGCGTCGTTGTAAACTTCCAGATGGATCCATTGATACTATTCTCTCTGGCTGTCCAATTCTCGAAAGCTTGACATTGGATACATGCAGATTACTTGAGTGTCTTGATCTGAGTAAAGCACCCAGTCTGAGGAGATTGGATATAAATCGGCAATATTGCGACACAGGACCAATTGCGATTGTAGCGCCACACATCCATTATTTGAGACTGACATACTCTAGTACACCATCTACTTTAGTGGATGTCTCCTCTTTGATCGAAGCTAACCTTAACATTATCAGTAGCCGACTCTGTCCCTTGACTGCTGATCGTTATCAAACCATGGTGCTGGAGATGCTAGCAAAATCGCACAACGTAAAGAGGCTTACTGTTGGGGAAACCTTTCTTCAGGTTTGTTAAGCAATTCTTGCATACTGATCTAAAGCCTAAAAACTTACCATGACTCTGTAGAATTATTATTAATGTCATTACATCTTTTTGTTAGATTTTATCTCTTGCCGAGCTCCGTGGTGTTCCTTTCCCAACACTCAAGGTCCAAACTCTGATTGTTAAAACGGAGTTTGTTCGATCTGTTATCCCTGGTATATCAAGGTTACTACAGAATTCACCTGGATTAAAGAAGCTAACATTACACACAATGCAGCAAAGCCACGACATAATGGTATCTTTACCACAAACCTCTGATCTTTCCTTGCAAAAACTAATAATTGACTAGAAACATTCCTCGAACCATGTCTATCACTTTTATTGGGTGGGATATAGGATTGATATTATTGTTAAACCACTAGTGTTAATTTGCTTGGGATAACTTTTTATGCTCTACAGGATATGCATCGTTTAAAAGGTTTATATCCGGATCAATGTTGGAGATCAAAATATGAGATGTTTCCTAGCTCAAAGGAGATCTATGAGATGTTAGGTTGTAATGATGCAACGTCGAAACTCGTGGCTTCCTTCACCGAATTGGTGCTGAGAAACGCAAAGACACTAGAGATGATGGTTGTATGGTTGGGAGGTAGTTACTTTAATGATGATGCACAATGGTTCGAAGAGCTGCTTCAGATGGTTGAAACACTTTCTCACGACAATAATGTCTCCATTTTGCTCAAACGAAGCAATTGCTAAAAATAGTTGCATCATTGCTATATTTAGTCTTAATATTTATACAACAATTTATAATAAACTTTTCTGTCTATGTGTCTTTGGATATGAGAAATAAGAACCAGATGATGCAATAAGGTGTGTACTTTACTTGCAGCAACAGCTTGATCTATATTTTACTGTTCACCAATAATCAATCGTTGACATTGGAATATGATAAGGAATACTAGGCCTGGGCGTTTGGGTATTCGGTTCGGTTCTAGAACCGAACCATTCGGTTCTAAGTATTTTGGTTCTGAGATTTAGGAACCATATTGGAACCAAATCAATATCGGTTCGGTTCTGGTTCGGTTCCTATTCGGTTCGGTTCGGTTCGGATAATAAATTTTGGAACCGAGTAGGAACCAAACTGTTTCGGATATTTTTGGAACCGAAAAAACAATAGAATTATAATGCAAAATTCAAATGCAATTATGCAAGTATGCAATGCAAGATCACATATTAGTCATCATACCATTACAAATTCAAAAAATAGTTGAAACTTGGAAAGTATTAAGTCAAAAGACACCCAAAGTTTCAAAAAATACCACAAAACACAAGTTTTAAAGACACCAAAAGAAGGTTTGTCTTCGATTTGCAATGATTCGAAAGAGAGAGTTGTTGTCTGCGGCGTCTCCTTCTTTGAGAAAGAGAGAACAAACTAGGGTTTCTCTTTACGTTTCAAAGAAATATATAAGAGGCTAAGAGAGATATATGGTAGGTTGTTAAGCTTGGGTAGTTAGGTTTATGTTTAGATGGGTTTGAGACTTTGGGTTCTATAAATATAGGTTAGGACTATATTTTTTGGGTACCCGAATGGATATCGGTTCCTACCCGAACCGAACCGATACCCATGGTTATTTGATTCAAGATCCAATCGATATTTTCACTAGAACCGGAACCGAACCATACCCATCAATTTCGGTTCGGTTCTATGTGGATCCATATTTGTGCCCAGGCCTAAGGAATACAATCAAAATCTCAAACATTAAAGGTTTTGAAAACTATAGTATTTTAATAGTTATACAATAACTTTGGAATCAAAACAGACATCCTCAATACAATAATGAGAAACTGTCACATTTCAAAGCAAGTGCTCAATAAACATTACATCAAACAACATTACCTATAACAACATTATAAACCGGACTCTATATGAATCTATCTCTTCTTACACATATTTACAAGCAGCTCTTAAGCCATACTTTCCACACTTAGTCTGAAAATCATCCACCTTTCCTCCTCAAGAAAGACAGCCCGGTATATATGGGTTTAAGCTAAATAACTTACACAGCATTGCGGTTCTCAGGATTATCTTCAGACCCTCTTTGATCTAGGTGGAGTCCCGGGAGCGAAAAGGGAGCCTTGGACTGGCTGAGCCAGAGGATCGAACTTTTGGGAGGCGAGGTAAGAAAGTGCAGTGACCACGTCAGCAATGAGAGGTCTAAGATTTGGCTGCTCTTGCACGCACATCGCTGCTACAGCGAGTGCTTGGTACAACCCTCGTGGAGGGTATTGACTTTGAAGCATTGGATCAGCCATTTGAGAGAATTTCCTCCTGTCTTTAAACAAAGGCCTTGCCTGAAATAGAGCATTTCAAAGAACACAATTAGAAGGAAGAATCTACAGAGAAAACAAAGCTAGTTCCCAATTATATTTTTTCTTACCCATGCGACTAGATTCTGTTCTCCAGTGGATCTTGAACTGTCTATTGCTTTCCTACCGGTTATAATCTCCAACAGAACAACACCGAAGCTATAAACGTCTGATTTGAGTGTTAGTTGGCCTGTCATTGCATACTCGGGAGCACAGTATCCGTATGTTCCCATAACCCGAGTCGACACATGAGACTTGTCACCCACTGGGCCAAGTTTAGCCAACCCGAAGTCGGATAGCTTTGGAAAGTAATCATCGTCGAGCAAAATATTGGAGCATTTCAAATCTCGATAGATCACTGGAGGCATGGTCTTGTCATGCAGATACTCCAATCCTTTTGCAGCACCTGCAGCTATTTTCATTCTGGTGTTCCAGTCAAGTGGCTGCTTACCAGGTGAAATATCTGGAAAAAAATGCATCACTCGATTGAAATTCAAAGACTTTTCCTCTACATTATTTGATAATAGAAAATTATTCATAGACGTGTGATCTTAGAAGCGCATACCGTGCAAATGATCTTCAAGTGAACCTAAAGGCATGTACTCGTACACTAGAAGCCTTTGATCTCCATCAGCACAATATCCTATTAAGTTAACAAGATTCGGGTGATGAAGAAGACTCAACATGAGAACTTCGACGAGGAACTCCCTGTTTCCTTGTAAACCATTATGATCAAGTTGCTTGATAGCCGCTGTCTACAAAGGAAGAATAATGTCAGTGAGCTTTCACTACCAATAACATTCAAAAGGTTAAAACCAGAGAAGCAAGCAAAAAGAAAAAAGGAAGGAACCTGGCTAGTGCTGGCTAAATATCCTTTGTAAACTCTACCAAATCCTCCTTCTCCAATAAGACATTCTTTTCTGAAGTTTCTAGTGGCAGTAGCTAACTCAGAGAATGTAAAAGTTTGTGCCACAATGTGATCAGAGCCTTTACTTTTGGATTCACTCAAGGACGACTTGGCCTTAGATTTCTCTACAAAAAAATAAATAATTAATCAGCACAAGCTGAGCAGAAGTGTCTCAAGATCAACAAATCAAAGATTTGGATTTCAGATATCAATCAATTAATATGAATCAGAATTAGATTAATCCACAACTTCCACTGGAGAACAATATCTCTGAAGTAACAATTAACCGGAAAGAGACATGCAAATAACACATCATTTAGGTCAAAATATACTACTAAAAGCAATCTTTAAACAAAAAGCAATCTTTAAACAAAAAGTCAAAAACCCTAATCAGCATTAGCAAACGATGGCTCACATGAATCAGAAAGCTTACAAATTTCGAAATTTTGGTTAGAGAAGCCTCAAAACAGAATCAAAGGATGGAAATTGAGAAAGACTCTAAAGAGCAATTACCTGAAGTAGAGACAGAACAATCAGAAGACTTCCTGTTGAGTTTTTGGTCACCGTTCCTCCTTGTCTTAGTCCTCCCGCTCGATTTCCCAGAACACGGGATCCAACCCATTAAGCTTCTCGATCTTCTTCTTCTTCTTCCTCTTCAAGTGATTCTTCGTTTTGATTGTGTTCGATGATCTCGAAAGCGAGAGAGAGAGAGAGAGAAGCTGAGAGAACTTTGAAATGTAGAAAAGAGCACGCCAAGCCAATCTCGGCTCCAATCGCTGGATTTTTCGATTTTTCTTTTTATCATAAAATATCAATTTAAAAAATAAATTAATTTTTGTGATGCAAATTAATGTGTAACAGGTTTGACTTTGACAAATCAAATTAAAATTAATGTCAAAGAAAAAAAGACAAACAAATATCAACTAACTACCCCATGAAAATTTATTTTCTTTTCAGCAACAATCAAAAAAGAGGTTTATTTGATTGAATAAATTTCTTGAGTTGTAAATATTGAAAGAGAACTTAAATAAGCAATCCCAGATCGCAAAGGAGCCTCTGATTCGAGCTGCTACAGAGCAACCTTCCATCAACTTTTTAAAAGAACAGGTGTGGAAACTGCAAACTGAACCCAAAATTAAGGTTTTCCTGTGGAAATTGCTAAGTGGTGCCTTACCTGTCGGGGACCTTCTGTCTCGTAGAGGTATGCGCTTGGATGGAAGATGTCAGGTTTGTGGTTTGGATGGAGAGTCAATCTGTCATGTGCTTTTCTCTTGCTCCCTTCCTAGACAAGTGTGGGCTCTATCCTCCTTTCCTGCCCCTTCTGGAGGTTTTGAGAATTCTTCTGTCTTTGCTCTCATTCACCATTTTTTGATCAATAGAGATAATCTATGTTGGCCTAAGGAGATCAGAAAAAGCTTTCCTTGGATTCTTTGGAGAATTTGGAAGAACAGATGTTGTTTCCTCTTTCAAGGAAAAACTTTCTCTCCTTTAGATACTGTGGAAAAAATAAAAGAGGATGTCAATGGGTGGTTTGCGGCACAAGTAGTGGATCAGGAACTTTCTCAGGTTTCAGACCCGATTCTATCTCCCTCCGTGTCTGAAGTTTCTGAAACTTGTGTGGTACCTTGGTCTCCTCCTCCTGAGGGATGGCTAAAGTGTAATGTGGGCAGCTCATGGTCAAGAAGAAATCTACTTGCTGGTGGAGCTTGGGTAGTCAGAGATGTAACTGGTGAGGTTTTGTTGCACAGCCGGAGAGCCTTTTCAAATATTCCGACTGCTCAGGAGGCTAGCTTAATCAGTTTGGTATGGGCTGTTGAAAGCATGAGGAGTCACAAATTGAATAAGGTAGTGTTTGCGGTGGAAGATGGAGTGCTTGTTGGGGCAGTAAACAGACCAAAAGCTTGGCCCTCTTTCAGGTTTCATTCTCTTGAGCTCTTATCTGTTCTAAAGTTGTTGTGTGATTGGCGTGTGGTTTATGAATTGGGGACAGCAAATAGAGGAGCTAGTCTCATTGCAAGAAGTGTTACGGAGGATTGCAGGCTTCACTCATATGTGGCTAGGGGTTTCCCCTTCTGGTTAAATGGTTTCTTCTCCAGTGAGAGAGTTATTTCCTCTATGTGAATGTCAATTTTTTGGGTTCCAGCTCTTAGTGAGCGACATTCTTTTGTAAAGGCCTTTGAGGTTATGTTTCCTGGGTCTTTTGTTTGGTTGGATTAGTTTAGTTAACTTTCTGGCTTTTGTATAGGTGTGGACTTTCCTCAAGTCTTCGTTGTATTCCAACCTTTATCAATATATTTTAACCAAGTTGACAAAAAAAAAACTTAAATAAGCAACAATCGTGGTCAGCATGATAGTTTCCAATCATTTGAACAGAACATAAGAGATTATTTCTTTTTAAATTGGGTTTAAAAAACGAGAGAATATTTTTAACTAATGAAACTAACAGTTTTATTCTAGTAAAATCTCTATTTACGGATAATAAGCTCTAATGATATTGAAAGAGAGATAATGTTGATACAAATACGACACCGTATTGTGCTCGGCTCCAAAAGCAAGCTTATACAAAAATATACAAACAAGGGGTTATTGTTTTACAAGTTTACAACATCTACAAAGCTTTCACTGTATATCCTGGTGGTTGTACTCATGAAACCAAACCCTTCCTCCTAAATTCATAAACCAGACCAGACAACGATAATAACAAACAATCAAATGTCCTAGTGTCTTCGTTTCGTGAATAGTGGTATTATCAAAGAATCAGACTTTGAAGGGGAAATGTTAAACATGTGATAGATAGATAAGATAGATGATGAGCACATTACTCATGTATTTGGGCTGAGATAGAGTTGGTTTTGTAGATTTTCCGTTAGCTATCCTCAATGTTTTTTATGTCGTTATCATCCGTTGCAGCGGCTATTTTACGGACGAATTGGCCACGGACACGAGGTCGTTGTTCCGCTAGTTTTTTCCGGCTTTGGTATCGTACCTGAGAAGAAGAGAAACATTTTTTATAAACAAAAACCAAATCATCATTAAACGTTCGGACACATTTAACAAAATTTCAAATACTGTTTTTGTTCAACCATGGATTTATATCGGTTCTAGAGTTGTAACCGTCGTGGAAGCCAAAACGCATATGTATGCATGCATATAAGCTATTGAGACCTTGATAATTTATCAGTGTTTGCGTTTCTGTTTACATGTTAAAATTAGTATGTTGAACCACATTTTTCCTTGTAAACTGTAATACCAAATGCATAACACAAATCGAAGAAAAGGTTCCATTTGCGGTTTGCATTTGCTTTCACAATTTACATGAATACTGTACTTTTTTTCTTTCTTCGTAAAAAGACACTAGAATATTGTAATATTGAAACAATCAGAGGTTTGATCAAGAATTTACCTTCTTTCTGAAGCACCTTTCTTTTCTCTTCTGACGGAACTTTGTCAAAGCAGCTTCCCTTTGAGAGATCTTATTTTCATCCGCCAAGTTTCCGCTACCACTTCCGCTTCCGCTTCCACTACCATCACCATTTCCATTTTTGCCAGCACCGTTATCACTTCCCATATTCATTCCTCCAGTATTCATACCATTGCTGCTTCCATATGGCCCATTGCTCCCATGACCACTACCTGATACACTACCATTCACACTGTAATTCACTGTGTTGTTGTTACCTTCAATCGTTTCGTTGTACACATTTGAGGATCCACATTGTGGCGGTAGCTTCCTCTCAGCGACATGGACAAGATTATAGGAGGCATGATTATTATGATGATCACATGGTAAAGGCTGAAACGATGAATGCTTGACTGATGAAGATCCTGCTGAACTTACTTTTGGAGCTCCTGGTTTTGTGAAAGCATTGTTCTCAGTCGTGGAACTCATATCAAAGTTATTGCTACCGACATGTGAGCGGTGATTATTGGGGAGACTCTCATTCATGTTTGAGTGACAATCACATGCAGCTTCAGTCTTTTTTATAAGATCCTGGCTATTATTATCATGAAGCGAATTGCTTCCTAAGTTCCCGCCAGAAAGCTTATTGGCATTTGAGGCTGGATTATACCTGCACAAGTCCAACAATCAATCCCATACTTCTTCAATAAGGCATTCAAAAGGTTGTATACGGAAGAAAAAGCAGACCTTTGATTCTAAGAAAGTACCTTGAAAAAGCTGAGCCCTCTGAACGCCTCAGCACATTCCGGTCATCCCTAACTAGTGTCCCATCATCTTTAGTTCCTCTATGCCTCTTTGAACTATGTTCCATGTGAATTAGCTCTTCGGAATTTTTGACAGAAGTTTCATTTGTATCTAAAGTTTTCAAGTGAGTGTTAAGCGCCTCGGGTTCTCTGTTATCTTGAAGGTGGCTAGACATGGCTTTAAAACCCGAGCCTCCATCTTCATGCATTTGTTTACTTGAAGGACTTTCGCTGCTGAGGTCCACTGGTCCTTTTCCAACTTTCATTTTCCATTTACTAGAGCTCTTTTCAAATGAATTACCCTGTCTCATAATGCCAGTAGTTTTAGATAGGGGTTCATCTTTTGGCTCCAGCGCCAGATCACAATTTCTACGAATGCTAATCTCCAAGTCTCTACCCATTGTGACATCTTCTGCAAAATTGAAGAAAAAACATTCAATATCATGTTTTTAAGTTTCAGTATAGAGAAAAGTATGGAAGAAACTAGGAGATCACAGTTTCCTTTCATTACCAAATTTATCATCCTGTTCTTGAGTCTCCTTCTCAGCAGGTGGTGCAACCAACTGATTACTTGGGAACTCAGGGTTAGAATGTACCACTTGGGCGCAAGTGCTATCGACTCGATCCCATAGAGATACCGCTCGTGGACTGTCATCAACCTCCACAGCTTTTTTCGTCCAAGAGCTCTGAATAAAAAGGAGTATATCAAAATCAATCTAGGTTTTGGACATAAACCATGTACAAAATAAAACTTCAGAATGAACTAGAAACTTTCACCCAGTTTATCACTGAAAAGATCTAAGTTAAACATCAATTGAGTTCTACAATTGGTTAGTTAAGCGCTTCCACCATTTATAAGCATCTGAGTGCACATGCGAAGTTCGATCATCCGACCCCTACCATTTATGGTGAAGAAATTTTTAAAAGGGTAACTTATGAGATGTATATTTAGATTATCGGTATTGCACATTCGTCTTACCTGAGCGCCACTCCCATCGCTACTTCCATCACTAGCATTCAGGCCAATGCTCCCATTTTCATTCTCACCACTGCTTCCCGAATCGTGATCAGATTTTCTAATACTCTTTGATTTCACAGACTTTTGAGTTTGATGCGTTCCGCTCTCACTTCCACTACCGCTTGACTGTGAACAAGAAACATGGAAAACCATGAGAAACCAAAAAGTAGATACTAATCCACAATTAGACCATGACTTTCTAGTTTACTACTTATCACCAGTTGTACATCAAATGGATAAAAACAAAGACCAACAGTTTTTCAGACTAATCATATATGAGCAAGGACATACACTTTGGCATCTTCTCCAAACATGCTGCCAAAGGATCTTAAGCTCGTTTTTTCTTATTGGCTTAACAAGAAAGTCAACTGCTCCTTTCGATAAGCACTTAAAGACCAGCCCCATTGAGTCATGAGATGACATCACTGCAACACAAATCTCACAGGGGAATGTAGTTAAAAGCATCTACTTCCAACATAAGCTAGAGAAGACTCAACAAATTGTGTAACTTCAAAAGAAAGAGCTCAATGTTATGTACAACGACCAGGGAAAAAGAACTATGACTAAGGACAAAGAACTCACTGATGACAGGGATGTTCCGACGAGATTTGTGGCTCAAAATCTTGCTCAAGAGACCGATACCAGATAAGTAAGGCATGATCACCTCTGTTAGCACAATATCAATATGATTGTTTAGATCTTCTAACACCTTCCAAGCTTGTATCCCATTTGAAGCCTCAACAACTGCCATGACAGAGTTAATAATCAATCAACCAACAAAACCCATGGCAAAAAAAAAGTTGCTCTTCATTATCGATCAATGAATGCACGAGGGAAACACAAAAAAATGAAACTGGTACAGGTATGTGCTATAGATTATAGATCGGACTGAGTTCTAGGCTTCAAAACTGACCTTCATAGCTACAATTGCGAAGAAGTGCAGTAACAATATAACGAGTGCAGTCATCATTTTCCACAAGCAGAACTCTAATTGTTCGCACATGAAGAAACCTTTCCCAACAGACAGTTGCCGCTGTTTGTTGCGACAACGGAATTTGAAGTCCACCTGAGCCTTGCCCAGCCCCAGAACTCCCATTTCTCACATCCATAGTGATTCCATTGACTTTCTCTTCTTCACTATGCTTCTCTGTCCGACTCTCAACCCTATCGAATTTCGTCTCTCCGTTTTTTCGATCAGTGATTGGGTAACGTGAACCCTCCCCCTCCTCGTTAACATTCATCACACCAACTCTGCTTCGCTGAATTCAAATGATCGAAATATCAAACCACTTTTCAACTCAAAACACAGCCATAAACCCTAATTTCGATGATTGCAATAGCTAAAGGAGTTAGACTCGAACCATATCTCAGATTAATAGAACAAAGAGTTCAAGACCACTAATTTTCAAATAACCAACCCAATCAAGTAACTTTTTGAAGAATCATCAAAAACTTAAAAACCGAATCTCGACTAATTACAACAAAACAAATAAACCAAACAAAACCATCAGAATTCCAAGAGAGTACTGATCTTACAATAATCAAATCCTATAACGAAGAATCGAGCTCCAAAAGTTGCATCAATCACCAGAAAAATGGATCTAGCACAATTAGCTAACGGTTGGGAAAAAGAAACAAGGAATTCAAATCGATAAACAGAATTAAGAATCGAAGCTTCTTAGAGTTGTAGAAAGAAGATAAACACAGTGAACAATTTTTGTGATTATGAGGTTTTTCTGTCTCCCAGAGAGTGGAAATCGGAGACGACCATAAGCCACCGATTTTTATTTTTCCGGAGAAAGATAGATATTAGAAAGATTTGTCTCATGACCAAAAAAAAAAAAAAAAAAAAAAAAAGAAAGATTTGTCTCGGGCAAAAAAAAAAGAAATAAAAAAATCGTAATTTCTGACGTGGACAAAACTAGAGGTCCCGAACGTTCGAGAATTTCCACATCAGATCGGATATTTCCACATCATATATTGGCGAGGATTGCTGAGGTGGACGATATATCAAAAACAGTCGTTCAGGAGGCTAGTGGCAGATCTGAGATCTTTTTGAACTGACACGTGGAATGGTGGGTAAGGAAAACGTCAAGTGGTAAACTCATCTGGACCGTTGATTAGATTTTGGCGGAAGAGACAAGCGTTTAAAGATTTTATAGATGTAGTTTAATATTGGGCTTAACATATGGGCCGTAAGAAAAGCTTTTAACCCAATAAAAAATATTTAAAATATTCGTCGACAGCAGGGTTCGAACCTGCGCGGGCGAAGCCCAATAGATTTCAAGTCTATCTCCTTAACCACTCGGACATATCGACATCTTGCCCAAAATGTAATTAATTAACTAAATTAACTTACATGTAATTCTATCCCTTAGTTTGCCCTAGAAATGACATTGACGAGATACGTTGACCTAAAAGAGTGAATTTTCCCGCCATTGTTAGTACCAGAACTCTCTCAACCGCCGCATCTCCGTCGCTATCTACAGATGGCGGATAAGAAGAAGCGAAAGCGATCAAAAGATGACGAGGCGGAGGAACTTCCTTTCAAAAGCATTCTGGAATCAGACGACGTTATCACGGAGCTTCTCAAATCCTATATTTCCTCTTCTATCAAAGCCGCCGCCGGAGCTGGCGGTGCCTCCTCCTCTTCATCGAAACCACTAACCCTAGCGGACCTCTCTCTCTCATCTTCCTGTCGTGAAGTCGCAGATCTCTCACTCTCCTCCGTGCAGACAGAGATAGAGACAGTCATCGTCCAGATCGCCCGTTCAATTCTCGCCGGCGATGGCTTTTCCTTCAGTGTTCCTTCACGCGCCGCCTCGAATCAACTGTATGTACCGGAGCTCGACCGTATTGTGTTAAAAGACAAATCCACCCTTCGCCCCTTTGCCTCCGTTTCTTCTGTCAGGAAAACCACCATCACCACTCGTATTCTCGCCCTTATCCACCAACTCTGCCTCAGGAACATTCACGTTACCAAGCGTGATCTCTTCTACACCGACGTTAAGCTTTTCCAGGTAGGTTCTTCTTGCTTTCAATTTTACTTGAGATGATACTTTGTTCTCTTTGAATAGAGAATGATAGTCACTGTTTTAGATCCAGCTCTTGTAAACCCGAATCGAAAGTTCTAGCATTGAATCTGTGTAGTTGAGCAAAGAAGTTTCGATTTTGGAAGGTTTTTGAACCAATTTGCAATCTTACTGAATTTCAGGACCAGACACAGAGTGATGCTGTGTTGGATGATGTCTCGTGTATGCTCGGCTGTACAAGGTCAAGCCTCAATGTAATTGCAGCAGAGAAAGGAGTGGTGGTGGGTAGGCTCATATTCAGTGACAATGGAGATATGATAGATTGCACAAAGATGGGGATGGGTGGGAAAGCCATTCCACCAAACATTGACCGGGTTGGAGATATGCAGAGTGATGCTATGTTCATACTCTTAGTTGAAAAAGATGCAGCTTATATGAGGTTAGCTGAAGACAGATTCTATAACCGGTTCCCTTGTATCATCGTGACTGCAAAAGGCCAGCCTGATGTAGCTACAAGGCTGTTCTTGAGGAAAATGAAAATGGAGCTAAAGCTTCCGGTACTTGCCTTGGTGGATAGTGATCCTTACGGGTTGAAGATCTTGTCAGTATACGGATGTGGGTCGAAGAATATGTCTTATGATAGTGCAAACTTGACTACACCTGATATTAAGTGGCTTGGAATCAGGCCAAGTGATTTGGACAAGTATAAGATACCTGAACAGTGTAGGTTGCCAATGACTGAGCAGGATATTAAGACCGGGAAGGATATGCTAGAGGAGGATTTCGTGAAGAAAAACCCCGGGTGGGTTGAAGAACTTAACCTGATGGTGAAAACAAAGCAGAAGGCTGAGATTCAGGCGTTGAGCTCTTTTGGTTTTCAGTATTTATCAGAGGTTTACTTGCCCCTGAAACTGCAGCAGCAGGATTGGCTCTGATCATCAGGTCGCTGTCTTCCTGTTCAATTAGAGACACCAACAAGTGCACGCTACAGATTTCGAGTTTCTGATAATGTAATTGCTTGTTTCCTAGCATGTGAATGGTTGCAATGGTTGAAATTTGGTTTGAATTTATGGTTTGAATCTACACAGAACTGGGAAGGTAGCTGATTAACCTTTAGATACAAAGGGAAAAAGAGCTCTTTTGTTTATTTAGAAGGTACACAATACTGTATGCGCATTGAGATTATATGCAATCTTTCCTTATTCTTTTCGGCAATTTAGTTTGAAATTTACTTTGAATTAGCATAAAATACAAAGATGATTGATTAGTAAGTACTAGTCGGAAGCAGCTACTTTTTGCGCTGCAACCACTTATACAGAGACGCCTTTGTCACCATCAACCTCTCCAGAATCGCAGGTCTCCTTGTTGAGGATATACTGACAAGTGACGTAGTGGTCTCTAGCGTATGCACTGTATCTTGTTTTGCATCATCCACACAGTGTGCATCCTGTTTGATATTTTTTGGTCCAGCAGGAAGAACCACGAGAGACAATTCATCTTGTAGAAGCTTCACTAGCGCTTCTTTCACAGTAATCTCTTGTTTTCCTGAATCGGAATTTGCTTCACCGGTTCCTAGGATAATCAACACATCATCTATTACAACATCACCTGCAAAGGGAGATTCAGTTAGTTACAAGTGTGCTTTTTAGTCTCTATTGGCACAAACCTAATCCACATGTGATTTTAGTCCTAACCTAAGCTGCTTGTATGCTGTTCCCGTTTGAAATGTTTACCGATTCAAAAAAGGTAATGCAAGAGAGAGAATGGTATTGTTCGAATCTTACCACGCATATAGTCTTCCTTGATCATTCGCAAAACTGCTAGAACAACAAGTCGAGCCTCAATCTGTAAATGGATGCAAAAGTTTGACACGGGCATATTGCTTAAGGAGTTGAATTGATAGGATTACAAGCGCACAAAATACTTCATTGTCTCCATTAACTTACCTTGGTAAGTCCTTGAAGGTCAATTGCAAGGTTTCCGGCTGTTCTCTCTTGCATGTGTGTAGCTACTTTTTCAATGAGTAGGCTTACAGGTCTCCCTGCATCTCCTTCTTGGTCGCTTACTTCTTGGCTCAGACCGTTTTCCTGTATGACTCCTTCGCACCACTCTTCAATAAGTTCCTTGAGAAAGTGATCGTTCGGTTTGTACCTGGAGTGTTGTGGTGTTGTTTGTGAGTAAAAAGAAATGCATCCTCACTTGTCTGAAGATGTGGAACCATCAAGAAGAGAAATAAAAGTAGACCATAACAGTAAATTGTTCTTACCCTGCTTTTCGCATGTCCTGATATATGGCCAAGCATTGCCGCACTTCAAGTAAAGAACCATATTTGCTTCGTGCTTTAAGAAGTGTATTATAAGTGACCTGAGAAACAACTTTCTGGACTGAGAAATGCTGAAATAAATTGAGAAACGGCTTCCATGTCTTAGCAATGCATTCCGTCAATTTAGAGTAGTCTAATAATAGCTTCAGGACTTTATATGCAAAATTTTGTACATAGCACTGATTGAGGGTTAAAGTTTACAGCATTAAAGGGAACTTCATATATGGAGGAAGTTAGTAGCTGAAAGGGACAAAGAGAAACAAAGCCAATTCGAGCAAGAGAATTACCCAGTTTGGCTTGATCTGATATCTCCTCATCTCCTCAAACAAAGAAAATGCCAACTTCAAACTTTTATTTTCCGCACAGATCTGCAAGATAATAAGGATTGTACTTTCAAACCTCTGAGTTGAGCAATAATTAAGAACAAAGCAGAAATGTTGGCACCACTAAGAGAGAGATTAATACCTTGATTGCTGTTGTGTAGGCAACAACATCAGGTCTGGTTCCAGCCGAATGCATAGTTCTCAAAATCTGTGCTGGAAAAAGAATGTCTATCAGGGAACTTATCACATAGTGCGTTAATCCCATAAATGATACTATAAATGCATATGGAAGCTTATAAACAGAAGCTGGAGAAGTATGATCACCTTAATGCTATTTCTTTGTTTTAGGAACGAGATTTGAATAAATAATTTCAAAAAGTCAAGAGAAAAGTTAACTCACCCGTACCGCACCTTCTACATCGCCTGAACCTCCACACATATCGATCAAAGTCGACCATGTTATTTGATTTGGTGCAAGACCTAGGCTTTTCATCTCATCCATTAATTCTTTTCCTCGATAGTAATCGGTACCACAGGCTTTCAAGAGTATATTATATGTAGCAGTTGTTGGCTTGAAGCAAAATCTATTTGAAGCTTGGATATAAGGTGAATTAGAATTGCTATTCACCAAAGACCCAGGACCATGATTTTTCAATCTATTTTGGCTGGAAATGCCACCTTTACTATCATCTGCATATAACGCTTCCTTAACTGAGCTTCCCTTCCAAGATTGAAAAAGACGAAAAGCTCGGTCATACTGGCAAGCTTCAACGCAAGCATGCAGTAGGATGTTGAAACATTGAGAATTAGGCTCACAACCAGATGCAAGCATTTCTTCAAATAGGTGGTTTGCCTGCTCTACTAAACCTGCATTGGCACAGGCGCTAATTAATGACGACCATGTATGAGTATTTGGGGTTACACCAACAGATTTCATATCATCTTTGACTTTGAGTGCCCATTTCCACATCTTTGCATCTGCAAAAACCTGATCTTAAGGCATTATTCAGAGACTTAGGGATATAAAAGCAAAAACTAATGATAAACTTAGTTCTCCAAAAATACTGATATTGTACCTTTATAATAGTACAATATGTAAAGGCATCCAACTTCAAAAGTCCGGAAGATTCCATTCGCTTTGCTTCTTTGTATATGTCCTGGGCAAGATCAACCCGTCCAGCCAGGCAACATGTTTTCAGTAGTATGTTGTAGGATGTCATGTCAGCTGTAACATCAAGTTTCTGCACATGACAGGTAGAGTTTCAAGGTCAATCAATACCCACTCATAAATCTGAAACTTTTAGGGTAGATTAACAACATCAAAATAGCACTTCACAATTCGATATACTATCTAGACAGTTCACTTAGCCATATCTTAAATTTACGTGTATCAAGAGATAATTAGAAGAACATACCTGCATATTCTTGTATATTTTTAGTGTGTACCCAAGATCATGGGAATTAACATTCATTAGGCTGTTCATAACATAAATGTTTGGCTTAATTTTTTCTTTGAGAAGATCCTGCCACAAGATTCAGAGTTAACTACAAATCTCAATGCCGGATGGCAGACAAAATCGAGCGTAAAGGATACTTATGCAAAACATTCAGTATAATCAGGGAATTACCTCATATATGTACCTCGATTTAACGTAATCACCACACAGGCCACAAACATCTATCATGGTGCGGCATATATACATGTTAGGAGTATCCAGAATCTGTTTACAGGCTTCATATGCTGTCATAACAGAGACCATATCTCCTTTCTTTCCGAAACCATGAATAATTCTACAAAGCAATATCTCTGTATGCGGCAAAAGACATGCGTATCTGCATTCCATGTTCATCAAATCGTTAGTAGCACACTCTATATTCAGCATTCTTGTGGTTACTTTCTGAATTTGAAAAACCATTACCTAATAGCTAATTGAGGATTGGAAATGTCAACACAACTCTTTACAACATCAAAAGGATCCACCAGCTCTTTGATTTTGAATCCGAGACCTGAAATAAGAAGCAGCCGCTCAAGTCAAGAGGTTCAAGGTCTGGGAGGTTTAATAGCACAGAGTGTAAGAGCAAGAACTGATATAGTATTACCAGCAAGTATCTCCATTAAGTCAATAGCTTTCTCCACTTGCAAAGAGTTAGCCATTGCACGAAACTGTTTCCTCATTAATTTCACAGACGAATCATCGACAAGGTCCAATGGAGCAATCCCTACCTTCTCAATCCTCTTCAAAGTGTAAACAACGCTCTCAATCTTACCTTGTCGAAGATTCGACGAAATCCCTTTCGATAAGAGATCATAATCAACCATGGAAGCGAAACGTGCCACATTAGCTCCGGACTCTGCAGCCAAGGTCTCGGCGATGAGAGCGACGTCCTCAATTCGGCCATCCTCAGCGAGCTTCGAGGCGAAATCAGCGTAATACTCCAACGAGCCATCTGGAATCCATCTTACGACCTTAGAGAAGTGATTAGAGAGAGAATGACTCGCGGAAACTGGAGCAGGAGAAGGTGAGTGTTGCTGAGGTAGTGACGGGAGTAGCTTGGTGAAAGAAGAATTGGATTTAGCTTTTCGGTTGGGTTCTGGTGCGGTGGCGTAACAGCGACGGTGGTGATGGTGAGGATTAGTTATGGCGGAGGAGGAGCTAAAGACGATGACAAAGTCTCTCATTCCTCGCCAACGGTTGGAATCATCATCATCATCAGTGTGGCTCAGTTTTTCTGGTTTTCTATTTTTTGTTTTCATGTAAATTAAATGGATTGGATTTGAAAGGCTATTTTTACAAGTCCCGAACCGGACCGGATTTGTCGTGTTAAAATACACCGGTATGTCTAAACCGATTAGGTACATTGATTATAACATTTAAGAAATATAAAAAGAAAAAGGAGAAAAAATGGATGGCCTGAAATTGCAAGTGAAGCGTCTCCACATATTTGACACCAACTGCTTGCCCGCCATGTGGATATCGTCGTCATTTCTCTCTCTAACCCCTTCTCTCTTCACTCTCTCTCTCTCTAGAAGATCGCTATCTTGAATAAAAAAAGACGATATGACTTCAAGCAATCCGGTGGTCGTCGAAGTACTACCGTCGGAAACTTCTACAGATGCTACAGAGACGACGATGGAAACGACGGAAGCTGGGGAAGCACCGGAGAAGAAGGTGAGGAAAGCTTATACAATCACCAAGTCTAGAGAGAGTTGGACTGAAGGAGAACACGATAAGTTTCTCGAAGCTCTTCAATTGTAATTTTACTTTCTTCCACCAGCAATTTGGTTTACTGTTTCTGTGTGTTTCTGGAAGCTCTAATTTTAGCTGAATTTTGCGTAATTTCGCTTAATTTCTACTTAATTTACCTGATCCGTGAAGTTGGTTCTTCGGTTAAAATGTTATGTTAAGGTTGATAAAGTGATAAACTTTTATCAGATCGAAGTTTTGTTATGTGGTAGATCATATGGAGTTTTTGCCTATGTAACTGGATTCTGCAGAAGCAACAATGTCTTTTTTTTATTGGTTAGGTTAGATTGTATATTAGATAGACCAGAATTTATATTAATAGCTGATGAATGTTTTTTCTCATAAACCCGAAGTTTAGCTTTAGCTTATTTTAGGTTGCCAAAATGATTCAATCGAGGACTTGGCATCTGGTTTCTGCATAAAAAGTGGGATTTTGCCGAAGTCGTATCTTTCTTATTGAAATTATTCAACATGAGAACTGAGAAAGCTTCATACAAGTCAGCTTTTAGAGCTATGCATGAAACCAATTTCCAATAAGTCCTAAACTACAAATCAGATTTTGGTAATGGTTCGTTACTTCCAAATGTTACATTGCTCTTTTGTGTGTGAAAGGCTTCTCTCTCTTTTTCTGAAAAGAATCTTACTTTGTTGCTTACAATTTCCTTGTGTCCTTAGGTTTGATCGTGACTGGAAAAAGATAGAAGATTTTGTTGGTTCAAAGACAGTCATTCAGGTTTGAGATCAGCCTCTTTGGATTTTTGGTATAATATACAACCTTGGCACACTTTTCCACTCAATCTTCCTGTGCCTGTTTGATTTACTGCAGATCAGGAGCCATGCCCAAAAATACTTCCTAAAGGTCCAGAAAAATGGGACTTTAGCACATGTGCCACCCCCTAGGCCTAAGCGCAAAGCTGCTCATCCATATCCTCAAAAGGCATCGAAGAATGGTTAGTTCTATAACTATTGTAATAGATATTACTTTCGGTGGACAGATGGAGTAACAGTTAATCAATCTGAGTTCAACTCAAATCTGCAGCTCAAATGTCGCTACACGTTTCCATGTCCTTTCCTACTCAAATAAATAACCTGCCTGGATATACTTCATGGGATGATGATACCTCTGCATTGCTAAACATAGCCGTAAGTGGGGTTATTCCACCAGAAGATGAACTTGAACTTGATACTCTTTGTGGAGCAGAAGGCATGCGTTCTCATCTGTACTCATTTTTGTATTTTGCTTTGGTAGTCGAGTTACTCTATCTGCTGAAGTTTCATAAGCTAAATGCTGCTTACAATATTATTGTTTCAGTTGTTATTGGATCGAATGACATGATAAGTGAAACTAGTCCTTCAGCATCTGGTATCGGAAGCTCAAGCAGAACACTATCAGATTCTAAGGGTTTAAGAGTGGCGAAACAAGCTCCCTCAATGCATGGTAATTATCTGAACAATTGAGGGACTATTTCTGAGTTTTCATTTTATGGTGGACACTGTTATAATGGTTGCTTTGCAGGTCTTCCTGATTTTGCTGAGGTTTATAACTTCATTGGGAGTGTCTTCGATCCTGACAGCAAAGGCCGCATGAAAAAGCTCAAGGAGATGGATCCTATAAATTTCGAAACTGTGAGTTGGAGCTTACTTGCCTTTAGAATAAATGATGTGTGTGGCAGCATATCCATCATTTATGCTTCTACTTGAATGAGGCTTCTTCTTTGAGCTCCCTTTCTGCTACCGTACTTAGGCTTTTTGGTGTTTCTAACTCGTGAATCTATATCTTCTCTCACAGCTGAATTTAATAAAGGATGTATCTATAGATTCCGTTTCAAAATTTGTTTGGTACCATGATTCTATGGAGATGTTGGTCCAATAATGGGGTTTTACAACCATGGGTCAGTTTTTAGGTGTCATGGTACCTATTTGTAGCTGTCAGTGATTGTTCTTTTTCTAGTATCCGTCACTAATCACAGTTTTTCTTTCAGGTTCTGCTGTTGATGAGAAACCTCACAGTGAACTTGTCAAACCCTGACTTCGAACCTGCTGTAAGTGTTAATTTTATCATTACTCTGTGATCGTTGAGCATGTGAGGCACATTTGTCTTTTCGTGTTAAGACTGAGTGAAAAAAGTCTCTTACAGCTAACAGATCTACTGACTATATGCCTTGAAATTTAACTAAAGAATTAAGACTAGTTCGCCCTTAGTTTGTGTTACTTCTTTAACCACTCCAATGATTGAATGAAGATTGTTGTGCTCTCTGAGATATATATCTCTTATATTCACACATCAACTGTTGGTTCTGGATTTATTTCTTGCAACAAATGTAATCTAACCTTAAATTAGTCTGAATATGTTGATGCTGCAGAGGAAGGTCATGAACACTTGAGCTCTTAGCTGTTAGTGCACTCAACAAGTTATATATCTTCTTGACGACTTCTTGCTTGCAACAACTGTCTACCAGCTATCAAGTACGTGTGGTTTTATATCTCACCCTCCGACACTTTGCTATAATAAGAACGTTCGTATTGACTTAATAACATTATATCAAAGCCTAACACTAAGGTTTTCACTTTTCACCTTAGTGTTTCTCATATGTAGATCATAACTGTTAGAATCTCAGCTTAGCTGCTATTATTCTGATTACACTTCCCTTAAGGTTTTAAAACTAAGGCTCTTACAGTCTTACCAAACTGCTATCTAATCTCTGTATATGGTGTTTGTGTCAGATGCTTCTTACGGTTGTTGTCTGAGGAGAACATAACTGAGTCGTCGTCACAAACAAAAGGAACATATGCAGTTTCGGTCAGAACCAGTCGAGTGAATGGTAGATATATGTATGTGTGTGTAGAAAATGGTTACCAATTGTATCTTCTTTTTGATAATTATTTGTTCATGCGTTTTGTAATATGTAAGTTTCTCTACCTCATTTTCTGATTGGTTAAAATCTATGTAACACAGTAGCAAATTGTTACTTATAACTTTATAAGTGAGATACATAACTATGTTGTATTCTTCTTGTATCTAGCGTTAACGTCCAGGTTTTGTCTCTGTTCTTCTCAATAACAACAATTCTTGGAAAACCACTAAACCGATTAGGCAATTGAACCGTGTTGGTATGGTTTTGGAGGGTCTTTAGAACCTTCTAATTGATACCGAAGGTTTACGGAGTTTGTATAAAGTATAAACAGAGAAGAGAGGCTTCTTCTCTTAAATTACCTTCGATTTAAGAGATTCCTTCGCCGTCGGCGAAGATGCTACAGCATCAGATCGTACAATCTCCGGCGAGGTTAGGGTTAACAGGTCCTGGTTCTCCTTCCGTACAAAATCCAACGCCTACTCGTCATGGCCATCCAACCTCTTCTTCATCTTCCCAATCTCAGCATCAACAGATCCAACAACAACCTAATCTACTACCTTCCTCCACCGTCGCCGCCGCTTCCTCAGCCTCAGCTTCGTCGGCTATTTCATCCTCCGCTTTGCTATCTCTCCTTCCTCCATTACCGCGAGCTCAAGCTCTTCTCCAGCAGATGGCGGTTTTGACCTCTAAGCTCTTCGACGTATCTCCCAATCGAGCTCTCTGGCTCTCAGCTTTCCGTGGCTCTCTCCCTTCGTTCCTCTCCTCACACTCGTTACCACCGCCTCCGCCGCTTGAAAACCCTAATCCTTCATCCACGAAGGAGATCCTCTCTCAATTCAATTCCCTCCAGACTCAGCTCTTCGAAGCCGTAACGGAGCTTCAAGAGATCCTCGATCTGCAAGACGCGAAGCAGAAGGTCGCGCGTGAGATCAAATCCAGAGATTCATCTCTTCTCGCGTTCGCTAACAAACTCAAGGATGCAGAACGTGTTCTCGATATGCTTGTTGACGACTACTCCGACTATCGCAAACCAAAACGAAGCAAAATTGAAGAAGAAGACGAAGACACTGATAATGAGTCTTCTTCTTCAACCACAGTTTCGTCTCAGCTCAAGCTAAAGGACATATTAGCTTACGCTCACAAGATTAGCTACACCACATTTGCGCCGCCCGAATTTGGTGCAGGGCAAGCACCTCTCCGTGGTGCATTACCACCAGCTCCACAAGATGAACAAATGAGAGCGTCTCAGCTCTACGCTTTCGCTGATCTTGATATCGGTCTGCCGAAAACAGTAGAAAACATGGAGAAGAAGGTTGAAGCACTCATTGAGCCGCCACCACCACCAGAAGCTATGGATATCTCTGCAATTCATAACCTGCTTCCGCCGAATATCGCAGTTCCTTCAGGATGGAAACCAGGAATGCCAGTGGAATTACCAAGAGATTTACCATTGCCACCTCCTGGATGGAAACCAGGCGACCCAGTTGTGTTACCGCCATTGGAGTCAATTGCTGCACCTAGAGCAGAGGATCAGCAACATATGCGACCTCCTCAGGGACTTCACAGACCGCCTGATGTCATACAGGTCCGAGCTGTTCAACTTGACATTTTGGAGGATGATGATAGTAGTGATTACAGCAGCGATGATGCAAGCTCAGATGACGAGGATTGATCAACATTGTAATTGATGATTCACTCTTCTAAGGTAATATTGACCACTGTTACTGCTAATACTTGATCAAGTTTGAGTGAAATTTTCTACTTGGTTTCGTTTTGTTTAGCAGTGTCTTTATGTGGATAGATGTTAAAGTATATGCTTCATCGTTATTAGTCTCTTTGATGTATCAAAATTGTTCCTTAAGAAACCATGGATTCTAATTCAGTTTACAGAATTATTGGCTTTATCTATTTTCTAGATTCAGTCTTTACTTCAGTGATTCTAGTAAGTTTCAACTTTGAAGAAAGCATTCTTGAGCTACATAAGTTGGATTGTTATAAATCTTGTTTCAACAATAACACAGGTGAAAATTCCAAACCAAAGTTTTATATAGTACTAGTAAAAAATGTAAAATTGAGATCAACTGGTGTTTCAACAATAACACAGGTGAAAATTCCAAACCAAAGTTTTATATAGTACTAGTAAAAAATGTTAAATTGAGATCAACTGGTGGAGTTTATGCAACTTGACATTTCAAAATTCGTATAATGGGGCTTTTCTGCCAAATTCCAGCCCATTTAAGTATTAGCCCATTTAGATATAACCAGTTGAATCCGGACTAGCCACGTGGTTAAATTGCCAACTCCTGTAAATAAAACTAAAAATTGTGTTCTTGGAATAAAAAATATAAAAAAAATCTGACAAAAATATCCATTCATTTCTTCTCTTCTTCACTCTTGCTTCCTCCTGCGGGTTCTTTTCTAGTTTCTTACTACTACCTCTAATGGCGGACAAGCTAGCTCTTCCTCTTCTCCTTCCCTGTTCTCCTTCCTCTAAACCTTATTCTCACGACCAAAACCACCATCTCTCTCGGACGCCCTTTCTTACTACGTCACTTTCGTCACCACCTCCTCCGCCTGTAGAACCTCTCCTCCACGATGTTTTCCTTCACCAGAACCCTAATTCCAGACAACCCATCAGCTCTCAAACATCTAGAAACCGTAACCGGACTCGAATTGGCAAGTCACGCGACCCTAACCTCGGGAAACCTTGGTCTTACCATGGTCTTTCTCCACAAGGTCAGCAAGTTCTACGTTCCCTCATCGAACCAAATTTTGATTCCGGTCAATTAGATGCTCTACTCTCTGAGCTATTCGAGCCGTTTAAGGATAAACCAGCCTCTACCTCGTCGGAGTTACTAGCTTTTCTTAAAGGATTAGGATTTCATAAGAAATTCGATTTGGCTCTTTGTGCTTTTGATTGGTTTATGAAGCAAAAGGATTATCAATCCATGTTGGATAACTCTGTTGTTGCTATAGTTATCAGTATGCTAGGTAAAGAAGGTAGAGTATCTTCCGCTGCAAATTTGTTCAATGGTTTGCAGGAAGACGGGTTTTCGCTTGATGTTTACTCTTATACTTCGTTGATATCAGCCTTTGCTAATAGCGGAAGGTACAGAGAAGCTGTAAATGTGTTCAAGAAGATGGAGGAAGAAGGTTGTAAACCGACTTTGATCACTTATAATGTTATCTTGAATGTATTTGGGAAAATGGGTACTCCTTGGAATAAGATTACGTCTCTAGTGGAGAAGATGAAGAGTGACGGGATTGCTCCAGATGCGTATACTTACAACACTCTTATAACTTGTTGTAAACGAGGCTCTTTGCATCAGGAAGCTGCTCAGGTTTTCGAAGAAATGAAGGCTGCAGGGTTTAGTCATGATAAGGTTACTTACAATGCGCTATTAGATGTTTATGGAAAGTCCCATCGGCCTAAGGAAGCTATGAAGGTTTTGAATGAGATGGAGCTCAATGGATTTTCTCCTAGCATTGTGACTTACAACTCCTTGATCTCTGCATATGCGAGGGATGGCATGCTGGATGAGGCAATGGAGCTTAAGAATCAGATGGCGGCAAAGGGAACGAAACCTGATGTTTTCACTTACACAACACTTTTGTCGGGGTTTGAGAGGGCTGGGAAGGTCGAATCTGCTATGAATATTTTTGAAGAGATGAGAAATGCTGGGTGCAAACCAAATATTTGTACTTTTAATGCCTTTATAAAGATGTATGGTAACAGGGGAAAGTTTGCTGATATGATGAAGATATTTGATGAGATCAACGTGTGTGGTCTCTCCCCCGACATTGTCACTTGGAATACACTATTAGCAGTCTTTGGCCAAAATGGGATGGATTCAGAAGTATCAGGTGTATTCAAGGAAATGAAGAGAGCTGGTTTCGTACCTGAAAGGGAAACTTTCAACACCCTAATCAGTGCGTATAGCCGCTGTGGTTCGTTTGAACAAGCTATGACTGTTTACAGGCGAATGCTTGATGCTGGGGTCACTCCTGACCTTTCCACCTATAACACTGTGTTGGCAGCTTTGGCCCGTGGAGGAATGTGGGAACAATCTGAGAAAGTTCTTGCAGAGATGGAGGATGATCGGTGCAAACCAAATGAATTAACTTACTGCTCTCTACTTCATGCATATGCAAATGGCAAGGAGATAGGTCTGATGCATTCTCTAGCAGAAGAGGTTTATTCTGGAGTTATCGAGCCTCGAGCTGTACTTTTGAAGACCCTTGTCTTGGTTTGTAGTAAGTGTGATCTTTTGCCAGAGGCTGAACGCGCATTCTCTCAGCTGAAAGAAAGAGGGTTTTCACCAGACATTACCACATTAAATTCCATGGTCTCCATATATGGAAGAAGGCAGATGGTGGGAAAGGCGAACGAAGTCTTGGACTACATGAAAGAAAGGGGTTTCACACCAAGCATGGCGACCTACAATAGCCTCATGTATATGCATAGTCGGTCTGCGGATTTCGGGAAATCAGAGGAGATCTTGAGGGAAATACTGGCTAAGGGGATCAAGCCAGATATCATATCATACAACACAGTCATTTACGCCTATTGTAGGAATACTCGGATGAGGGATGCATCTAGAATATTCTCAGAGATGAGGGATTCAGGGATTGTCCCTGATGTTATCACCTACAATACGTTTATTGGTTCTTATGCGGCTGACTCAATGTTTGAGGAGGCCATCGGCGTCGTGAGGTACATGATCAAGCATGGTTGTAGACCAAACCAGAACACCTACAACTCCATTGTAGATGGATACTGCAAGCTAAACAGGAAAGATGAGGCTAAACTGTTTGTCGAAGATCTTAGGAATCTTGATCCACATGCTCCCAAAGGCGAGGATCTCAGGTTGCTGGAACGGATAGTGAAGAAGTGGCCATAGATAATTGTTGATGAGAAACCTCACAGTGAACTTGTCAAACCCTGACTTCAAATCTGCTGTAAGTGTTAATTTTATCATAACTTCCATGCTTGTTGAGCTTGTGAGGCACCTTTTTCCATTTCGTGTCTCACTATGTGCCTTCAAATTCAAATTGGGATAAACTGTTAGAATAGTTCACTGTTAGTGTGTTACATCCGTAGCCATTCCAATGACTGAAGGAATATCGTTGACCTTTGTGATATATGTAGACACATCAACTGCTGACTTCTGGATTGATTTCAATCTAACCTCAAATAGTCTGAACACTTTGTTGCTGCAGAGGAAGGTTCTGAACACTTAAGCTTGTAGCTGTTAGTGCAGGATCCGTGGTGAAGAACTCAACAAGTAATATATCTTCTTGGTGACTCATAGTAAGAATTGTCTCTGCATAAGAGCTAAATGTTCCTCAGTTCTCACTTTAGTTACCGTTTCGCATGATCTTAAACTTAATAGTAAGAATTGTCTGTGAATCCGGTTGTATTGACCGTAACTGTTAGAATCTCAGCGTAGCTGCTATAAGCCTGATCATGTTCTCTAAAGAGTTATTATGGCTCTTACCTAATGGCTATTTGATCTCTGCATTAGGTGTATTGCGTCAGATGCTTCTCACGGTTGTTGTCTGAGAATAGCATAACTGAGGCGTCACAAACAAGAGGGACATATGGCAGTGTCGGTCAGAACCAGTTTTTCCGGGGAATGGTATATATATGAGTCAATGTGCGTGTAGAAAATGGTTACCAATGGTATTTTCTTTTTGATATCTGTTCATGTGTTTTGTAGTTTCTCTGATTTGGTTATCTATTTAACCAAAAGCAATGTAACACAGCTAGCAAACCAGGGCAGCTAAACAGTGAGATACATAATGTCAACGTCCATGTTTTGTTTTGACCCTTTTTGTTGTTCTTGTTGTCAATAACCAATACTCCAAAACCAGGTTAACAATAATCAAGAAACCGAACCGTATTGCTGGATCCTATCGAATTAAATCAAACCAAGGCAGTCTAGGCAGATAAATCAAATAGAACCAAATGAGAGCTAAACCGAAAAGTAGTAACTTGAAATTCTGCTGGACCTAATTGGGCCTTTCGGCCTGTATATGCTTCCACTTCCACAATTTACGGTAATACCCTTTCAAGAAACCCTAAATTAATGTGCTTTAAAAGCACACAGCCTCACCCTCAAACCCTTCGTTTCCAGCCAAAAAAACGAAAATGGTTGCCTCAGCCGCCGCACGACCCCTCGTCACCGTCCAAGGCCTTGACGGTGACATGAGCACCGATCAATCCACCACCGTCACTTTACCTGACGTCATGACTGCTCCCGTTCGACCAGACATCGTCAACTTCGTCCACGCCCAAATCTCCAACAATAGCCGTCAGCCTTACGCAGTCTCCAAAAAAGCCGGTCACCAAACCTCTGCCGAGTCATGGGGAACCGGAAGAGCCGTGTCTCGTATCCCTCGTGTCCCTGGTGGTGGAACTCACCGTGCCGGTCAAGCAGCTTTCGGTAACATGTGTCGTGGTGGTCGTATGTTTGCTCCGACTAAGATCTGGAGACGCTGGCACCGTCGTGTCAATGTCAACATGAAGAGGCACGCGATTGTTTCTGCAATCGCCGCTACTGCTGTTCCAGCTCTTGTGATGGCTCGTGGTCACAAGATCGAGAACGTTCCTGAGATGCCTCTTGTTGTTAGTGATTCAGTTGAAGCTGTGGAGAAGACTTCAGCTGCGATCAAGGTATTGAAGCAGATCGGTGCTTACGACGATGCCGAGAAAGCTAAGAACAGTATTGGAATTCGTCCTGGTAAAGGTAAAATGAGGAATCGTCGTTACATTTCTAGGAAAGGTCCTCTTGTTGTGTATGGAACTGAAGGAGCCAAGATTGTGAAAGCTTTTAGGAATCTTCCTGGTGTTGAGCTTTGTCATGTTGAGAGACTTAACTTGTTGAAATTAGCTCCTGGTGGTCACCTTGGTAGGTTTGTGATTTGGACTAAGTCAGCTTTTGATAAGCTTGAATCTATCTATGGCTCGTTTGAGAAACCATCAGAGAAGAAGAAGGGTTACGTCTTGCCTCGTTCGAAGATGTTGAATGCTGATCTTGCTAGGATTATTAACTCTGATGAGGTACAGAGTGTGGTGAACCCGATTAAGAAAGATGCGAAGAGAGCTGTTCTGAAGAAGAATCCATTGAAGAACTTTAATGTGATGCTCAAGTTGAATCCTTATGCTAAGACTGCTAAGAGGATGTCTCTGTTGGCTGAAGCTCAAAGGGTTAAGGCTAAGAAGGAGAAGCTCGAGAAGAAGAGGAAGGTCGTCACTAAGGTAAACTCAATACTCTCTTTTCTCTATGCCGGCCATTTTTGGATGATATTTCTGATTTCCTTCATAACTTTAGTGTCCATTGCATCTGGTGGTGATATAACATATACAAGTTCCAAAGCTTTTTGTTTAGATTGTGTTTGTTCATTACTGTACTATGCATGATACAAAGTGAGTTTGAATTTGGAATGTTTCTTGGACTTTCTGAGTTATTCCAATGGAGGGTTTCATTTTTTTTGCCAAGTAGTCTTACTGTTTTGACCTTGATGAAGTCATATGCATTGCAAATCAGTTGTGCTCTTTGAAGTTATTTGGGAATGTTTCTTTGTTTGATTAAGATTGGTTTTGGAGAGACCCATGTTCGTTTATGTCATTTTCATTCACTTCTGCTGTCCTAATTGATATCGCTTGTTTTCATTTGTTCTTAGTCTTGACATGATTCAGTTCACTTGTTTTCTCGAACTGCCAGCTTTATTGAAATTTTGAGTTTAGATTTTACTCGTTGCGTGATTTAGAATCACACATAGTTGTCTCATTTCTTAAAACTTATTTTTTTTCCTTCCTTACTATAGGAGGAGGCCCAAGCGATCAAAGCAGCAGGCAAGGCATGGTACCAGACAATGATTTCAGACAGTGACTACACCGAGTTTGATAACTTCACCAAGTGGCTTGGCGCTAGTCAGTAATGATGCTTTTATCATCTCAAATTCTCTCATATGTAGGCAAAGATTTTGGTTATCTGTTTTATTATCTTTATTTGTCATGGATTTATCTGGTATTTACTTTCGTGAGGTGTTATGTTGTTGCGTTTCTTAAGAGGATTTTTAAGAACTATGAACATGTTTTTCAAATTCTTTTCAATCTATTTCCCCCATAATGACTTTGCTCTATTCAAATTCATCCATTGGAGGATTCAAGATTTGATGAAGCAGTCTCTTTGATGATAATCATCTCTTATCAAACAATTGTCATGAGTTGATAACAACTGAAACTTCAGGTTCAAGTAAGACAACACAACTATCATGCTCGGAGACGAAGTTTCATCAGCTAGCCCACTAAACAATTAAACCAACCTTTGATTGGTTAGACTCAAGTTGGACGTCTATATACCTACTACATTAGTAAGAACCAAACAAGTGTTGTAGTTATCTTCCTATGGAAAGTTAAAATAGACTTGTGCCTCAAGTTTTCTTATATAGTTGGGAACTATATATAACATCAAAGTAAGATTTTGTGGGAGGCACAGTTTTACAAAAGTAGGAAACCCATGCATTTGGCTAGTATCAAGAGGCTACCCATCATTGGGTTTTGGACTCTCCACAGCTATTGGAGGGTCTGCTGCAAACCCGAATGTGATTGTTGTGTACATTGACGGAGACGGGAGCTTCCTAAATAGTCTTCATGAGCTACCTACTCTCCATACAGAGAATCTTCCTATCAAGATACTTTTCCTAAACAACCACCACTTTGGTGTCTTTCATTGGGAAGATATGTTGTACAGAAAAAGTTTTTCATAGGAGAAGCTGAAATTCCCAAATATGCTCAAGATTGCAGAAGCTTGTAGGATCCCATCGACGCATGTGTCCAGGAGAGAAGAGCTACAAGGGGCTATACAGACCATGCTCGACACACCTGGTTCATATTTGCTTGATGTGGTAGCTCCAAGCCAAAAGGAGATTGCATGATCGATCAAAATTCCAAGCCATCAAACATGGAGTGGTGATTGATTATCTAACTTTGTGGCCTTTCCAGCTTTTTAGAAATTTAGTTTTCCTCTGTTGAACTGTTACTTGGTTTTTACTAGACTACCACTGGTCCAATCGTTAGTTTACTTGGCCTTGTATGGTTCTCTATTAAATTTGCACTTGTTTGGTTACTTTAATTTCTTTTTTTTTGTCAGATAACAAGTTTCGTTACTTTCCTTGTAAATTACAAGGAGGTTCTTAGAATATTAATATGGTAAACGTAAATATGGGATTATCAATAAACAGCATATAAATGAAAACTTTTAGTCTCTAAAGTCTAAACAATCAGGATATATTTAGTCTGTCTGTCCAAAAGAAAGTTGTGTCGACCTGATGAAGCTTTGTGGCTCTCCGCTCTCAGCCCTTGCTTGAGGCTGAACCAGTCCGATAGATATTATTGTTCTATGTTGTCTTTCTTGTACCTCAAGTTTTCTTCTAATCCTGGAAAAATAAACAAAGTAAAGTAAGATCTTTTTTGTCAATAAAGTAAAGATTTTCTGTAAATTAATTGAAAATATGAATATCTTAACTCCAAAAAAGCACCTTTCCGTATAATATCGCCAGATAACAACTTTCGTCTCTTTCCTTGTAACATTGCAAGGAAATTAGTTAGAACTTAGAATATTATGTAAGATTTTCTGTGTAAATATGGGAATTATTTATAATATTTCAATCAAAAATCTAGTGCTTATTCATAATCTTGTGACCAGATTATTTTATGTGATCGTCCTTTTAAGTTATCACGAAAAAATCGGGTTCAACTTCATTATATTGTTTTTGAAGATATTGCCTTGATTTTCTCTTAAGAAGATATACTCTTGATTTCCCTTATTAGTTGGCGAAAGAAAATTATTTTAATTGACCTGACGTGTATTTATTAGAACTTCCTATACAAAACCCTAAAGTAAACGACTAATAAAGCATTAACTTTGTTACTTTAATGTGATAAAAATTTAATTGCCAATGACTAAACAAAAAAACAAAAAAGGGGACTAATTTAGGCTATTAATAATCAATGGATTACCATAAAAATGAATTAATTGTAAGCTAAGGAAGAAAATAAAAGCTAGCTTTTGGATTAATTGTATGGTTTAAAACTGTTAATAATGACACGTGTCACAATTAACCCCACATGAGGCGGTGCTAAATACTGTGATCCTAAAATCGGAAAATAAACAACATACAAAAATTCACGTCCCTTGGATCTTCTCTCTTCCAATTTTAAACCGTCCGATCTAATCAATCTTTCGAATATTCGATGTCACACAGTACTTACCGTGCGCTCTAACCCGCAGAGGATAAATTCTATAAACATTAAGAAGTCTGTCTAATTAACAAACCAGCGTCTTAGCAAATAAGCTAAGGGAAAAAAGTATATACATACACATCGAGAGATATATATATATATATATCTTATGTGTGATTTCTTCTTTGTGGAGATTAAATTTTCCAAAGACAAAACCCTAGATTCTCATCTTCTTTTCTTCAATCTCTCTGAGAATTTTTAGGTTTTCGTTATCAATCTAACGATTGGGTCAATCTGGTGAAACTTTAAGGTGTGTGATTACGAGTGTTTTTGTTTGTTTTTCTTTGATTTTAAAGCGATCATGATCGTTTTTTCTTCTGTTTCTGTTGTTCTAAGTTGATCGTAATTGATATTTCAAATCTGTTACCGATTGTTATATAATTTGTTTCCTGTGTTTTTTTGTTCGTTTTCGATAGTGAAGTCTCTGTGTGTGTGTTTGGTTTGATTTTCTTTGTGAAATTGATCGTCTTTGTCTGTGTAGATTCTGGTGAGTATGAATGGTCTTTGTAAGAATTGCAGGAAAAAAAAAACCCTAATTTTTGTTTATAATCCACTGAATTTGGGGTAGTGATTGACTCTTAGTTGTACCTTCTTATCTTCTTTTTTCTTATGTTTTTTTTCTCTTTGAAGTGTGAAGATATATAAAGACTTTAACTTTGATCATTTACTTGATTACAGGTTGAGATCAGATAATTTAATTGGAAGTCTTAAGTTATGGAGAACAGAGGCCAGAAACGAATGGAGGTTGTGGAAGAGTTACCTGCTGATAAGAGAGCTTGTAACTCACAGGATTTCAGGCCAAGCACATCTGGATCATCTGTTCAAGCTCAAGCTAATGGGACGAGTTCTGGACATGAAAACGTTGACGCTGATATGGATACTTCTTCATCTGCTTCGCCTTCGAGTCGATCAGATGAAGAACAAGATAAGGATTCGGACTATGGATCTTGCGATTCTGATGAGGAAGATCCCAGACAGAGGGTGCTTCAGGATTATCAAAGGCAGAGATCATCTGGTGATCAAGGGAAATTGAAGTCTCTCTTGGCGAGTTTGACTGGAGAAACCAATCCTTCAGGGCAGTTATCCGGGCTTACAGAGTTATGTGAAGTGTTGTCATTTTGTACTGAAGAATCGCTGTCCAGCGTTATGGCCGACATGCTATCACCGGTGCTTGTAAAGTTATCTAAGCATGAGAACAATGCAGATATTATGCTGCTTGCGATTAGAGCAATTACTTACTTGTGTGATGTTTATCCCCGGTCAGTAGCATCCCTTGTAAGACATGATACTATTCCTGCTCTCTGCCAAAGACTTTTGACTATTGAGTACTTGGACGTTGCTGAGCAGGTACGCTATACTTTCCACTGAATGACCTTATTGTTTACACCTAAAGATGGGAATCTCATACTAAATATTGGCTTTTCTAGTGTTTGCAAGCACTTGAAAAAATATCCCGAGATGAGCCGGTAGCCTGCTTGAATGCTGGAGCAATTATGGCAGTGCTTTCGTTTATTGATTTCTTCTCAACAAGCATACAGGTTACTCATCCCAAAAAATAACCTTGTTATGTCAGATTTCTCTGTTTTCTGTTATTGTGACTTGGTTTAGCTCGAATGGGTAAGAGGCTTATGGTTTTAACATCGCATTTGCTTCAGAGAGTCGCAATTTCTACTGTGGTCAATATATGTAGGAAGCTTCCTTCTGAGCATCCCTCGCCTTTCATGGATGCTGTTCCAATATTATGCAATCTTCTTCAGTATGAAGATCGACAGGTAAGAATGATCCTCAGCTCTTTTGCTGCTCTTTCTCACAGAACCAAATATTTTTCTGCAAAGTATTGATAGCATGTGTTCCATTTGCAGCTGGTTGAGAATGTGGCTATTTGCCTGACAAAAATAGCAGATCAAGTTAGCGAGTCGCCAGCAATGTTGGATCAACTGTGTAGGCATGGACTAATTAATCAATCAACACATCTCTTAAACTTGAATAGCCGCACTACCCTATCTCAACCTGTCTACAATGTACATGAGATTTCTTCTCCATTTGTTTGACCTCTCTTTTCATTACATAAAGATAACACCATGCACTTTGGCTTTGGTTGGCAGGGTGTGATTGGACTGCTAAGAAAACTTTCTTCTGGTTCGACTTTAGCTTTCAGAACGTTATATGAGCTTAACATTGGCTATAGATTAAAAGAAATCATGTCCACGTATGACATTTCTCATTCAGTGTCGTCTACACATCCTATCAATGCATGTTCTAATCAGGTTTGATTTTTATTATCGATCACTCTTATATTGTTTGGCCTACAGAGGGTTTTCTTTTCAAAATAGTTATGTATCCAAATAGCATTAGGTGGTAGGAGAATATTTGTTAGTAAGTCTGACTTTCTAAAGAAAGGTTTTAATGTTGTTTGAAATCAAACTTACAATTCAGGTGCATGAAGTCTTGAAGTTAGTAATTGAGCTTCTTCCAGCTTCACCCGTAGAGGATAATCAGCTGGCATTGGAAAAGGAAAGTTTTCTTGTCAATCAGCCTGATCTTTTACAAAAATTTGGAACAGACATGCTTCCTGTTATGATTCAGGTTATTTCTGGCATACAATTTTATTCTCTGCACATATAAATTTTCTGGTTATTTCTCTCTAAGAGTATGATATAACTTTTGAATGTTTTGTAGGTGCTAAACTCTGGAGCTAACGTATATGTTTCTTATGGTTGCCTATCAGCAATTCACAAGCTGATTTGCTTGACTAAGTCAGGTGATCTTGTCGAGTTACTGAAGAACGCCAACATGTCAAGGTAATTTCTTTGTAATATTTTCGGCAGAGCTTTTAACCATGTTTTTTTCTAGCTAATAATAGTGCATTTCATAATGCTGCAGTGTTTTGGCTGGCATTTTGTCAAGGAAGGATCATCATGTGGTTGTAGTAGCATTACAGGTTGCGGAAGTGCTTCTTGAGAAATACAGAGATGCGTTTTTGAATTCCTTTATAAAGGAAGGTGTTTTTTTCGCAATTGAAGCACTCTCAAATTCTGATAGAGGGCAACAAAATCCAGTATCTGGTATCATTCAGGGATCAGCTGACCTTTCACAAAAGCCTGTTACAAAAGAGATTGTGAAATGCCTGTGCCAATCTTTTGAAAGATCGCTATCCTCTGCTTCACAAACTTGTAAGATTGAAAATGATTCTGTCTACATTTTTGCAACACGTATCAAGGAGAGTTTCTTTGGACCTGAGGTATTCAACTCTGAGAAAGGCTTGACAGATGTCCTCCAAAACCTCAAGAACTTGTCGGTAGCACTGAGCGATTTGATGACTGTACCCATTGATGCACATGTCCTGCATGATGAGAAATTCTTCTCAATATGGAACCAAATCATGGAAAGGCTGAATGGAAGGGAATCTGTGTCTACTTTTGAATTTACAGAGAGTGGAGTTGTAAAGTCACTGGCAAACTATCTTTCTAATGGACTCTATGAAAGGAAACTTAGCAAAGGGGATCCCGAATGTGATAGTTTACCATTTGTTGGTAAGAGATTTGAGGTGTTCACAAGATTACTTTGGTCTGATGGCGAGGCAACTTCATCATTGTTAATACAGAAGCTCCAAAATTCCTTGTCTTCTTTGGAAAACTTCCCAATTGTCCTAAGCCAATTTTTGAAGCAAAAGAACTCATTTGCGGCTATTCCAAATGGGCGTTGCACTAGTTATCCATGCCTAAAAGTTCGTTTTCTGAAAGCAGAGGGTGAGACTTCTATGCGTGATTACTCCCAAGACTTTGTCACTGTTGACCCACTTTGCTATTTGGATGCTGTCGATCAATACTTGTGGCCTAAAGTTAAGATAGAACCTATGGATTCTGTGGAAGCAAAAGATCAAGCTATAGAATGCCAATCTTCTCAATTGCAGTCAACTTCGATATCTTGTCAAGGTGAAAGCTCGAGTCCTATGGAGATTGACAGTGAGTCTTCTGATTTGCAGGTAATTCCTAAAATGACTTAATCTAGTCTTATGGAAGTAGTGTGTGCAACCTTTCTTTTTATCGTCAGGATTTTCTTCGATTAGGAGTGATTCAAACTTCTCCTACATGAGTTCAGGGGAAGCATTTATGTACTAGAACTGAATTCTCTTCAAATAGTGAAAGTTTTCAAGATGAGCATTAGGTAGTGTTTTGGTTGTTTACTTGACACGAAGTTGTCTTCCTAGGTGTCTTTCCTGCTCTTCGAGCTTCTTGTTCAATAGCCCAGGGGTATTTTAGTAAATTAATCTTGTGTCTCTGACTCTCTGGAATTTTTTTTTTGTGTCAAGGGATCTCAAGTGGAAGATCGGACGCAGCTTCCAGGACTATGTAGTGGTTCAGGACAACAGAATGCTTCCTCCTCTGAAACCTCCTCTGGAAAAGAAGATGCGCTACCTAGTCTTTTGTTTCGTCTTGAAGGGCTTGAACTAGACCGTTCTTTGACAGTATATCAGGCAATTCTCTTGCACAAACTAAAATCAGAAAGTGAAACTACCAACGGTTTGAAGCTTAGTGGACCCCACAACATCACATATGAAAGGGCTGCACAACTTGGGGATTTTCGTGAAAATCTGTTTCCACCCGGATCTATGGAAGGTGATGAGTATCGCCCGTTCTTATCCTATTTGTTTGCTCATCAACTTGCTTTGCGCCTCAAGGGGTCAAGTCCTCCTGCATATGACATATTGTTTCTGCTTAAGAGTCTGGAGAGCATGAACAGATTTCTCTTTCACCTGATTTCTCTTGAAAGGGTTAATGCTTTCGGTGAAGGTAGGCTGGAGAATTTGGATGATCTGAGGGTACAAGTTCGTCCTGTGCCACATTCTGAATTTGTTAGCAGCAAGCTTACAGAGAAGTTAGAGCAGCAGCTTCGTGATTCTTTTGCTGTGTCAACCTGCGGTCTGCCACCATGGTTTAATGATCTAATGGATTCATGTCCGTTTTTGTTTAGTTTTGAAGTCAAATCTAAATACTTCAGACTTGCAGCCTTTGGTTCACAGAAGGTCCATCATCATCCACAGCACCTTAGCAGTTCAAATGTTCAAGGCGAAGGGCGCCCAGTAACTGGCAGTTTACCTCGTAAAAAATTCTTAGTTTGCCGTGAAAAAGTTCTAGAGTCTGCTGCCAAAATGATGGAGTTATATGGCAACCAGAAGGTGGTCATTGAGGTTGAATACAGTGAAGAAGTCGGAACTGGTCTTGGGCCAACACTGGAGTTCTATACACTTGTCAGTAGAGCATTTCAAAATCCTGATCTTGGTATGTGGAGGAATGATTGTAGTTCCTTTGTTGGGAAGCCAGGTGAACACTCGGGAGTTTTGGCATCTTCTTCAGGACTCTTTCCACGACCTTGGTCAGGTACATCAACTACTTCAGATGTGCTGCAGAAATTTACCCTCTTGGGGACAGTGGTAGCAAAGGCTTTACAAGATGGTCGAGTCTTAGACCTTCCTTTTTCCAAAGCCTTCTATAAACTAATTCTCGGACAGGTAAATTGGGTTCTTCAAGTATCTCATTTACATTTCAATATCTCTTTCCGACTTTGTTGGAGAATCTTACAGAGCCTGTTTTCTTTTAGGAGCTGAGTTCATTTGACATCCACTTCGTTGACCCTGAACTTTGTAAAACAATGGTGGAATTGCAAGCTCTGGCACATAGGAAAAAGGTTTTCACTGAAGCACACGGTGATTCTCGACCAGCCAAGTGTGATTTAAGTTTCCATGGAACAAAGATTGAAGACCTTTCTCTTGGATTTGCATTACCTGGCTACACGGACTATGATCTTGCTTCCTTTTCTGATAATGATATGGTATGTAGTGTTTTAGTTCTGTGAATAAATCTATTTCTTAAGATCCTTGAACAAGTGGATTTATATCTGCTTTCCTCTCTTTCTAGGTAAATTTGGATAACCTCGAGGAGTATATCAAGGCTATTGTCAATGCCACGGTATGTAATGGTATCCAAAAACAAGTGGAAGCATTTCAGTCTGGATTTAATCAGGTATGTAGCGTCTTTTCTCTTTAGCTATACTCTTCTCTATAGATTTAACTTTAAGTAAGATTAAATCATTCCTTCTGTTATACATGCTTTTTTCCAGGTTTTCCCTATTGAACATCTTCGGATATTCAATGAAGAGGAGCTGGAAACTATGTTGTGTGGAGAACGCGATCTCTTTAATGTAAGTAAACCTTCAGATGCTACGTGTGGAGTACGTTTTTCATCAGCTGAAAAAAAGTAATTTCTTTGCAGATGAATGATGTCTTGGATCACATCAAGTTTGATCATGGATATACTTCTAGCAGCCCACCGGTTGAAAATGTTGGTTTTTAAAAACTTTTAAAACATCTACTTTTCTTTCTGCATTATGTTATTCTTTTCTGGGATAAACTAAAAGGTTGAATTATTTTGTATTCCAGTTGTTAGAGATTCTGCATGAGTTTGACAGGGAGCAACAACGTGCGTTTCTGCAATTTGTAACAGGATCTCCTCGGCTACCTCATGGCGGTTTGGCGTCTCTCAATCCCAAACTAACAATTGTCCGCAAGGTCCAGTGTGACCGAACTTCTCTGTTTTTTCTCACATTTAGTGAAATGATCTCTTCTGTTTTCTCATAGGCCTTTACTTTTGTTCTGCAACAGCATGGTAGCGATTCTTCAGATACTGACCTCCCTAGTGTGATGACATGCGCCAATTATCTGAAGCTTCCTGCTTATTCATCCAAAGTGATATCTCTCTTCAATCTTTTGTTAACCGCCCACTTAGCTCCGGGTTTTTTTCTGGATAAAAGCCGGTCTCATGATCAATCTCACTGTGTTGTGTTTCTGTTTTTTTCTTGTCTGTGTGTTTGCAGGAGAAGATGAAGGAGAAGCTAATTTATGCCATAACTGAAGGTCAAGGTTCCTTCCATCTCTCTTAAGTTTAGGTTCTTGTAAAAAATTAGCAGAAGCGGTAGGAGAAGAGTGGATTGTTAGAAGAGACAAGAGGAAGCTCTTCCTTCTTCTTCTTAACATGGCTTTTTAAAGTTTTCTTCTTTTTAGGATTTTGTACAAAAGAATAGTAATAAGTAGACGTAGGAAAAAAAAGAAACTCTCTTTTGAACTGATGGAAAAAAGTTGTATATAAAGAAATTCCGAAACTGGTTTTAATATTATTGTATATATTAATTTGGAAATCACACTGTAAAATCCGAAATGTGTGAAATTGACACAGAGCGAGAGATATTGTGTCTAAAATGGGTTTGAGATTTGAGGTATGTAAGAGAGAAGTGATCGATGTTTCACATGGCTCTTCTGGACCACCATCATGATATTTATGCCATTCATACTTCTTTTACCCGCACGTTCATTATGAAATTGCATGGTTGAATCTTGTTTACATACATGTGCCAATAGAAGTTGCAATGTCAATTGGGTATAATAATGAATGATACTGTCTTGCCCCTTAGGCCCTTACCTACTTTCATATCAGACATTTACATCTTTTTCCCAACATGTCCCGTCGATATTTAAACCAATCTAATCAAATAATAAGGATTACATTAGTAGGAGAAATATCAGATCCATTCTTAATCAATGTTCTTCTACCTTACCTGTCATGTTAGTTGTAATAGCCAATAAATACTCGAATTCGGATATAGGTCGATGTTCTGCATTTTAAGTGATGGCTTGAACTACTATAATTAGCTAGTAAACAAATTTGTATAATTTGCCTGTGTGTGGCCGTAAGTACTAGTATTTCTTTTGCATTATATTGGAGAGTATTCCATTATCATAATTAGCTTTACCATACTATTTTCATTGTCTTTTAAACAAATAAATATATATATATCGAATTCAGTGTTTTACAAGTTAAGATACATCAATGACATTTCAGAAATATACAACTTCACAAGATATTTAAACCAAAAAAAAAAATCACAAGATACCACAATCAATACTCAACAAACATTATAATAGTAGGATAGTACATCTACATTAAAATTGATAACATTACTCGAAACATTAAACAAATCATGTCACTGATAATATTGAGTTACTCTTTTGGCAGTGCAACAATAAATTTGGCTAGCGACTTGGCATCTTCAAAAATAGATGGGAAAACAAACACAACCCCTTTTGAGACACACCCAACCCAACATGAAGTAACTTCAAGTCTTTCCCCAAACGTTAAACTCTTATCAAGTACTCCATCATTTGTCTCCTCCAAATCACTACCGCAATCGCAACCGTTAATCACTTCATCATCACTCGAATGTATCTCTACCTTCATACCATCACATTCAGTACTATTTTCGCCACCGCCTTTTTCCTTAATGAACAAGAAAACATCCCCCCTCGTTTTTTTGCGGGTTCCAATGCAGGCTGGTGAAATCTTCAGACATGTTTTGGCCTGAAAAGCAACAGGGTCACCGCGGTCGAGAACCGAGGCTGACCTCGAAAATTCAATGAGGAAATTACCAAAATCTTGCTTGAGAGAAGGGAGGTGGAATATTGGTTTGATTGTGGTTTGAGAATGAGCTAAAGAGGTTTGGATTTGAGCCCATTTGGTTAAGAAATCTGTCTCAAGGAGGAGATCAGCTATTAGGATGCTGCAGCTTATCCCAATTGAGTACCCACCACTCTCAAAATTAGTCACCTATTAACAAATATATATAACAAATCTCAATATTTATATATACGAAGAAACATTTTTTATACCAACAAAAAAAAGAAAAAAAAAATCATCTTATGTCTTGAGGATTTTATTAAAATAAGTTTTTATAATTATAGTCTATATACTGTATTCATTAAAATTTGATAAATCTCATAAATAATGAAATTGCAGATAACCTGAACATAGAACAATGGAGAGTATTGAGGTTCATCTTCATCAATGTCTTTCCAGAAGACAGTCTCTGCTTCAGCTCTGCTTTTGTCTCTCTTCACCATTTCAAGAAAGTCCGGCAAACTCGCCGGAAACTTAGCCTCCACCATCCTAATACCACTGTCATTGGCCACCAACTCCAGACCAGCCTCCGCCGACGTCGTCCTCCTCCGTAGCCTACCGGAAAGCATCGGCTGCTCCGTCAAGGCTCTCCCTAAAGATTCCTTGATCCACCCGGCGACTAACCACCCTCTCTCATCACCAATATTGCATGCTTCTTTGTAATAAGTAACTATGTTCAGCGTTCGCCGGAATATTCCTACTCCGACGGGATCTATGACGGATATGGAACGGATTTCCCGATGTCGCGTCACTTCCACCGGCATGACACTCTGTACTCCGGCGATCATTGACTTAGGAATTTTGGTTTCCATTTTGGTTCGAATTGTGAAATTGTCTTAAGACCGTCCTCTGCTATTTATAGGAACTTAAGTTATTACACAACTTGCAAAACAAAACTTTTGTAATAAAAAGTTGTGCAAAAAATCTGGCTAGTAGTTTAAGAGATGTGCTTTAATGTTATAAATGAAACCCAACAGTAAAATACAGATCCAATTTGAACCAACCTTGAACTAATTGATACTAGTATTAAGTTATTAGTAACAAGTTTTATTTGATCAATGCTTTTTCTCAATTTGCGTATAAGATTAATATGGAGTATTAATGATCATTGACTATTGAGACCCTGAGTCAAGATTTGCGGTTGGGGTAATTAATGATTTGATTTATGAATTTTATCAAACCATAACCTGCAATTAATGATTTGACCTCTGTTAGAAGCAATGTAGTTGTGGGATTCATTTTATGCATTATTTTAGCCGATACAAATATAGGTCGAATTAATTACTTGCCATCTCTTAGATATGTCATGTGCTTCAAAGTTTTGATAAGGACCAAACATATATCTACCAATATTGCATAAAAGAAGATAAATTAAATCATTATGTAGTTATATCAGAAATAGAAATGTTTGATGAGGCCACCGGGTAAATAATGAAGATATAAATCATCTTTCTTGTCTGGTAGTCCTTGAATTACGAAATATGGCGTGAGCGGAACAATTGACTTCGTTCATCAAATCTATCAAGAACTAAAGCTCAAATCTGTAATAAGACCATTGATCTCCTTGTACGTAACATGGCATCATCACTCATGCATCATCGAGTACCATTACTACCTTCAAAATGGTTGCAAACTTGGTTTCACGGACAACACATTCATGGTGCACACACTAGGGGTAGTCTCACTCTTTACTTATTCATCTACTTGGACATTTTGTAGAAAGTAGTCAAATTTTTTTTTGGTCTCTTTTGTAAAGGCCATTCATTTTTGACCCCAAACAATGTATCCATTTAATTTTTTTTTGAGAATCAAAAACCGTGAAGGAAATGGTTGATGCATACAAAAGCATAATGATACGATAAAGACAGGCATGTTTTATCCGTAAACAACATCTAGTTAATGTCTGTGTTAGTAAACAAACACTACTTCTATCTACCAACTGTATATAAGTCGAACCTTATATTGTTGTTAGGTAATGTCTAATTGTCTACTAGTACGTTAATTAGATCTTTTTAAAATATCAAATCATAGAGTCTCTATCGGTGCAAGACAATCAAGAAAGCACTTCCGCAACCTAATGCAACTGTGGTTATCATGAAATCACTCTTTTGAGCCAAAGCTCTGTTTCTGTAAAAGCCAAAGTTTTTCATTTTAACTAATGATATTAACATTCTTAGCAAAAAAAAAGTCTCTATCGTATCATAATGGTTAAATAACCTGCATTTTTATCAGAAAAGAGATATGTTCAACTTCTACCTGTACTATTTACATTATTGTTGGACTGCCGCCCCGCCTAAATTCATTTCTCATAAATTGAAACCCATGATTTCGTCGTGCATGAAGAAATCTATCCAAACTTTGGATAGTCACTCCATTAAATTGAATAATATTTTTTCATAACTTTTAGCAATTCGTTGGCCCTATGTATTTATTAGAGTAACTATATAATTACAGCTTTTTTTTTGACGAATTGTATAACATGTATTTTTTTTTTTTTGTAACATCTACTTTATTTAGATAGTAAAAGGTTGATACAAGTAATTCACCAACCAATGTGGTGGAACATTGAAAGATTGATACAAGAGATTCATTTTTGTAGCTTGTCGTGATAACATGTATTTATAATTATTATTTTAGATCTTAAAAAAACATATAATTATTCTTTTTTACATCAATTAAACGTCAAAATTTGGTGATTGTTAATGATATTTTCTCTTTATTTTTCACAGAATCCAATTTTGTAATTCTCATGCAAATCTTACACCAAAGTTACCCAAAATCTTTCTTTCCTATTTTGTCACATGTTTTTAATATGAACCTTTTTTTTTGTTTTCTAAAATCTTAACAGATTCACTGACAATGGCGGAGGAGGGCCGAGAAGGTGACGGCGACACCGCCGCCAGTGAAATCGCTATCCACCGCGAAATCAAACCAACCGGCGATTGAATCGATTTCATCATCTCTCAACCAGACGTGATCCTCCCACACATCCTCTTCTTTATTCCAACCAAAATCGCCATCAGAACCTCCGTCTTGTCCAAACGATGGAAGCATACTGGTCCAATGGCAATACACCTTCTCTCTCCGTCATTGATAAGCCAAATCCTAACTTACTACAGAGCTCCGAAGATGACGAGTTAGCAAGTTCTGAAGAACATAGCGATACAGATGGAACAGAGTCATACGCAGGAGCAAGTGAGTATATGCATGAAGAGTCTCAAGATCTTCCTCCTCCTCGAGATCCTTTAAGACAATCTTTTAAACGTTCTGGTAACTCGGATCCAATTCAAGAAGCAAGACTTATAGTTTCTCAGATTCATTCTATGTCAATTTCAAATCTGAAGCAACTCAAATTGGATTTTTATTATTCTGAAATGATTCCCAAATGCTCAGTGTTTTGGAAATCCCTAAAGAGCTTGTCTTTTAACTGGTTGTAAATTTTCCGATGAGTCTTTTCCTAAGATTCTGTCTGGTTCTCCAGTTCTGGAAAGCTTGGAATTGAAGTTATGTGATTCACCTCGGCTTCTTGATCTGAGTACATCACTGAATCTGAAGAGTTTGGTTTAAGGGGCCATTGCAGATTGTGGCCACATCTTCATTCCAAATTTTATAAAAAATCAGTACTAATTATAAAAAACGATTCATTTTTAATGTCAAAAAGGGCATTCATTTCGTAATAGTTAAAAATGACATCTGTAACAACATGTTTTAAAAGTTACTTTTATTCGTTAGAAATTATTTTGTCTTTTTTTTACTTAATTTTTTTTTGGTCCTTTATAATTCCAAAAAAAAACTTATTGTATTTTAGAAAAAAATTATTATACAGAAAGACAGCGTCTCCGCGGCGGTTGAAATCCCTAGCGACCACTCTCTGATTCTCCTCCCCGCCAAAACATGATAACAGGCGATTCAATCGACGGTGTAGATTTCATCAGCTCTCTACCTGACGTAATTCTCCACCATATCCTCTCCTCTGTTCCGACCAAATCCGCGATCAGAACCTCTCTCTTGTCCAAACGATGGAGGTATGTTTGGTCTGAGACACCTTCTCTCTCCATTGATTGCCGTAGAACCGACCCTAATTCGATCGACAAAACCCTAGCTTTCTTCTCCGCTCCCAAAATCACGAGCTTCCATCTTTGTACAAGCTTACTCAACAGGATTGATCCTCTTAATAGCTGGATCGAATTCGCCATTTCTCACGACGCAGAGAAGCTTTCACTGGAGTTTCGTGATTTCCGTGTTAGGGATTACAAGTTTCCTGATTTCTTCTACACCAATTCATCTGTGAAGCAACTTTTGGTCAACTCTGGATCTGTTGATTTGATTCCCAGATGCTCTGTCTCTTGGACATCTCTAAAGAACTTGTCTTTAAGCTTTTGCACACTTTCTGATGAATCATTTCTTAAGATTCTTTCTGGTTCTCCACTTCTGGAAAGCTTGGAATTGTTGTACTGTGCTGAATATATGTGTCTTGATCTGAGTCAATCACCGCGTCTAAAAAGATTGGAGATTGACCGTAGCGATTGGTTTATGGGGCCAACGAAGATTGTGGCACCGCATCTACATTGTTTGAGATTGAGACACTCTCGGTTACCATGTAGTTTAGTGGATGTCTCTTCTTTAACCGAAGCTGACTTGAACATTTACTTTTGCGATCTTAAAACACTTACCGCTGATTTTCTTCAACATAATGTTGTAAAGATGCTACAAATGTTGCAGAATGTAGAGAAGCTTACTATTGGGGGTACCTTTCTTCAGGTTCGTTTGCCATTTTTTGCCTTCTCTAACACCTACAAATCTCTGTGTTTTAGAATCACATAGCATGCTCTTTTGGAATCAGTTGGTTTTGTTTGCGTTGGCAGATATTGGTTGACCAGGCTTTGATATTCAGTTTCATGATTACTTACTAAAATATTATGAAAGTATGGACCCTGATGCTAAGTATTTGATCAATGGCTCTTGACTTTTTTTTTTTTATGAGGTCTGTGTTTTGGTGTATTAACTATATTTGCATACCTTGCAGATGTTATCTCTTGCCGCGCTCTGTGGTGTACCTTTTCCGACGCTCAAGATCAAAACTTTGACTCTTGAAACGATGATTATTCGGTCTGTTATTCCTGGTATAACAAAGCTGCTACGGAACACATCTGGATTAAGAAAGCTAACAATTCACACTGTGAAAGGCAGCAGCATATCGGTATCTTTACCATGAAACCTCTTTTATTCTCCTTCATATATCTGACCATAGTTAACTATGACAAAGTAGGATTTATCCAAGAACCATGATGAAGTTTTTTGGATACAAGTAGTATTTATTCTCCTTTAAGATATTGACACTCTTTCCGGATACAAGTTTTTAGTTTGCATGATGAAATCCATTTTTTCTGGTTGACAGGAATTGCATCTGAACGCCTACTTGCGTTTACATAGCTTGAATCAGCGTCAATGCTGGAGATCAAAAGACTCAGTCTTCCCGGGCTCTCTTGAGACCATTTCGATGTTGGTGGGTAAACATGCAGAGTCCAATCTGGTGGCTTTGTTCATGGAACGTCTACTGAAAAGTACAAAAAGTCTAGAAACCATGGTTGTACTCTTGGTAGGTTACCTTGATGCATCAGGTTTTGAAGAACTTCTTGCAATGGCTACAACACTTTCTCACAACAACGATGTCTTCGTTTTGATTAAACGAAGCTATATAAAGTGTGTATCCAACACTTTCCCTCAGCGATAATGTCTTAATTGATCAAAAGCAAAAGCCATTGTTAAATATGTATCATTAAATTGTATACTGAATCTGTATAAGTCAGATTAGTTGTATTTTAAATTTTCAATAAAATTTCTAGTTGACCACTTCTATATAGCCTTTTGTTTTGTTTCGTGTCACTTCAAGTTCACGTTCAAATCCGATCCAACTTGAAGTGATGTTTTTATCCATGATCGAATTTGTCAATTTGAGATCCATCAAGAGCTAACTAGAGATTTAGATTTATTTTAAATAACAAATATTCATAAATCTAAATCCTAAACTTTAACTAAACATTTAGATTTAGCAAAGAAACAAAAAAAAAAGGTAAACATTTGTAGGTCTAGAAAAGTAAAAAGTAACTCCAGACCTACAAATGTTTACTTTTTTTTGTTCAAAATCTAAACAAAATAATTTACTACCTTAATTTTTAAAGACTCCATAAATAAATCAGTAAAAATCAATATTTAACTCTCTTTCTAATTACTCTATTAATCATAACAAAAAGTATTTAACTAATTTTGCAACATAGAAGATATTTTGAAAACTGCTGGCTATGGAAAACGATTCCCGAGAAGAAGACCTAGCCACCGTCGCTATAGGAAACCCTAGCCACCGTTTCAGTCGTCCTCTCAAACTCGAACAAGCAAGTGATTCAAACGACGGTGTAGACTCAATCAGCTCTCTACCCGACGACATCCTCCACTGTATCCTCTCCTTTTTCCCGACCAATTTCGCCATCAGAACCTCTGTCTTGTCCAAAAGATGGAGGCATGTATGGTCCGAGTCACCTCATCTCTCCTTTGATCAGCATAGAATCTCCGCTGAATCGATAAACGAAACCCTAAACAACTACACGGCCATCAAAATCACAAGTTTCCATCTTCTCACAAGCTTGCTCAACAGGGTTCACTTTGTTAATGGTTGGATCGAATTCGCCATTTCTCACAACGCAGAGAAGCTTTCACTGGATTTTCGTGATGTTAGGGATTACAAGTTTCCAGATTTCTTCTACACCAATTCCTCTGTTAAGCAACTCTTGATCAACTCGGGACCTGGTGAGTTGATTCCGAGTTGCACCGTTTCTTGGACATCTCTAAAGTACTTGTCTTTGATCTTTTCTAAACTCTCTAATGAATCTTTTCCTAAGATTCTGTCTGGTTGTCCACTGCTGGAAAGCTTGACATTGCATAATTATGATTCAGTTAAGTATCTTGATCTGAGTAAATCGCTCTACTTGAGAAGATTGGATATAATTTGCTGCAATACGGTTCGAGAACCAATGAAGATCGTAGCACCACATATCCATTATTTGAGATTGAGAGGACAATGCACTCTACTTGATGTCTCGTCTTTAACTGAAGCTGACTTAGACTCTTCAGATAACTATTTATTTCTTAGTTTCTCTTATTATAAATCCGACTCCTTGATGCTAGTCATGGTGCAAGCAATGCTAGAGAAGTTGCAGAACGTAGAGAAGCTTGCTCTTGGGGTTGACTTTCTTCGGGTAATGTTGCCATTCTTTAAATCCTTAATTCTCTGTTGTAGACTCACTTAAGCTGCAATTAGTTGGTTACACAGTAAATATTGGTTGATGGATAAGGCTTTGATATTCAAGTATAAGCACATATCCTTAAGTAATTCTTGAAGATGCGTTTCCATGTAGATGTTTTGAAAACATGAACATGATAACTAGATTATGATTAACGGTTTTCTTTTGTTGAGAGTTGTGTGTTTGATATTCATTATCTTCTTATACTTTTGTGTCAACCTTTTGTTAGATTTTATCTAAATCCAAGCTCCATGGTGTTCCTTTACCGAAGCTCAAAGTCAAAACTTTGACCCTTGAAACAATGATTATGCGACCTGCGGTTCTTGGTATAGCAAGACTGGTACAAAACTCGCCTCAAGTAAAGAAGATAACAATTTACACAACGCAGTTCAGCACCGTACTGGTATCTTTTACCATGAACCTCTTTTACTATCCTTCGTATATTACAAAATGCATTTGTCCTTCCCTTTCTTTGGTTAATCTAGAAGATTGAGATATGTACAGACTTTAAAAGGGTGATAGTTTTCATGATAAAATCTTATTCTGGTTTGCAGGATAAATGCGACAGCTTCTTGGAGTTGCAGAACTTGAATCCGAATCAAGGTTGGAGATCAATAGATGTGGTCTTTCCGACCTCGTGGGATTCTAAAGTTCCTGAGCCGGAACTCATGGTTTCGTTCATTGAACTTTTGCTGGCAAACACAATTACCTTAGAGACATTGGTTGTACGGTTGGGAAGTTACACTGATGATTATAGGTCAAGATTTGAAGAGCAGTTTCAAATCGCTCTAACGCTTTCTCACAACAATGAGGTCTCAATCGTGCTCAAGTGAAGCAGTGTTAAATCATGTAACATTCTGGTTTTAGTGTAGGATCCCATAGAACCCATCTTTATACTAGGGGGGAATTAGTTCAGCTTCACCAAATTTAACCTCTATTAGTGAGTATATATGGTCCTCACATTCACATACTAAACTATCCTGCTAAGTATGTCTTCTTGTGTTCTCGTTATTATTATTATTTTTATGTTCTCGTTATTATTATTTTTTTTTTATGAGATCAAGCCTCATTTTTCAGTTGATCACTTTTAAGGAACCCTAACCCTAAAAAATACTCGTATTTGATAAATTTGCAATTAAATTAAGGAACCCAAAAAATTGTTTGATAACTTGAAAAATGAAAATAGTTAGCTATTTTAATTTTCCTTAAAACGATTTTTTTTCTTCTAATTATTCCACTAAAAATACTAAATCAATAATTAGTAACAACACTTGAAGATTTTTTGAAATCCGATTGGCCATGGAAGAGGAAGACCACGCCACCGTCGCTGTAGGAAACCCTAGCGACCGTTTCGATCGTCCTCTCGAAATCAGACGATCAAGTGATTCAAGCGATGGTGTAGACTCAATCAGCGATCTACCCGACGCGGTTCTCCAACATATCTTCTCCTATATTCCGACAAAGTTTGCTATCAGAACATCCGTCTTGTCAAAACGATGGAGACATGTATGGTCCGAGACACCTCATCTCTCCTTTGGTTGGTTCAGTGGTTCCCCTAATTTGATAAACAAAACCCTAGCCAGCTACTCGGCTTCCAAAATCACGAGTTTCCATCTCTGTACCCGTTACTGCTACAAGGCTAACCATGTTAATAGCTCGATCGAGTTTGCAATGTCTCACAACGTTGAGAATCTTTGTCTGACGATCAGTAATCTCACAAGGAGTTATTGTTTTCCTGATCTTTTCTTCACCAACTCCTCTGTGAAGCAACTCTTGGTCAATTTGCAACATCTTTACACCAAAAAAAAAAAAAAATTGCCTTTTGTGAATTTGAGTCCCGGATGCACCGTTTCTTGGACATCACTAAAGAACTTGTCTTTGAGCTCTTGTAAACTCTCTGATGATTCCTTACTTAAGATTCTGTCTGGTTGTCCAATCCTGGAAACCTTGAGTTTGAAGTTTTGTATCTCACTCATGTATGTTGATCTGAGTAAATCGCTGCGCTTGACAAGATTGGAGATAGAACGCCGCAACCCTTTTCCAGAACCAATGCAGATTGTGGCGCCACATGTCCGTTATTTGAGATTGAGAGACTCTGAGGCACAATGCACCTTACTTGATGTCTCTTCTTTAACAGAAGCTAATGTAGACTTTACCGATTTTCATCCTAGAACCCTTTATCATGGTTTTGAGCCCTTAGACCCTAGTGTTCTTCTAGTCACGGTGCAAACGATGCTAGAAAAGTTTCAGAACGTAGAGAAGCTTACTTTGGGGGTTAACTTTCTTCAGGTAATAATCTTACCATTCTTTAAATCCTTTTAATGCCTCTAGAAATCTCAATGTTGCTGAATCAATATCTCTTTAGAATGAACAGTCAATATTTTGGTTGATTGATAAGTTTTCATAAGGCTTTGATATTCTTGTCCCTCTTTATCATCGTTTCTCTGTGGATAACATGATCAAACATGCTAATTACTTTATGACTAAAGGTTTTGCTTTGGCTTTTCATTTGTTGAGAGGTCTGTTTTTTTGTGGTACTCACACCTTTCTGTGCTTTTTTGTCAATCTTTTGTTAGATATTATCTCTTTCCAAGATCCCTAGTCTTCCATTACCGACGCTCAAAGTCAAAAATTTGACTCTTGAAACAATGATTATGCCAATTGTGGTTCCTGGTATAACAAGGCTATTACAAAACTCACCTGGATTAGAGAAGTTAACAGTACTTTACACAATTGACGAGTGCAGCCTCTTACTGGTATCTCATTACCGTGAACCTCTTTAATTACCTTTAATATATTACATAGTACAAACAACCCAAAAAAGAAGCATGGCCTTCCCTTTCTTTTCTGTTTTGCAGTGGGAGTGTGTCAACAGCTACTTGAAGAAGCAATTGAAAGATGTGGCCTTTCTCTTTCCGTGGGAGTATGCAGTTGTAAAGCCGAAAGTCATGGCTTCGTTCATGGAACTTTTGCTGGCAAACACAAAAACGCTAGAGACATTGGTTTTACATTTGGGAAGTTGCATTAATAGATCAAGATTTGAAGAGCTGTCTCAAATCGCTCTAAAGCTTTCTCATAACAATAAGGTCTCAATTCTGCTCAAGTGGAGCGGTGGCTGATCTCATTCAACATTTTTATATGGGTTGATTTTCAACTTAGAGAAGTGTCTTGGAAGTTTAGTGGGGAAGTTAAATTATGCTCAAGTGAAGCGGTGTTATATTATGTAACATCAGGTTTTAGTGTTTTGGTATCAACTACTTTTATGTGTCATTATTATGTTATGTTAAGTATGAATCCAACACCTTCTTACAATGTGATAAATATGTTATAAATTTTCAATTACATTAAGGAACCCTAACTTATAGTATTTGATAACCTAACAAGCAGATAATTAGTCCCACTGCCACATTTTTGCAACACAAGATTTTTTAAAATCCGATGGCCATTGAAGAGGAAGACCAGGCCACCGTCGCTGTACGAAACCCTAGCGACCTTTTCGATCGTCCCGTCGAAATCAAACGATCAAGAAGTGATTCAATCGATGGTGTAGACTCAATCAGCGATCTACATGATGCGGTTCTCCAACATATCTTCTCCTATATTCCGACAAAGTTCGCGATCAGAACCTCCGTCTTGTCCAGGCGATGGAGACATGTATGGTCGGAGACACCTCATCTCTCCTTTAAATGGCTCAGTGTTTCCCCAGAATCGGTCAACAAAACCCTAGCCAGCTACAAGGCTTCCAAAATCACGAGTTTTCATCTCTGTACCCGTTTAGCCATCACGGCTCACCATGTTAATAGCTGGATCGAGTTTGCAATGTCTCACAACGTGGATGATCTTTTTCTAGAGTTCCGTGGTTATCTCACAACGATGAATTACAGTTTTCCAGATTTCTTCTACAGCAATTCCTCTCTAAAGAACCTCATAGTAGACTCACGATGTAATGAAATGATTCCCAGATGCACCGTGTCTTGGACGTCACTAAAGTACTTGTCTTTGAGCTGTTGTGAACTCTCTGATGAATCCTTTCTTAAGATTCTGTCTGGTTGTCCAATCCTGGAAACCTTGAGATTGTATAGTTATAATTCAGTTAGGTATCTTGATCTGAGTAAATCGCTGCACTTGAGGATATTGGATATAGATTTCTCCTGTTTTTTTAGAGGACCTATAAAGATTGTGGCGCCACATATCCATTATTTGAGATTGAGAAACTCTGAGGCACAATGTACTTTAGTTGATGTCTCCTCTTTAACTGAAGCTAAAGTAGACTTTAGCTATATCGAACCAGGTTGCTGTTATTACAGTTTTCAGCTCTTGAAGCCTGATGTTCTTCAAGGTATAGTGCAAGCAATGCTAGAAAAGTTTCAGAACGTAGAGAAGCTTACTTTTGGGGTTAACTTTCTTCAGGTAATAACCTTACCCTTCTTTCATTCTTTAAATCCTTAATGCCTATAGAACTCTCTATGTTAAAGAATCACTTGCACGCTAAAGTGTCTATGTAGATGTTCCGAAAACATGAACAAAGATGGTAATTAGTTTATGATCAAAGGTTTGCTTAGGTTTTTCTTTTATTGAGAGGTATGCATGTGTTTTGGTTTGGTACTCACTATATATTTGTGCCATTTTGTCAATCTTTTTTTATAGATTTTATCTCTTGCCAAGATCCCTAGTCCTGCATTACCGAGTCTCAAGGTCAAAACTTTGACTCTTGAAACAAGGATTATGCGATCTGTGGTTCCTGGTATAGCAAGGCTGCTACAAAACTCACCTGGATTAAAGAAGATAACAGTTTACACTACTAAGAAGTGCAGCACCATAGTGGTATCTTTATCATGAATCTATTTTATTACCTTTTATATATTATTACAAAACTACAAACAACTCAAAAGAAGCAGCACCATAGTGATATATTGTGGAAATCTGAGATATATTTATCTACAAGGTTTTAGTTTTTAAGATGAAATCTTTTTTTTTTCTGTTTTGAAGGAGACATGTGTTAACAGCTACTTGGACGCGCAAGACTTGAATCCGGATCAATGTTGGAGATTGAATGATGTGGTCTTTCCGACATCATCAAAGTCTGAAGTTGTAAAGCCAGAACTCATGGCGTCGTTCTTGGAACTTTTGCTGGCAAACACAAGAACGCTAGAGACATTGGTTTTACATTTGGGAAGTTGCATTGATAGATCAAGATTTGAAGAGCTGTCTCAAATCGCTCTCACGCTTTCTCACAACAAAAAGGTCTCAATTGTGCTCAAATGAAGCTGTGGCTGGATCCCATTCAACATTTATATAAAATATGGGCCTAGGTCCATAGCCCAAAAACTGTTTGTCTTAGGCCCTATATTGTTTTAACGGGCCTGAACATAGCCCATTATGAATAAGATATATTGATTAGAGAGATTTAGAGCTAATAAAAGAATTAAGATTTGTTTTAGAGCTAATACTCTGATTCTATTCTCCGCTACCAAAACAGAATGACCGGAGATTCAATCGCCGGTACGGATTTCATCAGCGCCTTGCCGGACGCAATCCTCCATCTCATTTTCTCCCGTTTTCCGACTAAGTTCGTGATCAGAACCTCTGTCTTGTCCAAACGATGGAGGCATGTATGGTACGATACACCTTCGCTCTCCATAGATTGCCGTGAAGCCGACCCTAATTCGTTAATCAAAACCCTAGCCAACCACTCTGCTCCTAGAATCACGAGTTTCCATCTCTGTATCAGCAGCAAGGCTCACGACATTAACAGATTGATCGAATTTGCCATATCTCGTAACACCGAGAAGCTTTCTCTGGACTTTCGTGATGGTAATTACAATTTTCCTGAGTTCTTCTACAACAATTCCTCTTTAAATCAACTCGTGGTTGACTCAGGAGCTCTTGATACGATTCACCACGTCTCTTGGACATCTCTAAGAGACTTGTCTTTGAGTTTCTGTAAACTCTCTGATGAATCTCTTGCTATGATTATCTCTGGTTCACCACTGCTCGAAAGCTTGACATTGCATCACTGTGATAAACTTGGGATTCTTGATCTGAGCAAATCGCTGCAGTTAAAGAGATTGGATTTAGATAATCAGGGACCAACGCAGATTGTGGCGCCACATATTCATTGTTTGAGATTGAGACACTCTCAGTCACAATGTGGTTTAGTGGATGTCTCTTCTTTAAGCAAAGCTTACTTGAACATCTACTGTACAAGTTTTTATCATTTCAAATCTGATTTGCTTCAAGTTTATGTGCTAAATATGCTTCAAAAGTTGCACAATGTGGAGAACCTTACTTTTGGGGCTGCCTTTCTTCAGGTAAGCTGTTCCTCCTACATAGAGTGTTCTTGTAGAATCAGTTGCTTGCACACAGTAAATATTGATAATTCTAGTGGGTTTAGATTGTTTTGAGCCAATTTGTCATTGGTAGATTATTCTGAAAACATGAACGATAAGCTTCGTTTTGCATTTTTTGTCATTTTCTAGATGTTATCTCTTGCCGAAATCTGTGATATTCCTTTTCCGATGCTCAAAGTCGAAGTTTTGACTCTTGAAACGATGATTGTTCCGTCTGTCATTCCTGGTATAGCAAAGCTGTTACAAAACTCACCTGGAGTGAAGTTGCTAAAACTAGACATTGTGAACAGCAACATCGTACCGGTATACTTACCACGAACCTCTTCTCTTATTCCTACAGTACATTATATCATAATCCAAAAACCATGTCCTTTACTTTTCCTAATCTATATTGATTGATAAAGAATCTTTAAATTCTAAAGTTTGCATGAAACATTTTATGTTTTACAGGATGCTGATCTTAATTACTACTTGGATTTGAAAGACTTGGATCAGAATCAGTGCTGGAAACCAAAAGATTTGGAGTTCTCGACTTCTTTTCAGCCGAAACTCATGACTTCATTCATGGAGTTTCTACTGGAAAACACTACAGAAGACAATATATCTCAGTACAATTGGCAACTAAGCTGACGGTAGGCAATGATAAGGAAGACTAGGATATAAACAAGACCCATTTGTTCAACTGGATGGGAGGTTACATTGATACAACTGAATTTGAAACAAATGATTGAGATGGTTCTTACTTTCTCACAACAAACAATTGTTTAGTTTTCTATCATCTTATCAACTCAATGCTGTCTTAGTCTTTAAATCATGTCTTTATGTTTGGAACCTTTATTTTTTTTTATTGCATATAATAGGTTTTACCATTTTCCGGTCAAAAGACTGATTTTATTTCAGGGTCAAAGAAAGAATGAAATGTACAAGGATTTGTTTCTTTGTACAAAATCAGCAGACTTATCTTGATGCTTGCATTAGTGAGAAACTATAACATGTGGAATATCAATCTCTCTATAGCTTCATAGTGTTATAAGTTGGTCTCCTTCAAGCTCTGATATAACAATCAATGAGTCTCCCACTTCGAGGGAGAGAGGTTCTGTCTTTGGAATCGGATTGATTACCTGCAACAACAACAACAAACCTGAGTTTGTGAAGAGGAAAAAGGTTAATGTCTGTTGCAGAGTAATATAAAACAGTACCTTTTTACCGCTTTTTATGTAGCCTATGGCAACTTCTCTCCTTAGCCAAGCTCGCTCTGAGAGCTCCGTGAATGAAGGGTTCTCGCCCTCTTTCATGTACAGTTCAATGTCCTGTGTGTTCGAAGCAAACTCAAGATTCTCAGACCAGCAAGGATTGTGAATATTGTAAAAGTTACTGGCAAAAAGATTTGAAGTAAGAGTGTGTTTTTCTTGTTTAACCTTTATGTATATCTCATCACCCTCTGCGTCCAAAATGTCCTTCCATACCTCGTTTAGTTCGCTGTTTTCAGCAACTGATTATAAAGAAAAGAGTATTAGTATTGTTCGGATTGCGTGTAGATAGACAAGAAACAAAGATCGAGTAGATGAAATGTAACCTTGTGCTGTTACAAGACTCATAATTTCCTCTGCTGCTATGAATGTCAAGGACGGCTTGAGTCTTGTTATCTGGTATGGTTTTGTATAATGTTTCAGCAACTTAACCGTAAAAAAGCTAACAGGAACAAAACAAAAAAGCCTTTCTATACCTGCTTGCCGAGTTTTGTGTCGACGATTTCAGAGGCTAGATTATGTACCTAAAGTAACAACAATAGTAAGATGAAAGTTCAATGAAGTAGGATGCGTTTAATAGTCACCAACATTACCTTAACTCCAAGCTGGTTGCAGATGCTTTCAGCGAGGAGAAGAGAGTAAGCAGATTGTTTGTCTGCTCTAGATGGATCTAAAAGATATCACACTATTTGTTAGTGTTATCATTATTTCCAAAGAATCAAGAAGAATAAATCATGAATGCATACCTCCAAGAAGCAAGTCTCGATCCGATATAACAATGATAGTCAGACGAATATCTTCTTCACCTTTTTCATATTTACTTTGCATGTTCATTATACTTTCCTTCAATGTATCATAATCCATATGATTCCCAACCTGCAAAAGATTGAAAAACATCAATACACAATGATTTTGAAGCTAATTCTTGTTCTTTCCAGTGAAAATGAAATTTACGCTATGTGAAACTTGGATGTTCTTGATTTTTCCAAAACCTATACTCTTGTCCAGTCCTCTTCTGTCCTCTAACGGTACATCTGATAATATTTCCTGTGTATAAAGAAAATTATTAGTAACTCATTTCATGAGAGCCAACCAGAGAGAGATAAAGGTATATGAGTATACCAATGAACTTCCTGGACCAAGATAATTATCAAACTCCTTGATCATATTCACAACATCTCCACGCCAACCAAGCAAAAGTATAGATTCTTTGGGTCCTTTGAAAGAATCTGATACCTGTGTAAACCATATAAATGAACGTCAAAGGTCTCAAAAGCCTAATATCATAGATAGTTCAAGCATTGTAGGGGGACAGTTCGGAGTCAGACCTTTGATAAGGATTTACTAGGACGCGATACAATCTTTTCTAGCCGTGATTGTTTTTCCTCGAACACTTGCTTCCTAGTATCATCAGTCTCATCTACTGTCATGTTCTCAGTTTTCATGTCAGTATATAGAAATTCCTTCTTGAGAGGTGCAAGAAACAATAGTTTGTCTGTTGTCATGAGCTCTTCATCATCATTTGGATGGAAATTTACTTTCCCATCTCGTAAAAGGCCACAGACCACAACCTGGAAGGAGGAACACATCTCTTAAAAGGCCCACAGACTAAAAGGTAATGATTCAAAAACATGCTCAAAACATTGTCAATCCTACCTCCTGGAACCCCAGTCTTAATTGTCTATACTTCATCCCAGTTAGATTGGGGAAGCTGCAAAGGTTAAATACATTTTCTGCAACGAGTAGAGACTTGGTACTAATCAGTCTTGAATACAAACTTAATACAAAAACATTAAAATTTCAGACATATAGTATCTTACTTGAGTAATTTAGTAGGTGCTTGTAGATCTTTATCAGGTCCTTTTGACGTGAGCATTGGACAAACAATTTGGATGTAGAATTTTCAACCGGCTCCACTTTCAACCCCGATATGGACTTGAGAAGATCATACGTATTAGAGCTTGATACCTGCATTCATTTTCAGAAGCAAAGAAAAGCAAAAGATAGGAAACAAATCAGCACTATAAACAGAAAACCATTGCTACACAATCTTCAGTTACCTCTACAATGGTTGGGATGGATTCCATCTTTTGTATAGGTTCAAGGGCCAATACAGAAAGAAATGCGTCTGTATCAACTTCATACCTGAAACAATGTTTAACTTAATTGATTCCTCTTTTACAAACTACTGACAGATTTTAGAACAGATTCATTCTTTGTTCCCCATGAAAGTTTCTTACCGATCACCTTTCGTTGGTAGTATGATAATGGCACGGGCCATACAGGCGGCAGCCCTCTCAAATGACTTTGTCATGTTAAGACTACAACTGCACTGGTAGAAACATGAAATCAGCATTGTAATATATATACAAACCAACAAGAACAATAATTAATATGGCATGAATTGATTTCAGGTTCACTTGTGCATATTACCTCTTTGTAAGGATGTCAAGTTGATCAAAATCTTTGGCGTACGCCTCAGCTAGCTTGTCCATCTCTTTCCTTGGAGTATCAGACATGAGCAGAAGTGTCTGCTTCCTGAAAGCATATAACAATGAAAAGTGATTAGCCAAGTCAACATAAGCGGGGAAATTAAATTAATGCAGTGACCAAATATAAATTACCTAGCTGTGGCGGTACCTAAGCGGACAGCATGCTGTTGATAACTGTTGAGTTGCTTTAGTATGAAAGGCAGATGACTGTTTATTCCACAAATGATGATATGGTCAGATTCTAGGACTTGCATATGTGCCCCTTCCCTCACTTTTTTCATATGATACTGCACAAGACAAATCGATCAGGATAACTTGTACCAGTTAACATTCAGTAGTGTTTATATCTCAAAAACGTACCCGAAATTGCTCCGTCATTGTGCTTAAAAGACGAGAGTAAAACACTATTCCCCAAATGGCTAGGACTAATCCAATGAATCTTTCGAAGCGTGTCTTTTGCTGCAGTTATCAGTAAACATATACACATGCACTTATTTAGTAGCAAGAACTCCATAGAAATATGGTGAGACTTATATAAGTTGTTCTGTGAAAAAGCAAATCATGACCTCCAGATGAGTATCAGAGTTAACGAGGCATGCCCAGGCCTCCCAGAGGCAGTCTTCTAAGGATGTATCTTTCCTTCACAACAAGAAGGGAATAAAAGTAAGAAACCATGCAATGGAAAATCACAAGAAGTTCTTAAATAAAGCTATATTACCTGAATTTGAAAAAGAAGAATCCTCCAATGATAACAAACGAAAAGCATGTTATCAGAAGCACCACAAACACCCTACAATAGCCATGACAAGTGATCAGAACGGATCTCAAATATAATCACATGCCTGCTAACAACAATACTCGAGCAAAATTCTGATACTACATAAAAAGTATTGGGTAAAGGACATACGTGCCAAGGTTCTTCTCAAGCTGAGTATTGAAGAGGTAAGAAGACCTTGCAAGACCCCATTTGATATCATGGGAAGAAGGAATGGCCTTGAGTAAAGGATGTTTGTCTATAGAGTTTGATGCACAAGCAAAAGGCAAGCCAGCCTTCACTGAGTTCTGAATGAGATTGGGAAGCTCTTGAAATATCTTTTGCGCTATCCTCGACACCACATACAGTGGGATGCATCCTATCACAAGTTTATATGGAAGACTCTGCATATCAATTAAGAAGATTATATTATAAGCATATGGAGAGATAATACATTCAGTGACACAAGTAAAACACAAAGAGATCAAAAAATTCTATAGCTTCACCTTAAAGAATTTGGAATTGAAATCTTTCAAGTTTTTATTAGGCGGCTCTGTATCTCCTGTCTTTTGAGATTTGACTTTGAAGGTCCCTGTCATATAGAGATAAAATAACATTAGCTAATCAAGTAGTAGGAGTCTCATTGAGGAAGAACACCAATAACGAGACCCTGAAGAATTGCATAAAAATTGGAAGAATATTCAGAACCTGACCTCTGAGACTAAAAGACTTAATCCCACCTAAAGGCAGAGTGTGTAAACTCAAGCTCCTGCAAACAAAACAAAACAAAAAAATATTACTGTTTTCAGAGATACACAACCCAATGAGCTTTGATTGAATGACAATTTTCAGTTTTTGTATCAATTTACGAAATACCTTATCTTATTAACCAAATTTCCATTTGAAACTAAACCCTAAACCCAGATTCATTCAGAACTTCCATTATAATTCCAAATTTAAATAGAAAAAAAAAAATTGGCTATTCTTTTAGTATATAGAACTTGTTGAGAGGATTCTTGAGAGAGAAGCTCAGGAGATTCTCTGATTACTTTGTATTGATCACTTAGATGATAAAAGATCGTGTTCTCTAAGTTTTTTTATCAGTTTATTTGGAAAAACAGAGCTTATTTCTAACAAAAACACTCAAAACTTCTGAGCATCACACATTTCGTAATCATTATCTTATGGATAAGTCACCACCATGCAATTGTTTTCAAAATTATCAAGTATAATTAAGAAAGGAATTTAAAAAAACAAAAAACCTGTTAAAAGAAGCGAACCGATCCCTGCTAAAAGCTTGTGCAGGTAGAATCAATGGCTTCCAGGTAATCAACTGAACAGCCACCATATCTCTCTACAATCTGCTCGATTTATTTTACGCTCTCTTTGTTTCTCTCCTTGAATATATATATGGATGGATACAAGGCTGGTTTTTTAGATTTTTGCATTATTAATTTTGTTGTTATATTGTTTTGGACCATATTAGTTAGCTCGTGGGGTGTTATCAACATAAAAACAAATCGACTAATTTTTTTTTGGCGTAGAAATTTCATTTAAACAAGTAAACAACGCAATGGAATCGCATCCATAGAACCGGAATAAAAACAAAATGGTACACAATAAACCACCTTATCACTTTGTATTTTAACTACTTTCTCTTATTCCACTCACTATTCACGTTTTTATATACATATACAAGTGTACATGTGCTAATAAACGAATATTTTGTAGTACTAGTTTTGTTTCTATCGTTAAAATCTCATCCACAATTTGATGAATCTCGAACGTTATTGGCTCCCAAAATATCCTCTTCAATGGGGTTACCAAACGAAAAGGAGTTTTGAGACGCACGTGACATAACCATAAAAACGACTAACACACAAAGAAAATGGATTTAGCATTTTCTTGACCATTGAGAGCTAAGAACTTACAGAATAAACTCTATTAATGTATGAATTGATATATAGTATTTTGTTATTCTGTGAGGAGTACTTGAAAATACACCCAAAAGAAGTTTTTTAAAATACCATGTTTTAGTAAACCATTTCAAACAAAGCTTTTTTGACCCAAAAAATAATAGTAGTAAACAAAGTTTAGAAAACTTTCATAAATACTAATGTTTTCCTAAAAAAATTGGTGATTTTTTCAGAAAGAAATGTGATGTTCTTAGAATTTACTTATTCTGTCTTGTCAATTTTATTTTAACAATGTGTATATTTATATGCTGATTAAACATAATTAATAAATTTATTTAATTAGAAATAAACTAGTTGTAGTAAAAATCTTTTTTTTTCTTACACCAAACTAAATTTTTAAAAAAACAAGTAAAAATTCAAAGGTTAAATAAAGAGGGAAAAGCAAAGGTTTGAAAATTTTGAACCTCAATGTAGGGCTGTGATGAGTCGCGACAAAATCAAGTACTGCCACGTGGCATATTTCTTGACGTACACGTAGCTCTCTCATAAACCCACCTCAAAACGAGAGAAACTCTGTCATTTCTTCATTACCCAAAATCACAGCTCTCGTCGCCGGAGAAACCGTCACCGCCACCGGAGGTTCTGTCCACTTTCTTTTTCTCTGATTATTTTCTTCGTCTCTTGTATGAATGTACTGTTTTTGCTTTAATGGAAGTATATACTGAAGCAATTTCTGCTAATTTTTTGTTTCTTCGTTGTCTAGGGATTTTTGTTGGTGCTCGTTATGTCTACGGAACCAGAAGGAGTCGAATCTGACTCTAACGCTGATTTTTCCGTGAATGCGTCGAGGTTTGACTACGGTATGGCTCACACATCTGAAACCCTAGCTGATCCCATGAGCTTTCAAGCTCAGGACCTGACAGTGAAGCTCACTGGAGTTGAGCGAAAAGGCTTTGTCTCTGCTCGTGGTGTTAAGGATAATCTCTGTAATGAGGTTGATTCTGATGCAGAATCTGGGGATTTTGGTGAGAACAGAAACTTAGATGGCTCAGGAGAGAAAGATTCAAAGTTTGAGAATCTAGATGGTGTGGTTTTAGCTGGTTCAGATCTGCTTAAGAGCAAGGATAAGAATGGTTGTGCTGATGAAAATATGAAGCTTTTTGACTCAGATTTGGTTTGGGCTAAAATAAGAAGCTATCCATGGTGGCCTGGACAGGTGTTTGATGCATCTGTTGCATCTAAAGCTGCGAAGAAGCACTTCAAGAGAGGAAATCTCTTGGTTGCCTATTTTGGGGATAGTACTTTTGCTTGGAATAATGCATCTCAAATAAAGCCTTTTCATCAGAATTTCTCTCAGATGCAGGAGCAGAGTAATTTGGCTGAGTTTCGTGATGCTATTGATTTTGCTTTAGATGAGGTTTCAAGGAGAGTAGAGTTTGGTTTATCTTGCTCTTGTGTCTCAGAGGAAGCCTATAACAAACTCAAGACTCAGAACATAATCAATGCTGGAATTCATGAGGACTCACGGGTGAGATACGGTGGAGACAAGTTATCGAATGCAATCTCTTTTGAACCTGCGAAACTTGTGGATTATATGAAGCATTTAGCTTGCTTTCCTAGCTATGATGCGAGTGAGAAGCTGCAATTTGTGATTAACCGAGCTCAGGTATTGGCTTTTCAACAATGGAAAGACTATTCTCCCTTCATTGACTATGAAACATTTCTAAGGTCGGTAGAATCTGCTGCGACTTTAGCTTCTCTCCCGGAAGCAAATATGGATGAAGGAATATCTTTCAAAAAGAGAAAGGCAGATTACAAAGATAATGCTGAACAAACAAAGGAGAAGACTTTGTCAGATTTGATTGTAAAGAAACGCTGTGGGAGCAGATCAACTGAGAAATTGGATGGTAAGTCGCATTTTGAAAAGAAGCGTAAGGTTGAGTCTTTGGAGTCTGGTAAGTCTGAGAAAAGGATCAAGAACAACCAGCAAAAAGAGGATTTAGTGTCTAAAAAGTCTAATGAGGAAAGTAATTTGTCAGTGGGTGATGCTAATAAACTGCAGAAAGTGGCTGAACCATGTCGCGGAATCGGAGTGGAAAATGAGATGAATTCTTTAACTCCTACACTTAAGCCTTGCAGTGATTCTAAATCTACGGAAGTTGAGAATGAGAAAAAGAAGAAGCCGAGACACGAAGAGCTTGCTGAAAGAAAGATTTCTTCGCCTGATGAGATGCTCTCGAGCCTTCACGCTGCCTCCCCAACAGGGGTACCCAATTCAATCAGCATAGACCCCTTGAACTATATAGATTTTGAACAATTCATTAATGAACTATCTTGCAGTAAACTCAATGATGACTCAAAGAAGGCAAGTATCACGGAGACATCAGAACCTTGTGTTCAGAAAGACTCTGCAAAAGAGATGTTACCTGCAAATAAAGAAATAACTGGCTCAGGCTCGAAAGAGCAAACTGGTCTCAAGGACTGTTCTGCAGATTCATCACCCTATGCATTAGTCCTCAACTTTTCGGATTCAGGTTCGGTTCCATCCGAAGAAAAGCTGAACGAGATATTTAACCGTTACGGTCCTCTCCATGTGTCAAAGACTAAGGTCACGAAGAAGGGTAAGAGAGCCAAAGTTGTGTTCAAAAGAGGCGAAGACGCAAAGACTGCCTTCAGCAGCGCCGGGAAATACAGCATCTTTGGTCCTTCTCTTCTAAGTTACAGACTCGAGTATGTTTGCCCCAAAGCGAAAAAGAGCAACAACATGACTGATTGAGTCACATCGTAGGCATCTCTTAACTTTCAGAGGTTAGGGTCTGATCAGATTACATCAGCTAGGTTTTATAATGAGAGTAGATTTCCGATAAATAAAACTATAAAAGTAACAATCTTGTGATGAGACAAAGATTATAAGTTAGGTCTGGACTGTTGAATCTTAATTACTTAAGAGTTATGACCAACAAAACGAAGATTGGATATGGTAATGATAACGGTAAAATTAGTAACAACACCTGAAGATGAGGCTTAAAAAAGTAGATAGATTAAACACCAATAATATTAAACGATCATGTCTAAATTCAAAAAGCTCATAAAATGTAACACATCAAGTTCTTGAAACTTAAAAGTAGAACAGAACAAAGACATTTAACTGAACTATCAAAATCCATTCCAAAAGCTTGAAGCTTTGTATGGGTTGTTTAAGATCTTGGCTTCTCCTTCTTTTCCTTGAAGAGGGCCAAGAGTGAAACACCAGAAACCTTCACGACCTTGAACCTAACTCCAGGAATATCTCCCACAGCATGACCCTTACGACCAAATCCAGCAATCAAGACCTCATCCTGCAACAACATTAACAGGAAATGATTCAACATATGAAAGAAACACTAATCCATGGTGTGATGATTGAATTCAAAGGCTTTTTATTTGACTTACGTTTTCCTCAATGTAGTTTAAACAACCATCATTGGGGACAAAGGCAGCAATCTTCTTTCCATTCTTGATAAGCTGAACTCTAGCACACTTACGGATAGCAGAGTTAGGCTGCTTAGCCTCAATACCGCTGCATAATCAAACACGAAGAGTCAAATGCTATACTCAAAAAACCATTAAAAATTCAAATTTATGTTTTAACAGACTTACATTTTCTCAAGAACAATTCCTTTAGCGTGAGAAGAACCAGCAAAAGGCTTCTTCCATTCATTTCCCAAGTGAGACTTCTTGTACTGCTTGTCAGCCCACCTCTGGTTGATTCGGAGTCTCTTCAGCTTACGCCCAGCTCCCATACCACGTGTCTTACTGATAAGATTTCATCAACAAAACAACATTAGAGAACTTAATCACTCGATAAACCATAGTTGAAACTCAGACAATCAATAAGCCAATTCATCCAAGTATTAACAATAAGATAGAACATTTATCTCTACTACTTCATCAAGAGTGAGATTCAAAACCAAGAACATAAATAATCAATTAAGAGATAACTAAATCGCAAGTTTTCTACCACACTAGAACACCAGATTAGCTCATATTTCGTTAGCGTAAAAACCATGTAGCTAACATATCCAGAAATGACGACACATTGCTGATAGAATCATTTCCAATCAAAAACCATAAGTCAAAAGTCGAATCATGAAACGATTTCCAACCAAAAAAAACACAGCAGACTCTATAAAATCCTCTATAATTCATGGAAACAACAAATGAATCAGATCAATACAACGGTAAAAGAGAGAAATGAGATAGGGACACGAAGGATAGATCTAAGAGAGGAGGAACGTACCCCATGTTTGTTGATGGAGGAGAAAGATCAACAGCAAAGAGGTATTTGCAGGAAGCACAGAGATGATAGCTCTTAAGCGGCTGAGAAAACCCTAAACCTAGTGAAGGCAGTGACTCTTAATATATGCGATTTTGGTATACCTGAGCGGATTTATTATACTTGGCCCATTAATTATAGGCCCATCAAACTTGGGCTTCTAATATCGCCTCTTTTTCATCATTGTTTTAGGCTTTTAAATGATTAATTACAAACCGTTGGATCTAATGGACGGTATAGATGACTTACACGTATACGCCCGTGCTAATACCCCACCATACCTACAACTCCCGCCACGTCAGCATTACCCGTAATCCTTACGGAACCGGCTGTAACAGGTAAAAGAAACACACAAAGAGTGAACTGCCCGCACGACACTCACTGGCTCAGCCGGTCCCCACCACTTAACCGTCGATACCACGACAAACCGACGTGGAAAAATCAGAACCGTTTATTTCAAAAAGGCAATTTTGATCCAGTGGTCCATGTTCTTTTAATGCGCCAGCTAAAGAGGAAGAGAGAGAGTCAAAAGAAAGCTCCAGAATCTCGTCAATGGCGGACTGGGTTTTTTCACCTTAGCCAGTCAAATCAAGGAGGCGATGGAGAATATTGAAAAAGACGAACATGAAAAAAAAAGTTTAGCTGAAGAATAAATTGAAGATTCGAATCAAACCATTAGTCTTGTGTCGAAGCTGTTTCTACGTCATTTGGCAAGACAAGCTTTTGTCTCCTTTCGCTTTCTTTATGAAAAAAAAAAGAGAGATATGATTCGTTATTCCAATTTTATTTTCCAAGTTTTTTAAAATAAAAATGGTGAGCTTGAATTTCACGCTATGTAAAAGTGTCACTCGCAGCTCATTTCTCTCTCTGATTCTTTATATAAATGAATGTACAGGTTTTGCTGTGAAGTGTTGGTTCGGATTTAGGTTCGGATAAGGAAGATGGAGGAGATTAGAGGAGTGCCTACGTGGCAGGAGGAGTTAGCGAGTCTCGTCGACGCCGGATTACGATACGACGGAGCACCGATCGATTTAACGGCGGCTACTGAAATCGGGTCAAAGAGATCGGGTTTTGTGTCGGCGGATGGATCCGGATCCGAACCGAAGGAGACATTGAAAGATCAAGTGACGGGATTCATGAAATCTTGGGGAGAGATGCTTCTTGAGCTCGCGAAAGGATGCAAGGACATTGTGCAGCAGACGGTGGTGACTGAGGACTCATTCGTAGTACGGAAGCTCCGGAAACCGGCGGCTAAAGTGTCGAAGAAGCTTAGCTTTCTAAACGAGTTCTTGCCTGAGGATCGTGATCCAATTCACGCTTGGCCTGTGATTTTCTTCGTCTTCCTCTTAGCACTCGCAGGTAATCAATTAAGTAGAGATTTTGTACATTAGCTTAGTATTTGCGTGTAGTTTTCAGAATCTCATTCACAGTATTTAGCCAGTTCTCTACATGCAGACAGTAATTGATGTTCGATTTAGTAAAATTTGGGTACTTTTTTGATATATTTGTAATGCCAATGCATTGAACAGTTATACAAAGCTGATCTTGGGATGGATATTCGAGGAATTTCTTGGCTCGGCGATGTTTTGGTCGTCTATAGTTGATTCATTACTCTGCTTATATGTAGCTTAAATAGCAGTATTTGTAGGAGAGCTTGTATTAGTGCAAAGGTTTGATTCCTTGCATTGACATATTCAACTTTGAAGTGCAGCATTAAGCTTTAGTCCAGAGCACGATAGACCAGTGACGGTGATAAAGAAACTGCGTTTACATCCTACCGGTGCTACCCGTGTACAGCTTCCAGATGGTAGATATATAGCTTACCAAGAGCTAGGTGTTTCAGCAGAAAGAGCAAGATACTCTTTAGTTATGCCTCATTCTTTTCTTTCCTCTCGACTTGCAGGTGTTCAATTAGTTTTCTATCAGTTTTAGTTACTTCCCATTACGTTTTGTTTGGCTCTAATGTTTGGAATTTTCTTTATTCAAGGCATACCTGGAGTGAAGAAATCATTGCTTGTGGAGTATGGTGTCCGTTTAGTGTCATATGATCTTCCAGGGTTTGGAGAGAGTGATCCTCATCGAGGTCGAAACCTTAGCTCATCAGCCTCAGATATGATTAACCTGGCAGCTGCTATCGGATTTGATGAGAAATTCTGGTTACTTGGCTACTCTACTGGTAGTATGCATACATGGGCTGCAATGAAATATTTCCCTGAGAAAATTGCAGGTATTAACAATGTTCCTATACTGCTTTATACTTTTCTAATCATTAGAATACCAGTCATGGTTTTGCTACTGTGATGGCTTGAAAAATGCAAGACTGTTGCTCATTGGGTTTGGTTTTGTGAAACTACAGGAGCTGCAATGGTGGCTCCGGTGATCAACCCCTATGAGCCAAGCATGGCCAAGGAAGAGATGGTAAAAACATGGGAGCAATGGCTAACAAAAAGGAAATTCATGTACTTTTTAGCACGGCGGTTTCCTATTCTTCTGCCTTTCTTCTACCGTAGATCTTTTCTCTCTGGTAAACTCGATCAGCTCGATCAGTGGATGTCATTGTCATTAGGAGAAAAGGTACAAAATCTCCTCCATTGTAGATCACAAAGAGAGGAATTCTTTAAGAGAAAAAGTCATCATATCTGCTAACTCTGTTTTCATCTTTTAGGATAAGCTTCTAATCAAAGATCCAACGTTTCAAGAATTTTACCAAAGGAACGTGGAGGAATCCGTCCGTCAAGGAATCACAAAACCATTTGTAGAAGAATCCGTGCTTCACGTATCGAATTGGGGCTTTACTCTTTCCGAATTCCGCACACAGAAGAAATGTACAACCAACGGTGTCCTTTCTTGGCTCATGTCAATGTACAGTGAAGCTGAATGTGAACTAATCGGATTTCGAAAACCCATTCACATATGGCAGGTGAGTTCTGCACCATAAAATGCATAGTTTATTCAGTAAAATTCACGTTGATCAAAACGTTTTGTGTATGTTAAGATAGTTTGTTTTATGTTTCTTTAAAGGGAATGGAGGATCGAGTGGCGCCACCATCAATGAGTGACTACATCAGCAGAATGATTCCTGAAGCAACTGTACATAAGATTCCAAACGAAGGTCACTTGTCGTTCTTCTATTTCTGCGATGAGTGCCACAGACAGATTTTCTATGCTTTATTCGGAGAACCCAAAGGCCAGCTTGAAAGAGTAAAAGAAACAAAGGACACTCTAGTGGAAACAGAGGCACATAAGGACACTTATTAGTACTAATACAACCACCAAAAAATGAGTAAAGAAGTAAAAAAAAAAAGGTGGAAAGGAAATTAGCTATAGCTAGAAAATCAAAAACTAGATATTATTTGTTTCAGAATTTATAGGGTTACACCAAGCAGAATTTTATACTACAGTAGATGGCATTTTACATTCCAAAGGATGTAGTTAAAGATGATTTATCAATGGTTATCTTCTTATGATAGTACTACTAGATTCGGAAAAGAAAGAAAAAAAGAAGAAGAGAGTTATGGAAGTTATACTAATCATCATTAAATAAGTGACCTGGTCTTGCATGAACTTTCCCATACTAGGAATGAATAAATGTTTTTAGAAGTTTGCTTTTGCATTCACGGCCTAGGAAATAAAAAGTTTAAAAATTAATTAAGATATTCTCAAATCTTCCTTGTTAAAATATCACAAATCCCAACAATATCATAAAAGATCTCAGAGATTTTCCTAAAAAAAAAAATTAATTAATAAAAGCATCTGAAATCTAGGCGTAGTAAACAAACATGCTTGATGGTACAGAATTTTAGTTATAACTTGAAGGTGCTACATAAACCCTAAATCATCTGAGAGATCGAAAATGAAAACGGAAGAGATGAAGGAATCATCAGAGGCTGATCCTCCTCCTTCTCCGACGTTTTCTTCGCTACCATACGACATCATACTCAACTGTTTGGCTCGTGTCTCGAGATTCCATTATCCAACTCTATCTCTCGTCTCCAAGGAGTTCCAATCTCTCATCACCTCCCGTGAGCTCTACGCTACACGATCCCGCATCGAACCGAGAGTTTCCTCTATATCTGCTTAAACCTGACTAAGAACCCTAAGTATCGCTGGTTCACACTTCCTCCAGTTCCCAACAACCAGAAATTACTACCCATCCGTTTGTTTCCTTATCATCTCAAATCCTCAACCGTCATCTCAACTGGTTCAGAGATTTACAGAATCGGAGGCCTCCTTTGGGGAAATAGAAACAAGAGCGTGTCGGTTTTTGATTGTCGGTCTAATCAATCGCGTAGACTCCCAAAAATGCGTCTACCTCGAGCTTCTGCTGCCGCTCATGTCATTGACGGTAAGATCTATGTTATTGGAGGCTACAAGTACAATGATAGCCAGAACCAAGGAGAGGTTTATGACCCAAACACCCAAACTTGGGAGTCAATATTGCTCACAACACCACTAGATCTCACCACTCAAGTGTGTCGAAAAGTTTATGACATGCATGGCATGAATATTTGCTTTGTAGAGATAGACAACTTGTTGTGCCAAATATCTGTATCCGACGGGAAGCTAAATTGGCGTCATCCAAGGGGAGATGATATTGGCTGGGCTATAGTTAAGAGACTTGAACAGGAACACTTCGGTAATCATCTTGTTTATGTGGAAAAATCCGGCGGAGGAAGAAGAGTGACAGTGTGGTGGAAGTCTGTGGTGTTTCACTATCGGTCTAGGGAATATGAAACAGAGATTTGGTGTGCAGAGATTTCGTTTGAGAGACACGGTTTAGAAGAGCTCTGGGGATTTGTTGAATGGTCTAAAAAAGTGTTTACATTTAATGGGTGTGACTCTCCTACGAATTTCGTTATGGATTCTGCCATTGTGACCTATTGATGAATGGGATTTATTTTTAGTTTTTGAGAGACTTTTAAATTTTTTTTGAAACAATATCCTAGATTACGGAGAGGGTTACGACCCTGCAAAGACCCAAACTTGGGAGCCATTATTGGATACAACACTAGATCTCACCACTCAAATGAGTGTGGTTCCAGGTAAATATATTGGTTATGGGTGGAAAAGTGTATGTATGCCACTAATGGTTTGAAGCTTAAAACAAATATTTGTTTGGTAGAGAACGTGTTGTGTCTAATGTCGCATTCCAATCACAATCTTTATTGGAACAATCCTAAGGAAGATTTGGTGTGGAGGTTTGTTAAAGCAGGACTTGAAGAACTTTCTCAATATCCATATTTTTTTAATAATCATAATTCGGCGCTAGCTAAATCCGGCGGAGGAAGAAGAGTGACAGTGTGGTGAAAGTCGGTGGTGATTCGCCCTCGAGATCACCATTGCACTAAGGAATGTAAAACGGAGATTTGGTGTGCAGGGGTCTAAAAGAGCTTTGGGGATTATTGAATGGTCTAAGAATGTGTTTACTTTTGACGGATGTGACTCTCGTTCCGATTTCGTTTTGCATTATGCGATTAGCACACATTAATTGATATGTCCATCAGTCCAAGGATTTTAGGATCATAGATGATTGAGAGGATTTAAGGTTTTTTTTTTCTTCTATATTTTTATGCTTTTCTAAAGAGAAAGATTCCATATTACTATTATCTACTATTATTGTCACGGGCCACTCTATTAATTCTAGGTTTTACTTGGAAGGTATAAAAAAGCTCATATAATAAAAGGTAGACACATAAGCCTTAATTCGAAAACCTCCGAAAAAAGATGAAGAAATCATCAAAGTCTCGTCAGAATCATCAGAGAAAGAGTTTCTTTATCAAAAAAAATAAAAAGAAATCATCAAAGTCTCCTCGGACTCCTCCGACGTCGTTTTCTTCATTACCGTTCGACGTAGCTCTGAATTGTTTGGCTCGTGTCTCGAGAATCCATAATCCAACTCTGTTCTTAGTCTCCAAGAATCTCAGATCTCTCATCGCTTCGCCTGAGCTCGAGGCAACACGATCACGCATCGGAATAACAGAAGATCACCTCTTCGTTTGCTTAGACCTGAATAAGAACAACCCTAACCCTAGCTGGTTCATACTTTCCTCAACTCCAAAACAACAGATATTACTACCCATCCCTCCGTTTCCTTATCAACATCCCAAATCCTCGACCATTCTTTTAGTCGATTACTTGATTTACATAATCGGAGGCCTCGTTAATGGACAAAGCAGCAATAAGGTGTTGATACTCAATTGTCTATCTCATCAATGGCGTAGTCTCCCTAACATGCGTCTACCTCGAGTTTCTCCAGCCGCTGACGTAATCAACGGTAAGTTCTACGTGATTGGAGGCTCTACGTCCGACAATATCAAGGATTGGGGAGAGGTTTTTGATCCAAAGACCCAAACGTGGGAGCCAATATTGCCTACAAGACTAGATCTCACCACTCAAAAGAGTGTGGTTCCAGATAGATTAGTAATGGGTGGAAAGGTCTATGCCATGGATGGTTTGAAGCTTAACTTGAAGACGAATATTTGCTTGGTAGAGAAGGTGTTGCGTCTAATGTCGTCTTCCAATCATAGTCTTTATTGGAATGATCCAACGGAAGATTTTGTGTGGAGGTTGGTTCAAGGACTTGAAGAACTTTCTCATTATCCATATTTTTCTAGTAATCATAACTTGCTTGTAAACTCCCCTGGAGGAAGAAGAGTGAAAGTGTGGTGGAAGTCAGTGGCGATTCACCCTCGAGATCACCATTGCACTAAGGAATGTAAAACGGAGATTTGGTGTGCAGAGGTTTCGTTTGAGAGATGCGGTTTAAAAGAGCTTTGGGGGTTTGTTGAATGGTCTAAGAATGTGATTACCTTTGACGGATGTGACTCTCGTTCCGATTTCCTTTTGCATTAATCCTGCGATTAGGCACACATTAATTTATATGTCCAGGGATTTTCTTAGGATCATATATAGATGGATAGAGAGGATTTAAGATTTTCTTTTCTTTTATTTTTAATGGTTTTCTAAGAGAGATTTCATATTTATGATATTCTCAAGACTCTCTTTTTAAAATATCACAAAGCCATGTTTAAATATCTTAAGAGATCTAGGAAATTTTCCTAAATTTATAAATGTTCCCGAAATTTAGGGTTTAGCTTAGTCGTAGCAAACATGCGTTGATGCTACGGAGTAAAATAAATAAATAAATTGAAGGTAAAAACGCTCCTATATAAAAAATCAAAGCACAAACCCTAAAACCTCCCAGAAAGGCAGAAACAGAACACAATGTTTGGCTCGTGTCTCGAGATTCTTTTTTTCCTTGCCGGAAGACATAATTCTCAATTGTCTTCGTTACCGGACGAAGATGAGACGAAAAAATCATCAGACACTCCTCCGACAGTATTTTTGTCGTTACCCGACGAAATCATTCTCAATTGTTTGGCTCGTGTCTCGAGATTCTATCGTCCATGTCTATCCTTGGTCAACAAGGATTTCCAATCTCTCATCGCTTCTCCTGATCTCGAGGCCACGCGATCCCGAATCGGAGTAACAGAGAAGTACCTTTATGTCTGCTTAGAGTCTAATAAGAACAACCCTAATCCTCGCTGGTTCACACTTGCACCAATTCCCAAACAACAGAAACTGAAACCTATCCCTTTATTTCCTTATCGACATCCCACATCATCAACTGTTGTCTCTATTGGTTCAGAGATTTACATAATCGGAGGCTTCGTTAAGGGATGGAGAAGCCAGAGAGTGTTGGTTCTAGATTGTCGATCTCATCAATGTCGTAGACTCCCCAACATGCATCAACCTCGAGTTTCTGCAGTCGTTGATGTCATCGACGGTAAGATCTACGTGATTGGAGGATACAAGTCTAACAATATCAACAATTGGGGAGAGGTTTATGATCCAAAGACCCAAACGTGGGAGCCGATATTGCCCACAACACTTGATCTCACCACTCAAAAGAGTGTAGTTCCAGGTAGCTTGGTAATGGGTGGGAAAGTCTATGACATGGTTGGTTTGAAGGTTAACTTGAACCCGAATATTTGCTTGGTAGAGATAGACAACATGATGTGCCAAATATCGGTTTGCAAAGGGATATTACTTTGGTCTGATCAGGGAGATTTGGAGTGGAGTAGGGTAAGAGGACTTGAAGGAGTACTGCCCCGTGGTTCATATTTTCCTTGTTATCTTGTTTCGGTTGCAAATTATAACGGAGGAAGAAGAGTGACAGTTTGGTGGAAGTCAGTGGTGTTTGGCCGTCTAGGTCTCAATTGGACTAAGGAATGTAAAACGGAGATTTGGTGTGCAGAGATTTCGTTGGAGAGACGCGGTTTTGGAGATCTTTGGGGATTTGTCGAATGGTCAAACAATGTGTTTACCTACAACGGATGTGATTCTCCTTCAGATTTCTTTTTGCATTCGGCTATTGTGACTTATTGATTAATAGGATGTTTTAGTTTTGAGAGTATTTTAGGATTTGTAGGGAATTTTGCTAGAATATTTATCAGAGTTTTTATTTCAGTTATTGAACTCTATCGTATCAGTCTTTTGCTTTCAATTATAGTTTGTTTACACAATATTTGTCTTCAAATGTTACTTTGTACTTGTAGTTTGTATTGCTACAAGTTCCATCGGTCAATATAATTAACAAAACAAAACAAGTAAATCAAATCAATAAAAGCCCATTTAGACAAAGGCCCATCAGACCTTGAATATTCGTATTTAATTGATGATTTTAGGGTTTAAAAACTCATAATTGAAAAAAAATCGAAACACAGAATGACGACGGAAGAGATGAGCTTCCAGAAATCATCACCAGAGTCTCCTCCTCCTCCGACGTCGTTTTCTTCGTTACCGTACGACTTAGTTCTGAATTGTTTGGCTCGTGTCTCCAGAATCCATTATCCAACTCTATCTCTCGTCTCCAAGGGTTTCCGATCTCTCATCGCTTCCCCTGAGCTCGAGGCCACACGATTCTCCATCGGAACAACCGAGGATTGTATCTTTGTCAGCTTAAACCTTAATCAGAACAACCCTAACCCTAGCTTGTTCACACTTTCCCCAATTCCCAAACAAGAGGAATTACTACCCATCCCTTGGTTTCCTTATGATCAACATCCCAAATACCCAACCATTCTTGCAATTGGTTCAGAGATTTACATAATCGGAGGCTTCCTCAAGAGAAAGAGAAGCAAGAGAGTGTTGATTCTCGATTGTCTATCTCATCAATGGCGTAGACTCCCCAACATGCGTCTATCTCGAGCTTCTGCTGCCGCGGATGTAATCAACGGTAAGATCTACGTGATTGGAGGCACAAGATCCAAGAATGTTGAGAATTGGGGAGAGGTTTATGACCCAAAGACACAAACTTGGGAGCCAATATTGCCCACAACACTTGATCTCACCGTTCAAAAGAGTGTGGTTCCAGGTAGATTGGTAATGGGTGGGAAAGTTTATGACATGGATGATTTGTTTCAGCTTAGATTGCTCAATGATGTTTTCTTAGTAGAGATAGAAAATGTGGTGTGCCAAATATCTCTAGCGTATGGGTATCTACTTTGGCGTGATCCTAAGGCAGATGGATCTGAGTGGAGTAACGTTTTGGGACTTGAGCTTGAAGAACTGTCCCCGTATCAACCTTATTGTGTGGAAAACTCCGGCGGAGAAAGAAGAGTGAAAGTGTGGTGGGAGTCGGTGGTGAATCGCCGTCAAGGTCGCAGGCGTCGCCGTACTAATGAATTTGACACCAAGATTTGGTGTGCAGAGGTTTCGTTTGAGAGACGAGGTTTAGGAGAGCTTTGGGGATTCGTTGAATGGTCTAAAAATGTGTTTACCTGTGATGGATTTGACCCTAACCCTTTTTCTGGTTTATTTTTGCAATCAGCTATTGTCACACATTGATCATTGAGATTTTATTTAGGTGAATTTTATTATTTGTGGGGATTTTCTTAGGATATTTTTGATTATGATTTTAAGAGATACTAATAAACCAAATTATATTGGTGATTTATTGTTATTTCTTACAAAAAAAAATTAATGGTGTTTTCGAGTGATCAATCAATTGCTAACAACAGAGGATCTGTTAGCAGATCGAAACTGTGTACTAGCACAAATTCAAGTTGCTAGAAAGAGAAACAAAGGACATACAACATCGGATCCAAATTCAAGTAGCAGAAAGGGTTCTGAAAGGTATTATTTTCAGCCTTTAGGAATCTCAAGACTAGTTCAATTCGAGGAACAAAACAAAAAGATGAAGCAGATTTAAGAAAGCTGTTGAATTCTCCACCTTTGTTTCACTTGCAGGTTTTTGCTTTCTCTCTTTTGTTCAAACATAGAAATCGATTTTCTTAGAACTCTTCTTCATTCATATCTTATAGTAGTTGCTACTGCTATACACACACTCACTTAGACCTTAGTTACTCCCCCTAGTCCATGCATCTACACTAAGACTAGTTTTACAAGTAAGATAAACCAATTCTACTTTTCTATCGTGGCTCAATACTAAGCTAGATTTAGAACCACATTTCCTTATTTGGGCCTAGTTTAAGCTTAATAGCCCATTTGCCTTCTCAGCCCAAAATACAAAACGATAATCTTTTTAGTTAATTTAGTTAGGGTTAAAAAAAACAGAGCTAAAATAAATCAAACCTCCCAGAACCGGAAGATTCCTACGACGACGGAAGAGATGCATAAATCATCGGAGTCTCCTCCTCCGACGTCGTTTTCGTCGTTACCGGAAGACGTCGCTCTCAATTGTTTGGCTCGTGTTCCGAGATTCTATGGTCCAACACTATCCTTAGTCTCCAGGGATTTAAGATCTCTCATCGCTTCGCCTGAGCTTGAGGCCACACGATCCCGCATCGGAAGAAGAGAGGATTACCTCTGTGTCTGCTTAAACCTGGACAAGTACATCGCTGAACCTCGCTGGTTCACACTCTCACCAATCCCAAACCAACAGAAATTGAAACCCATGCCTTCGTTTTCCTATCAACATCTCGAATCCTCAACTGTTGTCTCTACTGGTTCAGAGATTTACATAATCGGAGGCTACTTTGAGGGAAAGAGAAGCACGAGAGTGTTGGTTCTCGATTGTCGATCTCATCAACTTCGTAGACTCCCCAACATGCGTCTAGCTCGAGAATCTGCAGCCGCTGATGTAATCGACGGTAGGATCTACGTGATTGGAGGATCTTGGTCCGACAATATCGATGATTGGGGAGAGGTTTATGATCCAAAGACCCAAACTTGGGAGCCATTATTGCCCACAACACTTGATCTCACCACTCAAAAGAGTGTGGTTCCAGGTAGATTGGTTATGGGAGGGAAAGTTTATATTTATGATGACATTGGTTATATGCCTGAGCTTCGCTTGGATGAGAATAATGTTTGCTTGGTAGAGGTAGACAACATGATGTGCCAAATATCGGTTTACAAAGGGATATTACTTTGGTATGATTTGAAGTGGAGTTGGGTAAGAGGACTTGAAGGACTGCCCCGTAATTCACATTTGCCTTGTTATCTTGTTTCGGTTGCAAATTATGACCGAGGAAGAAGAGTGACAGTTTGGTGGGAGTCGGTGGTGTTTGGCCGTCTAGGTCTCAATTGGACTAAGGAATGTAAAAAGGAGATTTGGTGTGCAGAGATATCGTTGGAGAGACGAGGTTCAGGAGAGCTTTGGGGATTCGTCGAATGGTCAAAGAATGTGGTTACTTTCGACGGATGTGATTCTCCCTCCGATTTCTTTTTGCATTCTGCTATTGTAACTTATTGATCAACATGATGTTGTTTTTGAGTTAATTTTAGACTTTGTGGGAATTTTTTCTTTAACAGTCTGTCGGTTTTTTTTTTTGCTTTCATTGTCTTTGAATGTGATTTTGTACTACTACTACAACTACCAACGAGTAACAAAGGAAACTCAAAACAGAGGCACGTACATTACGGGAACACACTGTCGAAATCAAAATTACATTTCTTTTATTTTCCAGACTTGTTATAGGGTAACAGAAGACATAATGTTTTCCTCAAAATGGACACTTAACAATATAAGAGCAAGTAAATCAAACCAATAAAGACCCTTCATCTCCTAAGATTTTGTGTGTAGAAGTTTCGTTTGAGAATGTGTTTGCATAATGCAACAACTTTGGGATTTTGTTGAATGGTCTACGAATGTGTTTCTTTAGCTTTAATGGTTGTTACTCTCGGTCCGACTCTTTTTTGGATTATGCTATTGTGTGACACATTGATCAGTGTGACACATTGATCAATGTGACTTTATTCAGATTTTTTTTTTTTTTAGCAATACATCTAATAAATACTAGTTCATAATAAGTCAATTTAATTAAATCACTACAATTTATCACTAAAATAACATTTTACATAATTGTGGTAGATTACTTAGTTTATCAAGAAAATATGGTAGATTTCATAATTTTGCCATCAATTTATTGCTTAAAAGATTTATAGATTGTATCTTAAATTTATTTAATAAATTTTGGATATTGTTCCTTTTTTAGTTAATTTAGGGTAAAAAAAAAAAAACTATATAAACCGTTACTAAATCAAACCTCCCAGAATCACAAGACTCCTCCGACGACGGAAGAGATGAATAAATCATCAGAGTCTCCTCCTCCTCCTCCTCCTCCGTCGTTTTCTTCGTTACCGAACGACGTCGTTCTCAATTGTCTGGCTCGTATCTCGAGATTCCATTATCCAACTCTATCACTCGTCTCCAAGAGTTTCCGATCTCTCATCGCCTCCCCTGAGCTCAAGACCATACGATCCTTGATCGGAAAACCCGAGAATCACCTCTGCGTCTGCTTGAAGCTGAATAACAACCCTAATCCTTGCTGGTTCACAGTTTCTCCGATTCCCAAACAGAAATTGAAACCCATCCCTTCGTTTCCTCATCAACAATACCCTCAATACCCAACCGTTGTCTCAAATGGTTCGGAGATTTACATAATCGGAGGCTTCGTTAGGAGAAAGAGAAGCAGAAGTGTGTTGATCCTCGATTGTCGATCTCATCAATGGTGTAGACTCCCGAAAATGCGTCAACCTCGAGCTTCTGCAGCCGCGTATGTACATGAAGGTATGATCGTTGTGATTGGAGGTTGCAGGTCCAAGAATCTCGAGACTTGGGGAGAGGTTTATGATCCAAAGAACAATACTTGGGGGCGATTATTGCTCCAGTCACTTGATCTCACAATTCAAAATGTTTACTTAAATGGCTTCAAACCTTACTTGGATACGAATTCTTGCTTAGTAAAGATTGACAAGGTGTCGTGCGTATTATCTGTTTCCGATGGGAATCTATTTTGGCGTGAAACGAAGGATGGTTTTGAGTGGTCTAGTGTTATGGGAGTTGAAGAAGTGTCCTCTATTATTTCGGTGGCGAACGCCGGCGGAGAAGGAAGAGTGACAGTTTGGTGGAAGTCGTTGACATTGGATTTAGTGAGTATGACTGAGGAATATGAAACGAAGATTTGGTGTGCAGAGATTTCGTTTGAGAGACGCGGTTTAACAGAGCTTTGGGGATTCGTTGATTGGTCTAAAGAAGTGTTTGCCGTTGATGGATATGACTCTACTTACGATTTCTTTTTAAGTTCTGCTATTGTGACTTATTGATCAGTGGGGCTTTATTTTACTTTTATTGTGGGAATGTTTTAAAAATATTTTGAGTATGATCTTAAGAGATAAATAAAGGAAATTATATTGGTGTTTTCAAGTGATAATAACAAGTTAACAACACCAGATCTTAGCATTCGAGATTGTGTGTTTTGAAATCGATGAAGGGGAGGTTTTCTACTTTGACTCAGACTTTTGCTTGCTAGTGAAAGAGAGCATAGTGGGCAGAAAATTTGTTTCTACATGGGAAAGATAATGTAGATAAGGAAAAACTGGTGTGGAGAGAGGTCAAGGGACTTGGTGGTGTGCAATGTTGGATCACCCCTATCCCTATGGTCGTAAAATGCAGATTTCGATTCGGGTTGAAAGACGGGATGTAGCAGAGCTTTTTAGGAAATCTTCAAAGAGTCTGTTTCAAATCTAATGGTTATAAAGTTCGTTCGAATTTCTTTTTTCACTCTGCTACAGTCACACATGGATTTGTATGCTCTCATGGGAGTGTAAAAACTCCATAGAGATTGGTGTTTGTATTTATCATATGAGTTCTTTGGAATGTTTCAAGGATGATATACAACAACAAAAAGAAACGTAGCACATTCATAACAAAATCAATGGAAAGTTCTGTTGGGTTCGTATCAGACACATGACAATCAAAAGGCAGACCCGGTGTTGTTGGATTTTCCAAGCATCATCTCTTTGGCTTCATTGATCTTAGAAGCCAGATAGTGACTGCCTCCAGCGTCCGGGTGGTTTGCAACCATCACTCTCCGGTGAGCTTCCTTCACCTTCTCTGCCACAACACTCTCCCTGTTATATAAACACCACCTCACAAACTCAGTCAACCCATTCATTTCAAATCAATAATGTCCAAAACGATCAACAGTGAAAAATAAGATTCAAGAACATAAACTATATAGTTTGCTTTGATCTAAAGGGTGTTGAATCAATAACTTTGACATCAAATAACTTGCAGAACAACACCACAACCATAATTTCAAACCTAACATACAACATCTGATTCGATACTTACGGCATATGTTGGATTTGTTCACTACTACCAGAGTTCTCAGTCTCAAGACGAGTTCAATTTGAGGAGCAAAAACAAAAAGATGAAGCAGGTTTAAGAAAAGCCGGACGCACCTAACACCAAGAATGAGAGCAGCTTCTCGGCGTGTCATAGAACTTTGGAAACCACCTTCATAAAACCTGCGCATTCTAGGAACACGTGGTCTTGCCTTGAACGCTTGCCAAGCCAATATACCATATCTACCAGCATAAGCAGCTGCAGCTACAGCAGCACCTGCAATCATTGGCGTAGCCTGTGTATAGCCAGAACAAAAAAAAAACAACGTCAGATACAAAAAAAGGAACAGACTTTGGCTTTGGAAGTCAAAATAAAAAACATTCTTGATTGATATCACAGGACCACATATAAGACCATCTAATGTATCCATTTTTTTTTAACATAACACTAAGACAACAAATGGATCCCTATTAACACCAATCAAACCCATCTAAATTCGGTTCTTTTTTTTTTTGGTGTTGCCAACGTCGTTCTTGATTTAAATTTACAGTTTTATTCGATTACAAACGAGCGTCCCTGACTAGAATTTCACGATACTTCCCCAATTTTTCAGAGAGAGAGAGAGAGAAATAGATTAATCCAGCTTAAACGGAAACAAGAACAGACCAAAACAAAAACTTACCATTATTCACGTAGATTTGGGCGAAGTAGTTGTTCGGAGACGGAGGAAATTCAATCGGAGTTAAAAAATCTGATAAATTCTTCGATTGTCGAGTTTCTCGATCGAATTGGGGAATGGGTTTAGGGTTCTTCACAGGGGAGGAGAGAAATAAAAATTCTCTGCTGCTTTATTTTTTATTTTATTTTTTTTTGCGTGGGGAAGAGCCGAGAGGTCGGTTTGATGAGAATTTCGAGAATTTCCTTCTTCTTTTTATAATATCGGTTCAGCAAAAATTGTCGGTTAAGGAAGTCAAAAACCGACAATTTTTGTAAGGAAAGGTCAAAAGTCAAAACCCTCTTTGTCTGCCAGAAGGTTGGTTTATACGGTTTTGTTCGTTTGACATCGCCCGCGACAAGTAGTGTATACCCTATCTTTCAGAGAATGTTTGATTTCTCGCCAAGTAAATAAAAGGGAAAATGTTTGCGATTACAAGTAAAAAAGATGTGAAGGTTTTAAAGAAACACATACATTATATGAATTTAAAAAGGTTATAAAATTTAAATAACAGCCTAAGATAACGGAGAATAAGATATTTTACGACTAAAACTATAAAAGGTATTAAGAATGAATTAAGCCTTTAAGGATCTTGCATTACAATTCAAATAACAGCCTCAGATTCCAATTCATTCAACATTTTTAATAAAATCACTTAAATATTCAAAGAAACAAAGGAACATATGAATTTAAAAAGGTTATAAAATTTATTATAGTAAAAAAATAAATGACTGGCGCTTACACTGCACAAATGAATTACGAAATGAAGGGAACACATAACAGACGACAATCTCTCGGACACATCCATAAGTGGGAACATAATTATATTAAATAAATACCTCAGCTGCCTGCTCCGTTGGTCACAGCGACGCCGCCACTCTCCACCTTAGGAGGAGCTGAGAACCGCCGTGGTTTAGGCAATGCAGGTGAAGTCGGATACGAGAGCCGTTTCTTAGCAGATGCCTTGTCCGTGAACCCTTCGTTTTCCTGTGTGGTACCACCTAATGGGCTTTGCGGCTTGAGCCTGGCTCGAGCTGATTTAGTTGGAACCATGTAGCTCGGGAGAGCCGGTGAGCCAGCGAGGCTCTCGTCGTCTCTGACTGATGAACCAGCAATGCTGTGTCTGCGGTTCCTCTCCGACAGGACCGAGATTGTGCTTTTGGCGTCGTCGTCGTTGGATTTTCTCGAGGATTGGATTAACCTTGAGGGAGTTGGAGGTGAGAAGAAACTGTTTTTGTTTCTTGGAGTCCCTCTTGCGGATGATGGTGTGTTTGGCTGAGTTGAGCCATTGCGGGTTATAGATTTTGCAGCTTCGTTACGGTTAATAGAGCCCTTGACTGAGGCGGCATTGTCGTTGTTGCTGTTGCTGTTTTGTTCTTTCTCGGAACTCTCTAGGGGCCGACCAGCCATCCATCTCTCTAACCAGCTCCAACCCCATGTCGGGTTGCTTGGATCCATGAACATCGGGTTTCCAGATTTAGAGTTGTTCTTCCAGTTTTGCTGCAAACATGAACATAAATGATCATTACAACATTCAAATGAACCACAAATTCAACTTCAATTGATGTGTTTGTGTTCACTTTTTAATTGCATCTTTCCACAGATTCAGCATTATAGGTTACAACAATCGGATACCTGATGAGAGTATGCATAAGCCAATGCCCTTTCCCTTCTCATTGTTGCCTCGTACTTGCTTAGCAAATTCGCTTCAACTTTCTCCTTTGATTGAATGCTATCATTCCAGTTATCCCCGTTCTGTGAGCAGAAACAGAAAAAAAGAGAAATTTTAACATAAGCAAAGGCCCAAAGATTCTCATTTTCACATAAAAAGAGACAGTAAATTAATAGTCTAAGTAAACATCAGTTTGATATGAATGATAATGCTTGGGAATCTGAGATACGACTATTAACCCTTTCCAGACTAATAAGCAGAAACCATCATACACATTATAGCAACGACTACTTAGGTAGAAATCAAAAGATTTTTCTTTATTAGCAGTTCTCACAAAGAATAAAAGGAAGAAACTTTTGAATAAAAAGAAGGAAACAGAATCAGATGGATGTGAGAGAGAGAGACCTTCAAGCCAGCTAGCTCTTTGGCATGCTTCTGAAGGAGTTGTTTCTGGCGAGCCTGATTCTCTTCTGACATCCTGATTCTCCTAGCTCGGATCTGCGACTGTACACGAGAGAGAGTCTGCATACATTTTAGAGTATTTGCAGCTTGCCGTTTAACAACAGATCCTTCCATCAACAACTTAAGCCTGACCAAACCCCTCATTGCCCGCAGTGCTCTTCTTGCCTGTTTTTCAGATATTACAAAAGATAAGGTTATACTCAATAAAGCATCTTTCTTCACACAAAATCAATTGGCATGCTCAAGCTCATATGAAATTCTGAAGGAATTAAGCCAATTGCAAGAGTAAAATTACATACCAAATAGCCTCTAAAAATAGTCTGAATCAAGATAGCAGCGGCTTCTTCATTCGACTTTCCCGCAAATCGAGCAGGTGTAGAGCGACGAACAACACCAGGAGAAGATGAAGATGGAACTACAGGAATATCAGTAGCTCTAACATTCACAGCATCTGCAGTCGAAGGAGGGGAAAGATCCCTGTTCCGTTCAACAATCACTTCAGCTACTCTAACCTCACGAGGAGGAAGAGCAGGAGGAGGAGAAGAAGAAGAAGATTGTCTAACATTATCAACCACAGGAGGATTAGAGATCACACCATTTTGTCCCTCAGCCAATTTTTGTTTCGACTTCTGAAAAAAAACATCAACATGTCAATATCTACACACTATAACATTAAGTCACATCAATATACAAAAAAAACTTCACCTTTGAATCTGGGCTAAATGCCTTCTTAACACTTGAAAACCATTTAGCTTTTTTCCCCATCTCTATGTAATCCTTCACACAGAAAAAAAAAAGTTGAAACAAATCGGAAACTGAATCTACTGGTCTCAGTAGCTAAATTACGACAGATCTCGATATCTATGAGCTAAATTCATCAATTGATACTGAATCAGGGAGAGAATGAATCGTACCTGTGAGAAGACAGTGACACCAGATCTGATAGACGAAAGCCTTGAAGATATAAAACCTGGAGGAGTCAACTAAACCTTAACGCGGCTTGTAAGTAGTGACCTTATCGGAGAAGACGAAAAAGCGAAGAATCGAATCGATGAGAGTTTGGATCTTTGCTGAGGTGCGAAGATAACTTTTCTTCTTCTTCTTTCTAATGCTTTCACATTATCATAATTGCGAATGAAGAAGAGAGAGAGAGAAGAGAAGACAGATGGATTCAAAGCTGTGTGGAAGAGTATTTGTGACGGTGTGTGTTTGTGCGTGATGCCACTAATTGGGCCGCTTTTGTGGGCCCTACTCTACTCTTCTTTTTTTCCTTTTTTTCTTCTTAATTTACCAGCTTCGTCTCTCCTTTACTCTTTCCTATTTACTTTTTTTCCTATAGTATAAATTAATCAATTAAAAAGGTAATGATGAGTTTTATTTCCTAAGTTTCATAAACACTGTTTTGTTAATTTTTCTTTATATTTAATATCTTTAGATTTAGGTATTTTTGGTGCATTTCAAAAATAGTAGTATAAGTAATTGACATGGTATTTTGGTGTTTTTTAAAAATTTTCTTAAAAAATTTCTTAAAATATCAATAACGTGTAAACTGGGAAATGTATTGGATTTTGTACCTTTTCTGAAACTATAGATTTAATGAACTAGTTATGGGATCGGTAAAACAGTGACCATATAAATTTCAGATTAATTTATAACTTTATCCGGTAAGATTGGTCCTCTAACTTTCACCTAATAAAAAAAAAATCGTTTAAATAAAAGTTTTTATTCGTTTTTCTTTTTCGATATGGGTTTTTCAGTCGTCTTTATTCTTTACTGGTTAAAATATAACACTGTACATTTTTGTCGTTAAATATCTTTTATTAATCGAATTAAGATCGTATTTTTTTGTCGTCTATGAATAGTTTATCGAATTCATTCATCTGCATAATCTGTATAAAGTATGTGTGTTTTTATACACGCTTACATATTACTACAACCGACAAAACATGTGAACAAAATATGTCCACCAGTGAGACAGCCTTTATCATTTTAAAATATACTCGTAACAAGCCACCATATACGATACTTAATACTTTCTTGATTTGATAAATCATAAAAATTAGTTGATCATTGTACTTGTACACCATGTCATATTTTATGTTCAGATCCAACCACACTAGTAAGTAAATCTCCAATGGTTGAACAAACAAAGTATTTGACTCGATATTTTAAGTTCATACATACATACAAACAAACAATACAAGTGAAAACTCGGTCTATGCAACATCAGTATTAGGACAATGATTAGGATTTAGGATACTGTAATTTTCTCTATAGTCGTATTACCATCACAAAAGCAATTTCCCAATGATTTTAGATAATTTTATTATAACTGTTTTGACATACAATGAACTAATAAGATGATTAAAAGAGTACTTAATTTTGTCCAGTGGATTAAGTATTATCTGCCTGAATCATTGACTTTTTTGAAGATAAATTAAACCCAAAAGGTTCCTTATCGGTGGCCAGCTTGTACCAGTCTTCTTATAATTTTCGTTATTAAAAAAAAAATAACGAAATGCATTTAAATATATGTCCAATCACTCCATGTGGCGTCTTCTCTGTTTCGTTAATATAAAACCCTCAAAAGTTATTTTCATATAAACAAGTGAGAACTAGCCGTTGGAATTTGATAATTTTAACTAATCATATGATTTATTGTCGTCCAACATATCATAGTATGTGTATAACTGTATAAATAAGGATATGCTTCTGATAATTTATAATATTAATAAGTATCTCCAAAGTTGGTAGTTGAATTTTGGGATATGGACATTCCACCTAATGTATAATTCAAACATCTTCGTTAGGAAAAAAATAATTAATTTTGAGCTCTTATGAAACTTTCTCTCCCCGTCGGTCAACTTTATATTGTCTTTGCATTTTTGGCAAGTGAAATTTATTAACTAAAAAAATTAGAAGGAAAATCGAAAAGAGATGACTAGAACCAAACTGATCAATATCTCTTCATACTCACCAATATCCCAGCCTCCTTCGCCTGTTCCACCTGCTTTCCATGTTACTGAAGCTGCTGCGGGTTTTCAGGCTTCTAGGCTTGCTACTTCAAGTTCATCATCGCTGAATCACTCTTCTGATTCTTCTTATGGTCGAGGAGGCAAGGGCAAGGCTAGATATGAGATAGGTGAATCCTCTAAACGTAAGAAGGGGAAGCAAACTGATCTTCATTCAGAGAGACACACAAGACAGTGTCGAAAAGACCCGGGGATTCACTTTTACCCGGTGTCTGGTCAACTTCCATAGGTCTTCTTCAGACCTTGAAGAACTCAGAGTATAATGTACCCTTATACTCTTGAGGTTAACTCTTTTTGGGGTATGTCTTGCTTTCAGGTCTTTAGGAAATAAAGCACCTTTGTCAGGTCTACCAAATGGCTACAGTTGAAGTACCTTTTGGGTTGCCATTGTGGTTTATCAGGTTTTAATCTTCCAAAAAGGAAGTTGGACATCAATGTTTTGAAGCCTTCGAAGACTTTTTTGATACTTTCTACCACTAAGTTTGGGATGATGTGAAGATGGTGAACAAGAGACAATCATTATGCAAGCATACGTTGGATGCGATAAGATCAATTACAAGCCTTGTGCTTCTATTTTTGGTCTTATTGAGATTTGCTATGGTTCTGCTCCACCAAGTTGCCATTTTACAGATACTCCTTAGTGTTGAAATGTATTTGCTTTTTAAGTTTGGTTTGTAGTTTGTAGTTTGTAGTTTGTAAATATTGCTGTAACTTACTCTTGCCTCTCCACTGTGGATGCTCCTAAGATGGATGATGCTGCTTGTTTGGTATATATACTAAATATTTCAAGGAAAAAAAAAAAAAAAAACCAAAAATTGAACCGGAAATCAATTTGGCATTATCTGAAATATAAGTGGGGCATGGAAATAAGGTCAGGGCCGTTAGCGTTTTAAAGATATTTAGATGATGAGCCAGTGAGTTTGGTAACGACCCGACATTTAAGTCTTGTCGTTTTGTAACACATAGCAACGGTAGAAGATTCCTATATTGGCTAACACCTAAACCTGACTCTCATAAATAACCCCCATTCTTTTTCTTCCAGTGAATTTTAATTAAATTTACAGTTTATAATTTTATATATAGATTGGTCCATCTATGGTGAATTTAATTTTTTACTACTATTCAACTTTTGTTACTACTTCAGTTCATCTATCTTTTTCTGCAAACATACACATTTTTAAAATATATATAAAAAAATATTTTTTCCCTTATAGTAAAGGGTGAGAAAAATAATTAGAGCTAGAGATAAGTAGAAAATGATAAGATATGGTTATAAACTTGAGATTAAGAAGAAAAAAGATGGTTATACTAGTAATACGGTCAGAAAAAAGTTGTATACAATTTGGATAAATCATGAGCGTTTTTGGAAAATTGAGTTAAAACAAGAACTGGGGACAACATTTAAGAATTGCAAAGAGAATGGAGAGTTGCTGGTTTTTGATCGAACTAGAGATATGAGTCATTTTATATATTCACCCCAAAATCTACTAAAGAAAGCAAACACAATTCTGGCTTTAGCTGAGAAGGTTCATGAATATAAAGCTAGTTTCTATCTATGTTTCCTTCAAAACATCATATAGTTTTTGAAATTGTGCAAATCTAAAATTCCCAAACCAACCATATGTTGATCTAAGGTAATATATATATGACTTCTTACACCATTGGACGACAGAAGATAATCTGTTCTTAGTAATGGCTGATAGTACTTGATAGGGTTTTAGACTGTTTACCTCATTGCTCAATGCTAGGATTCTGAATCAGATAGCGAGCGTTGTGTAAGAGGGAAGTAGTCTCCTCGTTTGATGCATCAAGCAAACGCAATTCCTTGATCTCCTCCTGCCATTTCTCAACATGTTCCTTGTGTATCCTGTTTCATATATGTGAACCGTGTTACTAATGTGAGTGTATAAATTACTCAATCATGGCACATACAGAAACATTATAGAGTCTCTTCAATCTCACATGATCAAGCGTTCTTCGAATTCATTACTGAGTTCCTTAAGCATTGTCTTCCCTGTTTCCAGCAAGTTAGAAACCTACCACAAGAAGCATTAATTGATTAACATATTGGTAATCATATCAACTGACGCAATCAGGGAAATGATGAGAGGTTACAGTTTGTGTGAAGCTCTCAATCTTATCGAGAATTTGAGCAATGTTAAGTTCCATCTCATCAGAAGCAACAAGTTTCGTCTCAGTTTCTTCATTCTCAATGGTATTATCAAGACTAATTCCATCTCTCGAATCTCCTTTTCCCTCTTCATCCTAACAAATTTTACAGGACAAAATCAAAAATCTGATTCAACACAAAATCATCATCACCAGATCAATAACAAATTCAAAAACAACTTACAGATGTTCTCATGCGTTTCCGAAATCCTCCATTCCCTGCGTCTTCTTCCATTTCAGTGTTCATCAAAACTGCAGTAATTCGAAACGAAGCTCATGAGTTTCGGATTCCGAGTTTATGAACGCACGAACAGATTTAGAATTAGGTTTTCTACTCGATGCGATTGAATCTGCTAACTAAAGCATCGCAACAGATTTCGATTTCAAATCTAAAACTGTACGATTATATCCCAAACAATCTAGCTTAAGATTCTACAACAGAACGGAAGAAACGAGATCGAGATCGACGAAAAAAACCTTCGAAAGGGATTATTAGAGAACTTACACGATGAAGATCGAAGAAATTGCTCCGTACGAATTTGAGAGAAGAAGATGAAGAAGTTTTAGGAGTGTGAGTGTAGAGAATGAGGAAGAGGAGCCAATTTGTTATTCCGAGAATCCATTTAAATAAGCGTTTAGATTTACGAATTATTTTAATTGAAAAATTACTAGATTTTTAGTTGAATATTGTCTCTGTTTCATAATCATCACTAATTACGCTTGTACAATGCTAATAGCGTTTTTAAGTATGGAGGATTGGACTCAAGAATCAAAGCAATCTAAAGAACTCACATAGTGAATCGATTTGGATGCGATTTGATATATAAAGCCGAGTGATTTAAACATATACCGATTACAAAACAGAGCCAAAATATTCACCTAATCAGATACTAATCGTTTTTTGCTCTAGCTCTTCCAAAAGATGTTAAACCTCCGGGACAAAACAAAAAACAATACACCGGAGGATCGATAAGATATACCTTAAACTAGCCTAACTTAAGAGTGAGCAATTTCTTCTGGCTCTGTGTTCACTGCATCGAAAAAGGTTCAAGACTTGTTATAAATATCCCGGGACCTTTTAAAGGGAAGTTGAACTGATACATATTCATCTGATGATGATGATGATGATGATGACGATGATGACAATCGATGATTTACTTTTGATGATGTTGGTCCATCTGATTGTTGTTCTTGTTTTACATCAACAGACTTTTCAGGGATTATGTTACTCTCTCTTGGAGGAGGATTATCATTTTCAGCATCACTCTCGTCAATGATCACAATCGTATCTGCACACAACAGAGAAGAATCAAATAAACATTTCTTACAAGAGAGATTCACATAGCTCTTTAACCACACATATCAAAAACATACATACAAACCTGTTGCAGTGTTATTCACATGATGATCATCCACCACAATAACCTCATTCTTGATAGTCACATCAAGATCATCCACCACAATAACCTCATTTTTGAAAGCCACATCGCTTGCTCCTATACCGGTGAGATTCGCAGCATCAAAGAGCGATTTCAAAAATGAACATTGTGAGTTGGCCGCATCAAATCTCTCTTTTAATTCAGCATACTTGTTCTCCATCTCCTTCAGCTTCTCAACTGCTTTCTCTTTCGCAATCAAAAGCTCCTGATTCTTAAGACTCAAATCATTGATTATGGCCGCTTTCTCACTCTCCATTATCTCCTTCAGCTTCTCCACTTCTTTCTCTTTCGAAATCAAAAGCTCCTGATTCTTAACACTCAAACCATTGATAATGGCCTCTTTCTCACTCTCCAGTGCCTTCATCTCCTTCATATACGCCTCCTTCTCACTTCTCTCTTTCTCTAAATCTTTGAGCAAGCTCAGATTTTTCTCTTCGAGTTCCTTATTTTGGTTCTGATGATGAAACTTCATTATCTCGTTCATTTCATTCATCTGCGTAAAACTTTCCTCTAGACTTTTGTAATCTTTTTCCAGATTCTCATGATTCTCCTTGAGAATTTCATGTTTTGTCGCCAAAATCTCCTCTTGAGCAAACAAATTGCTTCTTGTCGGAGTATCCACCGACAAGATTTTGTTCTTCCCCGATTTGTCCGAACGAGCAGATGATTTTTTAGTCATGACTTCGAAACCCTAAACCTGGATCAACACAAAAAGCGTCAAGCTTTTACTAGAGCTTCTTAATCTTTGCCAAATTTACAAAATTTCACAGATTCTGAAGAAAACCTAAAACCTAAATTCGTTCTAAGCTCCACCGGAAGAAGAACTGAAAAACTAACAATCTCGGATCTCCAAAAGCTTAACTAAAATGGACAACGGAAGAAAAATAGAAAGAAGAATCTTACCCAGAAAATCTTTTGAGTCTTCTTCTTCTTCTTCTTCTTCTTCTTCTTCTTCTTCAAACGACCAGAAGAGAGAAAGAGCTATTGGAAAACGAAAGTAGCTCTAGCTACAGAGAAGGAAAAAAGCAAATCCCTAGACACAGAGAAAATGAAGCGGGAATGCAAAAGGACAACTTTCTTTCTTTTTTTTTCTTTCTTTTTTTAATGAAGAAAGGACAAGATATTCATGATCAAATTAATTTTTTTGTGTTTCTATAATTAATTGAATCTTTGTTTAGTGTTACATTAACTTAATCCAAACCCTTGTTTAGATTAATTGATTGCTGATGGTTATATTTTGAATTTATGAAATATCTGCTTAAAACCAAAAATAGTTGTATCTGAAAAAGATAAACAGAAAAAAAAATCATTTCGAATTTAAGATAAATACCACCATATCTAAAAATCATAATTACATTGACAGTGTATCTCATAATTGGATTTGAAGTGACAAGGGGTGGATACGACAAAAAGATAAATGGAACAAACCTTCCACACCAGTGAGAGTGTTTAAGCATTTACTGTTTTGCCTTCCTTTAGCACTCGTAGTCATGGGCCTTGCTTGTAACATGCAAAAATCCAAAATGGTGAGACAAAACTGTATTACAAGTAGTTACAACTACAAGTCTCCAACCCAAGGAGGAACCAAAACCTAAAGACTACTCTCTTTCTCTCTCACTTTCTATCCTAACAAGCAAAAGCTACGATGACTAGTTTCCTTTGATTCCATCATCCGACTTTCTTTGTATTCCCACCTTAAAATCCGAGGCGATTTCATTCATCGATTCCATAATCTTCACCAAAGTATTTATCCACAAGACTGTTTGCCATGACTCTCAGCTCTTCATTCTCATGAAACTGAAACCTTTCCATTGCATCAATACCGTCTTCTCCTTCCACAAGCTTTGAACCTTCCCCGTTTGGCATTCCTCTTAAAACCTATCCACCCAGAAATCAAAACCAATCAGGATCATTCTGGATCCAAATATACTATGTGACATCAACATATAAGAAAAACTCGGTCTCGTTAAGACCATTTAATTAGTTGCTTACCAGCTCAATGAACTGAAGACCAAGCCTAGCAGCTTCGATATCAGGAGATCTGACCAGCTCAATAAAACCTGGGAGGCAACCGCCTCTGACAATGGAGACTAAGTGCTCTTCAATTATCCCTGGTTTTCTGTCTCCTTCTGCCGATTCTACACAGAGATTGCCCAAGACGTAGGCAACTTCTTTCCTTATATCAAAGGGCGATGTGGACAGAAGCCGTAGCAACAATGGCATTACTTCAGTAGAATGTATCATTCTCTTGTGTTCAATAGATCCCGCGGCTATATTAGATAGCACCCATGCAGCTTCCTACAGAGTTGAGACTAGTGATGAAAAGGTTCATATAATTGTAGAAACCGAAGTGGGTATGTGGTACTGACCTTCTTTAAAACACGGTGCTCGCTTCTTAAGCACTTTGCAAGCACACCAATGATACTTTCTGAAATTTGATTTGCAATATCAGTATCTTGAACAATGTATACGATTAAGGTGATGGTGTTTCACCCGGAAAAGATAACAAATACTAGCCTTCAGTGTTCTGTTCACGAATAAGAATGGTTAATATTGCTTTGGGATCAACAGCGACAAAGTTGCCTACACTTCGTAGAACCTGATATCAAACTTTTTGATTCAGAGATAAATTAAGAATGCAGCGTTTGAAATATAAGCATCATAGTTAGTATTCTGTATTTATCATTCATGATAATATGAGTGTAATGGGCCCTGAAAGCAATGACTTGAATAGAATAATCTGTGGTAATATAACTACAATCTTGTATTTTTTGAACAATATAAGGTTTCTTCAAAAGTTACCGGGATAAGAAGTTGTAGACTATTTGAGTTTGCTAATCTTTCAATAAGTAGTTGGAGAATGCCTCCCTTCAAGAGCATACTTGTAGCGATATCTGAGAGGGCAGATAGGTAAACAATGATCCATGCAATTTCCGTCACAGTTTCTTCATCCCTGAATCCAACAATCAACAATATTTTGATAAAATTATCCACCAAAATTGAACAATAGAATATCAATGACACAAAAAAGACCCGTATGAAGCTAAAGAATCAGTAAAAAGCAAGACACCACAACACGCTAAGAACTTGTTGAAATTCAGAGAGATGTAACTTTGCTCACGTTTTCTTCAAGTGTCGAAGAATTGCATCCAAAATCCCATCAACTTTAACAAGTTGTGCTGCCGCCTTTGACTCAGGTCCCTGAATGAAGGTATAATGAAAGTAGTATGTAACAAAGGCATGTAAATTGTAACGAATGTGATAATATGCGTGCCAGGTTTTTCCACACCTTAATCAGATTTGACAATGCCCATGCAGCTGTTCTTACTGTAGAACCCTTGTCGGGAAAAATCATACGTGCTAGAGGTGGCAAAGCCCCTTGAGACAAAAGAACATTTCTCAAATCTTCTCCTTCACCCGCAACATTACCAATTGCCCATGCACACTGCTCAGCCACCGGTGCAGAGCTCTTTTCTGAATATAAACTTGGAAGCATATGAAATCTAATCCGGCAAAAATAATAGAGTAATAACAGACTTGGTTGGCCAGTACAAACCTCCAAGGTGAGCAATGAGCAACGGCAGTGCAGGTAATAGAGCTTTTGTTTCTTCAGGTTTTCCAGCAGCAATGTTTGTGAGACACCAAGCTGACTCAAGTAACTGCAGTTAGACAGAACTGGGATCAAAAGATACAAACTTCCTTAATTTGTCTTATTGCAATGCATATGACAATCTTACAACATTGAAAATCTACAAAGGGATATCATTGAAGCATATATAAGGCCAATGTAAGAAACCTGTTCGTCAGGAGAGCCAAATGAAAGACACTGCACAAGTAAAGGTATTGCACCAGCGCTGAGCGCAGCTTCAACAGGAGGGAACTCGGATTTTGACAGTAAACGCCTGAGTTCCCGAAGAGCAGTCACCCTCTTCTGCATTGCACCTTTTCCCCTGAAAATTGAGCAAGAATATGATAGTAGAGATATCAGAACAAAAATCACGAAAAATACCGAAACGAAAAGAATGACATACTAGATTAATTCCTAAGCATTCTGGTTTTAACAAGTTGACAGATTCACTTACTGATATTGAACAGCGGACTTGAGCTCTTCAACGGATTTACTGGCTTGAGCCTCCAATATTGGCTGCTCTTCATCAATCATCATCTCATTCTCAACAAGATCATCCTCAACATCGCCATTAGTACCCACCCTACATAGCCTCTTTGCCCTAACCAGTAATTCCCTTCTCTCCTTCGCCACTGTAACAGCTTGTTGCCGTCTTCTTTGCCCCGCAACATTTCCAACTACACACCGCCATTTCCAATCAAAACCATGTCACCGATTAAAACCCCCAATGATTCTAACAAGTTTACATAGATGTGTAAAAGCTCTATGGTCCTAAACTAATCAATATACATGAAAACCAATACTAAAACGCAAGAAGTATCTAAATTTGTTCCTACCCTAATCACCAACTAACCTAATTTTCTCAAGAAGCAAACAAAGAACACTCTTTCATCAGTAACACTAACACTACTCAATCAAGCTCGAGGGTTTACGGTAAAACCCAGAACGAAAATCACCTGAAGACTTTATTGGGTCTCTTCGATTAGATGCGGAGCCATCATCTGCCATTAGAGAAGCTTGAGCACTGTTAGTTTCTTCGAGAGTAGGGTTTTTGATTCGGTAATTTCACCGGAGTAATTTCACCGGATAGGATTTACGAATTTCGCCGAAAACGATTTGGATAATTTGACCCGCCCAACAGAAAAAGGAAACACGAAAAATTCGCCGACTCACATTTATATTATAATTTCATATTAGTCCCTATTATTTCAATATATACAATAAATACCCATTTAACTTTATTATCGATCTCGAAAGCCATAAATGGATCAACGATCGTGGTTACACGAAGTGTTTGACATTCGCCTATGTAATAAACTAAACTAATGACATGGCGACTCTTCATTGGTTGTTTGTACGTACACCGTAATCTAATGTGATGCATGTGGTAATAACTCCAGTTTTAGTAGACACGTGTCACGCATCCACATGATTCTCTTCCCGGAACATGATGATTTCACCGTCTGGCTTATTCTCACCCACTTTTCCGTCAGTTTCTCGGTTCATTTCCTCGAGAAAATAATAAAAAGAAGAAGTCGAAAACGAAACCTGAGACCAAATCCAAATTCTCTCGATCGATTAACAAAAATTCCTTTGGATCTATCATCAATGGACCTCCTACCTCAGCAGCTCAAAGCCGTAACTCTCACACACGTCCGGTACCGTCCCGGAGATCAGTTCGGACATTTCCTCGCCTGGATCTCTCTCGTCCCTGTCTTCATCAGCCTCGGTGGATTCGTATCTCATTTCCTTTTCCGGCGTGAGCTTCAAGGGATCTTCTTTGGTATAGGTCTCGTGATCTCACAATTCATCAACGAGTTTATCAAAACATCTGTAGAACAAGCTCGTCCGGAGACTTGTACGTTGCTCGAAGCTTGCGATTCACATGGATGGCCATCAAGCCACTCGCAATTCATGTTCTTCTTCGCTACTTATTTCAGTTTGATGGGATGCAAAGGAATTGGGTTCTGGTTTGGATTAAGAAGTAGATGGATTATGAATCTTCTTCATTGGTCTTTAGCTGTTGTTACCATGTATTCTAGGGTTTATTTAGGTTACCACACGGTGGCGCAAGTATTCGCCGGCGCGACGCTTGGGGCTGTTGTTGGTGGGAGTTGGTTCTGGGTGGTGAATTCTGTGTTGTATCCATATTTTCCGATGATTGAGGAGAGTGTATTGGGGAGATGGTTATATGTGAAGGATACTTCGCATATTCCTGATGTGTTGAAGTTTGAATATGACAATGCAAGAGCTGCTAGGAAGGATATGGACTCTGCTAAATCTGATTAATTTGGCTAATTTGATTTTGGTAAGTCGAAATTTTCTTCACTGTTTCATTGATTTGGATCTGATTGGGTCTTAGAATAAGCATTTTTGGGAATCAGCTTTAGCTTTCGATACTTTTTAAAGCTCAAGAATGTAGTGACATACTACTGCCGTGTTAAAATTCTGAAGTTAATAGAGAAATGTGGATCTGATTCTTCATTGATTCCTAAACTGGTTTTAGCGGTCGTAATGCAAATCAAGTAATGTTCTTGGTAATATTGCCGTTTGTTTTGTCATGGTTAAAGGACATGTTGATACTGGTTTGTCTTGTTTAGCTATAGGAGTAGGTAGTCACAGTTATGTATGTGTACCACTGTAACATTAGAAAAACACAGGAAGAACAATGTTTGTGTGAAAGCTGTTCTGCTCATCCTTCATAACAAATGCAGTTCTGTTATGTTTTGTTTTCGCCATTTCTTAGTGCCGCCAACAAATGCAGTTCTTTTTGAGTTTCTTCTTGTCTTCTTCTTTGTTCCGCAAGCACGTCTCATTTGCTTCATCCATTTGCAGGTTGCGAACTCGGGGAAACTTTGTTTAGCGGTCTTGTTATCCTTTTCTTTATTACAACATTATATCAGGAATGGCAAGGAGATGGGAGAATCACTTTTATGACATTGGTGAGATTAGCTGCTCATCTGAACATTTCACACAATGAACCTTCTTCACACTTATTATTAAGTGATCTTTGTATCTCTTTTCCTTTTCTTTATTTGCATATTCACTTATCTATTGAAAGAAACAGTTTCGTAAATTAAAGAAAGTTATAGGTCTGTGGTTTTGGGGATTCAAGACAAGTTAGGTATGTTTGATTTGATTTTTGTAATGATCTGCCAATGTTGGAGTACTATTATAAACATGATTTTTCAATGACACTCAACACGACAAATGGTCTATAAGGGAAACGAGAAAACATTTTTTTTTTTTTGGATTGTAAAAGAGAAAAAGAGGAAACGCGTTTGGCATTAAAATTGATGTTTCTATTCTGTTAAATTACTGTTACATATTAACTCGTTGCAAAAAAATAATCTTTTTTGAAAACCAAAATATTTTCTATAATAAAAACTTTAGTTAAAATAAAAAATATTTTGATTAATCAAAAATATATAGTTACAAAAAAATAGTTTACATAATAAAAATATTTGTAAAAAACCATAAAAATTAATCTAAGGGTTAAATTTACTTGCGTGAAAAGCGGTTGAACTAATAACACCTCTTACGGACCCGTATGATAGGACGGGGAGCTTAGTCCGGTTTGTTTTCAATGCATTGAAATTCAACACTTAAATTTTTTGAAAACCAAAATATTTCATATAATAAAAAACTTTAATTAAAATATAAAAAAACCTTTGCTAGAAAAAAAAAGAGAGAATAAAAAAATACAAAAAATTGAGGTAACAAATAACAAGAGGCTAAATCCCTAAATTCCAAATTAGTGAATAAAACCCTAGGCTAAACAAGACAGTATGTGATGAAATTGCTTAAGGACAAAGAGTGATACCAAATTATGATCGAGATTGAAGCATTCACGTGTTATCAAACAGTCAGAAGAACCCTATAGACACGAAGAACAAAAGAAGATATCAATTCACAACGAATCAGAATCAAAACTCAAAAACAATTTAAAGTAGGAAAATCTCTTACCATAGCTCTTTGGTTTTAAAGGATCCGGGAGAATCGTCGTCCTTGCTTGCTTGAAGCAGAGACCCAGATGAATCATACTTGTGAGTTGTGACGCAAATGTCAGAAAAACAGAGTCACACAACGATGACAAGAGAATCGATCAACTTTAGAAGACCCTAACATATATATGTTTCATAATTCATCAATGACGGAGTGAAATAGAGAGAAAGAGAGAGATAATGATTATAAGTAACCTGATCGTAGATAGATGGCTCTCTCAGGCTGAGATTGGTGATCCTTTATTCAATCAAATAAGTGTGATGAGAGAATTAGAGAGAATGAAGACGACGAACATTACGGATGACAAAAAAAAAAAAAAGAAGACGACGAACAAGTGTAAGAGATTGTAGTTGCAGACAATTTTAATCTCGTATAAATAGAGGCACTAATAAAAGAAAAAGGAAATAACTGGAGCGTCAAATTAACCGACTCTGCTTAAAAATGGAAATTCACTAACGGCTACTTATGGAAAAAATGGAAATTCACTAACGTTAATAAATTGGGGTCAAATCAAATTAACTGATTCGGTTTATCTTTCCTTTTATTCTAATCACAATTCAATTTACCTTTACGGCCCAACTAAATCATATTGGGCTTTAAAGAAGCCCATCTAAAACAGCTTTCAGTAAGTAACACCACTCAGATTCTCCCTCTCGGCGATTCAACCGACGGTGTCGATTTCATCAGCTCTCTACCCCGACCCAATTCTCCACCATATCTTCTCCTATATTCCGACTAAGCTTGCGATCAGAACCTCCGTTACAGTCTGGATATTACCTTGATGCAACAGGGATTGAAGAGCTGTGTCAAATGGTTCCAACATTTTCTGACAACAATGTCCAAATTGTGATCAAGAAAAGATGATCTTAAATACTAGTAGTAGTTTATTCTATGGACCACCGTAGATGGCTTAATTGTCTTGATTAATGTGTCTTCATATTAATTGTTTTGATCTTAAATTTATGATTCAGAGCTTTAGGTTTCTGTGTTCACATTGAAGAGAACAACAGTTATATAGCCTTGTAGGTTAGTCTCCGTGTGATTGTCGTTTTTGATGTGTCTTCACTGATCAGTACACGCAAAAGGCAAAACTTTCCTCCGTCTAAAGCGGATCTTTAAATTACGTTTCTGTTGAAACTATGGTCTCTCTCACACACACAAACACACATGTGGTGAAAAGTGATAGCTGAATCAATGTTTGAAAATTAAAATCTAAAGTTTCTAATTGACAAATAAAAAGTGTCAAAAAGGAAGGAAGAACCTTTTTGGAAAGGTTTAATTTTCGTTCTATATCATGCTTTTGCTTTAGTTTGATTTATTTGACTTGGCATAGTTTTTTGGTTTATTTAAAGGGTCAAAAAGGAAAATTAATTTGATGAGCAACAATGGTTCCATCGAATGTTTAGATGAATGAAATCTATAAGCTAAACAAAAAACTTGAAATTCGATTTGGTTCAAAATAGATTGGTTTTCTTTGGATTTGATCGAAGAACTACATAATAATGAGGTTTGGTGTATTCCATTTCCCTCATTCGTTATTTGTGTTTAGGTTATATGTGGCGAAACAGGAATATATTTGCTTCCATTTGATTTTTTTTCCTTGAAAACAATCAGTAAATGTATTTTGGGATGATATGTTTGATGGGTTTAGTGAGAATATCGGTAGTGGGAGACAAGAGTTGATATGGATAGTTGAGTGTTGCTTTTGTTTGTCCAAAAAGATTTCCACCTTGTGTTTTTAGTCATTTCCAAATCATAACATCAAAAGCGAGGTCAAATTCATACTTCATATGTCCTAAAAATTTATCAAGGATTCTGCTTTTAGACCATCAACTTCTAGTGATCTCTTATTGTTATTGGCCAGTATATGCAATCTTTTTGGAGTTGGGTCCATTTTATAATCCATATACAAATTTCTTTCAAATGTGTGAGTACATTTTTTGTAATATCGTCTTTAAGTTTATTGTTCAGAACAATGTTACATCTAGAGATTGTAATTTAGATCCATCATATTTATTATCGTTGAATTATCCTAAACACGTGTGTGTAATCTGTTGGTTCTAATCGAACAAGTCACAAAATCAAAATTTGTGGACATGCAATTTTTGAAATGTACTCATAGTTCTTTTGGATAGAAGTCTTCGTCCAAAAACAAAGTCTTGTTTGAGTAGGATGTTAAACTTCATTTGAGTTTTCTTAAATCCTTTTTAATTTCATACAAGTGTGAAGTGTCCTAGTTTATACTAAACAAAACGACACCAATGATTAAACTAAGAAATCTATATTTAATTTTTCTGTAAGATTCGTTTCAAAGCAGTCAAAGTCGCACAAGGAAGATTAATAAAAAGAAGAACTGATTAAAGCAAAAAAAAAATGAGGTTGTTGGGTTTACCCATATATGCACTTATTAGAATAAGGAACACAGAAATGTCAAAAAATCAAAAGTAGATTAATCTAAGGAACACAGAAATGTAAAAAAATCAAAAGTAGATTAAGGAGTTAATCTCCAAAATAAGTAAGCGTTACAATAAATTAAGTAAAAAATACATTAAACAACCTATAAAGTGATATCATAAAGACCCTAAAAATCGATTCGTCCGTTGTGGTAAAAAGAAATGTTTTATTTAAAGGACCATTAATAATAAGTGCTGCAAATAAATTAAATAAAAATAAAAAACGGAAAAAAAAAAATCAAGTGCAGACAAAACGAAACCAGAACACGGTGAAGAGAAGAGGAAAGAGAGAGAGAGAGAGAAAAGGAAGACGATGATGATTTCTCGGAGACCCGTTTCAAGTCCGGGTCGGGTCGAGAAATATCCACCGCCTTTTATGGGGTTTTTGAGGAGCAAAAGTAACGGCGGAAGCACAAGTAGAAGTAGAAGCCGAAGTAGAGGAAGGTCACGCGCGAGTCCTTTATTTGTTCGCCGGAATAAATCCGCTGCGGCGGTGACTCAAGAACCGTCGTCTCCGAAGGTTACTTGCATGGGTCAAGTCCGGGTCAACCGATCGAAGCCCAAAATTAAACCCGAATCTCGAGAAAACCCGACCCGACGACGATGTAAGTGGATCCGAAACGCGTCGTTTTATAACAAATTCGCCGGGAAAATCAAAACGTTGTCGTTTTGGCCTAAATGGCGATTGTTTTCGTTTTCGTGCTCTCGTCGGAAATTGAAGGAGAAAGATTCTCCGAGAAGGCAATTAGATCGTCCGGCAACGGAATCAGTCAGAGAAATCAAAGAAGAAATCGAAGAAGAAGAAGAAAGGGAAAATTTTGAAATCCCTAAATTATTTGTGTCTCCGGCTACTACGCCGCCGATAAACGCTCTGTTGTTGACGAGAAGCAGATCTGCACCGTATAGATCGTCGTCGTTGGCTTTCAGATTCTGGGAAGAAAGTAACCAACGCGAAATTGAATCACAGCAAAATGTGACATCGGAGAAAACTGAATCGGAAGTTCCCACCGAGAAAATCAATGGTGTTTACGAGCCGGATAATGTTGATAGAGATGAAGAAGAATTAACGGAGTTAGGGTTTGTACGACGGCCGGTGTTGACAAGGAGCAAATCGGAGCCGGCGAGGATCGCCGAGAAGATGATAGTGTTGCTTCCGGATGAAGAAGAAGGTTAGGTAGGGTTTAGGTCTCTCATGTGATTAGTCAATTATTGCACTAATTTTTAATTAATCGTTGGTTTTACAATTTAATTTTCATTGTTTAGGATAATTTGACTGTGTTTTAGATATAGAGGAAACAAATTTGTATAAAGATTTGTAACCATACATATAACGTAAGGTGTAGGTATGTTTGGCATAAAAAATGTTTAACAATACATTATAAATTCAAAAAGAGAAAAAAAAAAAAATACATTATAAATTCAATTTCAATTTGTATATTTACATTATCTGTTTTATTTTCATTTAATCTGTATGCTATTTAAATTTTGGCAATCTAACAAAACATAAATTTTTCTAGTTTCTAGAGCAATTCAAAACAAAATTTGTGTTTTTCGAGAATTAAACCGTATTCTAAACCTTGATTGTGTTTTACGTTATTGTAAATTAAAATTTATAAAGGTTTAGAAAATTAGAAATTTAATATTGGTTTATTGATTGTTAAAAGAAAAGAATGAAAAAGGCTTATTATGGCCCAACTTATAGATGGGCTTATATATTGTAGGCCAATTGTTCGATACTTTTGACCAAATAAAGACCCATTTATTTATACTAATTCGAGATATATACACATCATTATAGATAATTGATCCATAAATGTATGATGCATAGTATGAAAAATAAGACAAAATGGGTGGGTGAGAAAATGAAAGGAGTGCCTTAAGGAAAAAACACAGCCATGAAATAGCTGTAGAGATGGATATGGACCCATTACAATTTATGATTTATGAATAAGAACCAAGAAGATGTTAGACAAAATCATTTATGGAGTTCTCACACTCATACTTATAATATATATACAAAATATTTCAATTGACTTCCCCAAGACTGAGACATCTCTCACCTATATACTTGATTCTTTAATTTACGATTTTAGTATCTCATCTTATGAAACCAAAATGATCTGAAAATGGGTGTGATTGGATTTTTCAGATTTTACTGTTCGAGGTTTGATGATTTTATATATTCGTCCATATATCTGTTAATTCGAACAAATGTGAATCAAGGATTTAGTTCTTTTCGCATTTGAGTAATAATTATAAAAAAAAAAAGCGACACGAAATGAAGAAATAAAGAAAAAGTAACATTTTGGATTTTCACTTATGAAGACAAAAGGTTTTCTTTTAAAAACTATGAGATTCTCCAAAGGTTCATGCATGCATATACATTGGAATGTACGGATGTACTTGGGTTATATATAAATTATATAATATTTCAATACGATATAAAGTTTTCAATCAAGCTAGTTGATGATTTTTGGAGTCAAACTCTCTTAAACATGAGTATAGACAGTATAGTTATTGGTCCAATTTATACGCATCCATTTTCTATAAGATTTGATAGTCTCTGGCTTCAATTAGTGATAACAAAAAAACGAAGATGAATATTTTGCTCCTTTTTATTTATTTTTAATATTACGTGACATTAATATTATATATCATCCTACACGTATTTTATGAATAAATGTATTTTACATAGCATTATTATTATCATAAATTATACATATTTATGTTTAATAATGGATGATAAGTATAAACTATTGATAGTACCACTATAATATATTGGGGGTGCACGATCCATCCATCGACCGACTTGAAATAAATGGAAAGGTAGAGAGTACAGAGATGTACAGTTGTAAGAAATAAGTGGGGGATAGAGGAAGCATTATAACATTATCATCTCCTCATTTAATTTTTTTCATTAAACTCTATATATAATGTTTCAACTTCAACCAGCGATTTCTCCTACCAATAATGATGTTTATATTCGCGATTTTTTAAAAAATATATATATTTGTATATCACCGCCAGAATACAATAACTGTGAATGGAATGTACGTACCTGTTTTTCTAACGACGTTTTCTAAAACGGAATTGAATCTATCATAAATTTCATTTTTCTAGCTATGTCGGTTTTTGTACTGTAAAGTAATAAAGGACACAAATAAAATTGTCAATGGACTAAAGTCACAAAACATAGCTCTAGCAGCGACTTGAATCTTGATTGATCCACTATCGACTTAGGTTTACTTTGGAACGAAATTCGTAACTAAAATTTTGGTTTGATATGGATTGGTTGTAATTTGTATGCGTTCAATATTAATTACCGTTAAAAAAACAAAAATTGCCGTTAACACTAGATTTTGTTTAACAAAGCAACATTTGTTTTTCAATAGAGTAAGTAATAGGCTATATATAATTCCTTCGACAAACACAACTCTAAGAAATAAATGACTACTACATTGTTCAATAAATACGTTTGGATGCAAAAAAAGATGAATAGATTGGAACACGAATTCAGCTTGGAAGCCATGAGATTGAAAGCTAATATTGTCCCTCACACATGAACTTGTCTTTTCTTATTTTTCTTTTTAGATGAATGGTCGTAAAAAACAATTAATAATGTTCCAGTCTTTTTAACCGTCCAAAACATCTTGCCCATCTATACGAATACAAGAGCACACTGTTCAAGACTTCAGATATGATGAGTAGCATATAAATTCAATGATACGAAAGACATTCATATTGAAAAAGTATTTTATATATTGAAAAAACGGATACAATGTTGGTACCTTTTTGCATTGAACTCAAATTGTTTTTTCCTTTTCAGTTGATCACCTAGTAAATAATTTTTTTTATATGTTATAGTGGAACAGATCTAGCTATTCACAACAGATCTAGCTGATTAAGTTTTTGGCAAAAAAAAACAAACTAAGCAAGTTTACAAAACATTATATATATATATATATATATATATATTGAATAGAAAGTTAGACATAGTATTTACTTCCCTATTTTAATTATTAAAAAAAAAAAAACATGACACGTTTTTCAGTCCACGTTATAAATAAGGCCATCATGTACCCGAAATATTACCATTCAAACTGATTGGGTTTTAAAAAGAAGCAAAAAATCTGAGAGAAAAAAATAACACTCAAAAACTTCTGATAGTTTATAAAAAACGAAAATGAAATCGACCGTCATGATTCTCCTCATTATCTACCTCCTCCTCGCCGTGCCTTGCTTCGCTAAAGGTATTTTTGTTCTTTGTTTTCCTTAAAGCCCTTAATTATGATTATTATTTGTGTTAAATCTTTGTACTTTAAAACATAATTCAGGATCGGAGCAAACAGATTCAGAGGTGTACGAGATCGATTACAGGGGACCGGAGACTCATAACTCTAGACCTCCACCGGAAACTTTGCACGGCAAGCCACCGTACATCCACCATAATACCTCCGCCGCTGGACTCGGTGCTCATGTAGGAGGAAAGAGTAAGTAGCCATCTCCGCCTTCATTAACTACTCATGTACCATTTCTATATTTATTTATGGCATTTAGGAAAAATATGAGTATTAAATGATGTGTATTTTTATCAAATAATATCATCTTAATTATTCTTCTTCTTCTTTAAGATTATTATGATCCAAGGAAGTAAATTTCTTTTCTTGCATATAAATGGATGATAATGGTGCTAAAACTAAAACATTTAAGGGTTTATTAATTATGTTCAATTTGTTTCCATGTATTTTGATATGTTCTCTTCTCCATGTATCAGACTAGAGAGAGACCTTTTCCAAGGAGAAGAGAGACGACTCAAAAGCTTTAAGATGAAGAGCAAGTTTTACGAGAGTTGTGATATATATGAGTAATGATGTTGGTACAGAGAGTTATTTATACTTATTTATCATATGAATTTGATCATCGATGTGTGATCAGTACAGTTAGTGTGAATAATTTACACACTACTCTCCTGATGTCATGTCCGGTCCTTTATTTATTTCTTTTTTCAATTCTCATGCACCGTTCTATATATCAATTTTTTTCGGTCTGAATCTTTTGGAACTATTTTTTTTTATTAAAGCAAGGTAATGTGTCACTAAATGAATATCAGTATAATTATTTAACTGTATGTTTGTTTTAAATTAGATATTAATATCTCTAATACTCATATCCTTGAAACCTTTATATTCCATTTTGGCTACTTATGGGCAAGAAATTAAATACGAATAAATATATATGAGAAAACGATAAATATATAATAATTTTGTATCTTCATATACAAAATGTTTTGGATGTTGGAATTACAACTAAGTTTATTATATCATATATTTTGTATCTATGTTGGTATTACAAATAAGTTTATTATATTGGACTTTATTATCTTTTATATTAAGAAAATATATAGACCCTCCAAGCATGCAAGGTGCCAAGGTCTGATACAATTCAAACACTTATCATTGACGACTGACGAGGTTTATTTTTGTTGTTGTCTATCTTTTATTATTAGATGAAAATTAAAAATTGAAAGTCGCAAGATTGTTTGTATTATTGTACTTGTCCATGATATTCAACAAATTAAAATTATTGATAGATGATCGGGTAATCTAAGACACTGGCTCCATCGGACCCACTTTATCAGAAGTTGACCCACCTTATAATCACTTCCTCAATCATTTTCAATATTTCATTTTAAAACTGGACCATGGTATTATTTATCACAATTTTTGGCCAGTACAGTACCATTTATTTTTTCACATAAGAGGAAAGTTTATGAATTATGATTACTTTGTAATACAGAGTTATGTTTGATTTGATTTATTTAATGATCTGTTGTAATACAGAGTTATGTTGGAGTACTATTATATACATGATTTCTTAATGACACACGAACACGACAAATGTTCTTTCTATAAGGTATCGTAAGAAAAGAGAACTTTTTTTTTTTTGGATTGTTAAAGAGAAAACGCGTTTGGCATCTAAACTGATTAATGATGTTTCTAGTTCGTTAAATTACTGTTACATATTAACTCGTTAGGTCGATTAATACAGATTAATTGAACAAAAATATCTTAGCAAAAATAGTCTTACTAGAGAACAAGCTTTCATGCAATGCAAGTTTCGAGTTCTAAGATATTGAGATATGTCAATATTCTAAGGTGGGAATTGAGAAGATTGGAATAATGAGTTTATTGGTAATCCATTAATTGTCCTCTTACTGGGCTGCCACGAGAAATTCACTATACCTAAAAAGGCCCAATTAATCCATTAATTGTCCTCTTATCATGTGGGCTTTAACATGTTGTAACAGTAACGGTAACTTTTTCTGGCCGATAAGTTTCCTTTTTTTTTTGTTGCAGCAACCTGAATATCCTTGTTTTGTTTGTTTGAGTGATTTCCTTTTATCAAAGGAATTTCCTTTTTCTATGTCATAACCTTTGCTTATAAATATTGACCTCTTCGTTCTTCTTTGAGAAATTATAATTCTCATTCTTCCACAAACAAAAAAAAATAATGACACACCGACGAATGCGTTTTCGTTCGGTAGACTCGGTTTCACTCAGTCTCGAATGTGTATTTTCAACTGGACTCACACCGAGTCCACTCGCGAGATCGTTCTCGTCGTTCGCGTTGAAAAGGTTGACGAATCCGCATACATCGGTTGAACTGGGGATGGTGGTTCAACGAGTCACTTATCGAATTGGCTAATCCCAGAGGTGTTTCTTCCTCAACTCGGTTTGACTCGGTGAGAAACCCTAAACGACGAGAATGATTAAGCAATTGGACGACGCAGTGGAGTTAACAACACCAACGGCTACATCGATGAAGACGGAGAGAAGCTTTCTCTAACCGGTCACGTGCGGGGGAGGTTTCCGAAAGTCAAAGCCACGTGAGGATATCTCAGAGACGGATTCGAGTAACAGAGCACCTCCTTGCCCACGACAATTGAATTACAAGGTATGTTTATATATATAATTATATAATTCAACAAAAAAACAATATAATTATTTAATTCGGTAACATAATAATTCTCGATATAAAACTAAATTTTAAGAATTTTTTAAAAAATTATTTTAGATAAACCGTATAGATTTTAAACCAAAACTTTTTAATTATATAAAATATAACTTTTAAAAATTAAGTGTTAAATTTAAATACGTCGGAAACAAACCGGACTTAGCATCCCGTCCTTTTGGTCCGTAAGTTTTGTGGTGTCACAAGTTCGGCAAGTTTCACGTGTTGTAAATTTAACACTTAGTTAAGTTTAAATTTTTTTAAAATTAATGTTTTAAGTAATAATTATTACTATTTTAAACCATAAGTTTTTAATTATATAAAATCTAACTTTTAAAAATTAAGTGTTAAATTTAAATACGTTGGAAACAAACCGGACTTAGCATCCCGTCCTTTTGGTCCGTAAGTCTTGTGGTGTCATAAGTTTGGCAAGTTTTTACGTATTGTAAATTTAACACTTAATTAAGTTTAAAAGTTTTTAAAATTAATGTTTTAAGTTGCTTTCAGTTGCTTAAAAAATGATCTTTGGCCCCAAATCAAGTTCCTCGTCTTGCTCCAATCATTCATGGAATCATTCACACAGACCTCTTTCTATTATCATGGTGTAAGTTCCTTCTCTTCATTGCCTCGGATTATGTTGTGACTTGTGAGTGACTACTCTATACCTATTAGTCTTACTTTTTCCGTTTTTGAATTCATTGCAGGCTACTTCGGGACTAGGTAAGGCCACTGCCTTTACTCTTCTAAGGAAAGGTTTCTACGTTGTTCTTGGTAAAAGAGTGTTGCTTTGGATCTCTTATTCAATTATCTCTTGTTGATATGGAGAGGATGACTTGGAACATGTCTTTTTCATATATTCAAATTGAATTATAAGCTGAGTCTTTCTTGATTTTGCAGTTGGAAGATCATCCCACTTACTATCAAAGGTTTTCTACGTTCCCTTTGATTTCCTTGTACCGATAGAAGAACCTCCTCTTTCACCTTTTTCTTGATGCAAGAATCTTTGTGATTGCCACTTTCTTTGACAGACCTTGAGTGATATTAAGAGGCAGAATGAGGATGCCCAACTCGAAACTATTGAAGTTGACATTTCGTCTTTTCAATCAGTTTTTTTAAGTTCAGAAACTCTCTAGAGCAATGGCTTTTAGAATAAGTTTTGTAATTGTTTTGAGTTCAACCAGATCAGCTGCAGACGAACAATCAAATGTCAATTATCACAACTATTCATCTCAAGGTTTCTTAATGAAAACAAATAAAATTCTTACTTGCGGGTGCTCTGCCAACATTCCTCTGCTTCTCTACCTCCCTCTCATGTCACATTACCAAAGCTAACCAGCTCATATGTTTACCCGCTGGTGTATCCAGTTCTGCACAAGCTAATATTTTGGAAAGGGTATGGTTTTTGCTTCTTAGACGCTACTTCCTTTCTTTATAGCTATTGGCCCTGTTCGTTTCTCCATTCAGATGGATCATCTGGATGGAGATGAAAAATGATGTTCGTTTTTTACAATTTAACAGATCATTTGGATGAATTAGTTGGATGGATCATCTGAATGAGTTTGTAATTTTAGGCAAATTTGTCAAACTCATCTGGATGAACATGATTGGAGCATTTGGATGGAGATGATTCAGTCAAAAATAACAAATGACAAATATACCCTCATTTATAATCATAAATCAAATAATGTTTATTTTCCATAGATTTTTCATTTTAGATTCTAAAAATTACATATTTGCACCAAATAAAATCTCTAAAAATCGTGAAATCAATGATTATCATTTTTCGTCAAAATCATAAAATCGCGGAATTGTGTTTTTTCCCGCCAAAAAGTAAAATCGTGATTTTTTATAGAAAATTATGGAATTCATCAAAACCGCAAAATCATATTTTCTCGCCAAAAGTGCAAAATCATATTTTTCCGCCAAAACTATAAAATCACGATTTTGGCGAGAAAATTACGGAATTCTGTTTTCCCGCCAAAACCGAAAATATTGAAGAATTGTGTTTGCCACCAAAACCGTAAAATCATATTTTCCCGCCAAAACTATAAATCACGATTTTGGCGGGAAATTACGGAATTCTGTCTTCCCACCAAAACCGAAAAAATTGCGGAATCATAATTTCCCGCCAAAATCGAAAAATTATGTTTTCCCGCCAAAATTGCGGAATCATTTTTTTTCACCAAAATCGCAAAATCATGTTTTCCCGCCAAAACCGCAAAATAACATTTTCCCGCCAAAAATTGCAAAATTATGTGTTCCCGCCAAAAATCGCAAAATTATGTTTTCCGCCTAAACCGTAAAATTATCTTTTTTCGTCAAAACGTAAAATTAATTTATATGTTAAAATAATAATTTAAAAATTATTTAGATGAAAATATATTTTAGAGCAATAATTAAATTAATATAGCTTAGATTAAGATTTAAAATATAAGTAAATTAAAGTATGAGTATTTTAGTCATTTTCTTGTTAAAGTCATCTAGATGGAGATAAAGATTTGTAAAAATTGAACAAACAAACCAAAATTCATTCAAATATTCCATCCAAATGAACATCCAAAAATTGAAACGAACAACATTCAGATGGAGCATTTGGATGGAACATTTAAATGGACCATTTGGATGGAAATGGTAAATGATGAAACGAACGGACCCATTAACGATGAGAAAGTTCATTGCGTAATTTAAATTTTCCCCAAAAACAGAATAACATTCTGCATATGATGAAAGTACTAACCAACAAAGAGTTGACAGGTTTATTCGTGCAAACTTTCACTCTTTTTTGTCTCAATTTTTCTTCAGACATTGGAGCTTAATGGAACTGTTCTTCTGGTGAATTACAGGTTGAAGCAGTATCTATGTAAATGCTTACATAGTTCCCAACTATGCAACGCATATATGTAGTTGTGAACACACACCTGCTTAAGTAGAGTAAGGGCCAATGCTTCACCACTAAAAAAAAAGTTAGTTAAAGTTTTGATTTGATTTATTATAATATGTATTGTATATTGATTGATGTTAGAAATTAGTAAGATTCCCATTTAGTGTATGCCCCTTTGTTATGAACTTATGATTATGACCAACCTCCATTTTCTAACATATTTTATTTACTTATTTAGTTATCTAGAAGACTTTGCCATTCTTCTACTCAATCTCTTGTTCCCTTTTTCGTATTACTTTTCCTTCTTTTTTTCTATTGCATGGACATATTACGAGATAATAATTTGTATGATTTTGTTGATAAAGACTTACCAAAATCTAGCCGTTAACTTGGACTTGAATTACAAGACTTTTTTTACTACTACTGCCAGAGTTTATATAATTCAAGCCAAACGTATTTAAGCCACACGACGCTCACCAAGCTAGGTATTTTTATTATGCAAAAGTAACATTTTTTTGTGGATGCAAAATGACAACATTTTGTGTTATACGAATGGTCCATATGATATGTTGGTATGATTACCAACCAAACTAAATAGGTTGTACAGTTTATTCTCTGTTCCCACTTGTAGTTAAACTACTTGTAGATATGGGACCAATAATCTAAACCTTTTCTCATACAGTAGAAACTCTTATCAAATTCAAAGTAAAGAAAGCGACACTCACCAAACTTACTATCCAAAGTTGAACTAGTTAAAGTGTATAACTATTAACATTTCTCTCTATTGAAATCGAAATATTTTATACACATTGTTGTTACAATCTGTAGTCTGGAGGTTCCAAAACCAAGAATTATTAAATCGAACAGAAAATATACATGTAATTCCAACATTTTTAAAAATTAGTATAAAGTTTTTGGATTTTGTTTATTTTCAATTTACGTACAAAATTGTGCTTCGAATTTTATAATTAATTTGTCATTTGAATAAATATTATTTTTAAACCGATCGATCCTTGCCGACAATGAAGATGTCGTGTTCCGACGACGAAGAAGTCGTAGAGATCGGAGCCAAAACTTCGTTACAGTCCGATACACTGTCTTGTAATGTAAGCAATAACTCCGACGTACTAAAGCTCATAGACGATGACGGCTTCGCAATCGGAACTTCCGGCACATCAGCTTCACCAACAAGAATCTGAACCACACTTCTCATAGTGGGCCGGGTCACCGGGTCGGGTTGTGAACAAGCAAGGCCCACCATCAAAACCCGATTCATCTCCTCCTGGTTAAACTCACTCAACCGTTCATCCACCGCCGTCAATAGCTTCCCTTCTCTATACAAACCCCAAACCCAATCTACCAAACTCGATCTCAAACCAGGTCTTAAACCGGGTTCCGGTTCGGGTCGGGTTATGGGTCTTCTACCAGTGCATACTTCTAAAACAACGGCCCCGTAGCTAAAAACGTCGGTTTTCTCCGTCGCTCGACCGGTTAACAAATACTCCGGCGCTAAATACCCCATTGTTCCAGCAGCGGCGGTTGCGTCCGGCGATTTATCGTGCTCCGTTTGCCTCGCGAGTCCAAAATCGCCTAATTTCGGATTAAAATTCGCGTCGAGCATGATGTTACTTGTTTTGACATCACGGTGAATAATTTGATTCTCGCACTCTTGATGCAAATAAGCCAAAGCGGAAGCGACTCCGAGAAGTATTTTTCTCCGGTGAGGCCACGGTAATGTCGTCGGAGACTCGTAGAGTGCTTTATCGAGTGATCCATTAGGCATTAGATCGTAAATTAACAAAATTTCGCCTTTTTCTCTGCAATAGCCTTGAAGACGGAGAAGATTCCGGTGACGGAGTGTTCCGATTAAGGATAATTCCGATAAGAATTCTGTGTTTCCTTGAGAAATGTGACTACATCTTTTGATTGCGATGATTTCGCCGGAATCCGGTAAGATTCCTTTGTAGACGGTGCCAAATGCGCCGTTCCCGATGACTCTCGATGAGCTGAAAGAGTCGGTGGCTAATTTAAGCTCCTTGTAAGTGAATTCTCTCGGCGATTTCATGATTTCCGATGCGAAAGATTCAGACTTTTGATTATATTTGATCTTTTTGGAGTAAACCCAGATTATAACTCCGGCGAATAATGCTAAGAAAAATGCTCCGGCGGTTACTACTCCGGCAACGGCGGCTGGTGATTTTTTACAGAGTTTGTTACGGCAAGAGGACGATGGATCGGCGGTTTTCTTCCGGACGGTGGATACAGATGGTGTGATCGATGTTGACGAAGGAGACGATGGAGGAGGAGAATTAGACATCGGCGGTGGAGATTCCGATGTATCGAAAGATGAACTAAAGCTCCACCAATCGATACTGTGAATCTCTGTGCTTCCTTGTGTTGATCCAGAGAATCCGACGAACATTGAGTCGCTCACGTAACGATCAAGATCGAGAGGAACCGACAAAATCGGCGATTTTGGTTTCACGTTTGAGTAAGAGACGTAAACTGTTAAAACCCGACCCGACCCGTCATAACTGATCCATGAATTCACGGCGTTTCCGCTCTTGAGATCGATGTCGACGTTTCCTAAATCGGCTACCGCGGCTGAAACGACGGCGTTTAGATCCAATCCCACGTGGTTCCCGTTAACGTCTTTGAATTGCACATCCATCAGCGTATCGAATTCAACCGCCACAAAACCCGACCCGGATCCGGATTCTTCGGTTAGACCGAGAAATCCACCGGCGGATCCTAAGTATTCTTCATCAGGGGAGATTACGAAAGCTAATCCACCGCCAATTGAAGAAGGGTTGAGATTCGTTACCGAGAAGGAGAAGTAAGTGGTGAAACTCGCCGGAGATTTAGTCTCCGGATGCCGGAATTTAACCGGTTTTCCATAAAGAGCTTTTCCGGCGGTGGAAGTGGGAACAGAGAGTTCACGAGTGAGCTTTATAGTTCCGTTGTTGAGATGAGCATCGCCGAGAAGTTTGAGACTTGAGAGAGTCAACGTTCCGAGATCAAATCTAGTCGCCGGAAAATCGCCTCTGACGTCGGAGGAGCAGAGGAAGGAGGCAAGAATGTGGATGAGAGTTGAGTAAACAGAGAAGAATCTCGGAGGAATTTTCAACATTTGTATATATTTTTCATTGGATTCCTTTGAAACCTGAGGAAGTTAGAAGAATTTGGAGGTTGTTGGGTTCTCACTGATACAATCATACAAAGAAAAACAAAGACAAATCTTTACTGAATCAGACAGAGGAAGACGGAAGACGACAGAAGAGAGTGGGAAATAAAAAGCAGAAGGGAAGAAGACAGGTGGATCTGCTGATTGACACGTGGAATTATTAAAAAAAAATATGGAATTTTCCAGCGATGGAGAAGGTCCCTCACGTGCAAGCGCGTGTTTGCTTCTGTTTGAGATCTCTCTCGTCAAAAAAGTCTTTGGAAGTCTTTAGTAATGTTATTGACTTATGGAACTTATGATCAAAGTACTTCGAATTAAATAACTTATTTATTTCAGCGTTAAAGCGAATTTGAAAATTGAATTTCATTAGTTGTCATAGTTACAGAAAACTTTTTATTTATTTATTAAATTATGGAAGAGATAAACATATATAACGAACGTTGTGAAAGTTTCATGGCACATGATTTTTTTGTTTGACTATTATGTTGCATATTGTACCCGTTTCCTTACTCCCTTAAATAATTTTTCCAAAGGCAAGTTCCTATGGATATGATATATGTAAATCAGCATTAACAAAGAATAATTCAATGTCTTAATCATTATCTCTAACTAATCCACAAGTTCACAACGCAGCCACTCGTTGTCATCACCAGCTCGTGTTGATATTTGTATTCCTTATTTGACTTTGTCTCTATGTGTATTTCTTTATCTCCAAATGTACTAAGAGACTATTAATTTACTTGGTTGGTAGCCAAAAAAAAAAAGGGAAAATAATCGACAATCTACGAGACATCGTGTCACAAATTGAAGTATTTATGTTATCTGACGTATATTTATTGTGGTCAATATTAGATTAAAGACCATCTATTTTTCTCGTTTCCTTATTCTTTTGAATTTACATAGTCTAAATTTTGGCTGGTGACAAGATTTCCTCAAATTGAAATCTACTACCACAAAAAGCCTCTAATGTATCTTACGGACTTGGGCCTGATACAAAAAAAACTTGTGACCCAAAAGCTAACATTGTACAAAAGAGTTATCTCGCGAAAGTGGGGATATTCCTGATGAAAATCAAAGAGCCTCCATAGATTGGCATGTTTATGTGGGCTTTATTTGGGGATGAACAAACAGATTGTCATTTGTCAAGATAGTAAAAAATAAAAATAGTTAAATGAAAACCATTGATCGGAATGGAAGTTACAAAAACAAAATTTAATTGTGAAATTCCGAGTAACAGTTTCACAGTTATAGTTGTCATTAATCTTACTACATATTAGAAAAATTAAAGGATATTACGCAAAAAAATAGTTAAACGAAGACTTGGGCTCTAGTTATAGTTGTCATTAATCTTACCATTGTGAGTGGGGAATGTTTTTACGCGCTCTAGTTCTGAAATCAATTTACTATTACACTATTAGGGTTTCACTTGGGCCTTGGGCTTAGGGCCTATCCACTTTCTACTATTAGCCCATATTGTGTTTCATACAAAGCAAAGTGAATATTATAGTTTTTTCAAAGTGGGGACTGGGGATGTTGAAATTAAAATCATGTCGGTCCGAAAACATTCCTTAGAAAAAATATATATGATGTAATTTCTTTAATTTATCAATTTTGCGTATTTATTTTTCACTTATTCAAGTATTACAACGACTCAACGAGAGATAGTTAGATCTCTTGCTACGCATTTGATTGATTGGTTTAGATTTAAACCAGAAACAGTAGCTATATGTCGATCATATATATTGTTTTATTTTAAACGTTTAAATGATATATCTTCATAATGACGTCGTACTTTGTAAAATGTTGACCGATTTAGTTTAATAAGACCGGCGTCGATATTCAAATAGAACTGTTACAAAAAGTAACAATTAATTAAATACAAGTGGAGCCATAAAAAATGAAGTTTGTAACAATATTGATGCCCTTCCTATAGTTTTTTTTTGCATATTTACAAATCTTACTACACATATATAGAGATGTATATATACTATTTTATGGATTTTATTTACCTCAGGTCTTCATTTAGTTTTGGATAGACAAGTTAACCATCAATTTTTGTTTCATAATCGATGTCAGAAAAAATCGTTAGTCCAAGAATCGGATAATACCAAATGAAATATTTGCACCCATTTGAAATTCAAATTTTGAGTTTCAGAATAAAATAATTAAGTTTGTATGTGCATATAATGTGTGACTATATATGATAATTATAATAATACGTTTCTTAATCGTAGACACAAACTTTGGATACCAAGAGGGGAATAAGAAAGCATCCAATGGACCAAAAGAAGGCAAACACAAAAGGCCAAAAGAGAGGTTGAGTTGCATTATTTATGGAATTTTTAATGTAATCTAATCTATAATATATGATAATTATTGTACTACTAGTTCATTTTATTTAACATTTATACAATCATATTTTTATAAGAAAACATGATTAAAAATTATACAGTCGGTCTTCATATATCTGTATGTCTACGTTACTTTTTGTCAAAACATTTTTTTTTTTTTGCTAATTAGAAAGTTCAGACTTCAGACCCATTATATCTTAATATTGTGATGCGTCAACTGTATTGGTAACTAGCATGTTGAACTAGAAGCGTTTGATCATGTACTAGAAACCCATCGCTGTTAGACTTGAATCCAAAACCATAAATCTAGTAGACTCATGACAGTCACTATTATCAAAAGGATGATAATAGAAGACTGATATATATGCTCATGAGCTTCTATATGACTGAAGATGATTGATGAATAAAAAAAACTATGATTCAAAGGGATGATAATAGAAGACCAATGTGCATGAGAATCATAGCTCCAAAAAGAGGGTCCTACAGACAGAGAGACAGGCGTCACGGACTGTCCTATCGTCTTCATCGGGAAATGCCAAAAGATCCTCTCTCTCTCACACATTACACAAATAACATGCAACATGCTATGTTTGGTCCAACTTGTAATTATGCCTTAATCATTTCTTTCGATCTATTTCCTTAAAGGCAATTCCCTTTTCTTCTCACTTCCTCGATTGCACAAACCAAAAGAAGAAATGCAAAAGACGATCACACTTGAATGAGTAAGAAAATCAATTGTAGTCCATTCAAGAAATCCAATAATAATTTTATTTTGTCCAAGCACATGATCAATCGCAGTTCTATATTTCAGATCTGTCTGTACTTTTTATTTTGTGCTCGAATTAGAAGAAAAAAAAAAATCAATCGCCAATACTTATAACAAGACTTAATTTGATTGTTATTTTGGCTAAGTACAGGTTTTACTACGTGAACTATTACTAGACTATCATTTCATCGCTTCTGGATTTATTTATTCGTGACAATAGATGTTAGAATTAGTGTCAATATATGACATTTTGACTTCACTTGGGTGTACACTAAATTACGTTTAAATCTAAATTACTTTTCTTGGCTTTTGTCTTGGAGTAATTTGTACTTCCAATTTATTAAATGTTTATATAAAAAGTAGTGGAAAAATAAATACAAATTACAAAAAGGCTTTTTTGAGTTCCTAAAACTTTTTGGGAGTCAAAGATGGTGCTCTCTTTAAACAACGGGAACTTTTTGCATCTACCTATATGCTTTGTTCTTGGGACACAGAACATTTTCCTTTGCCAAATACAATTTCTTGGGTGGATAAAATTTTCCTTTAATAATAAAATAGGAGTTGAAACTATGTCCAATTAAATTAATATGTAGATCCGAAACATAGCTTAGTACATATTAACGTAGATTTTTCATAAAATAACTAATAAAGACTATTGTTTTTTTAGTCTCAAACCTTATAATGATTGTTTTTTTTTATAAAGAATAAAATGAAATTGTTAAGAAGATATATCGATCTCAATCTGCTTATAAAATATGCAAGATTAATATTGATACATATATATATATATATATATGTTTGAAGATTAAAAAAAAAACAAATTAATTCAATTTGTATGTAGAAGAAAACTACAAGTAACATAAAACAATAAAATGCCGAAACTAAGAAACCCTTTAAACTTATGACCGTAATAGATAAATGTTGTATCTACAATCATTTTAAACTATATCTATGTGAATTGAGATTTCAGTTAAATAATGAATAAATCCAAAAATATCCATCAAATTATGTATCAACCATATATACACTAATTGATGATTAATATTTTTTCAAATAACAATATCATATAAAATATAATTTAGGTTACATCCCCTAAATATCTTCTCCCAACTTTTAAACACAACATAGATCATAGATGTACACACTACACATGCACGTGTGTCTATGTAAACTGCGAGAAAGAAAGAGACTGGCCTTTTCGAAGAAAATATTTATTTAAAAAAAAATCAATTTCCCTTTTAGAAAATAATTCACTGATCGACTACAAAAAAAAAGAAAGGTAGATCTCTCTATAAGTACATCTCCCAGATCTCTCAACATTATTTATTCAAAAAAAATAACTTTATTCCTGCAATAGTTTTTTTTGGGTTATAATAACAAATCCTCTTTCAATATAATCTTTATATATACATATACTTTCGTGCCTTGAAAATTTCTTCCTCATCTTCTTTGGTCTTTTCTTGTCATTTGGCATAACCAAAGAGTCAAGCACATTCAAACATTCTCAAGCCCTAAAACCCAAAAAAACTTATATGCTCTTGTTCTTGTTCTTCTTCTCCCCTCAACATATATTAAACCCTAATTAACTATCTCGTTTGTTTGTATACTGTTCTAAACCTCCTGATCATCTTCTTGTTTTCTTGCAAGATTTCATAAAAAAAAACAAAACCCAGCTGTTTTTGTTCTTGTTCTTTAGCTCCGATCCGTTTCAATTTAAATCACAGATATGCAGATGATTCCAGGAGATCCATTTTCTATTTCATCCTCCATGGGAGGGTTTGTTCATCAAGAAACACACCTTCATCATCTTCAGCAGCAGATCCCTGACCTCAACCCTAATTCTAACCCTAACCCAAATGTGAAACCAAACTCTTCATCAGCCAAGAAGAAGAGAAATCAACCTGGCACTCCAGGTAACTCCTTCCACACCATCATATACTCACATGTATGCCTAAATCTATGTGCATGTGTGTGTATCATATATACTTGTATACCTGTATCTCTACATATCGAAAACACATACGTAAGCTGTTAAGCATAAGACGTTGAAAGCAGTTCCATGTATTTGTAAATCTGCTTCCTTATGAAAATAACAATTAACCAAAAATAGGCATATATATTATTTGCTGAAATAATCACATATGCATATACATCTCTCTATATATTTCTTATATGTATATTTTCTCCTTTTATTGTATTCGGATGGTCATGTTACATATATGTTTATTTATAATCCCTACAACATCTTTGGAGTCATTAGATCAAAATATGCGTTAATATATCATATCTAAACACATATATGGACAGATCCAGATGCTGATGTCATCGCTCTATCGCCAACAACACTCATGGCAACAAACAGATTCGTGTGCGAGATCTGCAACAAAGGGTTTCAAAGGGACCAGAACTTACAACTCCATCGCCGTGGCCACAATCTTCCATGGAAGCTGAAGCAACGATCCAAACAAGAGGTGATAAAGAAGAAAGTATACATATGTCCTATCAAGACTTGTGTACACCATGATGCTTCTAGGGCCCTTGGAGACCTCACTGGGATCAAGAAACACTATAGCCGCAAACACGGTGAAAAGAAGTGGAAGTGCGAAAAGTGTTCTAAGAAATACGCTGTTCAGTCTGATTGGAAGGCACATGCGAAAACTTGTGGTACTCGCGAGTATAAATGTGACTGTGGCACGTTGTTCTCCAGGTAATACTTACTTAAGAGACTAACATTTGGTATTGGTTGGTGTATAAGTTGAGTTTGTGCGACATGAAGTGTTATATTAATCTATCTTTTTTAGAAATATCGGATGAGAACAAGGCAAAAAATTAATGTGAAGGTACTGTTAAAACCTAAAAGAATTGTGTAACAAACTCTAATAGAGATAGGTGTGTAATATATATCTAGTGTCGGCATGAATGTGTGTGCAATGTCTTGTGATTAGATATATCTGTCGAGAAGTAGGATTAGAGCAGAGCATTAATTGAAGGCATTCTGACTTTTGGGGAGCAATTTTTTTTTAAAATTTTTTTTTTCCGATTTTGAAATAAAAGCTGCATACTTTATGATCAGTATGATATTCGATGAGATTTTTGATGGAGCATCTATTTATTTTGTGTGTTTGTATGTGTACATGTCTATTTGGCTTCATTCTTTTCTTCTATTCACACGATATATATGGTAAGGAACTCGACATACATATATATTATCAACACACACATATATACATGTATATATATATATAATATGTATATAACAAGTAAGTTTTATGTTTGTTTCTGTCTTCATGTGAATCATGCGTGAGTTTGCATAGGAGAAATAAATGCTTACTCCGGCCAAGAATGTTTTGTTTTGCAAATGATTTCAAATTCAATGCTATATTGAATCAATGCCCTTGTCTCACTTCTTAATTTAATTATGTTTTTTTTTTTTTTTTAATGTTATTGTCATCTAGCTATTATTCAATTTTTTCGCAAACCTAAAACGCTTTCTAATAAATTAATCGATCTATATTTTATAGGAAAGATAGTTTCATCACACACAGAGCGTTCTGCGACGCATTGACTGAAGAAGGTGCGAGGATGAGCTCACTAAGTAATAACAATCCGGTGATCTCTACGACGAATCTGAATTTTGGAAACGATTCAAATGTTATGAATAATCCAAATCTCCCTCATGGATTTGTTCACCGAGGAGTTCATCATCCCGACATCAATGCTGCTATCTCTCAATTCGGTTTAGGGTTTGGACATGACCTAAGTGCAATGCATGCGCAAGGTACATCACATATCAATCATCTTTCTAATTTCTAAATAGTTATTCATATATATGACTGATAAGTGATAAGTTGTTTTTTTAATTAATACTACTATCAATTAAATTCCGTTTAGGTCTATCCGAGATGGTTCAAATGGCCTCCACCGGCAACCACCACCTCTTCCCGTCGTCATCATCATCCCTCCCTGATTTCTCCGGCCACCACCAATTCCAAATTCCAACGACTTCCACAAACCCTAATCTCACCTTATCATCATCCTCAACATCACAACAAACCTCAGCTTCTATACAACACCAAACCCTAAAAGACTCATCTTTCTCACCACTCTTCTCCTCTTCCTCCGAAAACAAACAAAACAAGCCTCTCTCTCCAATGTCTGCAACAGCTCTCTTACAAAAAGCTGCACAAATGGGCTCTACTCGAAGCAATTCCACCACCGCTCCGTCTTTCTTCGCCGGCCCAACAATGACATCATCCTCAGCCACCGCTTCTCCTCCTCCTCCTCCTAGATCGTCTTCACCAATGATGATCCAACAACAACTAAACAACTTCAACACAAATGTCTCAAGAGAGAATCACAATCTTGCTCCTCCTCCTCTTAGTGGTGTCACCACTAGTAGTGTGGATAATAATCCCTTTCAATCGAACCGGTCGGGTCTAAACCTCGTTCAACAAATGGGTCTAACCCGGGATTTTCTTGGAGTGAGCAACGAGCATCACCCTCACCAAACGGGTCGTCGTCCCTTTTTGCCTCAAGAACTCGCAAGGTTTGCTCCATTGGGTTGATTATGTGTGTTTAATTAAATACTGTGCATGGGGGACAAGATTTTGGGTTTAATTAGGATTGGAAGTTCCTTTGAGGAGACAAGTCTAATTAAGAACCGTACCCCCTTGTGAAGCGGTCGGAATGTGGGGACAAAGGTTGACAAGACATCATCATATCAATTTACATTGAATGTTATGTACTTTTACTATGTTTTTGATTATCGCCAGTCACATAATATATACCATGACATGCATGGATATGTATTTCCGACGTTGTCGTTTTGTAAATGTTAATTTTTTTCGTTCTTGTAATGAGATATTCAAAAAACTGGTCGGTATTATCTTCAGGTTGACAGGCTTTAATTTCCAAGTTTGTTTATGAAGATTAATTGCTAATTACATAAGTCGTTCATATATATAATCGTGTGATATGTACCATCTCCACGTTCGGAACTCTTTCTAAAATCCTTGGTTTTCTGTTTCAGCCATTCTTGGATTCTATTGTGATGTGATCATTACATTTATACTCTAAACTTAGATATGTTGACAATAACCCTACAAAACGTTCCCCAAGAACAGCCCAAAGTCGCTTGAAAAGTTTTCAATTAAAAGTAAACTCAATTTTAACCAATATTATACGTTCATATAACTGTTTTCTTTTTTTTTAAAAATATCTTAACATAAAGTATAATTTTATTTTAGAAAACTAGTTGAAACTTCACCACCTTGTTGAAACTTCTTTTCAATAGGTACTTGATCCAAACTCAAGTTCTCGAGATGCGTGTCAATTTGGCTTCTGCGTAAATTATTTAAATATTTTAAGTGATACTCTTTTCAGTAGACTAAACAGGCTTTGTCTTTATTTTGACTTATTTCTAACTCCACACATACAATAATTAATTTAATAGCTAGTATTATTACCTAGAAAATATGAAATATGTCGTCTTGTGGATCAATGCATTATTCCTTTTTCATTGTCAAACACTATAAGATTATGTTATTTTTCATTGTCAAAAACTATATGTAATGTAGGTTTGAATTCTTTTTCTATAATGATGTTTACGAAAAAAGTTTAGATTATTTAATTTAATTTTGATGCTTGGCAGAACTAAAATCACAAAACAAAGTAATGGTTATTTTACATAAATTATTATCGTTTCCAAAATCATAATAATTCTGAAGAAAATAAAATTAGGCGAAAGTGTTGGGCCCATTAAGTATTATGTTGGGCCCATATTTATATCTTTCAATTATAAGGTTGGCCCTTAAGGCCTCAATTCAAATAAGCCCAAGAATCGCAGTTATCTTACGTGGCAGAGTAAGAGCCAACGTGTAATAGTTAGTCTTACGTGTTCAATTATCATTGGTAATCATTTACGAAATTGAAACCTACTTTAAAACAAATTCCACGTGGGTCATACTGATTGGATAGAACAACGTGTTGTTACTAGTTACACTTAAAACATGCAAATCAAAATCGAAAAAAAGGCTTCGAATTCGATCGAGGACGATAATCAGAAACACACAATTTCGCGTGAGCTTGCTTGAATCATTCAAAGATTCATCTTCTTCTTCTTCGTTCGTCTCTCTAATTTCTGAAGATTCCAAATTTGTGGGCAAACTTCGCCGTATACACAAAGTGTATGTATATGTATTGAAATCGAGAATGGATCTGTTCCGAGTTTGGTCAGGGATGGATTTCTTAGCTTGGAGAGGAATGGCTTACACTCTTCTTCTTCTCAACTTTGTCTTTGCTTGCCAACTTCTTCTTCTCCAACCTCTCGTTTCCGCTTTAGGTATATTTTGTTCTCTTGATTTTCATGTGGTGTGAAATTGATGTTTGTTGTTTAGCTGATTTGGGAATCTTAGTGATTAGAAATTTGCTTAAAATGGCGAATTGCTTCTATATTTCTCGAAAGTTTTCTCCTTTTCGTGTTGGGCTTGTTGCAATCTCCGGCGCTTTTTGGATATTGAGGTCCCCTGTTATGGTATTGAAATCGAATTTAGGACTCTGTTTTTGCTTGCTCCACATTACGAATTGATCTTATATTGAAACTAGGTTATGAGAGTGAAGCAATAATGCATTTTTGTATAGTGTTGAGTGTTTATTTTTGAATATTTACATATGTTAGATTGCTGGTTATTTTGGTACAGATGGTCAATCTGTAGATGCTGCTGAGTTATTTGAGAGGGCTTCACAAAGTATCAAGGTTAAGCGTTTTAGCGATGCACTCGATGATCTGAATGCAGCTATTGAAGCAGACCCTGCACTTTCTGAAGCTTATTTTAAGCGTGCCTCTGTGCTTCGTCATTTTTGCAGGTATAGATAGAAATGGGCAAAAGGTCCTATTGATTTGGATTTTAAGACAGAAGTTGATTTCTCTTCTATGTTCCTGTGTTATAGATACGAAGACTCTGAGAATAATTACCAGAAATATCTGGAATTTAAATCAGGAGATTCGAATGCTGAGAAAGAACTCTCTCAGCTTCATCAAGCTAAGAGTGCTTTGGAGACTGCCTCAACTCTGTACGAATCAAAGGACGTTGCGAAAGCTCTTGAATTTGTTGATAAAGTTGTTCTTGTCTTCTCTCCGGCTTGCTCTAAGGTTCTCTTCTTGATGGCTATTTGCAATATATCTTTGGACTCTCTGATCATGCAGTTTCTTATAGTTTACATTTTTTTTTTCATTTCAGGCAAAGCTTCTCAAAGTCAAGCTCCTTATGGTGTCTAAAGACTACTCGGGTGCAATTTCCGAGACTGGTTATATTCTCAAGGAAGATGAAAATAACCTCGAGGCTTTGCTCCTTCGTGGACGTGCCTACTACTATTTAGCAGATCATGATATTGCCCAAAGGTTTGGTCTAATTTCAACCCAATTTCCATTCTGTGAGAGTTTGGATTCAAAACTGATATACTTGATTAAACTCTGTTTCAGGCATTACCAAAAAGGGCTTCGTCTTGATCCGGAACACAGTGAACTGAAGAAAGCATACTTCGGATTGAAAAAACTGCTCAAGAAAACAAAAAGCGTGAGTCCTGTTAACCTCTATGTCTTCTTTTAACACTGAGCTTTAGCTGCCAATTTGTTGTATTAAAAATATGTGCTCTATTGCAGGCAGAAGATAATGCAAGCAAAGGAAAGTTGCGAGTTTCAGCAGAGGAATATAAAGAAGCTATTGCTCTGGACCCTGAACACACGGCAAATAACGTTCATCTCTATCTTGGACTATGCAAGGTCTCAGTCAGGCTCGGCCGTGGAAAAGACGGCTTAAATAGCTGTAATGAAGCACTTAACATCGATGCAGAACTGATTGAAGCTTTACATCAGGTTCATATCATCAAGTTTTAAGTTAAAACATTCATAACTTTTATCGAACAAATAGGGTTCTGATTACTACTTCATCAGAGAGGAGAAGCTAAACTGTTGCTTGAAGATTGGGAAGGAGCTGTGGAGGATTTGAAGCAAGCAGCTCAAAACTCTCAGGTTGGTTAAAGATTAGTTTTTATAATCTTCAGTGTTTCTGATACTGTTTAATATAACTTGGATCGCTTTGTATCAGGACATGGAAATTCATGAAGCACTTGGTAGAGCAGAGAAGGCATTGAAGATGAGCAAACGAAAAGATTGGTATAAGATTCTTGGAATTTCTAGAACCGCCTCTATCGCAGAAATCAAAAAAGCTTACAAGAAGCTTGCTCTTCAATGGCATCCCGATAAAAACGTCGACAATAGAGAAGAAGCTGAGAACAAATTCCGAGAAATCGCTGCAGCTTATGAGGTTCAACAAAATTCGACATTACTCTTTCATATACACACACACACACATGGTCATGGTCTCTCTCATTCTCTTGATACCTTTGAATTGACCAGGTTCTTGGAGATGATGATAAGCGGGCGAGATTTGACAGAGGAGAGGATCTTGAAGATATGGGTGGAGGCGGCGGTGGAGGATTTAATCCGTTTCATGGTGGTGGTGGTGGTGGTGGTGGACAACAATACACTTTCCATTTCGAGGGCGGATTTCCTGGTGGTGGTGGCGGTTTTGGCGGTTTCGGTTTCTAACTTGAACAACATGATGGAATCATGTAACTTAAGACTAAACGTTTCAAATTATACTCAAAATCACATTTTCCTTTCTTTCATCAAAAAAGTTTTGTGCAATCTTAAATGGTAATGTTGTCTCATTTCGAATCAAAACAATAACACATAACCACACCATCTATAACACAATCTCAAAGTACGACAAATTTAAAGCTCTCGTTGTTATTAAATTTTCCAATGTGGAGTCTCAAGAAAAGCTCTCTCTCGAGTTATATCGACAGAGAAGAAGCAGCAGCAATGGCTGCGACGATAGCGATTCTGACCCCAAACCCGAATCGAGTTCTCTCTGCATCAGATGAATCAGTAGAATCTCCTCCATCATCGCCACCGGAAGCTGAGCCTTTTGAAACAGAGCCGCCTTTCTCAGGCGCCGGAGCAGGAGCCGCGCTGGATCCAAACATGGCTAATGGCAACAATACTTGATCGACCTGATAAACAGCGAGCTGCTTATCGCTGTAGACAGAGTTAGCCACGGTGGCGCTGACAACTCCGGTGGTGATGTTAACTTGGTTACCGGAGCTAGTGATGTTAAGAGGGAATTTACCGTTTTGCCCATCACCAGCTTGCGTGCGTAAGGGGTTACTAACGGTTTGAAACTGAGGCATGGTAATGAGTGTAGGTAGGACATGGAACTGAACAAGCTGAACTTTTTGTTGGTCGGACAATGAGTTTAAGGTTCCGGATTTTAGGCTGTTGAAGGCGTTATCAGTCGGGGCAAACACGGTTAAGCCATTACTCGAGGAAGAATTGAGCTGAGTGTTGATTTGGTCTGAGGCTTGTGTGCTTTTAAGAAGTCTTATGAACAATGTGAATTGACCGGCCTTTTCTAGTATTGCGGTTATGTTGGTTGGACCTGAAGGGCCTGGAGCTGGAGCCTGACCATTGGTAGTGGCCATAACGAGGAAGAAGATGAAGAGATTAGAGGAAATGAATGTTCTTGAAGTAGCCATTGTTGTAGTTATTGTTGTGTGTGTGTGTGAGGGATGTTTTGGGTTTGTTATATAGAGAGATGTGTAGTTTGGTGAAGAGTAGGATTCTCTTACTAGTGTGAAGATTATTACTAGGTAACTAAATGAAGTTCTTTCAATTAATCCATTAGAGATTGGAAATGTTTAATTCTTGGTTAATAAAGTTTGTTTAAACTGAGAAAGAGAAAGGATGGACATTGCTTTAAAGGGAGAGTTTGGGTGGGTGAGGATTGAAAATGAAGAATGAACTGGAAAAGGGTTTATTGTGGACCTGTCAAAAAGCTGTGAAGAAGTGTTATCCAAGAAATATGGGATTGCAAATCATACTGCTCATTATGATATATGTGTCATGTGTGCCTTTAATATGTGATGTGAGAAAAGAAAACTCAAAAAACAAACAATATGATGTAAGAAAACATTATTGGATTGCTATAGTTTTCTTCTAATCTTATGACTTTTAGTTTGATATCAAATTACCTATATAACTATTTCTAGAAATAAAACTATGACATATATACTAATAATCTGTGTGAATATAATGCTGCATATTAGTTCGAAACAAAAAAATCTTCAAGTATTGTCAGAATATAGTGATGTCATATAATGAAAATATTTATTGTTATAGAGAAAAAAAAAATTAAGCCTACAATTTTGTTTTGCTTCTTTTTCTACAAGACCAAATAACCAAATCTGCTCTCACATCTCTCAACATAGACAAATCGATTAAAGCTAAACCGAATCCGGACCGGTTAATCAAAAACCGATCCAACCCTTTAGGGACTCTAGCTTCACTCAAGATCTACGCTGCTGTCAAACCACCTGAGTGCTTGCTGGCTCTTCTGGCTGGTGGGAATTGCTTCTCCTCCATTTCAAATACTCGTTAATAGCTGTTGTGCCGGTCATGGTGAGTCCAAATCCGATCATAGTGGCTAAGACAATGCACATTACCGGCTGCTTAACCTGCACACAAGTTAATGAGAGAGAGTGTGAGGGATCAAGAACCATAGATTCAACGAAGTAAGGTTTCTCGGAGACATTACATCAAATCTTACAACTGTGTAGAAAAGATGAGCGAAAAGAACCACAAAACCGAACTGAATGGTTGCGTAGATCCACACATAGTTCTTCTTCACTGCAACAAATCATATCACTTGAGACTGATGATAAATTTAGAATACGAAGAAATATATAATTTCAAAGTAGTTTCTATGTTACCCATTGTTGTTGATATCATTGATGCAAGAAGACCGATAATGCAAGAGAATGGTAAAGCTATTGCAACGGCGCTAGATTTCATGTCTATAATCAGAAGCTGCTCAAGGAAACAGAAGTATGCAAGCATGCTTACAATGACAAGAATTGGAACATCTTGCCATTCATTATTGAACCGTGAAATCTCGATATCCCTGGCTGCTCTTGAACGGTCTTGAGAATCCTGCACACGGAGAAGGGTCACCGGGAGATTTTTCACCTCTTGCTTACACACATCACATGTTATGTTCCCTTTAATTGTAAACCACTTGATCGTGCACGTTTTGTGGGCAAGAGCTAATTCCCCTTTGCACATACATTCCATCTTAAAAGCTTCTTCATCTTCTTCCATTTCAACCATACAGATTCTACACACAGCTTCTTCTTCAGGAACATCTTCTCCGCCATCATCAATTTCATCTGAACACATATCACCTAGTTTGTTACATAGAGTCAAAATGTGGCATCACAAAGACATGTCTGGGAGGTGATTTCTAACCGTGGATTTTACTCATTTTCGATGCCTGCATCATCTCTAGACTCTTCTCATCCCCACGAGACGGAGTAGGAATCACGCGGAAAACACCCGACTGCTTTACACTTCCATCTTTGTTGAAGAATGTAGGGACAGAGCGTGAACGGCGAATAGGCAGTAAACGCTCCCCTTTCTAGCAAAAAGAATAGGAAAATCAAGTAAAGCAGAAGATAAACCGCTTGTCTAAAGCTACGACAAATGGAAAATAAATCAATTCATCAACCTATATACTCCCCAAGATAATTTCCCTTATTAATGGTATAACCAAGTTTTGTAAGATAGAATACTGACCATGGATGTAACCGGATCAACCTCAACCGCATACCTCCCGTTCATGGACTCAGGGTTTGAGTGAGTTATAGGGGTTACCGGTAAAGACTCTGTCTTCTTATATTTTCTAGGAGCTAAGAGATTAGTGAGAGACCATGTTCTTGGAATATAAGATTTATCCGTACCATCTCCTGAAGGAGACAAAACACCTTCCTCAATATCTGCATTGTGGTTCCTGTTTTTAAAGTTTAGGAGATTCGTTCTGTTTCTTGACGAGGAAGGACTCATTGAGCCAACACGTCTCCCAATTCTAGGGCTTGACATTGGAGAAAACTTGAACCTTTTGGAAACAGGGCTATGAATTAAGGAACCATTTGCTCTCAAGAAATCGCCATGAGCTTCTCTCGATTGTATATCTAACACAAGACCTCGCCATCGTTGGTGTTGGCTCGGTGATAGCATTTCTGTTATCTCAGTAGAATCTCCAACCTGTAAAACTCAAAAGAAGATTTATTGTATCAGTTCCACACAAAGTTGGATCCTTGACAAATCATGTTCCTCAATGAGCAATTATAAACCCTAGATTTCACAGAAACTTGTGTCTTAAACCTGGAATCTCCGGAAAACAGAATTGAAGTGACAGTTCAACAAGTGCTGGAGATCAAAACAATCCCTTAAACCCTGATCTTATAAACCCTAAACTCTCAAGACCTAAGCTAAATCAGGAAGTAGAAGAAAACGATCAATTTTGATGAAAACCCATGAAATTAAAACCACTGAAATTAGCTTAAAGCGTGAATCTTTCAGGAAATTTTCAAAACTTTGGGAATTGACTTACGATTGAGAAAACTCACCATTAGAGCTGGAGAACTATCTTCATGGGACCTATGTTCTACCACTTCGCGAGTTTTATCCTTATCATCCATCGTCATCAAATTCAAACAAAACCCAGAAACAGTGAAGTAAAAGAAGAATCTCAGGAAGACAAAGTATCAATCATTGAGATTAATTTTCGTAAAAAGGACTAATTTTTAGGAGAAACAATCTGAGGAAGAAGATTTTGATGAAGAACACTCATATAGGTTGCTTCAATTTTGTGTGCTTATCACTCAGTGCCTGCCCCGTTTCTCTCAACTACAAGAGTTAAATTGGATTCGGCGGTTTTTATTTTATTGTTTTGTCCCTATTACCTACTTAAGTAAAAAACTATTTAATTTTGTTTTATTTATAAGTATTTTTTTGGATCAATATTTCCAGTTTAGATGTCAAATTGTTTCAAGATTCTTGTGAGTTATATATGGCAATGTGGAAAAAAGAAGAAAATCATGTTTCTCTTTAAGATTGTGAATGCATCAAATGTGTATAAGCAATAGTAAGAAGGTAATCAAGCATGCCAGCTCATTCAAATGTATGTACAGATATTCATAACATTTTTAACAAATGATCCAAAAATGGTTTAAAATATTATCGGAACTTCTGCTGACTGTTTTTAAGACAAAGAAGAACATTTCCCAAATAGTTTATGTGTATTTCTGATCATATTTGGAACAAAATCTGATAAAAAAACAAACAATCAATTAAAAAAAAATCTGAACATATTTATAACAGAAAAAGAGATTAATTTAACATACATTATGTAGGACTTTTGTTTTGTTTTTTCCAAAAAAAAAAAAAAACAGATTGTCTTTACTTATTTATCTTGTGCCACTTTTGAAAGATAAAAAAAAAAAATTGTAATTTATTAATTATAAAAAAGAGAGAAAAAAAAAAAAGAAGTGATAACAATATGAGAGAAAGAAGTAAATAACATTGAGTGTAATAGTCTTTGGACAACAACAAAAAAATCTGTGTAGATAAGAACGACTCATAACGCAAAATATGGTAGTTACGCTGACACAAACAAAGAATAATGGATAAGGCAAAATGTAACACGCATCACACCAAAGTATTACACCGAAGTAGATCGATGTCTTGACAAACACCTGTACCTCAAACCGACTAAATGTATAGATTATGTTACGATATGAATGACCAGAAAAAAGGTTAACAATGTGATTATTTTCTCACGAAACTATATTAACGACATAGTAGCGTGTCGAAAGAGCATTTAATTAATGCTTCCGAAAAATAATCATATCGCATTAATCTTACAAATTGATAGCATTTTTAGTACTATACTTTGAAGCAAAAGGAAGATGATATTAAATCATGCTTGACCTAAATGGATGTGGAAGGCCCAACTCGGCCCAACTGTGTGGCCACAACTCGACTCGCAAATACGTAATTGCTTTTTAGAATTTTTTTACTTTCACAAATAACACAACTGCCACCAATAAAAATTACAGTATTAAAAAACACTGTGAACACTGAACAATCGAACTATGATTACTTTTATCTATGATAGGTTGAATAATTATTATGATTAGCATACATATATTTATTTCTACAAATGTTTTAAAAACATAATTTCCTAATAATTTTTTTTCAATAAAAACAGACACTACTTGGGATCAACACGTATGCATGTGTTCACCAGTAATCACTAATCACCACCTACACGGACATGGACACTGTGTAGGGACAACAGCCAATTCAACATCAAATAATTATTTCAAAGGCACCAGACAAAAAATGGGAGCCACTCGTTTATGCCAAGAATATTGAATAACAAATTAGTGATGTATGTGATAAAAAATAATTTTCACTCATTCTTAAAAATAAAATAAAAAACAATCAACGATTATTGGTGTAGTAGACCATGAAAACGAAATCCACGTAGTATGTATAAATCAAACGGTCAAATATTTAATTATACTATAACATTAGCATAAATTCTCGTCACGTGGCAATATTATGGCGGTAGAATTTCACCATTAAATCTGTTAAAAGCTCTACCTCACTCACTCTCCTTCTTCCCCAAAACAAAAAAAAAAAAAAACAAAAAAAAAAAAAAACAGAGGAAGAGATCACGAAACCCTAGTCCCAAATCCTTCAAATCTATAAGCGTTTCTCAAACACAATCAAGAAACTGTGCTTAGTTTTTGGATTTCTACAAGCATGTAAGACGAGATTTTGCTTCTTTGGTTTTGCATGGTGGATCGATCTGTGAGAATGGGGACGGAGATGAAGTCGATTAGGGTTCCAAGAAGGGTCTGGCTTGGATCACAAATATCTATAGTTCTCCTCGTGGGTGGAAACCATACCTCTTCCAGGTTTTGTACTCGCTAGATTCACGAATTTCTCTTCACGTTTCTTCTTTGTTCTTAAGATCTGTTTAGCAAATCGTAATAGACACAATCAGTCTACTTTGAGAGATTGAGATTCTCTGTTTCTTTGGAGCTAAAAGATTTGAAATCTATGGGTGTAAAGATCTTGAAGCTCAATATCTTCCGTGGATCTACAAATAGACATGCTCTGTTTCGTGCTCTCATCATTGCCTCTGCTCTATCTGTTGTCCCTTTGATGGAGTTAAACGCTAAAGATCGCGTCTTTGGTGATGATGTAGCAGTGGATTTGGTCCATCTCGGCCGATTTGTTATCGCAGGACCGAAATTGTTCTTTGATAAGCTCGTTGAACCATTCTGGGGTCAAATTGAGACAGAGAAGTACCCAGAAGTGGTAATTGCTGATCTCGTTGAAGAGCTTATGGGGTTAAAGCTATTGCATTGTGATGCTAAGGTTCTCTGCATTGGTCCCGGGTCAGATTCTGCTGTTTCGGCATTCAAAGAGATGGGTTTCTCAGATGTTCACGGGGTTCCTAAGCATCCATTGTTTTCCTTTTTCAGTAGGAAGCATGTCAACGAGCTTGAGCTTAGTGGCGAAAAGTCGTTTGATTTCGTGTACTGTGGGGATGTTGATCTAGTTGCTTCCCCTGTTCTTCTTGTGCTTGAGATGGAGCGAGCTCTGAGGCCTGGTGGAACCGGAGCAGTCCTTGTGAGTACTAATGCTAATGGTCTTGTCAAATCCGCGACTTCGGTTTCATTCTGGCTTAAGCAGTCTGAGATAGTGCGTGTAAACTACTTGGATGAGTTCACCGTCATTGTATTCAAGAGAAATGTAACGGAAACTGCTCCTTATATTGGGAAAACTCAGCTACCTAGAGATTGCCAATCTATTGACACCAATAGACCTTACATCGAGTTCATGGAACCTCTACTCGAGCAAAAGCCTGCTGATTTCCCAAAATCAGTTGCTTACTTGCCTAAATTCCTTGATCTCTCTCTGAAGAAGAGCCTTGTCTACATTGACATTGGAGCAGCCGAGCATATGGATGCTAATTTAACTCCAAACTGGTTCTTTCCGTTATATCCACTTGACAGCAAAGCTTTCAATGTCTACTTTGTCGACCACAACACTTCAGTAATGCTATCGTATGTCAAGAAACCCGGCGTCACCTTTGTTTACCATCCGGATTTGGCTGAGGACAACTCGACAGGCAAAAAGATAACTCCGCTTGAACAGCTAGAACCATTTCCAGAAGATGAGGGTTTCGATTTCCTTGCTTGGTTTGAGGAAACTGCGAAATACGCAGACTTTGTGGTTCTTAAGATGAACACAAGCCAAGTGGAAATGAAGTTCCTAAATGTTTTATTGGAAACAGGAGCCATATGCTACGTGGACGAGCTTTTCCTCCGCTGCTCCAACCACAAACCAGACTGCATCAATATACTTCAAACTCTGAGAACCAGAGGTGTGTTTGTTCATCAATGGTGGGAAGACTAAACCAATGTAACTCAATCTCCCTTGCCTTTGTCCTATCTACGTCGTTTCGTGTCTGTCTTTGTCGTAGTTGTAATGGCATCACCTTCTGTGTTTGCCATAGTTGGTCCTCGGCCACCACAGCTCCTGGCCAAGCACCTTATCACTAAATAAGAAGCTGCCTGTCTGTTTATCATTGCTATTTAAGAACTCAGTTTCCAATTAATAATATATTGAACCATAACATTTTATGTCTTAATTAAGCATGGCAAATATTACACAAGTCTATTGCTTAACTAAATTTGTTCATCTCTATCTCCAATTCTCCCATTCTTGTTTCCGTTTACCATAATCTCCAAAAGCCTCTCTACAGGTTGTCTGCAAATTGGACACATATTTGTCTGAAACCTTAACGCTTTTGCGCACCCGCTGCACATACACTGCCAAACAGAAATACACAAACCATTTCAAAATTCATCACACAAAAGAGCTTCAAATTTTTGAAGTATGAACTCTGTACCATGTGTCTGCAAGGAAGAACAGTTGTATCGCGTGGTTCAGACATGCATACAACACATTCCTTTCCCTCGTCACAACCATCAGCCGTGTTCTCAATCCCATAAATCTCCCGCAACTCATATCTCATCCTATTCACCCATAGTATCTGCTTCACCACTTCTATCTTAATCTCTCCTTTCTCCTTGGTATACACCACTTGAGTAATCTGCCCATTGGTGGAACCCGACTTTCCTTCTTCCGCAGGAGTTGCCTCCGCCTTAATCGCCAACGGGAAGACATCTGTATCCACCCCCTTGAATAGCTCGGAATCTGCAAATGCCGTCAAGTCAATACCCGTTCCAGATGGTTGTATGAACTTCTGACCAAGTCCTATTCCGAAATCAAGTGTGATTGGAGGCAAAGTATCTTCCTTTGTTGCTCTAAGATTGCCTTCTTCTTCTTCTGTAGCAAAGAAAACAACTGTGATCCTGTTCTCTCCACCACAACAACAAAAGGTAAGTCATTTATATGAACTTCTGATTCAACAAGATTCAAACTTCAACTAAATTTCAATAAGGGCATATGTAAAATTTGATCATTTCATAGTTTGAAATTAAAACCTTCCGGGCACAGCTGCATCAAATGTGAAGGAGACAAGAAGTCGATTCGGATTCTCCGGGTCGGGTATGAGCCTTAAAGTCTCCTTCTTCAGATTAACATCGTTACGAATCGTGACGGCTTTCTCATGGACGTACGGAGGCGGTAGCATCGGGTGTCTACCGCCGGGAATCAAAGGATGAGGTAGTTGGTAACTGTGGGGATGATATTGATGTAAGTGGTGGAGACTGTAAGGCAGCGGCTGCGGCTGCGGCGGAGGAAGGCAGTAACCTGGATACTGATCAAAGTAGTTAGGGTTCAGATACGGTGGCCCGGCGGCGAATACAAATCTATTCGCTGAGAGTTCAAGAGGAGCCGTTTCCATCGCCGGAGGAATATGGCTCATCCGCCTTCTCCCGCAGCAGAAGATCAGACTGATCAGATTCCCCATGATTGACTGGTGAAAAATATAAAACCCAGATCGGAAAAAGAAAAAAGTGAGGTTTTTTCGTGATTCAGTTGATACAATTTAGGAGTGAAATCGGAGTTATGATCATTGAGAAAGGGGAGTGAGTGAGTGATGAGATTGTGATGGCGACGAAGACGAAGACGACGCTCCACCAGAAGCACCAAAACGTGTTTTTTTTTTTTTGGGTCAAAACGTTTATTTGTTTATATATGATAAATAAACTTTATTATTTACCATGGGGATTTGATTATTACCTTTATATTTATTTCTAGGATTTTCAAGCGTTTTACAAAGTCATTTTATGGTGTAAAAACAAGAAAAGATTGTACTGTTATTTGTTGTGTTAAATACAACACTAAACGTCTTTTTTCTAAAGACAAAAAAAATAAAAGTTTAAAAGGACTGATGCATGTGTAGTGTGTATCGCATATATACAAACTACAAAAGTCCTGAGAGAAATCAACATTAGAAGACTATGAAAGTTATTTCGCACCGACTATATGTTAGTATGTTACGTCTATGATAATTTATTGTGGTTAGTGGAGCATTATAGTAATTTAAATAGATAATTAGTCCGGACTCCGGACATGAAAACAAAGAAATCATTAATCAGTATAATAATGTCCGGACTAATCAGTAGCACTAGACAAGGTATCAAAATTATTATGAACATATTATTATCCAACACTGAGTCATAACGTCGATAACAAGGAATTTAAACTGGAAAACAGGCAAGAAATAGAAAGCATTGTCAAGATATAATTCGAAATGCAAATTTCACTAATCTTGTCTTGGTTGAAATTTTACTCAATCGTCTTCCTCATAAATTGTCCCCAGCGAAGGCGAAGCTGAAACCCTCACCGGATAAACAAGAATCGCCGGTACAGTTTCAATTGGTCCGATCATCTTCGACATAGACTTAGGCAGCTTTCGACTGTGTTGAGAAGATCTATGTGGAAATTATTGTTTTTTTTTTATAACCCAGTGTCCAGACCACACAGTGATCCGACTAGCCCACTGGGCCTAAGCCCGCGTGCCTGGGATTTTTAAGCCTCCACTTAAGGGCCCCCCGGAACTGGTGGTCTGGGACGCTGCGCCCCGCAGGTAAATTGCGCAGTGGCCAAGTGGATATCTAGCAATTACGCGCTTGCGGGGAATCGATCCCTGGCCTAGACCAACAGGGCAACTCCTCCACAAGTGGTAACCACTAGACCAAGAACACTTGGTTGGACATTATTGTTTGGTGATATTTATAGAGAGAGGAATAGTAGTAATTAACTAATCATCATGTGATCTTTTTATATAATGTATACTTTATATACACGACGCGGCTTATTACTTATCGCACGTGATATTTATGTTTCACATTTAGGTGATGCTCGAAAGTTGAAACATAAGTAGTACGTGTACATTTGCTTAGTTTGCAGATACGTGTCTGTATCAAAAATTAATTTAAATTAGATTCTTGTGGTTGAAAATTCATCTCACCAAACAGAATTAGCTGTTAGACTCTAGCTTCAGGGTTTAAGTTTGGTTTACTATTTGAAGATTCTGATTTTTGGTTCGTGGACCGGTTATTAACAACATTTCTCAAAAAGTTATATGAAAACTGATGAGAAGACTCGGATTGTCTTCAGTATCAATCTTTTTTATTTGGATCGGAATTCTTTTATCGTCCCGGTTCCCTTAGGAAATATATAAAGATTAGACTTTAATTATCATCAACTCGTGAACATATAGGAACAGATGACCGAGCGTACAAGATGTGAAAGTTGAATGAAAATTTCACAAAGAAGAGAGATTTGATTGTACAAAAGATACAATACAAAATCTCATCTTATACAGTTACAGAAAAATAACAACAAGAACCTATCTTAAACCCAAGGCCGAGTAACAAAACGATCATTACAATTTACACGTCTTCGTTATCTTGTTCTTGATTGTCTTCTTCGGTCTCTCCGCCTTCTAAAATCGTCTCAAGAATTGGAGAAACCGATGGCTTCGCCGGAGAAATTATCTGTGGAGGAACAGCCTCCATCCACCACGCCACATCCACCTTCACCACCGTCAGATTCTGATCGCACCGGTTGTCAAAGTAACACATTCTCGATTCTATCGATATTATTTGAGATTTGTAGAAGTAATTCAAAATGATTACTTTTTGAGTTTGATACGTGTTATTTTACTCGTATATATAGAGAGATTGACGTGTGAAGAAATGTGGAATAATGATAGGTTTGACGTGAGAGTCGGACAAGTGGACGATCCACAATGTTGAAGTTAGTTTGTTGACTTGGTCTTATTTGCTAATAATAATGGAACCAACAAGAATATTCTAGAACCTTTTGTTGTCGTTATCAACAAGTGTCGAATGTGCAACACGTGTGTTAGTTTCTAGTCTCACACGTCTCGATCGATGCTAAGATTTTTTGATGTTGTTGTCTTCTTTATGCGTCGTATATTGCAAAATACCAGATCTTTTTGTATGGACATTGTTATCAGACAAACACACACTTTGGGTTTGAAGTTTCTCAGCAATTGTGTAGATGATGCTTTGGACAAATTACACTACTCTACAAATTAGTAAGATGTGTTCATCTTGGGTTTCTATCACGTGACACAGTTTTTTTTTTTTTTTTGGTCACCAAAACACGTGACTCAGTTAAAACTTGTTTACACGGTAACGTTTGAAGCAGACTAGAGATTTAATTAGGCCCACGTTAAAGAATCATGGGCTCGTTCATAAATTTAGTTCTTATTGGGCTCTCAACATCAGATCTTAATATATTTGATAAGGACTAGCATGAGATCAAATGGAACTAAGCCCATATGCAAAGTGGCCACTTCTCGTCAATTAATGGATTCCTCGTTCCGGCATTTTTATTGATTTCTTTGTTTTTTGTTTTCTTGGATATTTTGGTGCAATTCGATAAAATAATGTACCTAGAAAACAAAACAAAAATTGAGAAGGTAAAAAAACGGTACATAACTACATATACGTAACAAATTATTGAAAAAGATTATTGTAAGTAAAGACGAATTTCTACGCTGAAAAATTGAAAGAACTAGACAACTTTGGTGATGACAAAGAAAAAACATCTTCTCTTTTTGGACTTAAATCGCTGGAAAACATGCCACATGCAAAGTTAATCAAACATTATATCTAAAGTTAATCAATTGATATAAATATGTATATATAAATAAGATGCATTAGCTTTCTTTATAAAATTAGATTAATTAGAAAATTAGTCAATGGCCTGAAAAGTATTGGATAAGATAAGGATATTTGAAAAGGTTGCTTTCATTCTTCTTGCAATTTCCCCCTTATTTTAGCTTTCTTAACTTATTGAATTTTTCCTTAATTTAAAAAAAAAATCCCGTCATATTATAACATAAGATGCAATGCATGACAAAAATATAAATAATAACTGAATAGGTAGGTAACCATGTTGTCACTAGACGATTTGATATTGTACATAGAAGATTAATCTATTTCTAAGGAATTATTGGCACCTTATGATCGAACATGTCACCTAAAAAAAGTGAGCTTATCACATCGCATAAGTTTTTGACAAAATATTCTCACACTAATTTTTTAATGTATGTCAGAATAATGTTTCATCAATCGAGAATAAGGATTAGATATCACTAATTTTTTTTATTACCGAAATTGCTATATGCTTGTACAGTATAGGGTGGTCCAAGCTAGGTCTACCGGTTAATTGCTAATTTTCTTATTATTCTGTATTTGTTTTAAGAACACAAGATGATATCATCATTAATTTGTTCTAACACAATGAAATTAAAAATCTGAATCAAATGGAAATCGGTTTAGTAAACGACAAAATAAATCAACCATGTCATGTGTTTGTTTTCTGATTTTTGTTCAATTTTTTTCAAAATGATTTTCTTGATGTCATATTCAAAGATGGACTAGTTGGCTTTGAAGTCCATTTTTAGAACATAGATTTTGTTGTTAAAGAACATATACATAGATAGTAGATACAATACGCAGCTGATCATTTGACAAATGTATATGACATTTTCCAACAATAATAGAAATCCCAAAAATTATAAAATATGCAACTAACAAGTAAGATTATGCTTTGGCAAAAAAGAAAAAAAAAAAAAAAAGAACAAGTAAGATTACGATCGTATGGCTGAAGTGAACAATGAGGATATAGGTATAAAGTATTAATGACAAGAAGATTTAAGAAGCTCGATTATTAACATAGCTACATGCATTATTATCATTTGTTTTTTTCTTGGTACTTGTGTTTTGTTTTGTATCTCAAAGCTCCAATTATGTAGAGGTCTTATCAACCAATAATTAATCAATTGGTCACACTACTCTATTATTTAAATTGCAATTGGTTCAACAGAGACGATCTTTTCTTTAACAATTATTTTATGGTAAATTTTCACAAACTTCATTAATTTAGTTGTATAATGAAAACAATAAAAAAGGAGTATGCGTAGTGTGACAAAGGAAATAAAACACATACAAGACTCGAAACTATTTATGACTTGTTTGTTTTAGTAAGCTAAAGTGATATATCAGCTCAATTATATGTGCATATACAATAACAAATCCACAATTTCAGCTCAATTAATGTCTACGTGCATGGATACATCTTCTTTTTTTTTTTATATATCAAACAACATGGATACATCTTCTATACTATCTAGTTGTGTGTTTAAAGTGTTTTATAGAATTGACATATGTATTATATTTATAAACAACTAATTATATATATGAATCTAGAAATGTTATTATGGATTATATATGGATTACATATTCACCTATTTCACAGCTATTAGCCTACTATTATTTCTATAATGCATTGGTCATTTATGTTTATTGTTTACAATAATGGCAATGAACATCTATACAAAGTATATATTTAAACAAAAAGTGAATGTCTTTATATATATGACCCTAGCTAGAAAATTTATTCGAGTCCCCCACATGTTTTGCTATGTTCAGATTATTGTCCAACATACCAATTATAATTTTTTTTTTTTTTGTATAATATCATCTACTTTGTTGGTTATTGCATTTTCATTTTGTCCATCATGCATTTGGTAAATTATCATTTCATAACAATGTACCTACTGTCGTAAATATCTGGTATCATTTGTCCATTTTCGTCTTTTCAACATCAAGAGAATGAAAATTTTTGGGGACCTGAGTGACGTGTCGAGATATTGACGCCTGAAATATCCGTAATTTCAAAATGAGATGAGGTCCAGTGGGCCAACTTATGTTGACAAGTGATCTCTCACCTATTATTGGCCCACCTATCCTTTTATTATCAGGTGTATTTAAATTACATTAGATTTTATTTTGTATTATTAGAATTTAAAGAAAGTCATATCAACCAGCTGAACACAAAAATAAATAAATATTTTTTCAAAAACATTATGTTTTCAAAAAGAAAACTTTTTGTGGCAATTTGTATAAGTTTTGCTACAGTAAATGACCCATTAGACCAAAATCCCTTATGTTTTTGTTTTATCTTGATATATGGTTGACAAAAATACAAATATTGATAACGAAAATGAGTCATTGTGGAAACAAAAAATGAATCCCACAATTGCTATTAATATCTATGTTGCATGGAAACGGAAACGGAAACGGGGAAGCGAAACGTTTCGGAAACGAGAAACGATTTTTTCTAAAATTAGGGGTTGAAAACGTTTTGAAAACGTATACACACATACACACACATATATATATATATATATATATATATATATATAACATTAACTTAAAACTATATTAAAAATATTTTAAACAATACAAGTCTAAAACATCAAATATTAAATAGGTTAACTAAAATTCTAAAAGAAAAATTAAAAGGTTCAAATCCAAATATTTAATTTAGACCAACATTTTCATTCTCATTTTCATTAGTTTCGTCAAAGATCATATAAAACTGCATCCTAACCTGGTTTGTAGAGAGAAAGATCTTAAAACTAAGAGTTATCCAAAATTAGTTATATGTATTATAAATCTTAATATTTCTAATTTTTATTTATTAATTTTTCAAAGTCAATAAAACGGATTCGTCGCGTTTCCAAAATGGATTTTTAGGATTCGTGAGTTTCCATCGTGTTTCCAAACATAGATTTTTAGGAAACGCGTTTCCGTGATATTTTTCGTGTTTCCGAAGAGTTTCCGTTTCCGAAACGTTTCGGAAACAGGAAACGGACCTCAAAGAGAGTTTCCATGCAACATAGATTAATATTGTATTTATTTTGATAGAATAATTTAAGTAAACAAGTCATGTCCCTATTAGTCCACGTGAAGTAATCCGACGTGTCAACTTTAATTACTAAATAAGAGGTGTAATAATCCGACGTGTCATTCAGCTTTGGACAATCCAATAATGTGTGCACAGAGTTTGGGCCATGTTCCTCTGTGGACAATCCCACTAATATGTCTTTTCAACAATACACACTACCACAACACTGTTATATTTATTATAAAAAATAAAAAAATAAACAATAAACATAACTGAAGTTTTTGAATTATGGAACGAATTCAATTGGATATTTCTATGGTTAACAGTTTTTTATTTGAGCAAACTTTTTTTATTTGTATTTCTATGGGTTTCTAAAACAATGGAAGAAATGATTTCAAGTGTCCATCAACTGGTTAAATCAATTTCTTTATATAAGATATTGACAGATCCATTCACATCAAATGTATGTAGTACCGGTTATAGAAATATTACTGTATTAGTATCACCGGTTTATTCTTTCTCCTATCCTTCATAAGATAACCGGTTAGTTATGGTCTAAAACAATCCTCATACAGCGTATTCATTGCCAGATTAACCTTGGTTTAGTGTTAACAAATTAAAATAAGCTTCGAAGGTCAATAACAGACAGATTATTATTTGCTAATTTACACAAAAAAAAAAATCTATTGACCGTCTAAAGTGACGTAAGCATCCTTAAGAAGTCGCTGTGCTTCTTCTCTTCTCCTGCACACAACCAAAACATCAAACGGACCCATAAGATCTACCAAAAAGCTTCTGAAGAATCTTTAAACAGATGATAGATTGATATTGGCACACCATTAAGTACAGAGAACTTAAAAAGGGCATATACAAACCTCTTAATGTCCTCCACAGCTTGTTTCCTCTGTTGAATTTGAAGTTCCATAATGTGAATAAGCGTTGCTCTCGCCTGGACATGAGAGAAGATCAAAACAATAAAGCAAAAAAGAAAAAAACAGATGAGTAATTAAACGAAGAAGATGTGATCTTTCATACTTGGTGAGGCCTCAAGGAATTGAGAAGGTGATGCAAATTCTTGAAGATTGAAGAAATTTCACCAATCCTCTTTGCATATTGAGAAGGTCTATCAACAAGAACATCAGCAAGCTCCAATATATGTAACTGTAGTTCTCTATTCAGTGACCTGAGTTCCTTCTTATAATCTACACAAAGATATTTAAAAACTTTCTTCAACGAAACAAATAGGCACTTTCAAAGAGCATAACTTGCAAATGAGCTCATGATTCCAATTAAGAGACTGAATAAAACCATACACAAGAAAGCCAATAGCAATTGCATTTTGAGTATGAATCACAAAGCTAAAAGAAATGACATACCAACATTGGAATCTTTGGGATAAAGTTGAGGCACTCCTTGTTCTTCTAAGCTTGGAAGCACATCCTCTGTCTACTAACCAAAAAATTGTTAAAACCCATAAAGATGAAGATTAAAGAGGGGAAAATGTGAAGGAATCTCACAGTATAGTTGCCTCCGAAACAAACGTAGGTGCCTTCAATGGGAGGAGGAGGTTCAGGAGCAGAATTAGGGTTTTCTGAGTAATCCTTGTAGAGTCTGTGATACGGTGGAGGAGGTGGATATGTAGCTGTAGCCATTATTCTCTACAGATCCAAATCACAAACTAAGCTAAATCAGCAACAGGTTCCTAAAATTAGGGTTTCTAATCGATGCAACGAACGATTCAATCCCAAATCTAAGACTTTACTCGAATGATTCTGAGGTAAGTATGTAACAAATGAAAGAGAGAAACTAGGGTTTAACATCGACACGAACCTTTTGGGGATCGAAGAAGCTTTGATCTTGCTTTGGAGAAGACGGCGCAGGGCAAAGAATAACAAAACGAGAGTTTTGGTTTTCTCGTAAATCTTTGGGTTACGGGTTCAGACGGTTTGAATAGTTCCGGTTTGGTTTCGGTTTAATTAAGACAATGGCTTTTTCAGTTTAATTCGATTTCTGATGTTTTGATGTGATTAATCACACCCCACTAATGATTTTATTCTTAAGTTGGTACATTTACTTGATAATAGATCAAAATTTCTTCTTTTTTTTGTGTAGTCTAGATTTTTTATTTAATTTAAATAGAAATTAACAAAAAATCCTTAATTGAATACTAATAAATTTTAAAACATTAGCAACAAATTTCATATCTAACAACATTAAATCTTAAGATAACTTAAATTAAATTAAAGGTGAAGGTAAAAAAAATTCCATTAACATCATCATTTTGATCACAAACTCATAAAGTTTTTACTATTTAAAAAAGAAAAACAATGGACGAGGGAAACAAAGGAAGAGAGCTCACGATAAGAACGTGAGACTTGCCACACCTTATAAACTTTTTTTTAATTTATTTCCTTTCTCTTTTTTATCTTCTTTGTCCTTTTTGTCGTTTACTGTGTAAGTCATAACTCACATAAGTTTAACCCAATGAGAGCTTATCTCTTTACCACATTTCTCTATAAAAAAGATGATCTCTACACTACACATTTCTCCTTCAATCACAAAATTTCACAAAACCCTTCCAGAATTTCTCGACAAGCTGATCAAAACCCAGAATTCAGTTTTCATAAAAGTTTCATCTTTTTTTTTTGTTCCTTCTCTTTACGTACGCTCTGTTTTCATCAATGGCGTCAAGGAAGCTTTTTTTTGTCAAGCCTAAATACATATATCCAGAACCAGAACCAGAGATGTCCGATGAGAATGTCTTTGAATTCGACGAATCTGATATTCATAACTTAGGCGATCATCAATTGCCGAATTCATTCGACGCGAAAAGATCGATATCAATCTCTCGATTACGGAGAAAACCGACGAAAACCGGAGATTCCGTCGGTTCTGGAAACCGGGAAATCACAAAGACCGGTTCGCTTCCGGTTAATATCCCCGACTGGTCTAAGATCTTGAAGAGTGAGTATAGAGGTCATGCGATACCTGACGATGACAGTGATGATGATGACGAGGAAGATGACGACATCAACGACGGTGGAAGACGGATCATTCCGCCGCACGAGTATTTAGCGCGGCGGAGAGGATCGTCGTTCACGGTGCATGAAGGAATCGGTGGAACGGCGAAAGGAAGAGATCTAAGGCGATTGAGGAATGCTATTTGGGAGAAGATTGGGTTTCAAGATTAATAATATACTCCCTCCGTATTTTAATAATTGTCGTTTTAGAAATTTTATTTTTTTGAATTGGATGTCGTTTTCAAATTTATATGCAAAATTTATTACTTTTTAATGTTTTATGACATCATAAAACATTAAAAAGTAATAAATTTTGCATATAAATTTGAAAACGATATCCAATTCATAAAAATAAAATTTCTAAAACGACAATTATTAAAATACGGAGAGAGTATTAAGTATGTAATTAATTATAACTCTATAGGTAATCTATGAATTACTTAGATCTTAAGGAAGGACTTCGTGTTTTTAATTAGGGGGTTTAGAGGATCGTTATCGTTTCGGTCCGAAGGAGAATTTTTCCCATATCCTTTTGACTTTTTTTTTCTCTCTTTCTTTTTTTTTTAAAAAAAAATATTTCTTTCTTGTCTTTTTTTTTTTGGTTTGGAGTTTTTGATCATCGTCTATTTTTCTTTTTCTTTTTTGGATTTGATAAATAAAATTTTATATTGTTTTCTTTCAAATATGTTGAATTTTGGTTGTTGTGTGGTTACTTAGCTTCCTTAAATTTTTACATAAATCCACAAAGAAATACGTCATAAAAAGCAATTAATAGTCAAACACTAAGTGGTCAGTAGTAAAAGTTTAATCATGAAAGTAATATTATAGCATTTACAAAATGATATAATATATACACACAAAAATATTCATTATTGAACGAAGGTGACCGGGACAAAACCAAGTTTTTGTTCATATTATTCGTTTGTTACTATATCACAATTAAACAAAAGGAAACAAAATATGAAGAAGATAAACGACTGCTAAATATCTATTGAACTCGTTGAAGAGAGAATTTGTAGATAACAAAGCTGGATTGAGTTTTAGTTCAAATATGTTAATTTTCGATCAATAATAATCCAAAAACCAACTAACTAACAAAAACCGGATTAGTCACTACAACAGTTTACTAAATTCTTCACAAAACATCTCTTCAAAGTTTGAAAACCTTAATAGTCATAAATCAAGTGTCAGTGTGTCACGTCTTTTGAAAGCCGTAATTTGAACCATAGTTTGGCTGTAAACGATAGGTTATAAAAGTCTTCAGCTCGATATGATGTGTTTCATTTCACAAGAATCAAAGATAAAGCTTAATTGCATTTAAAAGTTGATGTGATATTTACTTTCTTAATATTTGCTAGAAAAAACGTATAATGACACATCGATGAAGTTATAGTCATTTCTATTTCTGTTGTCTCCCACTTTCTGCTATGCTTTTGCAACAACCGTTCAAGATTTGGAATCATTTTCTTTCTCCACCAATCATATATAAGCCTTCTTCTTGTTTGTTGAAATTTTGCAAGATTCTCTTTTCCAATACGCATTTTCTTTTCAAGCTTTCAATCAAAAACTCACTAAAAGTTGCATATGCAAACACAAAATTGTGTGATCAAATTTCGTTACTGAGTTTTTTGGTTCTAAAACAAAGGTTTGACATATAAAAAGATAAACTCAAAACATATGCAGTAACGCAAAGAAGACAATTCAAGAGTTGGGAAAGCAATGTAGTTTGGTAAGCATTAAACAAAAAAACATGAGCCATCAAAATCGTATGGGATTATGTTGAATGTGGAGATGTGGTAATCACACTATTGCACACAAAGATGCAGTCAAGTGGCAAACAAGCGGCGCCCTTAGTTTGGTACAAAGAGAGACAATTGTTTTGGACTGTTGGTGTTGCCATATTCACAAAAATAGTATTGAGTTATGTTAAACATTAACTAGACAAAATAGTATTGAGTTACATAGTAGTGACCAAAAAAGTCTAATATGTATAAACATATACATCTGTTTTAAGTATTTTCTTTAAGTTGCTTATATTTTTTTTTTGTCTAGTTCTTTTCTTTTTACTGCTTCTTCATCTTATTATGTAGAATGAATACGTCCTTTTTTCTTAGAATTATCAGTCTATTAGAAATATTGCATTTTATTTTCATTTTAAATATCTTTTTCTCTGCTTAAATTCATTATTTTTAGTATATTAAAATCATTAACTTTGTTGGAAAAAATAATATGTTACGAAATAACTTCAACTTTGATATTTAGTTTTTTTTTTTTTTTGTCGACGAAATTCTAGATTAATCGTTAAGTCAATAACAACACCTTAATCTCTTTGTTCCACACTGGTAAAGAAAAAAATAAGTTGTATTATGATCTCACATCAAACTCGTCATATGTAAAGAGCAAAAATCAATGTTTAAAATGCACTTGGATTATTATTGAAAGTTGAAAGACAAAGGCCCGTTACGAGCCCAACCAAAAGTTAATAAGAACATACAAGAAAAGCAGACGATGAAACTTAAAACAACTAAAGGGACAAGTTTTTCCCGCAGATGGAAACAGAAACCAAACCAGGTGAAGAACATCATCACCTCCCAAGTGCATGACACAGAGAACCGCCACTTTTGATCAGATCACAAAAGCTTAGAAGCTTCCACCACGAAGACGGAGAACCAAGTGAAGAGTGGACTCCTTCTGGATGTTGTAATCTGCAAGAGTCCGACCATCCTCAAGCTGTTTTCCATCGAAGATGAGTCTCTGCTGATCCGGAGGGATCCCTTCCTTGTCCTGAATCTTAGCCTTGACGTTATCAATTGTGTCTGAGCTCTCAACCTCCAGGGTAATAGTCTTGCCTGTCAATGTCTTCACAAAGATCTGCATACCACCACGCAGACGCAACACAAGGTGAAGGGTAGATTCCTTCTGAATGTTGTAATCAGCTAAAGTCCGACCATCCTCAAGCTGTTTACCAGCGAAGATGAGTCTCTGTTGGTCTGGTGGGATCCCTTCCTTGTCCTGAATCTTAGCCTTGACATTATCGATTGTGTCTGAGCTCTCCACCTCCAAAGTTATGGTCTTGCCGGTTAGGGTCTTCACAAAGATCTGCATACCACCTCTGAGACGAAGCACCAAATGGAGAGTAGACTCTTTCTGGATGTTGTAGTCAGCAAGAGTTCTTCCGTCCTCAAGCTGCTTACCGGCAAAGATAAGCCTCTGTTGGTCCGGAGGAATTCCTTCCTTGTCCTGGATCTTGGCTTTGACATTATCAATGGTGTCCGAACTCTCAACCTCGAGGGTAATGGTTTTACCAGTGAGGGTCTTCACAAAGATCTGCATACCACCACGAAGACGAAGGACAAGGTGAAGTGTCGACTCCTTCTGGATGTTGTAGTCAGCAAGAGTTCTTCCATCCTCAAGCTGCTTACCGGCAAAGATAAGCCTCTGCTGGTCCGGAGGGATTCCTTCTTTGTCCTGAATCTTTGCTTTAACGTTGTCAATAGTGTCAGAGCTCTCAACTTCCAAAGTAATGGTCTTGCCAGTCAGAGTCTTGACAAAGATCTGCATACCACCTCTTAAACGAAGAACCAAGTGGAGGGTTGATTCTTTCTGGATATTGTAATCGGCCAAGGTACGACCATCTTCTAGCTGTTTACCGGCGAAGATTAATCTCTGCTGGTCCGGAGGAATGCCTTCCTTGTCCTGAATGGATCATGAGGGCTGATGTGCATAAATCATGTGATTTGGATGTAAAAATCTAGCAGGTGATCATCATTAATTTTAAAGCACTGAAACTTTCTCGTTTTAGAAAAATAGGATAAAAGAAAAAAAAAAGAAGCCAAAATATGGGATGATGAAACAATTTTCATGCTGCTTCTATGCATAACTGCATGTAAACCATTTCATTTACAATATTAGCATACAGTTATGAACTTTCTACATCAATCTTGAACCATCTCACTCAGATATGAGATAACACACTTTCTTGTTTCTTTCACTTTCAAACGTTACCAAGAAGAAACAAAATGAAGAATGAAAATTACAACATTAACTAAACATTGCTGCTCTCCAAATTTCATTAGGCGATGAATTCGTCTCTCCTGCAATCTCTAAGTCTTATCTTATGTTTGCAACTTCTGCACCTTCATATTACACGTCGCAACATTCCACTTTGCTCCCCTAAGAACAATAAAACACAATTAATTGAAAATTTTAGTAATGAAATAAAAATCAAAGATAACAGTTCTGCTGAAGACACTAAGAATTCTCAAATATAACAAAATCATTATATTTTATGACTAAAATACATCCCTTTCTACAAAAAAATTAATGATTAGATTTTAAACCCTAATGTGAATCTGAGAACAAATCATACTTTTTGGGAAACTTGAATACTAGTCGTAAGTATCTTTCTTAAAATATCTATGAGATAATAAGATAATCTAACCTGTTTGGGAGTTTTGGGAGACAAGACTCGGATCCATGCGAGAGTATCCGCAGATATATTACCGGAGAGGCCGGGAACAAGAAGTCAATGTTTCTAGGAAACTTCCTTGTGTAAGAAGTAACAACTTTTTCATTCTCTTGTTCAAATGAATCGAAGAAGAACCAGTGAGGAGCTTCACATGAATCTCGAGACACTGGTCTCGTGTTAAAACATGTAAGCTGGAAGGCATCCTCGGAGCCAAGGATGGAATGTCTCGATAGGACGCATCAATTGGCTGCGTGAGAATATCTTCTCATAGATACGAGGAGAGTATCCCCACGAAACAGAGAAGGTCCAGTTCTTGCTAATTTAACACCAATTGAATTACGAAATAGATGCTGAAAACTACGATGTTGGAATATTTATTGCTAATTTATCACCCCTAAGGAAAACTCACTAAATACATTAATGTTTTTTTTTGTTATTTGTTACATTATCAATAGAAATATTTGAATCTAATACTCTTATAATATAGACTACTATCACATCATCATTAATATTTTAAAACACAATAAAAAATACTTTCACCAAAAAAAGATTTTTTTAGTAGATATTGTATGGGAGAAAATATCCACCATGATTTACTATATATTTTAAAAAATAACAAATGAAATAATAATTCGAAAAAATATTAAAAAACTGTCATTTTAATAATCTAATAATTATTATTTTATAAATTAATAATGTTAAAATTGTAGACTAGCTGCAACATTAAAGTTTTAAGAACGATAAAATAATAATCAAACTGGACACAAGCGTCACAAATTTAGATAATTGGTATTGCTCAACCATATCTGCCCAGTATATGGTTGGGCACATATCCTGAATAGATATATTGATCTTCGGGTTCTTGAAACGACAACGATTTTGAAAATATTCTGAAAATTCCAACCCAACGGATCGCGAAAAGGTTGCGTAGTCAATTCCAGCGTCAAGGACCTCGTCACAGTGGTTAAAAGGAGCTTTGTTTTCCATCGATTCCATCGTCTCTGGTAGCTGACAGGGTGCCGCTACGAAGTTGTTGGATTCAGATGCATGAGTTTTTTCGTGACGAATTAGACTCCGAAAGTGTTGGTTTACGTTCTTGGAAGAAGATGATATCAACAAAATAGAAACAATCAATATCATCATGATTGAGTAGAAGGCCATAATTTGATTTAGTTTATCTATAAAAGTTTTGTTTTTGAAGGCAAGAAGAAGAAACACCAATCTTTTTATAAGGCGATTAGAAAAATCCTTTTTTAATTAGAATTATAAAAACTCATGTGAGCCCCAAATGGGCTTTTCCGATAAAGAAAGAAAATTAATTAAACCTAAAACATGTGTATTTTGGAAAATACGACTGGGCCAAGTTAGGCCTATAATTTTGGAAGCCTACCAAAACCCGTCTAGACCGCTTGTGGAGGACATTAGTTTGCTGGTTCGGAAATGTTTTGAGATTAAACCGGTTTGACTGATAATCAGTCAGTCCGATTTGGGTAAATTGATGGTTTAGCGCGATTTCGATATGCTGGCTTGTTTTGCCGCTCTGGTTCGCCGCCGGTTTGGTCTCTTCTTCTTCTACCCCTCTGCTTTGTTTGGTTTGCGATCTTCGGTGTCTGCTCTATTTCAGGGGAATCTCTCAACCGATGTAAGTTGTGCTCATTCCTTCATTCTCTCTCACAGTTTAGTTTTGTTCCCGTCGCTTTTTTAGTTTTTAGGGACTTCGTATCATTTACGATGATGCCTTTGGTAGTTTTTTTATGAATCTGGGAGATTTTAGGCTTGAGGAAATCCAAACAAATTCCATTTAAGGAACTGGGTCTATTGGAAAGTAAGAAACTTTGGCTTAATATGATAATGAATTTTGTTATCCCTAATTAAATTTCCAGATTTTAGGATTTCATGGGAATTGATGATTACTCTATACTCAGATAACGACTTTAACTCAGCTTCTTCCTTTACTGAATTCAGATCCTCTCAATCACTATATTATCTCTGTTACCGGCACAAGGAGTTACATGATGCTACTTGGACCGTTACAGAGACTGCTTGAATGAAACATTGAGAATTTTGGGGGTCTTGAGAATGAAGTTTTGGGGAGGCTTTTTAGTGATCGTTGGTTCCATTTCCTTCATTGGATTTGTGTTTGTAGCTATAGTCTCCAAATTGTTTCCACTCTCTGACAATCCCATTATCCAAGCTATTCAGAATGACAGGTACACTCTTGTTCCGGGGTAAATGTTTGTTTATGTATCATTCTTGTTATATTGATTTCCATCATCTTGATATCTGTTACGTGTATGTCATCTCATGATTTATATTTCATATAAAAACATTCTTCAGGTACTACTGCTTCTTGGCTCCACTGACTCTACCAGCTCTTCTGGTTGCTGTCTACTTTCATTGGCTTAGCATGAAGCTCTTCAAGCACGCATGATACATCTCACGTAACAACATCTTAATCCAAGGTAGAATTCAGAGTTTCACTTTACGTTACTCGCTTATGAATTGAAATGCCACTATATTTAATCACAAAGGGATAATAATGCTAATGCAGAGAACTAGTTTTTTTTTTGGTGGTTGAATATTAGTTTAGTTTATGCTCAGAGAACTAGTTTTATGCTAATCTGCTGTTTTTCCCCAGACTTTCATCAGAATGCAACAGTCAATTCATCTAACATTTATTTTCCTTATCTTTCTTGGTTTGATGTCAATGTGAAAGTAACTTCACATGAATGTACACAAAACTGTTGAACATTGAGTAATTGGTATGAATTCTGAAAGATTACAACTCATCTCCAGCTTTTGGATTCTGTAACAAAAAGTCTGAACAAAAGATGCATGAACAGCTTTCTTCAACAGAGTTTTAAAAATCTCTAGAAAGTCCAAATTCCTTCCAACCATGAGATGTGACAAACAACCGTGATCGGAACAGCCTCAGAAGAATGCTTCGGACCAGATGTTATAGTTCCCTGCAAAGACATCATATGCACATGCAGAAAGATCAAACTAAGTATGAAAGCTCAAATCCCAGGCTTTAGCCAAAAAATAAAGAGACCAGATTTTATGTCTCTAAAGACAGATGTTACCAAATATGGTTAAGTTTGAAGACAACTTTATCTACAAACGATTTACTAACAAAAGTTATTGATCTCTAGTGCAAGCTACATACAAAATCAGCGGCAATTACAAGGTAAACTAAACTAATATTCAACCACCAAAAAAAAAACTAGTTCTCTGCATTAGCATTATTATCCCTTTGTGATTAAATACAGTGGCATTTCAATTCATAAGCGAGTAACGTAAAGTGAAACTCTGAATTCTACCTTGGATTAAGATGTTGCTACGTGAGATGTATCATGCGTGCTTGAAGAGCTTCATGCTAAGCCAATGAAAGTAGACAGCAACCAGAAGAGCTGGTAGAGTCAGTGGAGCCAAGAAGCAGTAGTACCTGAAGAATGTTTTTATATGAAATATAAATCATGAGATGACATACACGTAACAGATATCAAGATGATGGAAATCAATATAACAAGAATGATACATAAACAAACATTTACCCCGGAACAAGAGTGTACCTGTCATTCTGAATAGCTTGGATAATGGGATTGTCAGAGAGTGGAAACAATTTGGAGACTATAGCTACAAACACAAATCCAATGAAGGAAATGGAACCAACGATCACTAAAAAGCCTCCCCAAAACTTCATTCTCAAGACCCCCAAAATTCTCAATGTTTCATTCAAGCAGTCTCTGTAACAGTCCAAGTAGCATCATGTAACTCCTTGTGCCGGTAACAGAGATAATATAGTGATTGAGAGGATCTGAATTCAGTAAAGGAAGAAGCTGAGTTAAAGTCGTTATCTGAGTATAGAGTAATCATCAATTCCCATGAAATCCTAAAATCTGGAAATTTAATTAGGGATAACAAAATTCATTATCATATTAAGCCAAAGTTTCTTACTTTCCAATAGACCCAGTTCCTTAAATGGAATTTGTTTGGATTTCCTCAAGCCTAAAATCTCCCAGATTCATAAAAAAACTACCAAAGGCATCATCGTAAATGATACGAAGTCCCTAAAAACTAAAAAAGCGACGGGAACAAAACTAAACTGTGAGAGAGAATGAAGGAATGAGCACAACTTATATCGGTTGAGAGATTCCCCTGAAATAGAGCAGACACCGAAGATCGCAAACCAAACAAAGCAGAGGGGTAGAAGAAGAAGAGACCAAACCGGCGGCGAACCAGAGCGGCAAAACAAGCCAGCATATCGAAATCGCGCTAAACCATCAATTTACCCAAATCGGACTGACTGATTATCAGTCAAACCGGTTTAATCTCAAAACATTTCCGAACCAGCAAACTAATGTCCTCCACAAGCGGTCTAGACGGGTTTTGGTAGGCTTCCAAAATTATAGGCCTAACTTGGCCCAGTCGTATTTTCCAAAATACACATGTTTTAGGTTTAATTAATTTTCTTTCTTTATCGGAAAAGCCCATTTGGGGCTCACATGAGTTTTTATAATTCTAATTAAAAAAGGATTTTTCTAATCGCCTTATAAAAAGATTGGTGTTTCTTCTTCTTGCCTTCAAAAACAAAACTTTTATAGATAAACTAAATCAAATTATGGCCTTCTACTCAATCATGATGATATTGATTGTTTCTATTTTGTTGATATCATCTTCTTCCAAGAACGTAAACCAACACTTTCGGAGTCTAATTTGTCACGAAAAAACTCATGCATCTGAATCCAACAACTTCGTAGCGGCACCCTGTCAGCTACTAGAGACGATGGAATCGATGGAAAACAAAGCTCCTTTTAACCACTGTGACGAGGTCCTTGACGCTGGAATTGACTACGCAACCTTTTCGCGATCCGTTGGGTTGGAATTTTCAGAATATTTTCAAAATCGTTGTCGTTTCAAGAACCCGAAGATCAATATATCTATTCAGGATATGTGCCCAACCATATACTGGGCAGATATGGTTGAGCAATACCAATTATCTAAATTTGTGACGCTTGTGTCCAGTTTGATTATTATTTTATCGTTCTTAAAACTTTAATGTTGCAGCTAGTCTACAATTTTAACATTATTAATTTATAAAATAATAATTATTAGATTATTAAAATGACAGTTTTTTAATATTTTTTCGAATTATTATTTCATTTGTTATTTTTTAAAATATATAGTAAATCATGGTGGATATTTTCTCCCATACAATATCTACTAAAAAAATCTTTTTTTGGTGAAAGTATTTTTT